GAATATAGATTTGTTTGTGTATAATACACAAGTGACAATCCCTTGTGCTAATATAGAACAAAAGAAGAAGTTAACTTCATGATAATTTAGATAAATTTTAAAAAGATTTTTTTAATTTTTAGAAGTTTAGTGAATTAGAATAACTAACTAATAATCTAGAAACTTTGTAATAGAGTTATAAAAATTTGGATTTTGAAAGTAAAAAGATTTTTTAATAAATTAAGAAACTCTATAGTGTATAACAAAATAATTTAGAGTGAATATGAAAATAAATTAGTTAAGAAGCTAATAGATTTATAATTAGAATTATAAATTAAAAAATTAATTGAAATTACTAAAGGAAAATTTAAAGAAAGAATAAATAATAATAATTAATGTTAATAAAAATAAAGAGAATAATAAATATGCCATTAAAATTAAAGATAATGATACTTAAATAAAAGAAATATAATTAAGGTTTGATAAATTATAATTAAATAGTCTTAAATTATTAATTGAAATAATTATGAAATACTATAAAACCAGATTTACTTCAAGATTAATACTGGATCATACTAATTATAAAAAATTTAGTTTAAAAAGCTAGTATAATTATCAGAAATTCAATTTTTATCTATTAAGGTGCAAGAGATGGGTTAAATAATTAATGATATTGGAGTAAGGTGAATGGAAAAAGTAATTTGCTTATGGTCTTTAAATCAAAAAGTGATCATATCTTTTGAGCACACTCTCCTTGTATATGGGAAATATGTGGGAGATCATACATTATCATCTTTCATATTTTCATAAACCCATATTTAACCTTAGAAGTATGATGCTAAATAATATGCTATTTATTTTAATTCAAATTATGGTCCTTCATTTGGCAATGAATATGATATTAAAATAGGAAGTGACTTTACAAAAGGTTATTCCAAATTAGATATCTCATATTCATTTTCTAATTTTAAATATGGCCATTATGATCTAGATTTATTTGGATAAATTAAACCAGAAATAAAAGAATGCCAAATATATGAATCGTAATTAAGTTGAATTTATATTGCTATTTACAATTATTAATATTTAAATGTTACAGATTGAACTTTATTATGCATTATTTAACTACATTATTAAAATCTCTATGATAACTTAAATTTAAATTAATCAATTTTACTATAATTCGATAATTATTTATGATTTTTATTAAAATAGATAGTTATTGATTTCATTATTACTGTAATTTATTAAATTTATAGATTACTTTAAATTTTGAGTAAATATAGATGACTTAATAAAAACTATGATATTGAATTTCTTCATAATCAAAATAATTGATTTTAAAGAATAATATAAGTATATTGGTAATAAAGTAAAATTAAGATTAATTGAACTGTTTTAATTTTTAGAATAATAAACTATACTTTCTTCTTTTACCTTATCATATTTATTAAATGTATAAATGATATAACAAAGAGATTTATTTATCAAATCCAAAAAATAATAGATTAGGCTAAAACTAATTAATTTACTAAAATGCAACTCAAACTTCAATATCAATAATCTATTTGCTATTTTTAATAGTTTAACACAAATTATCATACTAAACACAATAACCAGCAACACTCTTAATTATAATAAATATTGAATATCATTAACAAATTTTGGACAATTGACTGAAATTGCTAAGCAATCAAAAAGAGATGAGTTAGTGGTGATATTTGCTCATCCATAAGTTGTACTAGTATGTTTTTTACATAATTTTGACAACTTCCAATGTAGAAACAATTAGGATTTGCAGCATGAATACTAAGATATAATTAATGAATAGTTTTAGACAACACAAGCAGAAATATTTGAATTGTATGAACACTAAGGAGAAGCCAGTGAACATTCTTATTTAGGATAATTTGTTGCATGAACATGGAGATTTATAAGTCGGACTTAAACTATATGAGCTGCATGTTGCACAAAAACCAGAACCAGATTAAGTGGAACTTCATCTTGACATCATTAAATTATTGGAGTAGCAATTTTTTGAAGAGGGATTTCTGGGATTTGTGCTTTCAATACAAACACCAATTGTTTACCATTAACATAAGTTAACATTGGATGCTGATAAAGGAATTCAATATAGGTACATTATTGTTTATTAATAAAGATTGTTGCAGCTTGCAGCTACACAAGAAGCTTTTATTGTTGTTTTCATTAGTGGTTACAAAAATAAGTATGATTAAAATTTTTGATATTGTTTTTAAGTTGCAATATCTGAACACATTGTGATTTAGTTTATTGTTAGTTATTTAAGTTATATTATTAGTTATTATTGATTCTGTGTTTATTTAACTTTTTGTTTTTATTAATTAATAATCGTAATAAAAAAAAATCATCATATTTGTAATACTTAAATTAACATAAGTGTTTTCACATTCTGATACAATTGTTGTTCCTCCTACAGTTCCTTATGAAATTGTAACTGAACATTGATTTGGTTTTGGTGGACATATATAATTTTATTGAAGTAGTAAAAATATTTTTGATATTGCTGCACAATAAATTGAATAATTAGCACATACTCGAGAATTAACACCATATAGATCTGAACATGATAAAAATGTTTAACATGTATTTTAGGTTGCTGAAAAAGAGCATCTTGGATTTGAACTGCAAATTCCTTGTTAAATAATTTAATTGCAAGGTTTATTATAACAACTTGGGGTTGTGATAGCAGTTGACCAACAACATTAAGGATTTGTTAAACAATCATACTAGAAAGTTAACTAATTACAAGCGCATTATCCAGGTATTTATTTTTATGATATTAATTAAATATTTAGAATAGTCTATAAATTTTTCTAATATATTTATATTGAATTAAAATTGTTTAATTTCTTTATAAAAACTAGAAATATTTATTCATGTTGAACTATTTTAATTTATTGTTGGAATCCATCTTTAAGTGAATCCTGTATTTGCTGAACAATTAACTGAATTAAATTCTGGAGATGTAACTAAATTAATATAAGAGGGATATAAGTATTTTTCGACCATTGACATAATTACATTTCTCCAATTTTAAATAATGACATAACAAATTTGCATGATGCAAGAGTTGTAAAATTAGCGCAAGTAAGTTATTAACATAAATTATTTGCATAATAACAATAATCAGATAAATAACTGCAAATTTGCTAAATATTTATATAATTACATGTTATTACTTCATGACATGAATCAGTAATATATAAAAATACTATCCGATCCGTAAGTACTACTACAAGTAGATGGTGACATTGATCCACAAGTAATAGTTAGGGATGAAGTACAATTTGCTCCATCGTAACCTCCAAATTAAGTAGAATAAGCGAGACATAGTTAAATACTTAATCCTACTCCACTGATTGAATTACTTGAAGTGAAATTTTGACAAACACTTATAATTATATTCAATCCACAACCAATTGTTTATGCATAAACTTAATTGCTAGAAATTTTTAACAAGGTTATTGGGTACATATGTTATTAATCTGAACACAAGATTATCATGTGGCATTACTACAATCCCTCTATATCATGTATTAATAAAATTAGCATTTTGGAAACATATTAGAAGGACTAGAATAACAAATTTCTCCATAATTTTATAATTATAAAAAATGTGAAAAGTTAGTTTAGTAATGGTATAATAAAATCGTCATTTTGGTTTTGTTATTTAAGAATGTTTTTCATAAATTTCTTAATAAATAAATAACATTTTAGATGTATTTTATAAATTAGAGATATATTTAAAGCATAAAACTAAGATATTAAAGGAATTTTTAGAAAAGATAATAAGTAAGAACTTTAGGGTTAATCATTATATTAATGAGATGCTGAAATAATAAATTTAAATTATATGTTAATACTATAAGGAGAAAGGTAGGTAAATAAACTGGCTATAGATATTTCTTACAATTTATATTTATATATTTAATTGATATCAAAAATTATATTAATCGTAATATGTAATAAAACCTAGTTTATTGTATGAATCATCCTAATTCTTTGGTAACCCATATATGCATAGGACTACATCTATGCCAAAGAAAACTTTGCTCAGAATGTTAATATCAACACTAAAATATTATATAGGATCTTTAAAATTCTACTATGTCTCTTCATTTTTTAAATTTTTTTTTATACCTATAAAAGGAGATTAAATACTTCCTTTTCAAACTCTTAAAAATAATCTTCAATAAAATATAGAGTAATTCTAATTAAATGATCCAATTCGACTTAATCGAGCCAAACAAGAATTCAAATAAGCGATTTCTTAAATACAATAAACATTCTCCTCTTTGATCAAAGAGATGATTGAATCTTCTAAGAAAATATTTCAAGAGATCGAACAAATAGATAAATAGTTTCTAGATTTATTAAGTTCAAACATTGAAGAATCTAGTAATTCTAATCTTTATAAAATATCTGAAATTCTATAATAGAATCATCTCAAATTTTGGTAACATCAAAAACAAAATTGTTATAAAATACTAGATGAAAACAAACATTATCTCATTTCGATATGCGAAAATGTAGCAATTAAAATGAGAGAAAAAATAAAGACAATTAATTCTGAAAAAATAGGGTAAAAATTTAATCTAGATAAAGATTTAATGTCTTTCAAAATTCTAAATTATTAGGAATTAATCATAGTGATTTTATTTATATAAATAATGAGATAATCTCAAAGGTAAATCACTAGATAATATTTTTAGCAAGGAAATATGAGGTTTAACTAAAGAGAAGGCTTAATAGACATTTTAGGGTTTTCTTAAATTGAAAATGCATTTAAAGCCTTTTAAATTGAGTTTTAACAAGGACAATTATGCTATATAGAGGATGGAAAGATATTAAGGATGTATATCTTTTATATTTAATTAGCGAAATTGATAATGATTAAAATTCTAATAAAGAGATAATTACAAATTATGATTAATTATGTAATTTGAAATGGATAGGAGAAGAAACTGAAACTAAATAAAAAATTTCATTATGGAATGCTTATTGGGGAAAACAATTTCTAGAATTAGAAGGTTTATATGATAAAAAAGGAAGGAAGTAGGGCTTTTGGAGTGAGCCATGTAGAAACTATAGGTAATTTAAGTAATTTAATCTAGTATTCAACTTCAAGTAGTTTATGCAGGAAATTATCATAATGGGAAAAAATAAGGAAAGTGGAAATTAAAGAAGAAAAATTCAAAAGAATTTGTTACAATGTAATTCTAAGTTATATAAAGTGGTGGAGGAAATTATAGTGAATATGGTGTGAAAGAGGGCTAATGGATAGAATTATGCGATGAAATATTACCTTAATAAAATCAATTAATAATTGATATTGGCAAATATTAAGATGGACATAAGATGGGATGTTGGAAAAAATATATATATGAAGAATTCTTTTTTATAAAAAATAAACTAATGTTTGTATTTAGTTATTTTTAGTGGTGGAGGAGAATTTGAATTTGGAATTAAAAATGGGAAGTGGAAAGAGTTTCATTATAGTTTTAAAGAGTAATTATTGTTTATTAATAAAATAAATAGAGTATTTTTAGTCATTTTTGTTGGTTATTATAAAAATGGATTAAAGATTGGTAAATGGAATATTCATATAAAGGAAAATAATGAATAATAATTAACTATGTAAATAATTAATTTTATTATATTATAGAGGAGGCACTTATAATAATTTAGGTTAAAAGAATGGATATTGGAGTGAATTAAGTAATTGTTTTCATTAATCTCATTTCACTATTTTTAATGGATAGTATAAGAATGGAATAAAGTATGGAAAATGGACCATATAACATAAAATGAAACAAAGCAATTAAATTGAAATAATGTAATTGAATTTTAATACAATTCATAGAGGAGGCGGTGAATATGATGAACAAGGATTAAGGAATGAAGATTGGATTGAAATATTTTAAAATTATGATTAGTAAAATAATTATTGTATTAGATATGCTTAAATAACATTTAAAGGAAAATATATAAATGGATTAAAATAAGGATAATGGGATATATTGTATTAAAATAATAAAATGTGTATTTTTAATGTTAGAATTATTAGTGGTGGAGGTAATTATAATAATGATGGAGAAAAATAAGGAAAATGGACAGAAGTTCATGAAAATTTTAATCTTCAGGCATGCAATATTTTGTATGTAGGAAATTATATGTAAGGGAAAAAATAAGGATAATGGCAAATGATAATATAATCTAGAGAGGAATAAAAATAATAAATGTATGTGATCTTACTATAGAATAGTTGTGGTAGTTATGAATAAAATGGATTGAAAAGTGGAGAATGGATTGAAATCAACTAAAAATATGAATAATATAATGTTGTATATTAAAATGGTATTCAAAAGGATGTTGATGAATAATAATAATTTATTTAAATATGAATAATAGTTAAAGTATTTGATATATTTATTATTATATTTTAATTATTATAAAATTAATTAATTTAATTAAACGTATATTTTGTTCATAGTATTACAATTATAGATATTATTAAATTAAAGGGAGTTTTAAATTAATAATATATATATTTCAAACAGTTTTTGATGTTAAAAACATATGATATCAAATTTCATTATTACCTTATCAAAATCCTAACCCATATGAGTTGGAATCTTCTTCCTATTCTAAAGAAGATATTAATTTATAATTTGAAACACTTAAAGTGGATTTTAACAAATATAAATATTAAATATTATTAACTATTATCTTAACTTATTTGAATTACTATAGGAACATAAATTGCCTACATAAATTTGCCCATAAATACAATATCTAATGATTTTATTATTTTTTTTATAATTTTCCTTTTCTTCTAAAAGCTTTTCTAATAATTCATAAATTCTCACTAAAAATTATATAATAAGAGCATAAAGCAACAAAGATCCAACCAAATAATCATAAATTGCCAACTATTATTTCTTAGAAATATTAATTAATATATTACTCCTTTACCCATAATGATTTTTGTCTCCAATATTAAATATAATCCATAGATTACTAAATAATGCATATTAAAAGTATTCTAATACGAACAAAAATCTAATCAATGATTTTATAATGATCATTAACATGGCAGTGCTAATAATTATAATTGCACTATCTATTATTTAAAATTTTTAATACCTGTAGAAGATTCCTAAAATAAAAGCCATAAATATGCAATTTAAATCCAAAAAAAAATAATATATAGAATTAAAGCTATGTAATTATGAGGAGGCTATACTTAGTTATATATTTCTTACTTTTCTTTCAGTATATCCTCCAAAATAACATGTAAATTATAACATAAATGAAATAATTAAGAAATATAGAATAGCCTAGTAGGGGTAGGATGAATTATACAATATGCTCCTCCATTACTCTTACAATTAATTGATTTATAACGATCATACTTGCACTCAATTGGTCAAGGTAACAAAAAGTCGAAGTTAGTATTCACAAGCAAATTTAACAATTTTTTATATAGTCCTAATGCAATCATTCCAAAATTTATTAAAAACTCTATGGTCAATAATAGGTACACTCTCTTGAGAAAATCAACTCTAACTAAAACTTGTTAAAATTCAATGTATTCTTAAGAATATAAACATAGATAGATACATTAAAATTAAATATTCTAAGTTTTTTATTCTTATGTTTCAAATGGTAATGGAGTCTCATATTATTTTAAAGTATCCTTATTTAATACATAATTATCTTGGCTATATTTATTGTTAATTTTTTTAGATAATGAAAATATTAAGTTGGTATATCCATAAATAATAGATAAAAAAATTTATTAAACTCATTATTGTTAAAATGTAGAATTGGATATTGCGAATATTACAATACGATCATAAAATTCTGATGGTTGAGTTTAATTTTTTAGATAATTTGTAATTTTATTTTTAAAATTTGGATAATTTAGAACCCAATAGAACCAATTTTTGGACCATTTTATTTAATTTTTATATTCTTAACTAAGACTTCTGAAGTAAAATAAACAACTGAATAATAAATTTAATTCTATTACTGATTAACTAAAAAGTCTAAAGTAAAATAGAAATATAACTTAATTAATATCACGAGATTTAATGATTTTGCTTTAGATATTAATTTAATTTAAGATAACTATTTATTATGACTGTCCTAAATAAATGCTATTCAACTCAAAAAAATATTATCCTAAAACTTGAGCTTTTTATTTTATATTTATCATTCTAATATGATAAATGATATATTAGATTTATTTTTGTTTAGAAATTATTTTAAAATTTAATTTATGATTAATTCTGATTTAAGATTAATTGAACATCATTTTAGATGATAATAAAATAAAAATAATGGATTAGATCACTCTAATTTGGAATAAATTTCGAAATAACATTTAGAATGTATTTAAAAGTAAAAATGATGATATAGATAAGAGAATAACCTTAATTTTAAATTTTCTAATAAAAGAAGTTAATTTAAATCATAAAAGGAATGATCATAAAATTGAAAATTTAGTTTTTGTTCGAGCTTTTTAAATCAATATAGGATTAATTTAATGTGAATATTGCTTTTTATAGAATAAAAATAACCTCAATTATCAGTATTCCTTGAATCTTATTTAATTCTTAGAAGATGTTTTCTATTTTATAGATTAAATTTCTAGTTTATTTTCAAATGATTAGTAATATTAAGAAGAAAAAAATTACCATTAACTTAGAATCTATAATGTAATGAAGGAAACATTTGATACTAAATCAATAAACAAAGACATTATTTGGAAAATTAATAAATTTATTATGGAAATAGAATCTGCTTTGTTCTATCCTGAAGATTTTATAGACTATTTAGGAAATAGCCATTATTAAAGAATAAACAGAATTTAGATTAATTAAATAATTTAAAATATTAAGGATACATAACAACAAATTATACCATATAGGTCCTATATAAACTTATTGCCTAAAGTCACATATTTAAAAAAATTTCATTCTTAATCTGATTATATTTACTAATAAACAATTTCTACTTAGTTTCTTGCAATTTTAGGGACGAATAGTATTACAATTTATGATATAAAAAGTGGAATTAAATTCAGTACTATAAATGTAGGATATTAAAATAACAATATTTAATTATTTTAATTTACGAAAGATCAAAATTACTTGATTTTTGCATAAGATAAGCCTAAATACTATTTAATTTATAATATGAAAGAAAAGTAAATATAATAAATGTAGAATTCATAAGCATCATTTATTGAATGCATTAATTACAATAATTAAAACTACTTATTTTTTTATGATTAAAATTTCAAAATGAATAAATATCTTCTCATAGAACAATAAAGCTTTTTTGATTGTAAAATTTTCAAACAATTTTCATATTTAGATAATTCTACTAAAGTAGTCACGTTTTATAATTAAATTGAAAGAAAATGGAAAAACCTAACAAAACATTTTTTAGGAGGTAGAAATACTAAAAATATTTAAATTACCAAAAAATTTAAGCTTTTATAAATCAGAGCATCAAGAATGAATCATATATATTATACCTTGATATCAAATTCAAATAAATTGATAAGAAGGATTTCTTCTTAAGATTATTTTATTAAGGATATTTATTTTATATCTCAAGATGAAAGCTATATAATATCATCTAAGTTAACTTTTTATGAAATTTCCACTGGAAAAATAGCTTTCGAAATTAGACTAGATGTAGGTGAAGAGGTTTTAGATGTGAAAGTAGATGATGGGAAAATAGCAATTTTAACCTGGGATAACCTTTATATTTATGATGAAATTAATAAGAAATAATAAAAGAGATGATTTCTTGGAAAATATAATCTACATTTTATATAATATCGAATTTCAAAATTAATTATATTTTAAAATACATAAGAATTATAATATCTAGACTTTGCTCTATGGAATACTTAAATAGTATATAATTAAAATTTAGATTATAATAATAAATTTAAAATACATGAATACATTTGACATCACCATCTTTCTTAATTATTATAATATAATGAATTTTTATTAATTGATTTGACAAAAAATTTCTCTCTTCAATCTAAATCTTTATTTATTAATTATACTATCAATTACCTTTTTATGAAGTTAAATTTCTATCTGGGATTCCTCCATTTGTTCTTTGCAATATCTCAAACTACTTTGAGTACTATTTACACTTTATTACCAGGTTTAGATAAGACAGCTAGTATAATTAAAATTTTCTAATTAGGTTGGTTTATAAATGATTTTTATGGTTGCCAAATAAGTAATTGTAAAGAGTATGATATATTTGGAGAGTTTGGAGTTTTTGGTGAGACTAAATTACCTTCTTTAAATCTTAAACTTCTACGACATTATTCATTAAGAATTTCATTCAAATTTTGGAAGTATAACATAAATTTTAATTAGAATTGACTATTGGAATGTTGATCCTTTCTATTTAACAGAAGATAATGATGAATAGACAAGTCAATTGTTTGAGGGTTAAGGTAGCAATTTTTGTGGTAGTGGAGGGAGTCAGAACAAAGAGCTTCCTGTTCCTTTAATTGTTACAACAGAACCACAATCTCTAGTTTTTTAAATGACTTCAAATTTAGATGAGGATACATATTATGTATATATTTTTTAATTCTAGGAATCATATGGATTTCGAGATTTCATAATTGAAATTTTGGAATGTCCTGAAGGTTTTTTATTTTGCTAAGATTATATATCTGATTGGAAAATTTTGAATAATATTGCATCATATTGGCTAAACTCAATTAGCTCAGAGGGATGGCTGATTGATAATAATCAATAATTTAGTTCAAGTGGAAGTAATATTCTGCATTAAGGGCAAATTATGAAAAAATTCATTCAAAATGTTCCAAAACACTTCAAAATTAAGATAATTCTTAAACTTTGGGTAATGGGAGTTAAATAGAATTTAAATTTTATTTTTAAAATTGATGAGTAAGTTTAATTTATAAATATAAATGCTCTGTCTTAATAAAATATTGGATGTGTAAATTCTCAATTAGTAAATATCAATAATATAACCATAAATAATGATCATTCATCCCCTGAAATAAGATTAGAAATGTATACAGAAAATAATTAACCACAAAGTAGATTTTGGGTTGTTTAATCATTTGATTTATACGTAGCTTAATGTTCAATTGGTTGTGAAGATTGTAATGGAGGATTAGAAACTTAATGCAATAATTGTTTTAAAAAATGGGGATTTTTAGATGGTAAATGTATTCCTGGTATAAATTTATATATATCAATAAGCTCCTCCATTAGAATATACTAATATTAGAATCTATTAATCTTAAGGTTTAAAAGCAAATTTTATTAATTCATTTTAATTGTACATTGAGGAATTAGATCAAACAATTACTGAAATTGGTTAAAAAAAACTAATTATTGATAAGAGTATAACATTTTGCTCTTTTTTAATTTCAGTGGAATGTTAAGAAAAAATTAAAATTGAAAGCCTTTTTAGAAATTGCAATTAATGTGATAATGCTTAAATTTCTTTTTCAAATTATTGTCTTCATGAAAGTAACATTATTAATTTCAGTGTTATATTTGCAGATACTATTTAATCTGAAAAAGAATTAATAATTAATATTTCACAAACAAAATTAGAAATTCTATAGGTAATAATATCGAATGATATTGAAACAGAAGTACATATATTGAAAATTGAATTATGATTAATGATTTAATTTAGATTATGTTATAAATTATTGATTTTCTTAAAAATCGATTAATATTTATTCGAAAAACTTTATCATTAATTTGATTTAATAAAAATTGTACCATTAATCTATAGTTTCGTAGATTTATCATTACTTAATGAATTGAAGGAAAAACCATTATTTTTTTTTATGTTTTCATAAAATAGAGTGGCAAATACTTAAAACTTCTTGATATTTTTTCTATTTTTAAAAAGAATTGCTAGACTCAAATGAGAATATTACAAATTAAAAAATTAAAGTAGGTGTATTCCTAAAATGAGATAGCTTTAGATAAAATCTCAATAAATGAATAAACATCCTTTTTTAAAGTAAAACTAAATAAGAATTTTATTACAAAATTTGAAAAATATTAGTCAAAGAAAGTGCCATAAATGAAAAATTATATAACTTATATTTTTAATGAGTTCTAAATATTAGTTCATCACATGTCTGTATTTAAATTTCATATATTTACTTTCCTTCTAAAGTATTTTAGCAATATTATATTAATCATTATATTGTTAATAAATAAATTAATAATACAAAAACATATGTTATTTTACATATTTATTTATTTTCTATTTAAGATATTTGGGGATTTGAAATAATCTACAGAATTAGAAAAACTAATAATTCTTAGAAAATTGTATTATAATTTTTGAATTAACTTTGAGATAATATTTTAAAGAAAATAACAATGACAATAATCTAAATATAAAAATCCCAAACCAAATTTAGCATAAAAATCCCAAAATAAATTATTCTGAATAAATACATCAGAAGTAANTGATAAGAGTATAACATTTTGCTCTTTTTTAATTTCAGTGGAATGTTAAGAAAAAATTAAAATTGAAAGCCTTTTTAGAAATTGCAATTAATGTGATAATGCTTAAATTTCTTTTTCAAATTATTGTCTTCATGAAAGTAACATTATTAATTTCAGTGTTATATTTGCAGATACTATTTAATCTGAAAAAGAATTAATAATTAATATTTCACAAACAAAATTAGAAATTCTATAGGTAATAATATCGAATGATATTGAAACAGAAGTACATATATTGAAAATTGAATTATGATTAATGATTTAATTTAGATTATGTTATAAATTATTGATTTTCTTAAAAATCGATTAATATTTATTCGAAAAACTTTATCATTAATTTGATTTAATAAAAATTGTACCATTAATCTATAGTTTCGTAGATTTATCATTACTTAATGAATTGAAGGAAAAACCATTATTTTTTTTTATGTTTTCATAAAATAGAGTGGCAAATACTTAAAACTTCTTGATATTTTTTCTATTTTTAAAAAGAATTGCTAGACTCAAATGAGAATATTACAAATTAAAAAATTAAAGTAGGTGTATTCCTAAAATGAGATAGCTTTAGATAAAATCTCAATAAATGAATAAACATCCTTTTTTAAAGTAAAACTAAATAAGAATTTTATTACAAAATTTGAAAAATATTAGTCAAAGAAAGTGCCATAAATGAAAAATTATATAACTTATATTTTTAATGAGTTCTAAATATTAGTTCATCACATGTCTGTATTTAAATTTCATATATTTACTTTCCTTCTAAAGTATTTTAGCAATATTATATTAATCATTATATTGTTAATAAATAAATTAATAATACAAAAACATATGTTATTTTACATATTTATTTATTTTCTATTTAAGATATTTGGGGATTTGAAATAATCTACAGAATTAGAAAAACTAATAATTCTTAGAAAATTGTATTATAATTTTTGAATTAACTTTGAGATAATATTTTAAAGAAAATAACAATGACAATAATCTAAATATAAAAATCCCAAACCAAATTTAGCATAAAAATCCCAAAATAAATTATTCTGAATAAATACATCAGAAGTAAGGCATATATATCATACATTTACAGCTAATCTTTCAAAAATATATCAACCTTAAGCCAAGCAAATAGAACAGTATTACTTGTTTGATTTAATTAATGTTTTATCTATAAAATAATTTCATATTTCAAATGTGAAATTTATTATTAAAAATAGAATAAAATATTTTAATTAATTTTAATTTTGCATCTATTGATTTTAAAAGTATTTTCAATAAGCGATTTCTAATTTGGATACTAAGTTTTAGATTGTTCAGGACCACTTGTATAAGTAACTTTTCCAATACTCAATCTTCAATTAATTTTTTATAGTTATAGACATATCAAATACGAATAATTCGAGGCAAATAGGCTATCAAATCATTTTAGGTATAGATTATGCGATTGTTAATTTAGGACAATTTAATGCTATCAATAATGATTAAATAACTTTATCTATATTACCAGATAAATTTTTATAACTCCTTATAAAGGTTTTATTTTAACTCCAAGGTGTAAATATATATCAAGCTCAAGAAATAACAACGAATCCTAGAAATTTAGTTTATAAAATATATAAATAATCAGGAGATGGTCTATTTAGTGAAAATTTTTATAAAATAATTTGGTTTTCAAGACTTTTTCTAGTGTATTTTAATCTTTTTGATATAAGAAAATTAAAAAAAAATTATTTAGATTAAGACATCATTAAAGTACTTTGAAATAAAAGAAGATATATAGAATGTAACAAATACAGGTACTGTAAATAGGCTTTAAAATACATTACTCAATTCATATACCCTAAACTTTTAATATTATCTGCCTATGTAGAATTATAATAATTAAATATTATCAGAAATTGGTGAGATGAATAAAATGGAACTTACAATCTGTGAGATAAACATGATGATTGGATGAATTAAATGATACATTAATTTGAAAATTTTGTTAATATACAATTGAATGGTTCAAATATTTTATTGAAGTTTAATCTTCGGTTGCAAGGTTTATTTTCATCTACTTTACAGATATAACAATATATTCAAAAAAAATGTTGAGACTTCAAAAGTGTGCCATAAAAACAATTTGAGGGGACATATCAATCAATCATACTTTGAGAAATGGCCTCCAAAAAAATAATATTATAGAATAATAATCCTGATATTATGTCAGAGAATATAATAAAGAATAAACTTTAGAAGTTAGAAGAATTTCAATTACCCCTATTGCAATTGCTTATTGATTATTTTCATATCTAGTTCCTTAAAAGGACAAATAAATAAAAATATTATCTCACTTTAAAATTTTAAGCTCTATTTAGGCATCTCGGCCCAGATTTTAAGCAAACATTTTACAATTTTATATAAGATATATCACATTAACTCTAGCTATACTGAAGCCTCATTTGTAATAAAATCACCTTTTTGATTTGTGAAATATTTTATCAGATAAGTCATAAGATTATTATTAATTATCATGAACATTTTATAATTTTTATCCCACTCAAATTAAATATTTAATGGAATTCTTACCTGATCTGTCTGATAATTTACGAGAATAATAGCTCTGGCCACTTCTTTTAGTACTTGTTCAAATGATATAGAAAACAACTCTTAAAAATTCTTCTTCCATTACAGTATCTGGCACTTCAGCTCACCATGGTGTACTGAAAGGTAATGAGTAGAAAACTAAATCTCCCCAGCTTTGCTGTAAAAAGCTTGCCTTAGATTCTCCAAATTTATTTAATTTAATTCAAGTTCATCTAGTTTTTTATAGATGGCTTTATGAAAATAAAATTTCATCCAATTTCTATTGATTTCCAATTTTTATTTTCTTGTTCTCCTTCTTCAAGCCTTTAAAGGCCTTTATTTTCACTTTCTATCCTGCTCCATACAAGACTCTTTATTAATTAACTTATATTGTCTGGCATAGTCTTGATCCTTTACGAATAATGTAATTAATTCAATTTATAAAGAAACTTTGTAATATTAAGCTGTTTATTCAATTTATTTATATCAATCTCTAATTATATAACTTATACTCAATTTCATATTTTAAATAATTTTTTATTTAAAAATAATAATTTTTATTAATATTATTGTTTTTAACCCATAAAAAATCTTGATATATCATAACGAATGCTATTTGTATACTTATCTTGAAAAGTTATATAATTAAAAAATGTAAAATTATCTACATTAATAATTTGCAACACATTCAATTTGACTTTGTGGAAATCTTTGAAATACAACTTAAAAAGATTATTTAAAAATAAAAATGAATATAAAAAATTATTATTATTTTATCATCAACAACAACTTTAATTAATTTATTTTAGTATTTTAGTAATCATAACAGCATATTTATTCTATTACTAGAAAATAAAAATTTTTAAGAACTAAAAGAAGATTTTTAATATTTATTATAAATGAAGGATTAGAATTCTTTAATATAATAGGATCTATTTATTAATAATGATCATAATTCATTTTTGTTAGAGAAATGCAATTTTAAATTCAATTTTCCTCAGCTAAAAAAAATGATAGGATTTATGATAAAACTTATTTATAATATTATTTGAAATTTCAAGTATAAAATATAATCTTAATAACTAAGAGGGTTGATACTATATTGGAAATTTTGAAAAATAATTCAATAAGTAGTTTACTCTAAAAATTAAAACAAAATATTATGAACTAAATTTGAAACAAAATAAATTTATTTAACAAAACATTATTTTTAATTAATTACAATATAACCATAAATTGATACAATATATTAGCTCTATCAATTATTCAAAGATTTTATTGATTTAAATATCTAATATATAATCATAAATCATTTTTTATACAATAATAATTAAAATTTTTTAATTTTGGAATTATGATTCTCTAAAAGCGTAGAGCTTTATTAAACTGTTGAAGATGAGTTAATGCCTCGCCTTTAATTAATAAAATATAATACATTTTTCTTCATACCATTTTATTTAATATTTATTTTCATTAATCAATTAGTCCAGAAACATTATTAGTTCCTAAAATTTATGCTAATTTTTTAAAAAATCAACTAAAAATGTAGTAAATTTAAATTACTTTTTTGATCTAAATAATATTAATTGTGTTTATTATTTTAAATTCCTTCATTCCAGCATTCTATTACTTCATTAATTTATCCTTGATTATATAAAGCTTTGGCTTCAAATATAATTGAAAATAATTAAACCTTTTTCTTAATAAAAGATTGAATTATTTTTATTATTTTCTACTCCTATGGTCCAACATTCAATAACTTCTTGGTATCTCTCTTATTCAATTAAAGTTTAACCTAAATATTTAAATAGTTCTCTATTACTTGTTTTCTCATAAAAATAAATATCATTTATATTATTCTAAATTCCTTATTTCCAAACATCTATAATTTATCCCATTTATCCAACTTCATTTAACATCTTTGCTAAAGGAATTAAAAAGTTAAATACTAAGTTCTTCATAATAACTTCTATTTTAAGGATCAATTTTTATTAAAGTTTACCAAAAATTAAAAATTTCTTAAAATTTATTAAGATCTTTTAGAGCATTTGCTTAAAATAATTCTTATATTTGATTACCCTTTTCTTAATAAAAATAAAGATTCTGATCATTGTTTAAAATTCCCAATTCCCAACATTCTAACACTTCATTTATTTTACCTTCATGTTTTAATACTTTACCTAATTGAATGCTAAAATAAATTATTTACTCAATTCTTGATAAAAAAATTTGTTTATTTTATTATTTGTTATTCCTAAGTTCCATAATTTAATAACATCTTCATATTTTTCTTATTCTGTTAAACTTTTAGCTATACGATTAATTATATATATATGCCTTGTTATTCATAATAATATATATCGGAAGGGTTCTGTAAAATCATTTAATCCCAAAATTAAATAATTTCATCATATTTTCCTTATAGTTTTAATTCCCTCTCTAAATAATTTAATATCTACTAAAATTTACCCTTTGCTTAATAAAACAAATGATTATTTTTATTTTATTCTATTCCTTAATCCCAAAAATCTATGGCCTCTTATAGTTTACCAATTCTAACTAAAGTTTTAGCTACATGATTTAAAAAATTAATTACATTTTTATTAATAGAAGTTGATATCATTAATTTTAATCTTAATACTTTGATCCCACATATCTAGACATTCTGAAAATCTACTATATTATTCTAACACCTTTGCTTAAGATATTCTATTGTTAAGTTACCTTTTTCAATATAAAAGTTAATGTTATTGTTATTATATTTGATTCCTTCTTCCCATAATTCAAATATCTATTCAAAACTTTCTTATTCTTTTAAACAATCAGCTAATTTTATTATTTCTCATAAACCTTTCTTTTAATAGAACTAAATATTATTTGGTTCCTTTTAAATTTATTAATTCCAAAATTCAAGTACTTCTATTAAATTGGATTGTCTTCTTAATTCCTTAGCTAAAATTAATAGAAAAATTAAATTACCTTTTTCATTGTAAAACTCCATATTCCAATCATTCTTCAATATTCCTTCATCCCAAATATCAATTGCTTGTTTTAATAAACCTTTTCCTCGTAAAGCAGTTGCTAAAATTATAATATTATTTACCTTTATTTTGATATAGGTTCATATTATTTTAATACTTTTTAATTCCCTAATCACATAATTATATAGCATCATCCCATTTTCCTTATTCAATTAAGATTTAAGCTTTATAATATTTAATAAATTACAATTCTCAATGAAAGACTAACTATTATCTTAAACAATTAAAATAGGATCAAATTTGTGGTTATTAGCTATTTCTTCTTTCCATTATGCTTTTAATGCTTGATCTATAGAAATAACAATATAATCTACAATCTTCATCAGAGTGAATATTCTATTTTTTTAAGATAATTTATTCAAAGTCTTTATTGGTTTACTCCAATTAGTCTAGTAGATTAGATTAAAACCAACAAATACATTAAAAAGTATGACGATGATAATTTTCTTTTTTAAAAGCTGAATTTTCTTTATTATCTTTCATAATTTCAAATTTTTAAGAATATTAATAAATAATTTCATTTAATAGTAATTATATGATATGAATAAAATAATATTGAATATTATAAATAATTCATATATTATAATTCAATTATAATAATAAAGTAATATGAGTAGTAAATTTTTTAGTATATTTCAAAAATACTTTTATAATAGAATAGCAAAAATATAATATTACTTGAAACTGTAAAATAATGAGAAATACATTTTACTTTTAGTATAAATATTAAAACTTTAGATTTTGTTTTTTTATATAAATTTATTGATTTTAAATCATAATATTTTTAATTTCTTTTTAATTTTAAGTATATTTTTAGAAATATAACCAATATAATCACATATATCATATTAATTGGAACTTACATTTTTAATTTTGTTTAGTATTATTTAAAAACAAATAAATGCGATTATTAATATAAGTANGAACTAAATATTATTTGGTTCCTTTTAAATTTATTAATTCCAAAATTCAAGTACTTCTATTAAATTGGATTGTCTTCTTAATTCCTTAGCTAAAATTAATAGAAAAATTAAATTACCTTTTTCATTGTAAAACTCCATATTCCAATCATTCTTCAATATTCCTTCATCCCAAATATCAATTGCTTGTTTTAATAAACCTTTTCCTCGTAAAGCAGTTGCTAAAATTATAATATTATTTACCTTTATTTTGATATAGGTTCATATTATTTTAATACTTTTTAATTCCCTAATCACATAATTATATAGCATCATCCCATTTTCCTTATTCAATTAAGATTTAAGCTTTATAATATTTAATAAATTACAATTCTCAATGAAAGACTAACTATTATCTTAAACAATTAAAATAGGATCAAATTTGTGGTTATTAGCTATTTCTTCTTTCCATTATGCTTTTAATGCTTGATCTATAGAAATAACAATATAATCTACAATCTTCATCAGAGTGAATATTCTATTTTTTTAAGATAATTTATTCAAAGTCTTTATTGGTTTACTCCAATTAGTCTAGTAGATTAGATTAAAACCAACAAATACATTAAAAAGTATGACGATGATAATTTTCTTTTTTAAAAGCTGAATTTTCTTTATTATCTTTCATAATTTCAAATTTTTAAGAATATTAATAAATAATTTCATTTAATAGTAATTATATGATATGAATAAAATAATATTGAATATTATAAATAATTCATATATTATAATTCAATTATAATAATAAAGTAATATGAGTAGTAAATTTTTTAGTATATTTCAAAAATACTTTTATAATAGAATAGCAAAAATATAATATTACTTGAAACTGTAAAATAATGAGAAATACATTTTACTTTTAGTATAAATATTAAAACTTTAGATTTTGTTTTTTTATATAAATTTATTGATTTTAAATCATAATATTTTTAATTTCTTTTTAATTTTAAGTATATTTTTAGAAATATAACCAATATAATCACATATATCATATTAATTGGAACTTACATTTTTAATTTTGTTTAGTATTATTTAAAAACAAATAAATGCGATTATTAATATAAGTAATATCAAAATTCACTATATTGCATCATTATTTTTTTCTAATTATACAAAGCTATGGTTTAGTTTTCATATTTTTCTTATTAATACACTAAGAGGCCAAATCTTTTGTAATTCAATTTAATTTAAAGCATTTTTAAATTATGAAATTTTAAAGCATTAAAGATTTATCATTAGATTTTGATAATTCACACACAATTTTTTTAAGATTTATAAATTTTGAAAACCTTTGTACAAATAAATCACTTGATTTCAGACCTTTCTCAGATTCTTTTATTTGATTATTATGGTTTTATTAATATTTCATGATTTATAGCCAAGATTAAATCTGATACAAGAATTTAAAGCTTCAATGAATAATTAAAATCGTTATTTAATATACTTATTTTAACTTAAATAGAAATGGAAATAATTAGAAAAAAATATAAAATTTTTGTTCTCCTTGCGGAATCGTATAATAGTAAACTAGAGATATATGAGCAAAAAATAGAAATTTTAATAATTTAGTTAAAGTAAAAACTAAATTATAAACCTTCTTTTTATTTAATCAGAAAAATAGATGAGTAAGATATGAATAATATATTTGAATTTATTTCACAGATTAAGTTTACCATGGTTGGTAATCGAGAATTACAATTATATTTAAATTATAAAAAAGTGTGCTGTAATATTTACACATTATATTGCAGTAGTATCTAAAACCTTTTAAAAAAGCAAAACTTTGTATAAAAAAATTCAAAAACATTATGATGACTTTTAAAAAGAATCTTGAAAAACTGAATCATACCAACTTTTAGCTCAAAAACCAGGACTATAGAATTAAATTAAGAATACTGTTCAATAAACTTAGATTTATGTTTATATTAAATTAGTAAATTATAGATGAATTTTCGATAAATCATTTCAAGATTTCAACTTTACACTTTCCTTCCATATGTATGCATGGATATAAATCCATTGAAGTATCAATCTCAAGAATCTAATTTTCAAATATATATATACAAAAGATTGGTTTGTTTATTATTTCGTCCACTTAATATATTTTTTTTAGATATCTACTTCTACTTCTATTATGTCATTCACACTATATGGGAATGCAATCTTTGTCCCATTTTTATCTTATTAATTGTGATTCCAACAATTACCACAATATCTTATACTGTAAGTTCTAAGCTTAATAAGAAATAAGAAATTACCCTTTGCCAATACTATAATTACCTTGATAATTAGTATTTTAAATCATTTCTTTATAACCTATTCCAATCATGATGTTAGACAATTCAATTATTTTAAATCTAAATCTTGTAACTCCTTATTTTGGGATCATTTAATCGCATAAGCAACAACCATAATTGTAAGTTGTTGTAGTAGTGCATTCAAGTATTTTTGCATTTTATGATATCATAAAATCTTTATGTTTGAATGTCTATGAAAATGTCAAACAAGAAGAAAATTATAATCCATCATTAATTTTATCTTTTTCTTTTTATTTATCTTTTAATTGTTATTCTAGTTTTATAATTTAAAGGGAATCTAAAAATATATGGATAAGAATACATTCTTCTTTTGATTTCTCAAGATTCTTTGTAATTTTCTCTTTCTCTCGTTTCATAATCTCAATTTCCATGGAAATCAATTCATTTTCTGCTTTTTTAAGTTTTAATTCATCTTCTAATTAATCAACTGAGAGTAGTCTTTTTATTAAAATAGTATCCTATTTAAATTATTATATTTAATCATTAGAATTAGAATCTACTATAATTTTATTGTTTTCTATTTATTAATCTCTATTTTTTGGTATCATACTCTTTTAATTTCCTTAGTTAGATAAATTATTAATTGAATTAACAATTTCATTATATTAGTTTATAGCTTAATTAAAAATACTGTTATAAATATTGAACTGTCTAATCTTACCAATAAGTTAAACGATTTCTTAATCATTTGAACATGAGTTTTCAGTTGAAGTTACTTGGTCAAAATTAATAATTGAGCTACCAAATTCAGACTCATCTAATTATACTATTAATATAATATAATTTCATTACCATTTTCATTATTATTAGAGATTTTAATCAATTTTTCTTCTTATTAAATTAAATTATTTAACTTTGATATTAATTATTATTAAAATTATGTATAATCTTTATCTGTATTTTCTTATATAGTTTTAAGAGAATGATGCTAATCCTTCAAACTTAGAATATTAACAATTTATTAGATTGATTTTTCATCTAATTGTAAAAAGACACTTATGTCCATTTATTTAATTTATTATGGATCTTCAATAACTTAATTAAGTTAATCATTTAAAGATTATATAATATCAGTTAGTATCTTTTAATATTATTATTTTAATTGTTAAATAAATTTAATAGCTGTTTTTATTTTAAATTCTCTTTATCTTTAATATTTTGATTTCATTTCATCTTGTTATTCTACAAATTCATTCCATCTCTTACTTGTTTCATTTAATGTAACATATTAAATAGGAACCTCTTAAATACATTAAATACAAGCCAATCTATTCAAATTTTCATTATTTTATATTTAATTTAAATTAACAGATATAATTTAATAGTTATGTTTAGAACATAATTAATTTAAAGATGGTGTTTTCTAAATAATAATATTAATTTACATATTCTTCAATTTATTTATTTTTTGTATCTTAATTAATTGATAATTATTTTTCAATATTTTCAATTAATTAATTGATTTAATTAAAATGTTAAGAACTTTATAATTATATTAATGATTCCTTTATTGAATCAAAAAACTAAGATAATTTACTCTTATCTATATTTTAAACAGGCATATTGAACTCTTCATTTTCTTTATAATTTGTTGATAGAATTTGAATATCTTCTTCTAAATCTACAGTTTATATTTATGAATCTGTTGTTTCTAATTCATTTTAATTTTCAATTATTTAATGTTCAATACTATCCGATAATTTACTTAATGTATTCTTGATAAGCCCCTCAAATTATGCAGTTGAATTTTAGAGTTATTTCAAATTCTAAAGTTTAATTTTATTCAATTCTGATTTTTTTTCATCTGATTTATTCTTCATGTCCTTAATCATTTACATAGCCTTATCATAAAGAACAATGCTTTTTGTTCCAATCATATCAAGAAAGCATTTTGCACATAGGAATTTTTTATTACAAGAGATATTTAAATCTACAGCAATAATCTCATAATTATCATGCATTTAACAAAATCTCTTGGAAATCTCATCTGGAATTTTAGTTTCCATTTCTATTATTTATAATAATAATTAATCAAAATTATATGTATAAATATATATAAAAAATGATAGAATTATAATAATTACTTAAGTATTATTTATGAATTAATATCTCTTTATATAATTCTATAAATAATTTAAAATAAAAATAGATAAATTAATATATTTCATAAAATAAACTTAATCTCTAGTATTTAATAAATAATTAACAATAGTGTTAAACATATTATTATGGAAGATGCCAATTTTATTATTTTTCATTATTTATAATAAATATATATCAAAATTGGTATTTCAATTTATAGAATTGATTATTTACATTATATAAACATGTGGTGTTGAATGTTTTTCAATATAATTAAATTATGATCCAATAATAATAAACCTAATAAAATAACTAATCAAAATACTTAAATCATAACCTTCTGTTTTCAAAAAGCTAGAAATATCCTAACCATAATTTTGCATAAGCCATCAACAACAATAATACCATGTTAGTTTTGGGATCTAATCTTGTTTGCAAAATAATTTATTTAAAAAATGAATTAAAATAATTGCAAAATAAGCTAAAATACATAAAATTTAATTTCTACTCTAAATTTCATTAAATCAAGATCATAATCCATTTCTGGTTCCTATGATTCATCAATAATTATTCAGCCCACAAACCTTTTATAAAATCTCAAATATATTTCAAAACTATTATGGGATATTAAAGGTATTTCATGTTTAGTTGTGAATCCTAATACAGAATAACTTATTATAAGTGGATCTGTTGATAAGACACTTAAATTATGGTCTTATTCATCATCATCATCTAGTTGGTCTTGTTCATAAACTTTTAATACATAATGATTAAGAATTTGGATTATCCCATAAATCAAGATGGAACAAAATTAGTTACTTGTGGTAGAGATTAATAAATTTTGTTAATGGAAAGATCTAATCGATAATTGTGGTATGTTATACAAAAGATTTCTTAGAATGGTTATCGTATTATATTTACAATTCTATACAATCGATCATTCCACTGAACTATATATAAAATCAAAGGAACTGCAAGTTTAAGGAGAAGTATAAGAATGCTAGTATTATTTTACCTAAATATATCTTCCAGATAACTTCTACTTTCCAAAAATGGCCATTTTGTAAATTTACTGTAATTAAATTTTGATTCTGAAAATTGGGATTGCATATTTATAGAAGGTATTGAGTTTGATTAAGGTGGAAATTTTGGAAACATTTTTGGGACAATGAGTTATGATGGAGAATATTTAATAACTTGGGATTGTATGTCTGATAATATAGTGATAGGATAATTTACTATAAAAATGATCAATAAATTATTAATTGAAATTTTATGTATATTTAAATCATATTAATTAATATTATTACTATAAATAATTATTGTATTCTTAGAATAATTATATCTAATTTGAATTATTGAAATTGAGTAAAACGAATACTATTTAAATTATCATTAGAATTAAGTATATCTATTAAAAAGTAAAAATAAATCATTAAATATTTTAAAATTAATCAGGAAGTAAATTATAGTGTAAATATGGAAGAATATACATATATTCCAAAAATAAAGAAATATATTTGGTTTTATAAATAATATTTATAGTGAACATTTTCTTCTTACATTCCTTCTCAAATTATTAATATTTAGATAAATTAAAATATGAAGAATAATATAAGACTCTTAAAGGTATTAATAATTTAAATCAGAATATTACTATTATTAATTCTTATGGAATACTGTTTACAGAAATAGAAAATGGCCTATTGTATCATTTATAAAGGAAAATTAAACTCAATTAAATATATAAAAATTATACATAATTGTCAATTGTACGTATTTAATCTTAATTTTTACTAATCAGAAATAACCCATCATTATTAATGTCTATTTTAATTTTGTACTTAGAAGAATATAAACAATTGATATTTATCAATTTAGTAGTAGTTTGAATAATTCTTAATTTCGTTTATTTTAATAACTCAAAAAAATCAAATTCTAATTTATTTATAAGCAACAATTCTATAGTTCTTTAAATTTGATTTTGATTGTTGAATTGTCTAATAGTAATTTAAAAATTTCAACTCTTTATTTAATAATTATTGTACATTTTTTGCATTTAGTTTATTTAATTAAATTAACCATTCTCATACACTTATATCTATTTATTTGCTATTCTCTTAATACATTCATTTCTGATATTATGATCTTAAAAAAAAATAATCTTTATAAATTGAATTATAATAATGACAATATTTACAATATTTTTCGATATCAATATTCAAAATTAATTGTTACCTTATAAGATAAAAATCATTTTTTAATATATTTAACATTAATTTTTTATAATTTGTATAATTTAAGTAAGGGATTAATAAATATAATCGAAAATAGTTATTTAAGAGATATTAAACAATAATTAAATATAGTATTATAGTAGTGAATAAAACATAATTCTTAGATTATTATAAGATATTTATATTTGTGCATGAAAATGGTATTTATTTCCCTAATATTTGGTAGAGTATATTAAAATATTGAAATTATAATATGTTTATAAAGTAGGATTTATTGTTCAAAATCTACCAAAAATTTATCAAGGATTAAAAACTTTTTGAAATTATTAGAATTCTATTTTATAGTTTTTCATCAAAAATTACAAGCGGTTTAATTAAAAACATAAATAGTTTTCGTTATTTTTTTAGCAAATACTCATTTAAAGGAAGCAACCAAAAAAACTAGATATTAGAATAAATAGATTCATCTTTAAAATCTATTGAATATAATTAGATTAAAAATTCCACTTAGATTGACATTGTGATATTTCAAAAGGTGGATAATTCGATACCTAATTTTATTAACATTATAAGTTTATGTTATCTTATAATCTCATATGAAATTCAAATCCTCCTATTTAAAAGGTTCCTATTTCACACCATTTTTATACTCCTCTAAACACAATCGGAATATTTCTTTTGAAATAAAAAAAAATTTAACCTGTAAAAATGCTCATATAGTTCAACCCATATGCCAGTTTTTAATCCTGTTGCCTCATCATAACTTCCTCCTCCACTAAATATTAAATAATTTTGTTTATTACATCTTGACTTCATCTTTTTATCTTTAATGTAAAGTGTCCCAAGATCCGTATTTTTTCCCATTTTTGTATTTTCCAACATACTTAACTTAGCATCCCCTAAAAAGACATTAATATAATTATTTACCTCCAAAAGTTTTCATCAAGTTCTAACCAATCTCCATTTTTTAATCCATTTTCTTCATCATAATTACCACTTCCACTAATGAATTACATTTAATGATTTACATTATAGCCTGATCAGATTGCATCACTGTATTTAATTCAAAGTATTTAGTTACCCATTTTCCAATTTTTATACCATTCTTATATGATCCATAATAACCAATTGGGAGATGTCTATTTAAATTTAAAAAGTTAATGCAATAAGTTAATTTAATACCTATCAAAGTTTTCATGTATCTCAATCCATTATCCATTTTTTTACCCAGTTTCTTCATCGTATTTACCACCTCCACTAATTTAAAAATTTTAAATTTACAAATCTGTATTAGAATCAATTGATAACGTCTACCAATATCCAGTTTTTTTTCCATTCTTATATTCTCCATGATATATAATTTAACATGAGCTTTATTAAAATAATATTCTATATTACTTGCTGAAATTTTCAAATAATTCAGTTTACTTTCCAATCTCTTAACCACTTTCTTAATCATAACTATTTAAACCACTTTAAGATCTAAATATTTATATACATAATCTTTAAGTTCTTTCTACCTGCTGATTCAACCTAAATCTCCCATATACCAATTTTTTTTCCATTATTGTATTAACCAACAAATTTGATTTCACAAAACCTTTCCTCATTAAATTTATTATGTGGTTAAATCCAATTTCCGATTTTTAAACCATTTTCTTCATCAAAATTACCTCCCCCACTTATATAAATTTAGATTTTACATAGTCTTATCATTATCCAAATTCATGATTGTCCATTACCCAATTTTTTTTCCATCTCTATATTCTCCAGCATAAACAATTTATGAGCATCTAGAAAGAAAAAATATACAAAGCTTTTTACTAATCAAAATCCTCATTCAATTCTTTCCACATTCCTATTTTTTCCCCTGTATTCTCTTTGTATTGACCTCCACCGCTATTAATTAAAATTAAATAAATCTATACATAATTTTAGGGTCTGACATCATCTATTTTATTTCAATTTTCCATTTTCCTACTTTTTTTCCAATCTTATATTCACCTCTATATGTTATTTATTATCCCCTAAAATAATAATAATATAACTATCAAATACTCCCAATAGTTTTCATGCAAATCAACCCATATTCCTTCCTTTTATCCAAAATCATTATAATTGCCTCCTGCTTCTAATACATTTTCATTCCACACTGGAGTCCAATTACCAATTTTTTAATTTTGTTTTCCATATTATCCTTCCCATCTTAAATGCTTCAATTATTCTAAGTTAAAAATCGTCTCCATTTCATTTTAATTTGATATTACTTCTCTATTGTTATTAATTAATATTAACCTTTTTAGAATTTCCCCATCTTTTAAATGTAATACTTCGCCTTAATCGGATACTTTAAGATTTATTTTTGTCTTTTTGTATGACATCACTTATTAAAAATTGTAATATATCTATTTTGCTAATATTACGATCTCCTTATTTGTATTTAACTCACTTAAATAAATTTTATTTTGCATATATATTTATTTAATTTATTTGAATTTTTTCATTTTAAAGTATTTTTTGTTGAAGATTGCTCATTCCATAAAAGTCTAATTTTTTACAATTTTTTAATTTAGTTTAATCATAATTATTTTGAAATTATAAAGTCTTGGATTTTATAAAAATAGATTGTTTGTTATTAAATGATTTTGATTTCATTTCTAATTTAAATGAAAAATAAATTATTTTAGGCTTAAACTTACTTATATCTTCTATTCACTATTAATTGATTTTTTTCAACCATTATTTTCTTTATTACTGGATAAAAATTTTAACTCTATTAAGATGTTTATTTATTCAATTAATTTGACATTATGTATGAAAAATGAAATTCTTTTTATTCCAAAGCATATTCATTGCTAAATCATTAGAATTATTGTTTAACTTCTGTTGATGAAGCATAATTATTTTTTTCATCTTAGAAAAAGGAAATTTAACCATTCTTATAAATAAGGTTAAAGTTAATATGATTGGAGAAAAAAAATTTTATAAATATGAAATATTTTCACAAACTTTAATTAATAAGTGAAAAGTTATGATTCTAAAATTTCAATTTATAGACTGCTTTTTTTATCCTTAATTTAATTGGACAGTTTACTCCAAATTCAACTTTCCAAAAATCTAACCTATCTAAATAAATTAAATTATATTTTTAAGTTACCAAAATTATTAGATATCTCTATAGTATAAAACCAATTTATTTAAATATAAGGCTTTTTACTTAGTTTTTAAAATTTGTTTATTCTAAATATCCATCAAACTTAGTATATAATAATATCTTATATATCATTTCAATTCCTTCTTTTCTTACTTATCTCTCATTGTAATAATCGATTTTATTATTTCTAAAAAATCGATTATTTCCAAGTAATTAAGAATAAATTTTGTGAAATCAGTTCATTTTTTTAACTTTTTGGATTTTATCTTCATTAATTTTCTTGCGGAAAATTTAAAAAATTCCAAATTTAAGAATTTTTTTTTTATTAGCCTATTTAAAAATAATTATAAAACTATAAAAGATAATTCTGTTTCATTATTATTTACCATCATTTACAACTCTTCTAATGTAGATAAAAAATTATTAAATAATTTATTTGACCAATAAACATTATATCTATATTTTATATGATAACAACATTAGAAAACAAAGATTATTTTTAATAATAACTCTTGATTAATTTTATTGGAATAAGAATCAAATAGCATGAAATTTTTGAAGTTAATATATTTAATTTTATTTCAATAATATAATGTTTTGCTTTTAGATTATTTAGTATTAATTTAATCCTTTGATTTCTTAAGATTTTTGAATTTAGTCTAATTTTGATGATTTTCAACAATTTAATAAATACATTCATCTTCTTCATTTTCGTTTTCTTATATAGTCGACATTCTTGCCTAGGATAAATCCATTGATAATTAGTTGTTAGTAGTATCAGATGGAATATCAGATTATTGTTAGAGTTAAGGATCAAAAACTTTAATATTATCAAGACTATCTAAAACATTTTGTTCATTAAATAATTCAATGGGAGATCCTTCTTGTTGGTTTTTATTATTATTTGAAGAAGAACATTTCGATAGTTTTGAATTTTACAAACTTGATTACAAGCTCTTAATATATTTCATTTAAATATTTGTTATATCATTTAAAGGGTAATGTGATTAAGTTTAATAATCCTTATCAATTAGGTAATTATTTTTAATTATTTTAATATTTTGATCTAAATTGTGAGTTTGATTATCAGATAGTAATGGTTTATGGCTTTAGGAATGATTAATAATTAAATTTTCAGTACCATTGAAACTTGAAGTTTAAAGTTTTTCAGTAATAAGTTTACTATTAGTGATATTTATTTAAAATATTTAAGCTCGAAGCTTTTCTATATGTTTATTAGTCTATTCTAATTCAGTTTTATATGTATTTTATAATCTATTGGAGAGATCTTTAATTTATTTATTAATAAAATTAGAAAGATTTTCTTCTAATTAAGTTTGCAATTATAAAAATTAGGATGCTGTATTTTATTGTTATTAGGTTTAGTTTAAAATAATTTATTACAAAAATTCTATTTATTTATTTTAATGATCTAATACTTTGAATATTTCTGACTTTTAGGTCTTATATATGTTATCAATATATGAGTAGACTTAATTAATTTCACTTTTCTAGATTAAAGATTAGGTATGATGTTAAAATAATGATTCATTTTAGTATTGATTGAATATTTAATCTTTGGATTGATTGGATTAACTACTTTCTCTTTCTTTGGATATTTTTCTGGAATTATTTTCATATGAGCTATAAGTATTTTATTTATGATGATTTTATGATATGATCTAAACATAAGGTGGTATGTTATTAGTGGGAGTGATTTATTTTAGTTATAATTTAATTTAATTTTATTCTAAATTGAATTATGAATTATTACATTACACATTAACATTTCTATAAAGTGGACTAGATGATGCAGGAGATAACCTTCTTGGTTAATACATTCAGGTAAATAATTAATTTTAATTTTGAAAAATAATTGTTAAAAATTAAATTATGAAATAATTATATTATAAGTATATTAAAATAGGATGCTAACAGAAGTTTAAGATAATTGAAAATGATAAAGAACATTTTTTAACAAAATTAGAAATAATTAAATTAAAGTAAATAAAAATGATGATTATTATTTCTTAAAGACTTTGATTAATTTTCTTGAATAATTAAATACTAGAATTTTTTATTACAGATTTTATTACGTAATTATGAATGTTGTATTAATTATTTTAAGAAAAATATATTTATTATAATAATTTATTAAATATTTGATGCTTGTGCATGAAGAAATTGAATAAAATGAATCTGCTGAGTTGAAATAGTTGACATATGACGAAGCACTAACTCAAGTTGGAGGTGCTGGTTTATATTAAAAAAGAGCATTTTTAATATTTGGCTTATAGTGGATGATTACTAAGTATTTTACAGAATTCCATATTTTAGTTGGATACTTTTTTCACCAGTTTTCTTTTTTATAGTACCTACCGTTGATTGTAAGAATAATGCAGAATGTTTAAGTTAATGTACATCTGAATCTTTAGATGATAAGTGTCTAACCTATGTTTGTGTATATTATTTTGATGAATGTAGGACGATTCATAACGTAGAGAATTTGTTGTTGGAGAATCATTAAATACAGCTTTTAACGCTTTGTTACCTTGTAATAAATCTTTGCAATCTATAATTAAATCTATTGTTTATATTGGATCTTTGTCTGGATTTTTTTTATTTTCATTTATTGCTGATAATTATGGTCGTAAATTAGCTTTATCTATTTCTTGGGGCATGACTACAATTGGATCACTCTTACTAGCAGTATATTATTAAATTTTATATAAGTTTGCCATAAATTATTCAATGATAGCTATAGGAATATTTTTTTTAGGTTTTGGAGGTAACCCAGCAATTACAGTACATTATTCATTTATTAATGAACATTCATGTAAATTATTAAATATATAATATAAAGAGGGTCATTTTAGAGAGATCTAGAATGTTGGAGTATAAGTATTTTTTGCCCTTGGTGAATTCACAATAATAACTTTAGCATATTTTATCACTAAGTGGAGATGGTTAGCAATTTCAGTTGCATTGCCTACTATTCTATTAAATTTTTGTAATTTTTTGATTTTTGAATCTCCTCAATTTTTATACTCAAAAAATAAGAAGAAATGTGTCAAAGTTCTTAATTAGATAGCCAAAATAAATGGTACACAACCTCTAAGAATAAATGAATTAGCTTCTAATCCATAAAGTAAAGAGAATAACTCTAGAGTTTATACAATCTGGGATTTATTGAAATATAAATCTTTAAGATATGTATTTATTGCTGGAGTGATGATGTTTTTTGCTATTTAAGTTACATATTATGGAATTAGTTTTGTTAGTGATTAATTAGGCCTAGATTTCTTTCTAAGCAATTTCATTATTGCTTTCTTTGAACTATTAGCTTATGCTACAACAGGTATCATATGTTCTTATATTCAGATTTTTTTATTACAAAATTAAATAGAAAGAAGAATATTATAGGTGGTTTTTTTATTGTAGGAATTATGAGTCTCTATTTCATTTTCAAAAGTGATCATATTGTATTTAGAATCTTTTAAGGAGTATTGGCAGGAGTACAATTTTAATATCAAAAACTTAGTTAATGAGATTTCTAATCTGTTTTGTTTGGGCATTGGCATATGTTTATGTTTCTGAATTGTTTCCCTCTGTAGTTAGATCTTTAGCTTTATGTTTGATATCAGCTGGTGGTTCAATTGGTAGCATAGCTCAAGCATTTTTAATAAATGTTTGTGCTTCTATAAATATTCATCCTATGGTTGCATTTGGATTAATTGGATTTTTGTGTTCTTTGCTTCTGTTTCCACTTAGAGAGACTTTACATCAACCTTTATTGGAAAAGATAGAAGAGGATGAGAAAAGAATTAAAAAGAGTATGCTACATGTAAATGAATCAGAGGAAATCACAACATCTATTCCTGTTCTTGGTAATAAAGAATAATGATTATTTATTAATTCTATTTGTTTAGTATTAAATAATGAATATTTAATATTTTCAATATTTTCTATTTTTTATATCTCCTAGAATATTATTTGTTCTAAATTATTGAGATCTTGTCATTTAACCTCCAAAACTTGGACTTGGTAATGGTTTAGATTGTTCTAAACTTGTGGATGCTGATCTATACTTTTGATATTTCATTTAAGAGAGTTAAATATTAGATGGTAGAGAATGCATTAGATTTTAAAATGTAGGTTACAATAAGCTACTACTAGGTTCATATTTATTGTTTCTTTATTCTTTGAGAATATGCTAATCAAACACATTTTTTAAGTATTCCTTTTTTGAGTTCATTAATTTAATAACTATTTTTATTATTTAATTAATGTCTGAATTAAAATTTAAATTAATAAAAAATTCTGTTAAATAGTTAATAAATATTATAATTCAAAGAAATGAATGACAATGTATAAAATAGAGTAACAGGGATTTTTGAGAAATTAAACAATATTTAGAATCAAGTATAAGATGAGTATGAATTAATTCTCATTAATAAATTATAGAAAAAATAACAGATTTTCAATTATTGCTTAGTTGATAGCCCAATTTGAATCTAATTTAAGAAATGCATCTTAATAAAAAGAAGCAATATTTAGTTAATTGGCAAATAAATTTAAAGAATTACAAGGATTCTTGGAAATTGAAAATGATAAGTATTAATAATTTGAAAATTAGTCGAGTGAGATAAGAATAAGAAACATAAAAAATGATTGTTGATTTAGAAAGACATGCAAAAAGATTATTAGAAACTAGTTAAAAAGAAAGAGTAGATTAAGAAAAGAAATTAACTTATGCAATTAGTTAATAAATAGATTTCATTACTTAAGATGTTAATAGATAAGGTGTTGAACTTTAAGAATCACATAAATATGTGGATATTTATTTAAATGAAGATTTACCTAAAATTGCTGATGATCTTTAAAATGAAATTGATGAAAGAAGAGAAGTTGAAGAAAGGATATACCATCAATTTATGGAATAAATCTCAGATCTAAGAGAATTATTTGATAGGTATTAATTAAATTATAATTTATTATAGAGAAAGAAAAGAAAGAGAAGCAAAAGAAGAAGACATAGTTGAAAGTTTAAGAGAAGTTTAATTTAGAATTACAGAATTATTGAAAAGAAATAGAAAAGATAGAGAAACTACTGAATAAGAAATGGTATCTTTAGTTGAGACTGTTATTGAAAAAATTAAAATTGAAATGTTAGAAATGAATATGTGAAATTTATTCATTGAATAAATGATATATTCTTTAATATCTATCAATAAAATCATCTTCCTGACCATGAAGCAACTTATTTCTTGAACATGATGATAACTTCATCCAATATAGCATTCTCTTCATTTCTCTTTGCCTTTGCTTCTTCATAATCAGCTCTCTTTGCTTCTAAATCAGCTTATGCTTAATCTAAGGCATCTTATGATTCTTATAATATAATCTTTGATTTAGCTTATTAGGCCAAAGCAGCTTGGATTTACTAATTTAATTAATAATCTATACAGTAGCAGTTCTATCAGCAAATACTTATTTTCTTTCATATTCTACTTCCAAACTTGTGATTTCAGCTTCAGATAATGAAACCCATCCAGCTAATTCCCAAGATGCATTAATTTCATTTTATTTCAAATTCTCCAATGATGCTTCTAATTCATTTTGTAATCCTTCAAGAACAGCCAAAACTTTTTCAGCCAATGTTGATCCATTTCCAGATGATTATTCCTTTAATATTTCAATAATTTACTTATTATTCTTAAGCTAATGCTAAGAATGATTTGATTTGATGTTCTTAAAACAAATTGCTATATTATTTTAATTTTTCAGCAACTGATTAAGCTTTAACTTATGTAAATTCAAATGAATCTCCATTTATAATATAACCAGCAACATCTTATTTAAGAAGTTTGATAACTTCGAGAGCTTCTTAATTGTGTTTAATTGATTTCACAAATAATTGATTGCTGAAACATTAATTATCTTGTAATGTTTCAATTTTAGCTGCAATAGAATCTCTTCTAGCTTCATTCCAAGCCAAATAATTTTTGGTTTATTATAAGACTTATTCATATTCAGCTCTATTTTCAACGGCTTGTTAGAATAATTTTTAATTCAAGGTTTTGATTTTGGTGAATTATTCAATTGTTCTAATATTTAATTATTTATATATACTAAGCACCAATCCATTCATCTGTTTCATTCTTTTAATCTGCAGCAAATTAAGCATCAATATTTGATTATTTCAAATCATTTAACAATCCAAATACTGTATCAATAGCATCACTTGCTTTTGTTCCAGTCTATTTGAATAAATGATTTCAACTTACTTATAAAAGTGCTAAGATTTGATCTTAAGTTTTTGAAGCATAGCTTGTAGCTGCTAAGGCAAACAATACAACTATCATGTATTTCATTTCTGATAAACTTAATATTAAAAAACGATTAATATTAAAAACGAATTAATTTTAAAATCTATAATTATATACATATTCAATAATATAATTCATATAATATTTATTTACTCATAAGAATTTACAATAATCATTTATACGTAATATAAAAAATATCTACCTTTGTAAATAAATAGTAATTGATAAACATTATTTATAAATTAGAGATTGATTGTCTTCTGTTTCCTGTTTAAATCAAAAATAGTTCTCATTTTAGAATAAATGTTGTAAGAATTATAAATGGCTAAATACTTTATTATTTTAAATATCAAGTTTAAATAGGCTATAATTCTTAACAGAAACTTATTAAAGTTGAAGTCAACTTAAAAAGAATATTTAAATTAATATTTCATTTCGTATTTTTTGTTATTTTATATTTATAATTATTACTCCGTCATCAATGTTTACCTAACAACTTATATTTCAAGTAATATATAAATTGAAAACATTCAAAATAACGAGAAATTAATTTATAAAATAAAACACTAAATCTTGATTAACTATTATAATGAATCAAAAAGACCTATATCTAATTAAAGGGTTAAACTTTCCTAAAGACAGGAAGTCATAAATTTATATTATTTCAGAGTCTTGGGGATTGAAGCTATTAGTATTACTTCCTTAAATATTTAGGACTCATTAAATTTAGCTTTCAAATTATTGGTATAATGGAGCGATGAGAGTGCAATTATGGATTGGAATGATTATTTAGAAGGAACTTGTTCAAATGAATTTTACTTTAGACTCTTTTACTAGGGTTAAGAATACCATATAGAAGGGTCTAGGGAGTAACTAGATTTGTTGTATGACTTTTGTTCTGGTAAATTCATTTTTAAGAAAAGTAATATCTTTAAATTGAATTCTGTCATGCAGGCCAATTCATAATATGAAGTATATATAATATTAAGTTAAGATGTCTGTAGTAACAAATCACAGAAATAGTAAACAGTACATTGAGAAAAGAATTTTTTCTAATTTTATTTCTCAAGATATAGAGATGTCGAATTCATTCAATACTTAATTATGGTAAGACAAAGTACCCGAAGAAGTCCGTATAATTTAACTATTGAATGCTTAGAAATGTCCTTACATTATAAAAATTGTATAGATATCTTATGATGGTGACAACTATTCTATAATCTACGCAAACCAAAATTTAATATCTTTAAAGTAGATTTTAAAAATGTAAAAAATGGGTTTGCCTCTTTCTTTTGTAATTGAGATTTTAGAATAATTGTTAACTGGTATCATAGAAATTTATTGTTAGTGTTAAACATTTTCTAAGAGCTTCAAATTATACATAATGGTATTAATTTGGATATGATTAATTATTCTCGGGATTCTAACTCGATTGTAGTTAGTGATTTCACATCATCAACCTTTGAATGTAATAGATAAATACCTATGTAAATAATATCATAAGTTTAGAAAGGGTAATTCTATAGGTTTTATACCTCCTGAGTATTTATAAAATAAATACCTGATCTCACCCTTTGCCAATATATTCTAATTAGGTACACTCTTGTATCATTTGTATTTCTATATGTTAATTTCTAAAGGTTATTTAACTAAAATCCCTTCGGAAATGACTCATAAACTAAACTTCAGAATAATATAATGGGAAAATATCATATCCCAAATCTTAATATTGATAAGGATATCATTGAATTGCTTAAATCGATGATGCAAACAAATCCCCAGAAGAGAAAAACCCCTAAGGAGTATTTGTGTTCAAAGATTTTTAAACCTTAATATAGATCGAAAATTTCCAAAAATTCATTCTTATCGTTTCTTCAAGATAATTCTTCTCAAAAAATTGACGAATTTGAAGTAGAGAATGAAACTATCAGCATTCAAAACATTAAATTTCTATGTTTTAATAAAAAAAAGAATTGATAATTGATATATAATTTGTGTTAGAAAATGGTAATATTGCCATACCTTTATTTAAAATTATTTCAATTTCTAAGATGAGTTATAACTTCAATATCATTGTTATCAACAATAATAATAAGGCAGATAGTTATTTTTATTTAATTTACAATAAATTTTATAAAAATCGGTAAATTAAGTAATTTATAATCAAAACATATATATAGGATAAACTTAAATAAATAAATTTAATTAAACATATTTTGATATGGATATTGATAATACAAATCAATTATAATTTGTTAATATGCCTTCTTTCCATATTCCTTTAATAATTTATCCATTAATTGTAGAATAAACTCCTTCTCCATCAATCATACCATCATTAAATGTACCTTCAAATTTTTCACCATTTGTTAATTAAAGTATACCAGATCCATGCATCTTTCCTTCCAAAAATTCACCTTTGAAATATTATCATTAATTACCTTCATATCCTAACCAACCATTTTCAATTCCACTCAAATCCTAATAATCAAATGGTCCATCAATTTATTCTGCTTAGAAATTTATTAATTTGCCTTATCCATGATATTAATTATCATGCCAATAACCATTGTATACTTCATTATCATTTTAATCTGTCAATATTCCAAATCCTTCTCTTGTAGCTGGTTCATATCCCTAACCTCTATATATATATCCATCTTCATATTAAAGTGCAAGTTCTTATAATTATTATTCTTAATCATTATTATCAGTTGGCTACTTTTGTGGTTATTATGGATTTTAGTATCTCTAAACTAAATCTTTTGTTTTATCAATTGCATCTTTAAATTTCTTTTCTAAATCTTAATCTTTCTATTCATTCTATTATGGTCTCTATTACTATGGTTATATATATTCAGCAAGTCTTTATTAAGGCACCTATTGAGGTCTTGATTAATTAGGTGGTTGAACATATTTATTTTAGATAGATTATTAAACTAATTATTGTTAATACTATGGTTAAGATTATGATTATTAATATGAAGGTTATGGCTGTTAAAATGTCCGTTAAGGAGGTTAATAAGTTTGGGGATAAGGTTGTTGAACATTTCTTTGATATACTTATTATTAAACTGGTTATCGACATTGCTATAAAATAATATAAATTTAAAATACAGGCTAATATGGAGGATTATAAATTTAAGTAGGACGTTGAGCATTTTGTGTATTATTAGGTGTTTGTTAATATGGTATAGATGAGTAACCAAATGGTGGCTATTAATATTGAACTCTTTGAGGTTGCTATTATAAAGTTACTGGTTATTATTTAACTGGAAGAGTGGGTTATTAGTATTATGGCTAACAATAACCCTAAAATAATAATAGATATTCAAATTAACCTAAGAAATTTTTGGAGGATATGATTATGGTTGTCTTGATTGAACAATAGGTTGTGGATAATAACCTTGTATTGTAGGTTGAGGTCTTTATGGTGAAGTCATATAAAAGGGTTATTGATATGCCATTTCTATTGGAATTTTATTTTAATTATTCTTAATTTTATTTGTATTATATTAAATATTGATTATAAAATAAGATACCAAATTTATTCAATAGATATCATTATATAATCAAAAGCCATAATCAAAACATTCTTTTGTTTATTATCCATTCTTTATGATCTCTTATTTCTTACCTGCAAATGGAATTCTATGTAACCAGTCAGATGGAACTCCCTTGTAGTTTTTAGGATTCAATTCTATTGGATCTAATTATTACAAATAATTTGGAGGTGGATTTCTATTGATTATAATAAATTTTACTTATCATCAAATTATTTGACTTCTTATAGATCAGCAGTAATTTAATTCTTCTATTCTTATTTAGGTGATTGTTTCAATAATGAAGGATTAATTTCATTAACTTTGCAAGTCAATCGATTTGCTTTTTCCTTTTTCTATTTTAATTCTTCAATAAACTTATTATTTGCCTTATCTGGTATAGCTAAATGATCATCAACTTTTAAATTTGATTCTGATTATATTTAAACTTTCTTATCTAATTTCTTTTTTGAATCTTTTGTTTTTTAATCATTACTTATTTTGGATTTATTTTCATTTTATGATTTCTATGTTCCATTATCCAAAGCTGATTATGGTCTCTTTATTTTTGATTAATTCTTCTAATTCTATTATGGAGGAGATTCACCTTAAACACTCCCTGCTTCAGAAGCAAATCGTAAAGTATTACTCAAATCTGGTTTCTTTATGCTGAATTCAGGTATTACTTATTTACCTTTTGAATCTAATTATTTTTTTAATTCTTAATAAGGTTATGGAGTTAAAGGATTCCTTGATTTTAATGATTCCACTTATTCTGGATTTAATCTATCCTCTTCTCTACAATTTCTAGGTGGTTCTGGTTCTACATTAGCAATAGCAGCTCCTTTCCTTAATGCATTTTAATAAGTTTAAATGTAAAATGGATCATTCTTATTTCTATGTGGTTAAACATTATGTGATAAGAGATGTTAACCATAAATTATTCCACCAACTGCAGGATTGATATTATTATATCCATATGGACCCCATGCAGGTTTACCAAAATATGTTGTAAATGCTGAATCTGCTATCCAACGAGTTTCACCTTAAAATTTCTTTATTCTTTCTTTTCTTCTTTTTAATTTTTCAGCATCTTCAGGATTATTCGGATCTAAAGTCTTTGCTTTTTTAATAAATTTAGTTGTCATTTTTTTAATCTAATCATCATTCTATTAATCATTAATATCTTCTTCTTCTTCATCAGAACTTATTTAATCATCTTCTTCTTTTTTAGATTCTTCATAATAAAATCCAGTTTATGGATGTGATGCCTTGTATTATCCTTTAAAATTTTTATTATTTTATTCTAATTAATACATAAGTTCATTTTAATCTTTTATATCTTTAACTTAATAATTATCTCTATATGCTGATTATTATTTTGGATTCCATTTTAAAGGTAATTTATATTAATCATCTATATCTTCTTATTATTAATATTATTAATATGTTTATTATGCTTTAGTATTTTAACATTCACATGATTTAGCAATATTTTTAATAGTTTTATCATCTAATTCTATAAATTTTATTTAAATTATATTTACTTTAAACATAAATTTAAGAATCATCTACTTTTAATTTTTCAATTTTTCTAAAATTATCTTTATTTTCTGTTTGCCAATGTTAATTTTCATGATTAATTCTAGCTGTTACTTTTTTAGTTTCCGGTTCTCTTTCAACTTAAATTTTCTTTTTAAAATCCCAAGGTTCATCTTATTATAATGGCCATTTCATTATATCAAACATATTTGGTTCTTCATTTCTTGGCTTATTTTTTTTACCAAATATTTTATTATCATCTAAATATAATGATTTAATACTTTCATATACTTATTTAAGCACTTAGTCTTTAGTTTTCATAATGACTGTTAAATTAGTATTTAATAAATAAATAAAATTTAATATTATTATTATATAATACTGTTAAGAAAACAAAATAATTCATTATTAATCAATATCATCACTTTATTATTTGACTTCATTATCTATTTATTATTAGATTTAGTTTTCTACAATCTCATCTTATCTTATAGTTTCAATTTAGGATTCTTCTTTAAGTTAAGGAATTTCAGGCAAATCTTATTTTGTCTAATTCTTTTCATCTTATTATTATTACTTTTCTTATAATTATAAAAGTTCTTTTAAAGTTGATTCATCTTCATTATTAATTAAATAATTGATTTTTTCCAACTCTGTTATATCAATTGATTTATTCTTAACACTAATATTTAAATATATATATACTTGATTATTGGTTATAACTACATTTTATCTTTCTTCTTTTAAGATATTGAACTATGATTTGTTGTATCACGATTAGATAAAGTTATATTATTTCTAATATAGATATAAGATTATTACCTAATTGAATTAACATATTATTAACATTATTGATATCTTTAAAGTCTTTACATTAATCTTTTATTTTCCTTATATTAATGAGAATATTCATCCAATTTTAAGACAGGTTCTTATTTCATAAGTCGATCAGCTAATTTAATATTTTCATGTTAAATTTATTATGCTTAGAGTTTACGAAAAGTTAAATTTAAATTATGAGGATGATGTAGATTTTCATCTTCATATTTATAGTAATCTTATTACATTGGCCTATTGCAGATTTCTGTTATTTTTTAATATAATTAACTGTTTCCTTTATTGATTCTTTCTGATTGTTCTAAATTTAATAAAATCTTCATGAAAATATACCACTTAAATCAAAACGTCTTCTTTATTGTCTAATATTATTTCTCTTTTCCAAGATTTCTATATGTTATACTCTTGATTATGAATGAGATTTTTTGCTTTTTATTTCACTTAATTTTTTTAAATGAAGATCATAAGACCTAATAAATATATAGATAATTGATTACTTTTCTCTGGAAAATATTTAGTCTAATTTATAATTATAATTGTATTAATGATTAGTTCTCATTAATTAAAATAAATAATTAATATAATGTCACAACCGTCCGACACTAAACAATCAATACATAGTGGTAGAATGATACTACATCCATCATTAAAGTTAGATAAATCAGCAGCATTTTTTAAAAATACAAAAGTAAGTTCATGTTCTTATGTTAAAATGAACAAAGGAAATCCTGAAGTAATAAATAATAATAATATAAAAAGGCTATACCATTTTATGAAATTGCAAATAAGACTCCAGCAGAACATGAAACAAAATCTACATACATAACTTCAACATATTCGTATTCCATTAATTTTTTAATTAAAGTGATGATTATAAAGTCAAACCTTATTTACATGTTGGTTCAAATAATAAATTATTAGAACCATATAATACAGGTTCATTTAGATCAAGATTACCAGAACCTGATGCACCTATTTTAACTAAAAATGCATCTTAAGTAGAATTAGGAGAGAGACAGTATAAAAATTATTAAAATTAATATAGTTTCAATGTGAAACGACATTTTTTAAGTACAGCACATAATGTTTATGGAAATTTTGGGAAATTTGGAAATGTTACAAATCCAGGTATTTTATCAGAGAAAACCAAATGGCATCATCATTTATAATAAAAATGATAAGATAATATATGTATAATCATTAATTAATATCATTATCATTATCTTTAGGATTGCATTCTGGAATATAGACATTTAATTTCAATGTATCAAGATTTAGCATATTTTTTTAATCTACTTCTATTTATTTTTATTCTTTTAATTTTTCAATTTCTTATTATTTAATTTATGATCTTTTAGGTTATGATCTCTTTTTTTTATTTTCAATTTGATCAATATCTAATTATTCAATTTAATTATTATCATTTGTTTTATTATTTTTCTATTTAATATTCTTTTTAGTTTATAATTCTTTAACACTTTCTTTTTATTCTTCAACTTATTATTCTTTTTCTTCTTCTTCTTATTCTTATTCTTAATCATCTTCTGGATTTTATTATTCTAAACCAAAACTAAATAAAAATTTCCTTAATTTTAAATTCTTTTTATCTGTTTTAGTATTTTCAGGTAGATCAATAGAATTTGGATCATATTTTTTGATATCATTTGATTTTTCTTCAGATGTTAATTTACTACTATTAATTTTAGTTAATCTATGTTTTTTTTAATTTAGTTATTTTTATTCTTTTACAAGTGTATATTCTATCTATTTTTCATTTGATTATTCAGATTCTACAACTTTTGATTTTTTAGGTATAGATTTAAATTCAGATTCAGAATCAGATTTAGGTTTAGGTTTTTTCTTTTAAGTAGGTTTTTTATTCTTCTTTTTATTTATTTATTCTTTAGGTTATGGTATTTCTTATTCACCAAAAACATCATCAAAATTTTAATCATAATTTGTTAAGAAATCTTATAGTGTCAATTTAACTAATGGTTTCTTTTTTAATTATTTAGAGTGTTATTTTTCAGAGGAAAATAAAGATGTTTGAAATAATTGTTAATTATCTGATGATTTTTTATATGTTTCATCTTTTTCTGATTCTGAACAATCTTCTATATTAAACTTCTATTTTAGCTAATTAATATTAAACATACAGGAGTGGTCATGTATTTTTTGATTTATATATTACAATAATTTTCAGGATTTTATAAGTACTTGTATTTTTTTAAATTATATTTATTTATATAAAATATAAAGGAAGTATGATAATATTAATAATTAATGAATTTAGAGAATCCAAATAAATTAAAATGGAAATAATTATACATTAAAAAATATAGAGATCTATTAGGGATTTCAAAGTATTAATGATTATAAAATGATAATTAGTCTTAAAGTTTCAGAAGCTCAACCTATGGATAATCATATAACTCCAAGTTATTTAGATCATATAGATAGAGTTTCAAAATAGAGATCTTAATCTATGAAATGCAATGATGAAAGTTTCTAAAGTAGAAATAGTTCATATAGTGTGAATAGAAAACTATCTGAAATGAATTCAACTAAAATATATTCTGCTGCTGAAATGAATCAAATTATTAAACATGCTAAACTTTGTGGATTGTTACATAATAATAAACCACAAGTATTTCATTATTGATTTATAAGCATTAACCATTATTAGAATAAAATAGGAAATATTTTGAAGAAGTTCGAAATTTATAAAAGAGTTGGCATTATTCAAAAATACGATAATAAGAATAAAATATATAATTCAATAGAATTCCAATGGAATAACATTATTAATTTAAATTGAATCATAAAAGAAGAGATCTAAATATATAAAGATTGATTCAAGAATAGAAAACAATATATTTATCACATAATACTTAAGCTATTGAAGCTACAGTATCTAGTGGCCAAGATTGATATCTCTTTTATATGAATAAATTAAATTATGAGTACAGTAAATTCTGAAAATTGATAATTAATATATAAATTAGACATGATTAATAGGAAAACAAATCTATCCTATCTAACTAAAAATTTGTTTAGTTAAGATTATGATTAAGAAACATTATTTTAATCTCCTTTAAAGTCACCTGAAAAATCAAAGCAACTTCTCAATTAGTCTCCATTAAAATATGATAGTATTGATAATCTATTGGAAAGTTAAAATATTATTAAGACTTAAAGACCATCTGAATTTAATCTAAAGAAAATGCTATCTAAAATAGATGATTATGAAAGTACATAAGAAATATAAAAACCTCATAAAACCTTTCGTTTTAGAAGACATGATAATTTTCAATCATAACCTATCTTAAAAATAGAAGTTAAGAATGATCTAGATGATTTTTTCAATAATAATAATGATGATTCACATAATAAAAAACAATAAAAAAGAAATAAAGAAAACAAATTATATCAGTTAGTAACATTTACTGATTATGTTGAAAACTTATATGGAAAAGATTGGTTTCAAATTCCAATAAGAAGACCTCGTCGATAAAACACAATTTAAGAATTCTTTGATACTCTTGAATGATTTTAATTAACTATTTTATATAAAATATATGAACAAATGCTACTCTCAAAGAATAATTATCACATAAGAAGAATATCAAAGAATACAATCATAAGTCAATTAATCATTATAAACTAATTCTAAATCAAGAATCAAATAAAAACCATAACCAGAATAATATCTATTCAAACCAGAAGTATCAATAAAATATAAAAATAGATTAATAAATAATCAATCAACTTATAAAGATCTATAAATGATCTTTATAGATGGAATTAAAATAAATATTAAAAAATAAACTAAATAAAAGAAGATGAAGTATTTATTTATTATTCATATAGATAAGACAAATCTAAAATAATGCTAATAGATTAACTCATGAAATCCCTTCTATTTCTGTCTTTGAAAGACTTTATTAATTAAGAAAAAGTAGTGACACATAAATATGTAATAATTCAATTAATATTAGAATAATCAAAAAGAAGTACATATAATAATAAACCTAATTATACTTAAAATATGACTAATTCTATGTATCAACAATATCAAAGATAATGCTAATTTATAAATACTATTTAATCTAAATCAAAAACCTAAGCAACTGAGAATTCTTAAATGCAAACTCCAATTTAAAATAATCTTGATTATGAATTACATGAATCCAAGAACAATGTATAAATCTATATTTAAAATGTAACAGATGAATATATCCTTTCCTATGCATTAATATATTGATCTTACTCAATAAATTTAAGATTCACCAGATGTATAAATCTAATCTAGTATATAAGAGAAAGAGATTGAAGTAATGGTGGAAAGGTATTTCATTATTTATAATATAGATTAAATAACTGGTAGGCTAAGAAAATAGAGAGAGAATAATTAATTGCTTAAGAATATAATAATGAATAAACAGCTAATAGTGATCATATGTAGACTTAACAAAATACTTATTAGAAAGTATTTTTAAATATTTGAAATTGTTCTAATATTTATTACTATTATTTATATGAATAATTATGATCAATTAATACAAAAATTAGATTAGGATCCTCATTTATAAATCTTAAAATAAGATTATGCTACAATCATTGATAGTATGAAAGACACAGATTTATCTGTTAGATAAATGATTGCAATATTATGGGCAGCTGAAAATGATGTATATAATTCAAATTATTTTAGTGTTTGAAATTTACATCAGAAATAGATAAATTAAATGCTATGATTTAACAACTTTAATAATAATTACTATAAGAAAATGTTCCTTAAGAATCTATTTTATCTGCTGAAGATGAACATTAAGAAATATTATATGAAATTGAATAATAATTGATTTTCAATGTTTAAAAGTTAAGTGAAAATTAACTGATAAATTTTACAATATAAAAATATGATAAACTTGATTATTAGACAGCTATGGATATTATTACTAAATTTATTGAATCTAAATGTCTTAATAAAGAAGTTGAAGGCATTCTTAATTAATAATTGTAAGATTAAATGATAAAATACTAGAAAAAAAATTATATTCTACAAATAGAAAATATGAAAATTCTATCTAATACTAATTCTAAAGATTTTTATCAAAAACATAAAAAACTTCAATCATATAATTTTGATAGAATAAAACTAAAGTTTCATACACTTATTAAAGAAATCAAAAATATAAAAAAAGAACTTTTATCAATCAAAGAATAATATTAAATGCAAATTAAACTATTATTTCATTAAGATAATATTATAGATAAGATGTTAACATCATAACAATTTAATGTTATATATAATAAAATACTCACTTAATTAAATCATTAAAGAAAATACTTTAATATAAGTGGTTAAGTTTAATAAAGTTTATTAGCTTCATAATAAATAGATAATAATGATATCTCTATTGTTTTTGATAAATTACAATAAAAATTAATTAATTAAATAGCTAAAACTGCTTGTTAAGTCACAGCTAATTTTGAAGAAATTGTTACATCTCGTTAAATCAATAACAATTATTTAGAATTAATATTGAATTCAACAAAAGCTAACTTTACAAAAATATTGAAATATAATAAGATGATCTCATCAATTTAATAAGAAAAAGAAACATTATAAGGTTAAATTAGATCATCAATGGAATGTTTAATTTAAAAAGTATATATAGTTTATAATATATTTTAGTTGAATAATGAGAATATTAAACTTAAATTAATTCATTTAACTAATGTCTTAGAAAAATCATTCAAAAAATAAAGTCAATCTAGTTTAGAAAGTTTAAAAAGTATTTAATATCATTGAAAATACAAAAAATACTAAAATTATGTCTTTTTTATGTTATTTTATATAAAAATATCTTATAATTAAATATCTAATATATTATTCTATATATATTTGATTACTTTTAGATATAAAATTCTTATCTTATAATTAATTTATTTATATATTGAATCAATTGACAAATATATTAATATATTTGATATGATATTATTTATTTATTGAAGTTAATAAATAAAAATAAATATTAATTGATATGTTACTTACAATCAAATATTAGAATAGAGTGAAATAATTGAATTTGGATAGAAGAATAAATGTTTAGTCTTTATAAATATTATTAGGACAATTATTTAACATTAAGAATAAAATTATTGGATTAATTGATTTAGATGGTAAATCTTAAATAAATAAAGCGTAGGCAATTATTTTGATTTAACATAATTTGTCTAATAATTGAATTAAACTAGATGCAACAATTACACTTTAGTATGTGAAGATGGATAAAATATGATAGATAATAAGATATAACATACATCTTTTAAATATAGTACAATTTCAGATTACAATAATAAACTTCATTTTATAGACTTTATATATGATATACAAGAGTTTTAAAATATATTGGGAGATGATTAATATACATGCATTTATATGATTGATGAAAAAGATATATCATCATTTGATTTTCTAATTTCTTTAGAGCCTTTAATAAACAACCTAAATAGTTGGATCAATTTCTATTATTGTTTTAATAATAGATTAAATGATTAGAATAGAGAATATGATATTCAAAGCAAAACTTTATGGGTGTATAAAGGATCAAAGAGAATTGTATCAATTCTATTGAATAATGACAAGAAAATGAAATAAATGGATGAATTACTACAAAAACTAGTTTAAACTAAAATCTAAGGACCTAGTGTAAAGAATTCTAATATTAGAAATTAATCTTAATTATCTTCATAATAATCTCCAGAAAAGAGAAGAAGTAAATCAATAAGAAAATTGGTTGAAGAATCTTAAATTCAAAGTAATTAGGGTTCCTATAATTAAAAATTGATTGGTTCTAGATATATAACTAGAGTCTAAGCATAAGTAATTTAACGTGAAGCATCTAGAGGTAGTGACATTCCTGAAGATTAAGTGTCATATAATCTATCAAATCCTAATGAATCTATAATAAATCAATAAGATTTATTATTTAGGATTGTTGCTGAATTAGAAGATAAAGAATTAGTAGATTTGACTATGGCTAGATTAGTAAAAAGACTTTTGATTGAAGAAAATAAAGAGATTATTGGTGTTTTATTATAGTATTCTCAAAGAACAATAGATATTTAAGGATTATGTGAGAAATTGAATAATATTATTGAAAATTCAACAAATCAATAAAGACCTACTTCACCTTTTTAAAATTTAAAGTAGACTAAATAACCTATAATTAATAATAATTAGGAATCAATGGATGATATTAAAAATCTGATTATTGAAAGAAATAATTATGAATTTACTTCTGAATAATATGGTATTATAAATCATTTATGGAATGAAAAAGATTAAGTAATTATTAGATTATGTACAGATATATATAATAAAGAAATTAAAAAATAATAAGTTTCTTTAAAACCTTTACAACTTTATGCAGATACTAAATTTTATGAATTACTTAATTAAAATTTCAAAAAGTCAGAAATAACTATTATTTAAGAATATAAAAATTCAAAATCAGGATCTATTTATGCTACTTTATAACATTTTAGATATGAGACAAATATAAATTATTTTATTAATGATTTAAAAAAAGCTTTATAATAAATTCATAATTAAAATCAACATTTAACAGAACCAGAGAAATAAACAAATTAATTATCAAAAGAAATCAATTTATTTAAATTTTAATCACCTAAGGCTCCTTCTCCTTTTTGTGTATTAATGCCAAACTTTTAAAATCTAGCTAATGAAACACTTTCACCACCTCCTTAATCATAATTATAATAATAATAAGATGAAAATAATAATAAATATTAATCATATGGTAAAATATCAGATGAATTAAAAAGAGTTTAATTATTTTAAAACTTTCCAACTTAAAAATAAGAATAATAAAAATAATAAGAAGAAATTTAGATAGATTAATAAAATGAACTCAAATAAGAAGTATCATCTTAAAAGAAATAATAAAATTTAGCTGCAAAAGATTTAATATTTAGTGAAGAGAATTTTATATAAAGAAAAAAAGAATAACGTATATTATATAATAATAATATTGAAAAATTCTATTCTATTTAAATTGATAAAGAAATTAATTAAAATTTTTAAGATATGATATCACAAATGGATTTAGATGAATCAAAATTAAAATAAGTTTAATAATTGTTTTAAGATCATAATGAATAACTTTATGAAATAATTAAAGGGTTTTAATCCTCTAGAATTTTAATGAATACTAGATCTAAATTGATGTAAAAGAATCTTTATTTTAAATAGCAAATTACTCTCTGAAAAATAAAATGATGTTCAGGATTATAGAAAAACCAAGATGTATAATTTATTTATGAATTAAGTGAGATAATTTACATTATAAAAACATTTATAAGAAAATGAAAAAGTTTATCTATTGAAAATGTTTAAAGAAAATGATTTATAAGTTTTGGGAACACTTGAAACATATTTATAAAATTAAGATGCTTAAGATATGTTAGAAAATTTATAAATGATTATTAAATAATATAGTAAATTCACTAATGTAATTTAATTAATAATTTTAGATTAATTAATTGGGATCTGATTTATCTCCTTTGGAATAGCCATAATTAAATACACCTGTATTAGGAGCTAAAGAGATATTATCATAAATTAAATAATACTTTTCAGCTGAAGAGAAAAATAGATTAGAAACTATTGCAAATGGTTAAGGAGAAACTTATATTATTGAACTTCATTCTTAATTTTTATAAGATTCAGATTTAAATGGATTTATAGCATCAATATAAAAATTAGCATAATAAGATTCATTCAAAAAAATACATTAATCTATTACTTTTGAAGATCTATTAAAGAAATTATAAAAAGATGGTTTATTAAAAATTGATGATTATATGTTTGAATTATTAAGTAAGAAAAAAAATGAATAAAGAATTAAAGGTGTTTTTGAAATCTATTTATATTCAAAGAATGTTGAAGATTTTGTAGAAAGTATCAAAAGTATATTAAGATTATTACAGTAATGTAATATTATTTATTATATAATTATTAGAATTAATATAAGAACAATTAGAATAGTTTGAAAAAGAGAATCTTTTAGACGAAAATAAATTATTGAAATTAAAAGAGATTGCTCATGATTATCATAAAGATTACTCTAAATTATTAGGAGCATTCTCGTTGTATTTTGAATAATCTTAAACAGATCCAGAAGAAGCAAAATAGGAAATTTTAGAAACATTAAATATATTTGCTGAATGAAATTATGTTTATTTTGTAAAATTTTATTTATTTATAATATATTATTTAATTATTTTATGTATTCATCAATATCTGTTTCACTTTAAGATTTAAGAGGATTCAGAACTATTTCTACAAATGGTATATCAAATTATAGAGATTTTTAAAGGTTGCCAATAACCAAAACTAATTATAAAAGATAATACTTAAAAGGAGCATCTAATAGAGTTAAGTCACTTAAAGAAGAATTTAATTTTATTTAATTGTGTAGTGATAGAAAAGATAATGAAAAGTTATTTAAATATAATAAGCAAGGTTAACTCTTAAATTATAGAAATTTTCATCTTCATAAATAATACCCATTAACATAAAGAGAATAATAGAATGATATAGATAGTTTAAATAAAATTAATACTGGAAAATAGATGTTAAAAAACTCATCATTAAAATTAGTTACTGATTCTAATAATTAGTTGATTGAATTAGTATATTCAGCTTAACCAGTTATATAAAAAAATAAAAAAAACAATTCAATTTCTAATGTTTAAAAAGTTGAAGAAAGAAGTAATAGTATTAATAATAATAATATTACTAATAACATTAATAATAATATTACTAATAAGAGAATATAATCTGCAAATAAAAATTTTCAATTGATTATTTCATCAACAAGTAACAAAGAGGATTTATTAATTAAAAGTACTTAATCCACTCAAAATTGTATTTAAAAAGTACTTACTAAAGAAACAAAGTTAGATAGAAGTCTGAAAGGAAAACTGCCAATTACTTTTGATGGAACTAAAAAATTTTTAAAGCAATTTTTATGATATTATCTCTATTTAATATTTTATAATTAACTTATTAAAAATATTTATTTTTTATTGAACTTTTAAATAATCCATTTTTCTTAAGGTATCTCTTTCATTATTTATTAGAATATGAATAAAATAACATTAATAATGTTGGTTCCATCTTTAGCCAATATCTCTAAGACTCCAATTCCATAAAGATTTGCTAGAATTTATTCATACTGATTTTTCATTTAACTTTAATTCTTAATATTTTTGAATGCATGCTATTTAATTAATTCTATCCAATATTTATTTTAAAAGCTATAAGTATATACCTGTAACCATTAAAAAAAAATAAATAGTAATAATAGTTTTATATTTTCTTTATCTATAATGTTCTTCTCTTTTTTCTATCATTGATTTCTATATTTTTAGATTTAATATTGAATTTACCAAAATATATTTACTAAACTTATTTATTATCTAATATCATCGATTGATTCTTCAATTATATATAATTAGATTTCAGATTATACTTGATAAACACAATAAGTTTGTTTGAATTAATGATAATCACAATAATTTAATATAATAAAATATAATGGCAACTGCTTAAACTATAGTATTTATATATTAAAATGTAGGTTGCACATGGCATGCCTTCAAAAAAGGAAGTGATAAGTTCTAAAAGAATTTTTCCAGGTATTTTAAAGATTGAATTAATTAGAACAACATAATAGAAAGGGAGCATTTCAACTAACTTGGGATATTTAAGGAGTGTTTCCTAAGATTGCTTAAAAGATTGGAGTTAAACCAGTGCCTGATGATCCTCCTTTAGTATAAAATATATTTGATTCAGCCTCCAAAACCAAAATATATTCCACCACCATTGCCTTAGAATTATGTTCCTCCACCTATAAAAAAATAAGGCAAAAAGACTGGAAAACCATAAATGATCCCTGAGAGATAAAGTTATGAAGAGAGCATTGCAAAAAAAACAATTAGGTAAAGCAGAAAATCACTATCAAATACAAATTATGGAAAGGAATATGGCAGTTTTTATAGTATGGATAGGTGTTTTTTGAAACGTGATAAAGAATTCATCAAAAAAGAAGTTAAAGGATATGGTAATAATGATATTATAGAAATGCAGGTAACTTCTATGAGAAATCACCTGATGGGAGATTTGTACATGTCCCAATGCCTCCCTTATCATATAAGTATTAATATGTAGCCTCAACAGAATTATGACATTATTAATATCATTTATAAAAGACTTTAGTATTTTAATGAATAATAATAATAAAGATAAAAGATATTTTATTTTAACATCTAATTTTTTTTTAAATCATCTCATGCTTCCATTAATGTGTACAACACCATATGTTAATTACCCTTAACTCAACCTTTAATAATTCTATATGCTTCCAACATCAGCCTATGTTTTGCCAATTGTGAAGAAAGAAACCTTTGATTAAGCTTGTCAGTTTCCAGAACCTATCAAAGAAGATGCTATAACAAATAATATGGAGGTTATAGCAGAAAAGGAAATGACTTCTCTGTTAATATTCCTCTCCAAGAACATTTCTTTACTCCAAGACTCTGTCTTTGAAGAGTTTGTAAAGGAAAATTTAAAAGTATATCAACATAGGATTATATAGACTCTCTCTTCATTTTCTAAAGATATACCTAACATTATTAAGAAGCGTTATGTATAGATTAATAAAACAAAAGAGGAAATGACCAAGTTTATTATAAGAAGATGTTTTCTATTTATAAAAAGTCAAATTGAGTATGAAGAACAAGAAGATTTATCAGCAGAAGAAAGAGATAGATAATTTTATCATTCATTCTTTTCAAATGATAAGGAATTTATGAATGCTCTTGATCATTAATCAATAGATGATATTATTCCCTTTAGAAAGGACTCTAAGATGAAGACTATGAATGACACTTACTTAAGAAAACTATTCGCATCCAAGAAATTCTCTAGTTTCTATTCAAAATTTCTAAGTAATAATAACTATATTATTAGCTTAATTTCAATAAATTTGCATTCTTGAAAACAATGAAAAAATTGATAATATGACTAAACAGATTATTAAAATTATTATTACAAGAGATTTTGCAGTAATAATAAATATTATAATTAATAGAAATTAAAAAGTTACAGAAGATTTCCTTGGAAAGATAATGAAATACTTAAGTGTGAGCAGAGAGCTAAAGAACTCTATACTAAATATTCTACCTATTCAAGTAATAATAACATTTATATTCTAGAAGCCGATAACAATAATAAGTATCTTTCAAAACTTGATTCGCATACTCTAATAGTTTTGGAAAAATTCTCAGAATCTTAAGAATGAAATATATATATATATATATATAATATATTTATAAAATTAGATTATATAATGAATCAGTATTAGGCCACTCATGACTCAAGTTTGAATACTTCTTTATCTAAATAAAAGTATTCATTTCCAAGAGCCAGAAGAGAACCCATTTAGAATAAATCAGCGTAATCTTCTTTCTAACTTCATTTAGAACTGATGAATTAAGTTACAAATTACCCTAATCCTTGGGCACTAGAATGGCTGGAATAGGATATGGACTTAAGTACTACAAGTTTATTTATTTAGACATGATTTTTCTAAAGATGCTAAACCAGTTCCAGCTCCAAATTTATATGAAATCTAATCTTTTATTGAAAATAACATAGACAAAAAGAAGGGATCCACATTTGCTTATAGCAGAGATTAAATGAAAGCCCATGGAATTTGGGGTTCTTTGAATTAGCTATCTCCAGGTCCTGGTAGATACGCTTCAACAAATTCCCTTATCGATTCCAAATTTACATTTGGACTAAAACCAGGATCTTTAAAATAGCTTAATACTCCTGGTTTTTAATTTATCTATTCGTAGGACCTGGATCCTATGAAGCTATACAAATAACAAATCAAAGAGGAAATCAATACATTTCTAAATTCAGAAGCTCAGGTGCTGCCATAATAGGCAAAGATTAAAATAGATTTAAAACCTTATAGAGTTTAAAAATTATTTAATAATAGCTTAAAATAGTTTTCCTGAACCAGCTAGCTATGATATCTCGAATACAGGAATCACTGGAACAGGGTTCTGTGCCAAAAATGGATTCAAATCTTCCGTCTTAAATTCTTTCCCAAAAGCCACTAGAAAAGGGCCATTCGATTTAGGAGCCAAAAGTCCTGGTCCAGGAACTTATAAAGCTTATTCAGAATTTGAGTGATTTTAATCTAACACAATAAATTAAATACAATAGATATCATTATTATATATAAAGTGCTTTGTAATCAATTATTCTTATATAAAAAAATGAATATAATTAGGTGCTATTCTATATTTATTTAATAAAATGGATATTTACTCTAAACAAAATGAAAAATGTAATGAGAAATCTCTTGATAATAATAACTCTGATTCAATAGATGAATTATAAAAAAAAGAAAACTTTGTATAGAATGATTAACATAGACTAAATAGTAATGAATAGTTATATTTTTTAGTATAAGAGAAAACTAAAGGTCGTATTATCACAAGTACTAAAATGGATAGAATTACTTAATATTATAAGTTTCTTAATCCTCCATTAGGATGCAGTATTATTATTTATCTAAATATGATAGCCGTGTATGGTGAAGTAATAAAAGGGATACACTAATAAACAGGTAAAATGTGGGCAGTAAAAAGAATAAAAAAGTCATAAACATCAAAAGAAGAGCAGGAGAAATTAATGAATGAAGTTCAAATTCTTTAAAAATTAGTAATATTAAAATTTGTAACTTTTAGGACCATCATAATATTATAAAAATATTCGATTTCTTTTAGGATGATAAATTTCTTTATATTTTTGAAGAACTTTGTGATGGAGGAGATCTATTTGAAAAGATTAGATAGGAAGGAAGTTTATCAGAGAAAAAAGCAGCAGATATTATGAAACAAATTCTATCTGCTGTTAATTATTGTCACCAATAAAATATAGTTCTTAGGTTATTATTTTATATTATAGAATTTAGAGATATTAAACCAGAGAAAATACTATATTAATCTGAAAAAGAAAATTCATTATTAAAATTTTTTGATTTTGAAAATTCTACAGAATTTCATGTTAATCAAAAATTGAATTAAAAAATAGGAACACCTTATTATATTGCACCTGAAATACTAAATAAAAATTATGATTAAAAATGTGATATATGGTCTTGTGGTGTAATATTATATATACTCTTATATGGGTAAATAATAGTATAATATAGATTAGATATCCACATTTCGATGGGAAAAGTGAAGATAAAATAATTGAGAAAGTTAAAAAAGGGACCTATTCATTTGAATCAAATGGTTTGGAAGATATTAGTAAAGAAGCAAAGGATTGTATTAAGAAACTATTGTCATATGATCCAACGAAGAGATATAGTGCTTAATAAGCATTACAAGATCCTTGGATTTAGAAATTCACAAATATTCCTGAGGTTGAATAGTAAATAATTAAGAAGATCTTGATAAATATGATAAATTTTAAAGTAGAATTTTATAATGATTTTAGAAATTATAAAAAATACAAGAAACATGTTTTAAAGATATTTTTAATGAATTGGCAATAGAAGAAGAGAAATAAGAATTATTAATGGTATTTCAATAATTGGATACAAATAATGATGGAAAATTAAGTAGATAAGAATTATTAATGGGATATTAAAAGATTATGAATGTTGATTAAGCAGTAGAAGTAGTTGATAATATATTATCATAAATTAATAAAAATAATACAGGGATGATTAATTATACTGGTATATAATTAGATAAATAGATTTTAGATTTCTTGATTGCTAGTATAGATAAATAAGTGCTTTTGTCATAATAAAGATTACAATCAACATTTAAAATATTTGATATTGTATTATATAGAATATAAATTAAATAGGATAAAAGTGGTAGTATTTGTTTGGATGAATTTTAATCAATATTTATAGGAATAACAGATGAAATGTTAAAATAAATAATTAAAGAAGTAGGTTAAAATCAAGATGGTCGCATTTCATTAAAAGAATTTTTTAAAATAATGGAAAGGATTGAATGAATGATTAATTAATATATATATCTCTAATTGATCATTATTCATTCAATTATTAAAATCATATTTGTATGTATATTAATGAATTTTATTGTTTTAAATAATGTTTAGGAATTTAATTAAAATAGGAGGCTGTTTGGGCTTATTGAGTTCATCAAATGTTTTATGCAATTAGATTAAAGGAAAAAATTAAGATGATCAACTACCTCATTATCATTTTCTTAATGATCACGATTTATAAAAATTATAAAAGAAACATTCAAATTTATCAATCATAGATAAAAGTTATACAGAACATATTTTATCAGTGATTAGAGATGTGTAGACAGATATTGTGGTATTAATTAATAAGAATTATCAAAGGATTTCAGAAAGAATGCAGATCGTTTAATTAGAATTTTAATTGAATAAGCCATTTCTTAAATTGATAAAAAGAAACATATTAAATAGTCTCCATTAGGATATTATGATGCTCATGAATTAAAGTTTTAAGATGAAGAGTATTTTTGTTAAATAATTCAGAATTTGCTTTGTGAGTATACTTAGATCAGGAAATGCATTTTTAATTGAAGCATTAAAAGTGATGACAGGAGCATCAATTGGATAAATATTAATTTAAAGAAATGAGGAAACTTCACAACCTGCATATTTTTTCTAAAAATTGCCTCAAAACATTAAAGATTAATAAGTTATTTTAGTGGATCCAATGTTAGCTACAGGAGGAAGTGCAAGTATGGCTTTATAGATATTAAAAAATCATGGTGTAAAAGAAGAAAATATCACATTTTTAACATTAGTTAGTTGCGAATAAGGATTAGGTAAATTGTTTAGTGAATATCCTAAAATAAAGATTATTACAGCTTAAGTTGATCCAATTTTATTGAAAAACATCAATTACTTAGCTCCAGGAATAGGTGATTTTGGAGATAGATACTTTGGAACTGTGAAAACAAATCAAGCTTAATAATGATTATTATTAGACAAAACAGTAAATTAATTAATGTAATTCTGTTTATAAAAAAAAACATATTAAATAATTTTTCATAGCTACTATTACTAATTAAATTTATTATAAAATTTAAAGGCTGAGTTCTTTTTAAGAGGAGTAGTATCAAATTTTAATTTACTTAAACTTAAATTATCTTTAAATTAAGAATGTTGAATAACACTCTTATTTTCTGATTTTAAATTTGGAGTCTTTTTATTAGATTATTATATATTTTAATGTTTTGGTGTAAGTAAATTTAATAATTTTGAAGGTGATTCAATTTAATGTTAAAATTGATCATCATATTTCACTTCCAAACAAAGATTACTAGGACTATTAGTATCATTGTTATGGTTATTATTATTATTATTATTAGAATTAGTTATATTATTCTAATTTGGATCAGACTTTTCTTTTAAAGGAGTCTTAAATTAATTTAGAGAAGGTAATTAATATTCATCACTATTATTAGTTTATTCATAAATTCTACTTAAATTTTTAGATACTTAATTAGCACTATCTTATTTATATTTATGTAAATAATTATAATAAAATGAAGGTCTTTATGATAAAAAGTCTTTGATTACAGATACTGTAAAAACATCTTAACACATAATCCAAAAGTTTTTTATCCATCTATCAACTTTTTCATCTTAATCATAACCATGAGCTCCTACTTTTTCTTATATGTATTCATATAAATTATTTTATATATCATCTACTTTATCTTCATTCCAAAATATTGAATCAACTATTTTTGCAGTTTTCTTTAACATTTTATTTTCCATTGTATAACTTTCTATTCCATCTATTTTTATTTCATTCATCATTTTTTATATATATTAATTCACTGAATTTGGATTTAAATAATTCTGTTATTTATTTGTCCTTCTTCTTGGCATATTATTAGGAGAATAAGATCTAGGAGACATTTATCCATTTTATTGAGAGGATAACAATTTTTATAATAATTATCTTTCTAAAGTAGTAAATGAATTCATCAATTCAGAATTTTACATTCCTATAGGATATTTAACTTTTATTGTACCTCCTCTCTTGCGTATATCTTTTAATCTCTCTTCCATCTCAGGAATACGTTTTTTCATTGCTGAATTCCAATGATTTTTTATTGAATTATCTGTTCTACCTATTAATTATTTAGCCATTTCAGCCCATCTATTTCCCATAACTCTATGTGATAGAAATAAAATCCATTCTTCATAATCTCCCCAATGAGATTTCTTTATTTAAGGATTCAAATGATTATGCCATCTCTCTCTACATTATTTACCTATTCTCCCTGGTAAATGTTCTGCAATGAATGTCCATTTCTAAGGACCATGCATTTAAACTAATTTAATTAATAAATTGTCTTCCTACTCTGACCATGGTCTCTTTTTTCCTTTAGACTAAATTAATACACAAATTTAATACATGAAATAGAATATCTTCATCATCATCATAATCTCTTTCTTATCCATATTTAGGTGTAACTGTCAATGCAAAATTTGTTAAGCTTTTTTATTTTGTTGCTGCTATATCCTATAAAATGTTTTATTTTTTTTTATCAGTTGGTTCAATTTCATTCATCTCAATATATTCATTCTTGTTTCTTAATCTTCTTTTAATTATTGGAGGTGAAATCGATAAATGATTTTATGATTTCATTCTCAATCTCTAACTTCTATACATTTTATTAATTAATTAATATTTTTTTGAATTTGAATTTCAAAATTAAATATATATTTTATACCTCATTATATTTATTTTAATTGCTATATATATATATATACACCACACTTCAATATAATATCTATTCATTAAATCTCTAATCTATTTCTTAACATTCATTAAAAACTATATCCTTTATTTTTAACAAAAGAACTTTTTATTTTTTTAATTATCAATCTCATATAATCAATCAAAAGTAAAGCCAATTCTTTCCCCTTTTATCAATAGAGTTGAGAATTTAACTTTAAATTTCAATTTATTCCATTCATCTATTATAACTATTGTTTATTCTTCCATATCACATATAAAATTCAAATTCTAAACGATATTTATCACAAATATATTAAACTAATTTATAAAAAAATTGTGATTGTCATTTGCAATATGAAAATTACATATTAAAAATAAGCAAATCGTTTGAAAATAATTTCAATTTTAACTATGATTTTATCATTTTTTTTATTATGAATTGAGAGATGATTATCAATCTAGTACTTAATGTGACAAACTGTTTTTATACTTAATTGCCATTAGGTTTTAAATATATAAAAATAAGATATTACTATTTCTGAAACTATGATAATATAGATATTGGATAATGATTAACAAGGTTTTTGTTTGATTTACACTTTGATTATGTAGTTATCATTTACAAATCATACTAATAAAAATCTTTTGAAAGAAAATGAATGAAAAGCGAAAATGCCAATTTTATTAGAAACCATAGAAGATATGAAAGATTTAAATAATATTTATATTATAATCATTCATTTAACAAATTATCAAGTTATGAGTATACATCATAATTCAGTATTTTAAGATAAATTTTGCACTTCTAATTGCACTAAGATTTTTTTTAGAGCTAAAAGATCTTGGAGTAGTTATTTCTGTAGAGATTTTTGAATATCTTTTCAATTAATATTCATTAATTTCCATAATTTCATTTTGTAATTAGGCTTCTTCTTGTTGTATTTTTTAAAGAGATTAATTGAGTTTAGATTTTGAGATTTAAGGATTCTAAATTACTCTATTTGATTCCAACCCAAATAAATTTAAATAGCCTTCTCTAGGGACTCTTTGGGTTCTGCCTTTGAAATGATCCAAGAAATTCATTGTTATTAATATTAAATAATAAATGAGATATGTTGTAATAAATTATCAGTTATAAGTATTTTAGATTAAAAAATGTGATATTGTATATATATGGATATTAAGAGTATCTTATATAAAGAAAGAGAATATTAAATAAATTAAATTAACATATTGATAAAGCATCATTTATAAATTAAATTGATAGTTTCATTGAGACTACAATTTAGGCCCAAGGTTACTAGAAGACAGAATTTCTAGAATATTTGAAAAGTAAAAAAACTAATGGTGATTAAATTGAATTATGGAATATGGATGAGTTGCTTATAGCAAGAGAAGAGTTTGTAAATTTTTAATAATAACAGTAATAATCATTATCAAAATAGACAAGCAACCTTTATAGTGACACAAAATCCTGAATATAATAATACATATAGGAATGAGTTCTAATAAGCTGATATTAATGATTATTAATTTACTCCAAATTATGATTCTTAATAGGAAATTACAAAATAAGATATTTTAAAGGAATAACCAGATTGTTTGATATAGACACCACAGATCCCATAACCTTCTTTGACATAATATGTTAATATTTAATAAAATCCTATGATTGCAGTAGCTTAACGCTTTAAAGTTTATCAAGGATAATAGATATAGATAAATTAGAATTCTTTTTTGTATAAACATCCAAATATTGAAGTGAGAATTTAAAGTTATTAAGAGTAATAAGGGTCTTTATTTTCTAAATCATATATTTAATATAATATAACTTTAGATCCATATGATTATATTATTTGTAGAAGATATTCTGATTTTGATAAATTAAGAGAATATTTAGTTAAGAATTATCCTGAGTATTATGTACCTCCAATTCCTGAAAAGGTATCAACAGGCACTAATAATAATATAGCTGATTTCAGATAATTAGCTTTGGAGAAGTTTATGAATACAGTAATTAGATAATTTTGGTTTGATAATTTGTTAGAAAATTTTTTTAGTTGTTAAAATGATAAAGATCTATAAAATAATTTAAAATAATAGAAATAGAGATAATATGATATATAGAATTTAATGACTTTAAATGGTAAAATAGAATGTTAGATAAGTTAATAGATCGAATCTTTCTTCTCATTTTAATTAGGAACATTAAATAAGGATATAGAATATTATAATAATATTAGATAAATATCTAAGAAAATTGTAGGTTTAAATAAATAATTAGGTTAAGAATATAAATTATTAGCAGATTAGTTTTTGAATTTATAATAAAGAAATAAGAATTAAAATGAATAATTAATTGAAAAGGTTGATGAAATTTATTATAAAAATCTAAATTAAATGTTTATGACATGGAGTAAGAAACAAGATGATATTTGTTTAGTTATTTCTAAACATATAGATTATTTTTATAAATATTAAAATCAAGTAATAGAAACTTTGAAAGAGAAAATAAAATAGAGAGACAATTTTCGTGATGAATCTTTAAAATTATTATAAAAAATAGATAGCAAAATAGATAAACAATTTAAGGAATTGACTAATGTTTAAATTTAATAAAAAACATAAACTTATGGAGTTTTAACTGAAAAAAAATAAAAAATAAAGTTTATTTTAAAAAGAAACAAAATAATTTGAAACTATTTAAGATAATTTTGGATATATTAATAATAATATCTATTAATAAATATAGATAGTTATGAATATGAATCAATATAATACTATATAAACTATGTTGAATATGTAATAGAAAATCTCTTAATTTTATATGGAAATGTCTAAAGAGAATGAATTATTATTTGGTAAAAAATGATAAAAACACATTTTAATTTATTAAATCATTTAAATATTCTACTTTAAGTTGGTTATTCATCTGGACATTAATCTAATCCTTCCATTAAATTAAGATGATTAACAATATCATGTTATCCTTATATATTTGATAATCTATATTATTTCTCTAAAAACTCATCAAAGAATTCTGTATCCCAAATTGATTGCAATTCATTTCTCTTTAAAGCAACTATAATTGTACCAATCAATATTGAAGGATATATAAAAATACTTGATGGAATTGAATATGTTTATACTATAGTAGTAGTTATCCAAATTATATAACCAATAATTAAACCCAAACCAGTAAATATAGTGTATGAAAATGTTCTTTTATTTTTATCAAATCTATATGTGAATCCCATATACAATCCAGGTATTGCTATACTAAATAATGATATCCATGCACAACTTCTATCATATTATAATTCTAATAATGGTAATTGTAATTCAATTGGACAATTCAAAATCTTTAATGTTAATGAATTATAAGATTATTTAGTTGCAAAATATATTACTGATGCAGCTGTTCCATCTAACATTATACATATTATCAAAAAAAGAAAAGCACTTTTAAGATTTTTAAATTTGAATAATTTGGCTATTGTAGACATTATAAAAATTGATATTAAATCACTTAAATACCAAGCCTAAGTAAATAAATATAATGTCATAAATGCAGAGGCAAGCATAAATGAGAATATTTCACATAATCTTATTTTATAAAATACTTTTCTTTTCCAAAATGATCCATCAGGAGATAAATTTAATGCCTAAATATATTTTATTATAATACTTCATCTATAATAAATAATGAACATGAAAATCCCATTAGATATGTAGAAATCTTTACTACAATAGTAAGTTCTTCAATATAATTTGAATTAAAAACCAAAAAGAATCCAATAGTATACATTACAAAATAAAAGATAGTTATAATTATATCTATTTTAAAACCTTAAAATCTTCCATTTTATCCTTTTAAACTAAATGATAATATTCTTGAAAATCTTGTTAATAAAGCCATTAACATCATACTTATAGATATTAATATTATTAAACTCCAATCAAAAGTTATAAAATTATAATTTTCATTACAAGTATATGTAAATTAAAATGGAAATGTATGATTTTTATCATTGTTTTCCATTAAGATTACATTTACATAAATAAAATCCCATGCATTTTCAGGATTTTACATACTATATTCAGTACAATTTTGATATAAATAGTATTTCATACTTTAATTACTTAATAATGTAGAATCATCATTTGTAAATGATCTTGTTGTTCTAATATTTAAAATCTATTATTTACATTGATTTATTTGTATAAGTATATTACTCAATAAATACTTAATATGTAATATCATCATTATTTATTATAGTCAATATTTCATAATCTTCTTATGTTATGTTTTTATTCTTAGTGTCAATTCTAATTAGATTTTTAGGTGAAGTACAAGATCTTCTCTCTAAAATTGGAGATATATCAAATTCCTTTTATAATGAACCTTCATTATAGACTGTATCATTTTTATTTGTATATTCCATGAATATTGAAACTGGTATACATATGGTTTCTTGGATTATAAAGAATAAAATAAATATAATCATTATTATTTAACTTTTTTGATTGTTTTTTCTAAATAAAACTCATGTTCTTTCTTAGATTAATTTATTTCTAAATCTAATTTCTTCTTTTATAGTCTCCTCTCATAATTAAAATTCTCATTTAAATCATCCCATTTAAATCCAGTCAAATATTTTATTGACCACATATAATCTGATAATTATTTATGTTTCTTTTAAACTAAAAACATCATTCCAAATAATTACTAATATTTGTTCCATTCAATGATAAAGCTGCCATTTTAGCAATCTTTTTATCTTTAAATTCAACCCACCCCTCACTATAACTTCTATTATTTCCAGATCCTTTACTTTTAAAATATACTCGCTCTATACCGTATGGTTATAGAAGTTCCCTTATTTTAATTATAGGCATTTAAGGTGGAACATTACTTATATAACATACCCCTTTCTTATCATTTTGTTCTTCAATTTTTATTATTGGTTTTTCTTCAGTCATTTATTTTTAATTATTAAAAAAGTTTATCTAAAAAGAAAATATACATATTTATGTTAATTAATATTTACCAAAAGTATAAATAATCTAATTATATAAAACAATAAATTTAATATCTATAAAAGTTATTATTATATATTTTTTTAATATCTTTCATTCACTTGATCCAAATTCTATTTAATAATTCTTAGATTTTATATATATTAATCTTAATTTTATGTTTAATTTAATTTCTATTTATTGAAACATCTCTAAATTTTAGAATAAATAATTATCTAAAATCTAAATTGATATATTTTTGATTAAAGATAATGATATATTGTTTCTCTTTTTCTTAAAATTAAATATAAGTTTCTATACTTAACTTTTATATATTATATTCTAATAAGAAAGAATAATCTTTATCATTTATCAATATTAATTAGACAATTATCAATCCAATTAGAATATTTAAAATTTATTAAAAGTATTTTACAATTCTTTAATTATATGGTTTGAGATAGATAATATCTATTATATTTCGAATAATAATTTATCAAACAAAGTAGTATAGTGATAAATAAGTTTATATTATAAGAAAAATAACAATATAGTTTATTGAATAGATTTTTAAGTTAAATAATAATATATATCATTAAAAGACTATTCAATTATAAAATAAAAATCAATTTAAATTGAAAAGTGTGCTTTTTTCTATGAAAAATTGTATGAAATCATTAAAAAAAATAATAATGAATTATATGAAAATATCTATGAATAATATTTCATTCATCTTGATTATCAGCAATTTAATTCATCATTTTATTATAAATCATCCAAAATGTTATATAAGGTAAAATAAAAATTGCTGATAAATACAAAGATAGGGGTTGCCATTATTTTTGAATTATTTTAAATATCGAAATTGTGTCATACATAAATAATCCCATTGTAATTAGTTTCTCGGAGCTTAGAAATAAACGTGTATATCTGAAAATGAATTCCGAGTTTTGTGGAGTGATTGCAACCCTGTATCTAAAAATTAAAAGTTACATCTTACTTAAATTTATGAGTGAACATTTATAAACTTGAAATTAAGATTAATAGGAAGGTTGCTCCTATTAATATAATAATCAAATATTGTTTATTTACTTATTCAAATGATGATCTGGATCCAAAATCGATATCTATAGTTGATGGCAATTATTCGTACTAAGTAAAAAACTCATAATATGTGTATATAAATAGGGTCATAGTGCATAGTTCAATGAATATTTCTATTTTGAATAATGATGGATTGGTATTAATTTATGTTATTTGTTTATTTGTAGAATCTTTTATACTGTTCATCTCTATAGGATTCTAATTATAGTTGAACAATAAGTATATCTAACTACCTCTTGAGCATTAATGTTTTTGTTGTCTGGAATTTCTTTATCATTAGGTTCCTTTTTAGATAATTGAGAAGCAACTGTATTCATTCCTACTGTAGAGTACATAACTTATAAAATTATTAATATTAATATTATGTGTAGTATAAATTGTTAATTTTATTCTAATTTTTAACTCTAAATGATATTAATATAAATAAGGTGTGATATTATATAATTAAAATATAAGATAATCAATATTAGACAATTTCAAAAATAAATAATATATACTAAAATACTGATTTATATAGTTGAAATTGAATATAAATAAATATTTATATTGAATCATTTAATTATATTATTAATCTTATATTTAAAGATATTATAATAATAATTAAGTAATTCATAATTAATTAAATTGGATTTAAGTAAAATGATAATAAAGTAAAGTAGTTTCTATTTAATAATAAATATATATGTCATATTCTCAAAGAAACTTTTAAAATTAACCATTTTATTCTCCTACCAAATTTGAAAATGACTAAAAGGATTTAATTATATCTTAATTGAAAGCAGAGAACTTTGAATTAAGATAGAATGCAAGAGATTATTAAGAATTAGCTGCTCATTTAAAATCATTAGAGAATAGGTGAATTAGCTGTTAAAATTAGATATAATATATTAAATGAAGAGAAAATGAGAAATGAATTAGAATATCGAAATTGAAATGATCAAACATTAAAAACTATATCTAATCTTAGAAATGAGATGGATAATTTGAAATCCTAATTAACAGAAAAACATATTGAAAATTAAGAAATAAAAGCTGAAAATTTTGCATTCAAAGAAATTACAGACCATAGATCATAAGAAAATTTAAAAGTATAAAATAATCTTACATTAATACAAGATGGAAATAGAAAATATATGAAGATAAAATTAAATTAGAAACAGAATTATAAGCTGATAGAAAAAGGTAAGAAATGATTTATATTATATAAGATTAATAAATGATAGAGAGATTCTTAATAATACTTATTAAGATGTTTTAGATAAATTAAATGATAAAGAGAAATCATTTATTTAATTATAAATTGATTATGATAATCTTTAAAAGTAGAATCTAATTTATAAAGCAGATGTTGAAAATGTAATTATTTAATTGATTATCTCTTGTAGATTAATAATGAATTAAAAAAAAAGAATGAAAATTTGAAATATACTAAAATGTAATATCAAGAAGCATAAATATATATATCATAATTATAAAATGATTTAGAAGAAATTCATAATTTAAAAGAAAAGTTTAAATAGGAAAGTCTTTTATATTAAAAAATTATTAATCTGAAGCAGACACTTGTATGGAATTGAATGCCCAAGTGATTTAATTAGATCAAATTATTAAAAATTAAGAAATAACTATTATTGATTATAGAAATGAGAATGAAAATTTATAATCATTACATATGGAATGTTTGGAAACTACAGAAGAGTTGAGTCATGAATTAAATTAAGTAAAATGAATCAATAATCAATTAGAACATTAACATAGAGATGTATACTATTAATCTTAATATAGATTATGGAAGAACTTGATAAAATGTCATTAAAAGAAGAATAAGCAGCTATAACTAGAATAAGTAAATATAAAGAATTGAAAACTAAATTAATTATGGAAACTAAACATTTAATGTAGTTCCAATCATCATTTAAGAGATTTTCTACTAACAAAAAACCTTAAATGAAATAATATGAATTTTGAAAATGTGGTTATATATACTATTTATTATTTTAATTTTTTAACAGCTTTTGAGCATGATTGAAATCAGACGTCCTCTCTCAGAAAAGAATTTGGGCAATAGATCAAGTAAGGAATTATAAAGACCTAATTCATCTAATTAATCTAATTCATAATCAAAATAGACTTTGTAGACTATGAAAAGTTCAATACAATTATAAAAACAGAGTCAAAATTTTTATTCCAAATATTTTAGTTATAAGGATTAAAAGGAAAATATTGAAATACGTTCCAATTAAGAAAGAAATCAATCTGCCAAAATTAAATAATCACCTTAAGATTATTAAAAATTATAAGAAAAATTACTCTATTTAGAGAATAAAATCTCATCTATTAAATCCCATATTGATAATAGTTAAAGACAAACTAAAAATAATCTTGCTTCTAAATTTTTTGCATAAAATACTAAAAATAACTAAACCTCAACTTCAGTTCAAAAAACAGTATCAATAGATTTTACAAACAGAGGATAAAAAGATTAATAAACTAAAGAATAAAGAGATTAGACACCTGTATAATAAAATAAATTGAAATCAAGCACTCTTATAAATAATAATGAAAGTAAAATTGAAGGCACTATCATTAAAAAACCAAGTCTATCAACTTTTGTTACTTAAGTAAAGGCTCCATTAAATGAAAATAAAACTAATTTTAAGAATTTGAGACCAGAATCAGCTAAAGCTAGTAATACAATAAAAGAAAATTTTAGGAGGAAAACTTCTTAAGAGAAAAATAGTAATACTGCATTTTTATATTATATTTCTTCTATAATCAAAGGTTACATGCAAATTGATATTACTAAACCTATTGAACTTATTAGAGAGCATCTATTATAAACAATGTAAGCTTCAATTTTTTAAAAATCAGTCAAAATTACTAATAATTTTGAAGATAAAAAAATCAATTTACCTACAACTAATAAGAAAACTATAGTTTTTGATTTAGATGAAACATTAATTCATTGTAATGAGTCTATTCAAATACCTGGTGATGTCATTTTACCAATAAAATTTCCATCTGGAGAAATCATTGAAGTAAATAGAAGTCTTATTAAATTAGGCATCAATAAATATTCGACCATATGCCTAGTAAGTATTATAGACTTTAAAAAAACACTTTGAAATAATAGTATTTACTGCCTCTCATTCTTGTTATGCTAATGTTGTTATTGATTATTTGGATCCAAATAAAAATATAATTTCTCATCGATTTTTTAGAGATAGTTGTGTATAAACAGAAGAAGGTGCTTATATCAAAGATTTAAGAGTCATAGGAAATAGAGCTATGAATGATATGGTTTTAGTTGATAATGCAGCTTATTCATTTTGTCTTTAACCTTTAAATGGAATTCCAATAATAAATTATTATGATAACAAGATGGACTAAGTATAATTGTAATTTATATTTTAGGAATTACTATATTTATAGAATTATCTGATTTCTTTAAAGTCAGTTAGAGATGTTAGATAATATAATAGTCAGAATTTAAAATTAGATAAATTATCTTAATTTTCTGATCCTATAGAATTGTTGCAATAATTATACAAAGATTATATTCCTTGATATATATATATATAATCAATATTAACTATTTGAATAATATCTTGATAGGTTTAATTCAATTTGATAATAATATATGGATATCATTTCTATAATTAATATAAATAATATTTTACAATGGAAGAGTTTGAGATATTAGATTTCCATGAATTATAGGTTGAAAAGTAAGGATTAAATCAAGCTTCTAAATTTTTATAAAAGAAGATACAAAATGGATTTAAAGTCAGTATTGTAATAAAAAAGTAACATAACTTTGCATTGCCTCCTTTGTAATAAAAGAAAAATGATTTATTCTCGAAACATCATTAACCAGTGGACCTAGTAAGATTTTGTTTGAATATTAGGTAAGTCAAAGTTCTGAGAGAACAGAAAACAATGATAAACATGGTTCTTCAACATCTTCTAATTAAAGCATAAAAATAACTAAAAATTAAATTATCTCTCCTACTCAGAATGAAACACCTGAACAATATCCAAATGAATAAGTTAGTCAATAATCTGAGAATGAAGAAGTTTCATTTGACAAATCCAAAGCTAACAGTTTCGAATAGTTACTCTAGGAAGACTAACTTTATAAAAAATTAAGAAATGGTTTGCAATTTCTAAGGGATGGTAAATTTAAAGTAGCATTAGAAAGAATGATGGATATATATAAAGAAGCATATGAAAAATTAAAACAATAAGTGGATAAATTATAAATTTCAGTAATTATATTAATATGTGTTCAATCACTTTGTTATTCATCTTAAATTCTCAAAGAATTAGGATAAATTAATGAAGCATTAAAGTAACATATTTTTATTTAATATAAGATGTTTAGATAAATGTTTAAATTAATTTGAAATTAATGATTTTGATGTATTGTGCAAAATTTATATTGAAAAAGCAAATCTATATTTACTCAATCATCAATATATATAATCCTTAGATTATTATAAAAAAGCATTAATCTATTATGAATAAGTAAATTGGAAATTAGATATTGCTAGAATATTAGTTAAGATATCATTTGTATATGCTTTACTTCGTAATACATTAGATTTAATTTAATAGATGATATTGAAGATGCAAAGAAGATTTGTTATGAAGGACTCTCAATCTTACAAAATAAATTAGATCATTAAGATCAAAGAATATTTGAAACATACTATACTTTGGGTTGTATTTATTATCTAGAAAAAGAGTATGATTTTGCTCTTGAATATTTAGAATAATCAAAAGAGGGTTTCATAAAATTGTATTAATATTATCACATTATAATCTTAATAGATATGGAGAAAAGAATGAATAATTATTTAAAATAATGAATTTATAAGGAGTCATTCATCATTTATAAGGTAATAGCATAAATGCTATGGAGATCTATGAATAAATTATCTCATATTGTGGGTATTAAGACTTATCATTATCATTAAGCGATACTAACTCTATAGTTTTAGCATTAATATTGAATAACTTAGCTTTGGCTTATTTAGATAGAATGAAGTTTAAAAGTGCTAATTTATCATTTACTAAAGCAATTACTATTTTAAAATCATATTTCAATGAAAATCATACAACTTTATAAAGAATAGAAAAAAATAAGATGCTTGTAGCATCCGCTACTTTATCTTATATGTGATTATAATATTTCTATTTTTGTATTATTTTTAAATAGCATATTTAAAGTTATATATATATTTATATGGAATAAGTTTTTATATAAAGAGTTAATCAACTTAAAGAATTGAACTATTAAATCTTATAAACTCTAAAAGAGAATAGCTGATTGAAATAAAAAGATTTCACTTTTTATTAAAAAGCTAAGAGTTTAAAAATTGGATATATCATTTTACCTAAAAGAGTATATTATATGTTCCTGAAAAAAATAAGAAATAATATACATAATTTAAAGCAGCTAATTAAAGATTCCCTCTAAAATTCTTATATTTAGATTGAATAATATCACAACGGCAATTTGGAACAAAAATGGTCAAATAAATGATAATTGCATCAGATTGGAATCCAATTTGATTGACCAATTATCATATAGATAGTAAGCTCGTTTTGTTTTTTATATAAATTAACATGCTTGAATCCCATATATACAATTAGATAATAAAAGATTAAGAATATTGGTTCATTTATAAATAAATAACTTGTTAATATTTGAATGAAGTTAGAAACAAAGTTCAAGTTAGAATAGATAATATTTTAAAGAATTCATTTTATATTATTAATAAGAGTCTTGATACTGTAGTAACATAATAATGAGAATTATGAGTTGAAAGATTGGAGGAGATTAAGTAAATCAAATTTAGGAATTATTAGAGGTTCTAGGAAAGTTTAAGAATCAGAAGAACTATAAAAAAACAAACTATGATTTAACATTATTATAAAGAAAAATTAACATATACATATGAGGAAATCATTTTTATCTCTGATTTTCTTATTCTATAAAATCAGAATGATCTTCTGCAAAATCATCATATCTGCTTTCTTGAAAAAAGTCAACTGGTATTCTCAATAATTCATTTTTTAAACAATCTTAAATATAGGTGTTCTTCATGAAAATCTAATCATAGTATTTGAAAAATGATTCTTCATTCTTTATTTGAGGATTGATAGTTTTGAAATCTCCTCCAATAACTAAGTTTTTAAAATTCAAAGCAACATTTTTAGCAATGTATTTTTACATAATTTGTTTATTAAAAATATTATAATAGATAAATAAATTATATTTCAATATTTATATATATAAATTCTACTTGAGATTGGAATATAATAAAAATTTAAAGTATATTTAATATATCATATTTATTTATTCAATTAATAAATAATAATACATATATTAATAGATTATAGAATACTATTATTATTTATCAATAAAAAATAAATTATTATTATATAATATATTAAATAAAAATATTCAATTTTAATTTAAATATTTATGCAAATCAAATTTAATCAGTGATCCTTACAACCAAATATCATTTATTAATGAAAGATCTTAACTAAGTTTTTTTATACTATTAACAATGTTCTTATTAACTTTAATTTCTTCATTTTATTTTGTAATTCGCAATTAATAATATTTGGATTACAATAAAACAATTTTTGAAGAACTAAAATTATCAAAATTAGGTATATTTGTTTCAGAAGATTTATTACTAAATGCATATTCATATTTCTCAAATATTTATTTTAATGGTTTAAATCTTTCCCTCTACATTTTGCTAAATAAGATTATTTTTCTTTGAATATTTATTTCCTACTATCTTACTAATATATAATTAGAAAGTCTTAGTTTCTTATTGAATGATAACATAGAGAAGTTTGATTAACGATTTTATTATCTAAAAAGGGAATTCCTTTATTATAATAGTTTTAATGGAATGACTTTAGTAATAGTATTATATTCATTTAAATCCTTCCAATCTTCTGGTGGAGTAATATCTATCTATCTTAAATAATCTATCACTCTATTTACACAAAACTAAAATCTTTAAAAAACAATTTATTTGTTTAATTTTGCTTATCCTATAATTTTCTTTAAAAAATTATAATGATAAGTTTAATTAGTTTATAATTGATTTTCATTAGTTTTTCTCTTATTGAATTCAGGAGAAATGTCATTTTCTTGAAAAATGATTAAATTTTTTCGTTTCAATCTTTTTAATTCAACTTTTTATCTAAATTAATTAATTTTATACTTTTTTCAAGCTTAAACTATTAAAGTATTAATTGTTTTCTTCTTGCATATAATTAAGAAACCTCAAAGTTAATAATTTTACTTTGCTTAAAACATTAAATAAATGATTTATATGAAACAATTAAAATAATAGATCTCTATTTAGCAATTGCAAAAGTAAATCGAGGTTATTCATTTAATGCTTCAAATTCTCCAAAAATGGTACCTTATAAGATAGTCAATATATTATATTTATTTTTTGATAGAATTCTAACATCACCTTTGATTAAATAATAGATTTCATCAGATATTTAGCCTTTTCTATAGATAATTTCATTTTTTTCATAAGTTATAAACTTACAAAATTTTAAAAGATTTTATGTATGATTAACATCCTATAAAAAGAATTAAATTTTAATGCATAAATCTAACATTACACTTAAGGTAAAATAAGTTTGAATAGGTTTATGGAATTCATTAACCATTTGAATGATATCCTAATCCCAAAATTGATTGTATTATGCATTTGTTTTAATGTATTTTAAGACTGAATCTTTTAAATCTTCTGGCATTTTAGTTTATAATGCTAAACGATCAAATAAGTAATATTAATTATCATCATTTGATAGATTAGATTACATTAATAATTTAGCAAAATCACCAATTTTAACTGAATAATATCCAATTGAAACTATAATCCAGATAACTGATATTTAATAGTTTTATGATATATCACCATATCCTACAGTAAATAAGGTTTATGATGACCAATATACACTTGTAATATAATTGAAATTATTGTCATGAAATAGAAAAATGCATCCAAAGATATGTATAAGGAGAAATGCATTAAGAATGACATTTAATAAAAATATCCAACCTTCTGAGAGATAATAATTGTTATCTAAAGAGAAAGAGTCATTAATAGTGGTTGTGTAAAAGATCTATCCTTTATAGTTTTTTTATGGTTTTTTAATAAAGTATTTGACTAATCTTAATAATTTAAATAATTGAAGTTCTGATTATTGAATTTATAATTAATATTAAGGTAATGATATAAGATCGAAAATCATCCAAGTTTTGAGATAATTGAAGAATATTAATTTAAATTCTTTAACCAAATTATAATTTTCATCAATGTATGCTGTAATGAAATTCATCATTATATCAATTGCAAAGATTGTATCAATTCCAATTAAAATTTAATCTACATTAATTTGATTAGCCAATTATAATGGAAATATAATTGCATAAAAAAATAATAGTAATTAGATGAATGAATTCCATTTGATTATAAAGTATTGATCAGGGTAAAATGGTAAGATATTTTATTTTTTTTATTTGAAATATTCAATACGTTATCTGAGTTGTTCTTTTGAATATTAAGAGAGTGATTAAAAAAAGCTAAGAATTATGATCAATTTTTTTGTGTTTTCTTAAAATTTAGATCTATAATCAATCACTGGTTTAATCTTAGAAATACTTATATTAGGTGAATAATAAGATGAACTTCTTTTATTAATAAGTTCTTATTTTCTTAAAGCAAAGAAGCTTAATGAGAATTATTTGTTGCCAATTTTTCTTTTTGAAAGCTGTATGTTTTATGAGTATTCAGCAGAATCAGTTGTTGAAGAAATCAAATCTCTATTGGTAGTTATCATATAATATATATATATATAAAATAAATTAATTAGAAACAATTTCATTTATAATTATTTTTCCATTTCAACATTCCTTCATAAACAATTTCTTTTGAAGATGTTTTTTTTCCATGTAATTTCGAATAAGTTTTTAATTCTTTTGCTTATTAAATACACTTAAAATAATATTATATAAATTACTTTAATTTCTATATTGGATATTTCAGTAATTTTGAGAGGAGATTTTGGTTGATTATTATTTATTGTATATTCATTATTTGTACAATCTTTTGCATTTCTAATACTATCATGTGCAGTCCAATCAAATTAAGGAGAAACTGATCTAACTCTTTGATTTACTTTATTATCACCACAATGTCTATCAAATAAATCAGAAAAGTTTTAATTTTAATGTTTCAATTAATTATTTGGATCTTCAACAATTTTAGTTCTGCTTTCACAAACCTATTTTATTTTCTAATAACTATATCCAGATAAAATATTTGATGTATTTTAATATAACATTCTTTATCTATGATCAAGATTTGGAGATTTAGGTCTATCTTCTATATATTTAGGAGGTGATTTAGGAAGTTTAGTTGGTTCGTAAAATATATTTGATCTCTTATCTTATATTGATTTCTCTTGTGCACTCATTTATATTAATTTCATATCCTTATTTATGTATTAATTTGGCATTATTTTTGGTCTCATTGGTGGACTATATTGATGATATGTGTATTAGGAATTCTCACTTATTGGAAATAAAACATTTCGATCATGATCACGTTATTTCATTAAAATTTAAATATAATATATATAATATACAGAAAATGGAAGTATAAAATATTTAATACGAATAATGTGAATTTTGTAATAGAAAGTTTTTTGAAGGAAAATTGAAAATGCATTTAAAATTGTGTAGTAAAGAGAAACCAATGATCTTTGTTGCAAAAGGAAAAGAAGAACTAAAGAAGAAAAGATCAAAATCTATGGTTAAACCAAAATCTTTGGGACCAAAAAAAACTAATAGAGAAAACAGTTCATTAGATAGAAGTTATATAACAACAGCAGAATGTCATATATGTGGAAGAAAATTTAATCCTCGAAATCTAGAAAGTCATTTAGAACTTTGTTAAAAAAATTAAAAAGAATTAATGTATAAAAAAATGCTTATTGAAAAATAACTTAAACAAAAGAAAATTAGTACTTACCATTGTAAACAATGTAGCTATGAAATGGAACAAGATCATAATTTCTGTGGAAGATGTGGTTTTAAAAGAAAATGATGAACAATTTATTAAAATGAATTTAAATATCTTACTCTATAAGTTTGTATATTATTTTACTATCTCTTTAAATACATCAGATATTATATTTTTACTAATATCTTAATTTAACTATTAGATACATAAAATATAATTTTAATAATAAAATAAAATTAATTATCATACTTATTTAAGAGTATCATTCAAAATCAAATAAAAGTTGATATTGATATAGGATATAAATGATAGAATAATGAAGATACATAAATAAAATAAATAATATATATAAAATATATAATCTCAAAATGGTGAGTTTTTGAATTATACATATATTTAATCATTATTTTTAAAGTGGAATTCATTTATTCATTAAGAATAATTGATTTTTTTATATTTATTAGGTTTGGAAATTACTGTATTTTTATGTCTCTATTTTTTGGTATGTTGATATTTGTTAATTATTAAGTTTATAAAGAGGAACTTGATTGAAAGATTTTAGTAGTAAGTTTTCTGTTAAAAATATTAAGTGAGGAGAAACATGTTTTAATATGAAATTTAATTTAGATAAATAGAATTGGAATATTGATATTGATGAGAAAGAGAAGAATGGAGGTTTGAAATATAATATATAAATAAATATATAATGAAATAAAGACCAACCACTGCGAAAGTTCCAAAAACTATTGATTAAAGGGAAATACAATAGCTACATGATTTAGATAGTAATTTAGTTGTTAGAATCTAGGTCATTAATATTAATTAATTGGTAGTAATCTTTCTCAATTTACAATTTTGAATGAATTGGGAAAGGGTTCCTATGGAGTGGTTTATAAGGTGAAATCTAGTATGGATGGAAATACCTATGTTCTTAAGAAGATTAATCTAACTCATCTGAAGCCTAAACATCAAGGTATGTGTGTTTCATATTAAAAGCTGAGGCACTCAAAGAGGCATAACTTCTGAGGAAACTGAAACATCCAAATATTATCACATATTATATGAGTTTTATTGAGCAAGACAATCTTTGTATCATTATGGAATATGCCGAAGGAGGAGACCTTTAGAAAGTAGTCATAAATAAGCTATTTAGTTACTAAAAGATTATAAGGAGAGAAGAAAATTTATGTAAGAGGAAACCATTTGGGAGATGAGCAGGGAACTTAGTTCTGCATTGTAGCATCTGCATGAAAACAACATCATTCACAGGGATATTAAAACACTCAACGTATTTCTTACAAAAGATAAACATGTGAAATTGGGAGATTTGGGAGTATCCAAAATATTCAATTCAGACACAGCACTCTAAGGCACTCGAGTGGGCACTCCTTTATATTTGTCTCCAGAACTTGTTTAACATTAGCCCTATGATTATAAGGTAGATATCTGGGCTTTAGGATGTGTAGTATTTTATATGGCAGCATTGGAACCACCATTTTAGGGAGAAAATTTGATTGCATTGGGATATAGTATAGTTAATAGAGCACCTAAAGCATTACCTCCTTAATACTCAACAAGTATAAATTGTTTAAGTAAATTATGAAAGGACTAAGCCAGTTCATTTGGAAATTGCTTGAGAAGATTCCAGCATTGAGACCTAGTATATAAGAAGTTAATACAATATATTTCCAATAAAGAAGTCAGCCATAAAGAATTTCATAGTAGATTTTTATTATTAATATAGACAACTTGATGATATATTACCTTAAGTGTAATATCAATAGCACTAATAATAAAGACCATAAACTTCAAATCCAAAATCATATGCTATGTAAGCCTAGGAAACTGAAAAGATGAAGAAAACAAGGAAACCATAATAGTAAGACTTAATTAGTAATGGATCTGATACTATTTATATGGGAGATGTTATTGATGTAACCTAGAAATAGGTAGAGAATGAGCAAATATCAAGAGCTTAATAATATTAGTAGTTATTAAAAGATCAACAGGAGAAATTAGAGAAGGAAAGACTTGAAAGAGAGAGGATAGATAGAGAGAGATAAGAGAGAATGGATAAAGAGAGATAGGAGAGATTGGAGAAGGAGAAATAAGAAAGATTGGAAAGGTAAGAGAGAATAGAAAGAGAGAGAATTTTGAGATTAGAGAAGGAGAGATAATAAAAAGAATAATAGGAATAAGAAAGATTAAAGTAATTAGAATAATAATAATAATAATAATAATAATAATAATAATAATAATAATAATAATAATAATAAGTCTTAAAGATTCAATCTAATCATGTTGAACTTTATATATAAGATATTGATGATAAATAATTTCAAGAAGAAAGAAAGAATTCATTTTCATTAGAATAAGCACCTAAATTTAAATTAGAAATTAAACATAGTAAACCATAAAATACTTATAAATCTAATGTTTAAATTAGACCTTTATCAGCATAAGCAAGAGGGTCATCAATTGCAAATATATCTTGTAGGGCTAAACTAATTCCTGTTCAGTAAAATTAATCAGTTAAAGAAGTCAAAAAATTCACAATCTTAGATTTGAATCCAAATTCAACTTAACCATCTTTACATTAAGATATGCCTATATAACAGGAACCTTATATTAAGTATCCCAATACTAATGGTGGTTAAAATACTGTTATTAATAATGTGAATAATATCGTAAATAATTAACCAAATAAAACAAAAGAAAATATTCGTATAAAAAGTGCACTTATTTAATAATACTCAAATAAAAGATAACAATAAGATCAATAATCAAATTAAATTGTGAAACATTATACGTTAAAAGATTTGGTAGAATCATGATATTAATTATTTATTTTTTGGATATATGATCATAAATTTGTAATGATATTTGTTTTGATTCTATCCTATATTTCTTAAATTTGTTTATCGATTTAATTCAATTTTTCAATATCAAAATTATTGGATCTACTCAATCTAACAAAGTTTTTATTAATCAAATAATCTGAGAATTTACTATGTGACCATTCATCATTCAATCTATGATTATTTAATAATTTACTTGAAATATTAATAAGATAAATAGATCATTCCACCTGTATTCAAAAAATAACCTATAGGTTCCATCACATCCCAATTATAGTATACATATATACCAGCACCCATAAAACAGAAATGACCACATAATACTAAAAATCCACCAAACATTTAAATCTTAGCAAATTTAACTGCTGAATCCATAATTTCTTTCTTTTTCTCTTCTAATTATTCTTTAGTTTTTTTCAACTCAAAATATTAAGTATACATATCAGTTTCATGATCTGATTAAGTGTTTCTCATATTAGTGTAAGAATCAAGAATTACTTTTACTAGATCATTGTATTCTATCTTCTATTGAGATGAAGAATAGTTTTTGAAAAAAGTTGTCTTGAAATTTTATTATAATACATAATCCATTCTAACCAAATATTAAATTAGAATGTTCTTTTCCAACATAGGTACATGTTTACGAGTGAAATAGGATTTACTTATATTATAAATTATTCATTTACATATAAGAATAATCGTCCTTATCATACCCTGATAATTATTTAACAAAAAATAAATGTTGATTGTTTGTCAATAAATAAAAAGGTTCTTTTATTACTTATTCCATTGTATTTACACCTGCTAATGGAACTTTGTCAATTGAATATAATGTAACATTATCTTTTAACTAAATAGTAATATCAACTGTACATATTCTTAACAATTCTCAACAAATTCTTTTACTGTTAAATCTGGGTCGATCTACAATTCAACATTATTGGTAATATTCATAGCATCATCTGTTTCATTAGGACTTTTTGTAAATTCTAAACTCAGTATATATTAGTCTTTTAGTTATTCAAGGTAAGCTGTTTTAACCTTCAAAAAATTAACATGTTTCAAATCTACAAGGTCTTTAGGCACATTCTATAAAATTGAGCAGAACCTTTTACAAACTTTAAAGAGTTGCATTTGATATTAATATTTATATTTATCTAATTATAATTGTATTCTTATAATTTTACAATCTATGAATCAGAATTAAAAGATAAAATAACAACTTTAGATACAAAATTTATTTAATAAAATCAAATGAACAACTTTTTCATAGCTTAAGCCAACTACTTATTTTTGCTAGATTCTTTAATCTCTATTTATTTCAATTAAGGACTGATATCTATTTTATTATCTGATTTTTGCACTTCCAACAATTATACTCTAGCTTCCTCCAGATTATTTAATTCAATATTGCAAATAGCTAATCTATATAGAACTTTAATATTTCTATTAATCTCTAAACTATTTATAGCTGCTTCTTTTCCTTTTATATATTTCTATTAATTTATATAGACCTAAGCCATATTTCCATAAGTCAAACATTTCAACTCTCGAATGGCATTGGTCTATTCTTAGCTTGTTAATTAAACCTAATAAATACATCATCTTAATTTACCTTAGAATATGATTTAAATTCATCTTCTTTACTTATAAAACCATTGATGTATAAAAATACTTTGTGATAACAAATTAAGGCTTTCTTCCAATCCTAATTTTTATAATACTAATTTCCCTCTTCTTTAAATTATTATGCCATTCTTATATTCTCTTAAACTTATTTATCATAATCTTGCATCCTAATTAATAATATAAATTATCAAAATATTGGTCATATATTCATTTCTTTAAAATCCTTTTGTATTTCTAAACTATGTTTTGTTATTGAATTTGCTTTTTAAGTATAAATAAGAACAAATACTTTACAATTATTCTATAATACTCTAAAATTTTAACATGTCCATAAGAAATGATAAAATTAATAATTTAATAAATGTTAATCTACTAAATATAGAAAAAATATAAAATCAATTTGGAGGATCAACCATAAAAATTAACAGATATGCAATTATATCTTTTATCTTCCAATTTTGTAACCAAAGCTATAGTAACTCATTTTTTTATTTTTTAGTGGTGTAGGTATGAAATATCCATAATTCTCTAATTAATTATGTTTATGTTATGCAACTTTTGGTATATTGATACAGTTAAATAAAGTATTAAAGGTGATAGTGACTATATTAAATTGTTACAAACATTTTGGTTGGAAATGTTTATAGATGATACCATACGAACAACTACTGGTTCTGTTGCTGGAACAACTTCATATAAATTCACTTTTATTCTTATTGATGTTTTTCTTTGTTGAAGTACTATGGATATTTATTATATGCTTATTCAAGAATCAATTAGTTTTTCATTGAATGTTATTGGTATTTTTTGGGTTTGATTCTTGGTTAAGGAAGTTAGATATAATTGGAGAGATTAGACAGTGATAGATGCAGAGAAGAAGAGAGAATTAGAAAATAAAGGATAATTGATTGTAAATCAAAATTGATTTTTATATTACATTACTAAGATTTCTATTTGTAATTTATAGATTAATAATTTATTCTAAAATTAATATTTTATATTGTAAAATGGATAGAAATGGAGAATCAATGTTAACATCAATTTTTTGGAGAGAAATCAATGAGTAATTTTTCATGGTTTAATCTCCTATCAATAAATCTGATATTAGAATCTTTAAAAAGAAATGTAATCATATTATTCATAAAATAGTTTCTAATAATGTAAACTTAAATTGTCATAAATTATTAGATCTAGTTCTTAGAAAGAATAAGAGATCTAAATTATCTTAATTCAACTTCATTAATTTAAATTAAAGACTTTCATTACTCTTACAATAAAGAAAACATCGTTCAGATCCTATTTAAAATTTAATTGATGAAATGATAGACCAAATTTGTTTTACTCATCTTATCTAAGAATTACAGAAGTCTTAAGATCTTATTAAAAATATGTCCCAAAAATCAGAATAAAAACAATAACTTATTTATAATTAAGAAAATTAAATCTTAACTAATTTACATCACATGATAGATTCTAAGGATGAATTAAGCCAAAAAATATTATAACTTGAATAATAATTAGAACAACTTGATACTTCAAATACTCTATAATAGTAAATATTTTAATTAAATATTATTAGACTTGAATAACATATCCAAGAAATTAATAATACTCTCCTTTTTACTTATTCTTGCTAGATTCTTCAAGAGAATTCAATTAAATTAACCAGATCTAGAATTAAAAATCAATAAGAAGAACTATCAATATTAAAGAATTTAATAATTTTACATGAAGATTATCAAGTTGCTGAAAGTATTGGTAAAGCTACCTTCAATTAATAAAGTAAATTCAACTAACAAATTATGAAAAGGTAACACAATTACTGTGATCTTTGATAAATATTTGAGTCAAACTTAAATCGATCTCAACTTGGAACATTTTGAATAACTTTAAAAATTAAGAGAAATACCTTATGAATTCCCTGATTAATTGTGTGGACTCAGATCTGATGTATAATTTTAAGTTATTTAGAATGTATTCGAAATGGAAATGTGCCATTTTTGTAAATTAATGATTGATATTAAAAATCTGAAATAATGTTAATATAATCATTATTAAATGGGTTTACATGAATATGATGAAGATTTATTAATCTGTTAGAGATATTAAATAAATATAAAGTCATAATAATCATATATTTTAGATCTTTATTCTACAAATTACATAATTGAAAGTACATTTAAATTATAATATATCTTAGATTAATAGATTCAATGTAAAAGATACTTTTGTTTAAAATGTTTAAAATATGAATTTGATTCATATGATATTAATCAATTTCTGTGGATTTGTCCATTATGTAAAGTAAATAATGTATAATATTTAATCTAGGGATTATGTACTTGTATTAGATGTTCTAAAAATGAAACTATTTATAAATTAAAAAGATAATATTTAGAATTAGATGGAGATTTAGAAGATATATATTAATCATCATATTTTGAAATGCTTGTTAAGGAAAAAAGAAAATTAATTAAAAACATTCCTATTGAATTTAGTAATTTATTCAAAAATTAATATGAAAATAATGAAGACATTGTAATACAAAAGAGTTAACTTAATGACAAGAAATAAATTACCAAAAGAATTTTTAAAAAGAAAATCAAAAAAAATGATACAGTATTAATATCAAAATCACATAAACTTACACATATTGAAAGTTCATAATCATCAGTAAAAATTAAGAAATCAAATAAAATCAAAAAGAGTACTTTGTTTTTTAATAATAATCATAATGATCCTTTTAATTAATAAATCTTTATTTAATGATTTTGTTTATGATTTTCTTTTATAATCTTTGTCTTTATAAATTTAATATTTTAATTCCTATATAATATTTTATGCAACCTTAAAATGAATGTAACCATTTACTTAAATTTTCAGAATTGGGTTTAAAATATAAATTGGATTGAATTTAATATCTGACGAATTTTTAATATATTCTTAATATAAAAAATAATTCAGCATAAACTCAATATTCTCAAATTCATAAATGAATAAAAATTAAATAATATAATTTTATCCAAATTTTTTTCTGAATTCAATGAATTGCATTTGCTTGATATTTCAATTTTTGTTGTGATTATTTATTAGAACGAATTAATAATGTAATTAATGTTAAATAATGAATTAAATGAATTTGTTAAGAAAGCATATAAACACAATTTATTGAGTAAAACAATTTAATATATCCTTCAAGCTCCATTAATAAGTAAATTAAGAATAAGAACATAAGTATTAAGTGGATCTGTTAGTATAGATTAAAGTAAGAAATAATCAAGAAAAGTAACAAAAACAAATGAAAATGAGATTATTTAACAATAAAAAATTAGTGATCAATTTACAGGAAGAAGTAGTTCTAAACTGTCAAGCTCTATCTTGTTAAGATAAGAGAGAAGAAATACATAATGTCATTAAAAATTGATTAGAATTTTATCCATTTCATAAAATGAAGTACCTTAATAATTAGCTGATGTTTTGGGAGAAATTAGTAAAATTGAATTGGAATCTGATGCTAAATTAAGATGTAAAACAATATAGGTTAGAAACATAAGGATTAAAAAATAATAATTAGTTAAATATTTATAAAGACATTATCCTGACATTATTTGTGAATAAATAGCAAAGGTCTTGAAAATTCCTCAAATTCTTAGTTTTAATTAATATCAACAGTTGATAAAAAAAATTGAAAATTTAGACTTAAAATAATAAATCCGTATCTGTTTTCTAGTATATGATTTAAATAATTAAGCAGAAATAACTACCCATAATTTAGTTGAATTATTAAAGCTCAATGCTAATCCATCAATTGAATTAGATATTCTCCACATGATTAAATAAACAAAGGTTTAGATATCAAATTAGATAAATAATGATATTAAGTAGATGAATCCATTCACATTACCACTTAGTGTATTGAGAGTCTAATTAGATTAGAGTGTAATTTTATCATAAAGAAGATATTCAGTGATATCAAATGATGGTAGAAGGAGACTCTTTGATAAAAATAATTAGAGGAACTCAATTGATTTAAATGTTGAAATTGATTAAGATTGTACAAATCATTCTAGAAATACTCCTACTAAAAAGAAAGTTATGTTGATTACTTAAATAAATAAAGATGAATAAGAAATTGATATTTAAGGTACTATATAGTATAAATCTGAAAGAAAGAAAAAGAGAAGCAAAATTATGAAAGATGAAAATAAGATTAGTATAGATTTGAATAGATTTCTTAATATATGGTATCCTTAAAAACCTAATTTGTTTAATGATATAATACGAACTCTAACTGCAAAACCGTGATTTATTATTATTATTAAAATTTGATTTTAAATATAAATTAAATTAAAATATAATATAATCAATTTTTGAATTTGGGTGATTCAGCTAAAATTAATTTTTTTTAATTATTCAACATAAGTAATTAAGTAAATTAAGATGTTTTATCTGGATTTCTTATAATTTATTGATCTTTCATAATAACTTAATCTTCATCAATTGAATTATTTGTTTCACATGTTTAAAATAAATTCTCTTATGTATATTAATTATTATTTTAAGTACATGGTTAAGTATTATTATTATCTTTCAATTCATAAAAATCATCCTTATTTTAGAATGAAATAAATAAAGATAAATATGTTTAAAAAGATTATGATAATTATTTACATAACAATTAATTTTGTTATGTAAAATTATCATGTAACTTTTAAAACTAATGTATAACTAATTCTTGTTAATTTAATTATTAAGTGAAAATAGAATGTTCTTAAAATCTCTTTTAATAAATCTACATTATTTCATTAAATGGTCCCATTGTCATATATTCAATGATATTAAATTCATTAGATAAGATATCATCTTCCATTTTCTTTAATGAATCTATAGTTGATCTAATTTAATATTATTCAGCATTTAAACATTTCTCAATTTACTTTATAACTTCATTCTAATTTTAATAAAACAATTTAATACTTTTAATTAAAGTAATGGTTGAATTGTATTATCAAATATTTTATCTATAGATTACTTAATATCTGATATTTTCATATTTTCTAAACATTATTTAGTCTATTATATTAATTATTTGAATGATGTAATTTTCTCTTATCTCATCTCTTTCTCTCTAACTTCAGGACTTTAAGTACTCTAATAATAACTAAACTAATATTACTGTATAAGTAGATAATGAGATAGTTTTGGCTTTTGGAGATGGTTAAACAGTTTGATTTAACGAATTGTATTGATTTGTATTTATTCTTTTTTCTTCATTTACTAATTTTTTAAAACAAATAATATTACATAGATAATTATTAAAATTTAGTTTTATACCAGCATAGCAATTCTATTAAGTTAAAATAGGATTAGTTCTATTTTATATTTTCATAAGCGATTTAAGAATTTAACCTTCTTTATTATATTTAATAGAAATACAATTATGTAATTTTTGATCAGAAGGTTGAGTAGAAGTGACTTTTTTTGGTTAATTTGGAGTCTAGTTTTAAATTTCATTAAGTAATGATTTATTCGAATTAGAGTTCTTCTCCAAAGAAGATGTTTTTTATTTGTTTTTATTTAAATAAGTAGGTCTTTGGTTATTGTTTAATCTGATGTTTTCTTTTAAAATAGGGCTTTTGTGCATTACTATATTTTAACAACCTTTTTTATTAATTAATTATGTAATTGGATTTATATAAAGAGAGACAATAATAGAATGAAAATTCATAACAGGTTAAAGCAGCAGAAGCATTTTAATCATTAGTACAATATATGAATGAATTAACGGATATAGTGAATAAGATTAAATTAAAGAATGAAGCTGAATTTGTTATTGCTTATCAAAATCATATGAAAAAAATTAAAGCTGAATTAAAAGAATTACGAAATAAAACAGAAGAACAACATAGTATTCAAACTTAAAATAAAATAAATGTTACAAATAATGAAAATGAATTAGTAATTATGATTAAATAATTAGGTTTATTTTAGAGAAGAATGTTTAAAATTATATTAAAAGGTTGAAATGAAAAGTAAAGAAAACTATGAATTAAGATATAAATTAACAGAACTTTAAAAAACTAATGATTTCTTAGAATAATAAATCAAATCATTAATGAAAAAAGTCAAATTATAAGAAATAGATAAAGAAATATTACCAATTGTCTAATTAGATTAAATATTTTGTACAACTACTCCTGTTAATTAATAAAGTATCAATATTTAATTATAATTAAGAATATAATAAAAGAAAGTTAACTGAATATCAACCCAAAGTTGAATTGTCATCATCATTATCTAAGCATCATTAATCCTCTATTAAAGAAATGTTTCCTGTTGATGAATTAAATAAAGAAAACTTTAAATATAATGATATTGTAGATAAATTTACTAAGTATATATATATAATAATATTAGATATGTGACCATAATTGAATAAAAATATTAAAATTAAAACAAAATTTTAAATGAAAGAGTATAAAAACTTTTAATATCATAAAATAAGAAAAGCATAATTAGAAGTGATCTAGAATATTGTTTCTTAGAATGTGTTGATGCTGTAAGAAGAGAAATTTAGAAAAAAAGACCTCTGGGAAATTTCTAATAATATCAATCTTATTTAGATACTATATAAGATTTTCAATAGTTCTATAAAGAAGATAAAATCAAAATATTAGAATTAGTAGTTAGTAATGAAAAGTTATTAGTTTTTATCTACTAGAAATTATTTCCAAATCATGTTAATTTAGTATTATAGTCTATAAAAGAAGATAAAAATCTTAAGACCTTTTTAGATGAAAGTTTTAAGCATTCAGTAACAATGAATAATAACAATAATGAAAGTATTAATGTCAATCATCTTATGACACAATATAAAATTGAAGCACCTAAAACTACAAGAGAAGTTAGATCAATTTCTTTAAATAAATAGTTGGAAATGAGAAAAGGAAAATTATTATTTAAATAATATTGAAATCATGATGTACTCTATATCTATAATCTATTATAATTACAAGATTTTAATACATTTTTCATATCAAACTTTTCTATATTCTAATATTCAAATAAAAGATTTATAAATAATATTTAATCAATTAGTAATAAAATATGTCTAATTTTTTGGTAAATAAGAGAATTTCAAAAAATTTTAAAATCTTTGATTGATAATTATAAAAAAAAATACTATTTATTTAAGATACCATCTTATTTATATAGGAAAATCTTTAAATTAAACAAAAATTGAAATAAAGGGTAATTAAGTTATATTTATAAAGATATGGAAAGTTATCAGATAATTTAATAGTGAATCAATTAAAATAAATAATTATAGATTGTAATTAGTTCTATATTTGAATTAATCATTACAATCTAATATTCAAATTTATGAGTAATTTAAATTCAAAATTATTTATATATATATGGATTTTTAAAGTATATATTAATAAATTTAGATTTTGATTAAACACATTTTTTTATAATTAAAATATATAAGATAGTTTTCTTCTAAGTAGTATTTAAAGGTATTCTTAAATATTCTAATCAAATTTAAATTAGTAATACTTTGTTAATGAGATTAGATAAGTATTAACTTTTTAAATAGAAAGTTAAAAACAAAAATAAAATTTAATATTTAATATTTAATGTTATTAATATAATTGATATTTATTAATGACTTGTCACTAATTTTCAAAATAAAATTTGTTAATTTGATTATTCTTAATTTGAGTTTTAGCTTTATTTTTTGGATTGAAATAAAGCATAATAGTGTTCTCGCACTAATATATTATATTTTTATTTTTTTTGCTTTTTTCTCTTAAAACTATTGCGAGCATTGATAAACCAATTTAATATCTTAATAAAAAATAATTAATACCTTCTTCTTCGATAGCTGTGTTTTATTGATTAATTTTTTGATTTCCAACTAATTTGGGTATGGATAACTATAATTATGTAAATACCATTTCTTAAGTATTATATTTGTTTTGGTTGGGTATACTTTTGAAAATAAATCTAACAATCATTGAAATGAATGAATACCTTATGATGTTTATAAAAGTTTAAGTTTTAGTATGTCTTAATACAACTTTGTTTTATTGTGTAATTATTCCAAAGCTTCTTCGAAATATAGGTTTAACTATTAAGAAGTCATGAAACAGATCGATTTAGTATTTCCAAATTATGAACGAAGTTGGGCAAAGTATTAAGCAATATATTTTTCAAATTATTCGAATTGGAATAAGTCCTTATTTGTATTATGTTCATGATCATGAAGTTGTGAATTATCAGATTGTAGTTTCTCATTTTACTTCAATTATTCTTGTTTACTATAACTTAAACATTAGAAAAACGTAGATTCGAGCTTTGATATTTTGATTTGAATATCCTCATACTTTCCAGTATTAATCTTCTGATAAAGATTAAGATCTAGATGTTAAGGATTATCATCAACTTGAATCATTGATATAATTAATTTACCACACGAATCAATAATACAATTTAATATAGAGGCATAATTTATGATGAATCTTTATAATTAATTAAAGTGAATCAAAATAGCAATTCATTATAATCTCTATCTCCTAAAGCTTTAATATATTCTAATTCAATAAACAAGACTACTATCAATTTTATTAATAATAACAAAAATTTATATATAGTTGTTCTTAATTAGTAGCTAATTACAATTACAATATTCTCATAATCATACTCTACATATCCTGGAATATTCTCAAAATCTTATTTCTATATCACATTGAATCAATAAAAAATGAGAAATTTTTCAACTTCTATTTGATTTCCGATTAGTGATTACAGAGAATTATATAATAATGAATTATATCCATCAAGCAAACAATAATAATTCTGAAATTGTGAATAGAAGAATAATTAAAATTTACACTCAATTGTGTAATGCTAAGATGTCAACATAAAATAATTAAGATATTATTCCAATAAACTTAAATAAAATTCTTTTATTAAAAATAAATATTATTTTTAATAATTTAATCATTTTTTATATATATGAAAATCTCTCCTTAAAAGAATCCATAATTTAGTGTTCATCAATCTAAAATGTATATTAAATTGTCTAATTAAATCAATATTAATTATGATAAAAATAAATACTATAAAAATTAAACAATTTTTATTAAATTAGCTTGTATTATTGTTTTCTTCTTAAGGATTTTTTATGAATTATTAAGATGGTTCAATAACCATAATATATTTGAAATCTGATTAAATTTGATTTAAATAATTAGGGAATTAATATTATTGAGATGTCTTACTTTTTTGTTATCATACTATTTAAGTTTTTGTACCTTTTTTATATATATTAAAGATTTATTCATTATTAATAATTCTTAACTTGTTTAAGATCAACGATGATTTTCTTTTTCGGATGTATCCAAATAAACTTTTATTTATTTATTTATTTATATATTAATTAATTTATATATAAATATATTATTCAAATTAAATCTTCATCACTATTATCATCTTACAAATTAAATTATTTATCCATTAATTATTATAAGTTTTCATCATTATAAAGACATATCTTTTCTATTAGGTTATAAAATACTATTTGCTTAGATTTTGGGAAAAGGGTATAGAATAATTAAAATTTTATTAATATGATTATTTGATCTAGTACATTTATGATGTTGAAGTAATAGATTTTTGTGGTAATTGTGGTTTTTCTTGTTGTTACTATTGTAATGATTGTTATTGTTACATCTATTATTATTATAATTGCAACTATTATAGCTTTCACTTATCTATTACTATCATATAATTTATTATTCAAATTATTATTAGAACCACTATAAATTTTAAGTTTTGAAAATAAAGTTTATTTTCTTTATTACTATTATTTTAATTGCTTTGATTTTTTGTGTTTATTTTTTATTCTTTAAATTGGGACACTTTATTGTAAAAATTTTATATTATAAATCAAATAATTTTACTTCTAAAACCCTAATCAAAATAATTTTTCTTATAATAATAAGTAATAATATTCTGTATCAAATTTAAATAATAAAAATTTCAATTTATCTTAATTTTATAGAGGTTTAATCAATTATAAAGTTTATTCTCTTTACATTTATAATAATAATTTAATAATTTCTTATCCTTCAAATTTTGCATATGATACTATAGAATCTAAAAATTATTGAAATTGATCACTTCAATCTTTAACTCTCAATTCTCTTACAAATAGAAATAGATGTTCTTGATTCTATTGATATCTAAATAAAACTGCGAATAATTTAAATAAGATTATCTAAATTTCTTTTTATTTTTAATATAAAAATATTTTATCAATGATTTCTTTCAACAATTATTCATGTAATTATATCAAATCATATAAATTTTCTATTTAATTGGTGTCTCAATTAATAAAATGGATTATTGAATTCATAATTTACAAACTAAAAGTAAGAACCTTGTTTATATTAGATTTTCCAATTAAGTGATATTAATATTTAATTTATTACATCAATGATTAAATAAGAGTTCATTCAACTCTTTTAATACCCCATAAATAATTGAATATTTTATAATAATTTAGCATAATTCTATGATTAACAATAGTTTTTAGTTGTTGTTCAAATTCATAATCTAAAAAATAGATATCCCAACCTATATCATTTTTTGGGATTCTAACAATTTAACTGTAAATCTCTATTAGATAATCTAATTTGCATTACTCAATCTAAGAGTGCATTCAAGTAAACCCATCAAAATATGTTCCCTTTTTGATAATTCTACATATAGGGTTTAAATCAATAAATTAGAGAAATTACTCTTCATTAAAAGCTAAAAACTTGCTTACTATAAACGCACAAATAGTTCTGCTATCTAAACACATCCATACTTTTAAAATTTCTCGAAAACATTAGAATAGGATGTAGTTTAAAGGGAGTGTTAGATTGAATTATGGAAACTAATTAATTTAAGAATAACATATAATCTAGTGAGGATGAGAGATGAAAGTGAATTCTCTTAAAGTGATCCTATTAATTTATACTATTCTGACAATTCCAATTTAATTACATATTGAATCATCTTGTTGTATATTGACTCACATTTAGAAATCAAAGTTTACTAAATGTCATACAGATATTAAAACATCCATTTTCATTCTTATATATTTTCTTCTCTATTACCATATCATCTATTTCTTAATATTTAGTTTTTTTAATTCTAAATCGTTTATTAATATGTTTATTAATGTATTATCTTATATTTATTATGGAATAGATAGTCTCTCTAATTCAAATACTCTTTACTGTGTATTAAATTCCATCTAAAATTGATATTTGTAATAATATTTATACTTTATAAATATTATAAAAATAAATGTATAATGTTTGCTATTTTTTGATAATAAATAAAAGCTTAATTAAAAAATTGGAATAATAATAAGTCTTTAATATAATTTTAATTGATGTAAAATATCATATTTGATAATATTCATTTAATCACAATTTTTCTATGAGTAATAAATTAATCTTTCTCTTATTATATTTATTGACTGTGTCTTTCAGTAAGAAAATTCAGACGTTTGTTTTCTATTTAAATATAATAAATTTATAAATACAGAATTCTTCATCTAAATGAGGTTCATTATGATTATTTAAATTTTAAAGATTTAATTTGAAATCAAATTTTTTATGATTTTATATAGATTGTGTAGCCAATTAAATGTATTTTTTGACAATATCATCTGTTTTCTGTGTATTAATATTCAATACTTTAGATTGACTATGATTCTACTATTACTAATGCTATGATTTAGTAGCAAAATCAAATCCTGCAGTTTTCTTAGTATATTAAGATTTGGCTTTATTATTATTGGCAATTTTGAAAGTGGACATTGCATTATACTAAGATGGTATCATATAATTGAATTCAGGTTTTTTTTATGATTCTGCATTTTAAGAACTTTTGATTTTAATATCATGTAACTTAGTAAATAAATCTTCAGATATAGGCAACTATTTCATATTTCTATCAGTAAGACATCCTCCTTTTGCTATTCTATCTAATTAATTTTAATTAATTTTTTTTTATGATGATGGCTAATATACTTTCTTAATTTAGTCTTGTCTTTATGATATATTTTATATACTACCATTATTGTTATTTTGATCTTATTTAATACTTTTTTAAGAACCTTAATATCCCTATATAAGAGTAGATGTACTTGCAACTAATAAATCTTATGAAATTGTTGATTTTAATTATCTTTTCTGATTTCCCTAATATTCCTTAAGCATCTTTTATATAGTGATATTATCACTCTAAATTCTAGACATCTTATTCTTACCTTCCATATCAGATGGTTCTATTTATCCAGAAACATAATCACAAAATTAATCAACTTATTAATCAACTGAATCCTTGATCTTAGAAATCTTGAAACTTGATTAAGAATGTTTTGATTCACTCTTAGAATTAGCAAAAATAGCTATAGAATATATATATAGATTCATATACCTTTTTTCTCTCTTAGATCCATATTATTAGTTCTTCTTTAAACACTTTTGATTGAATGTAGATCCTTAATGAGATTGGTTTATATATTTTATTGACTTAGAGGGGCAGATTTGATATAAAAATTTGGAGACAATAATTTATTTTTGTTTGTCATTTTATTAATACTGTGATATTACTTGTCTAATAATTCAAGAAATAATTTATTATCTTCATAATTATTAAGGAGACTAATTCCTTTAAAATCTAAACGATTTTATTTATTAGGTTGATCCTATGAAGAATAGATATCATGTTCTTCAGTTTCATAACTGATTTGAGATTTTGATGATAGTTTTGAATTGAGGACATTATTAACAACAACATGATTTTATGATTGATTTGGATTTTCACTTTCTTGCATTCTCTAATAATAGAGTTTATCAATTTTCTTATTTCTTTTAGTCATTAAAGTATGACTTTCAACTACTAATAAGTAAGGATGTAGCTCTTTGTAATTTGTCACATAAAAATCTGTCAAAATATCTAGTCTGGGTTTGACTTCTTCTTTCTTATAATATCTACATGTTAAGGAAGTTCTACTACCTTTTCATGTATTCTTATTATTCATCTAATATCACATAATCCTTAAAATAGATTACATGAGGAGTATTAGCAATTTAAGATAGAATTTCATTGATGGGTTTAGCAAAATAGAAGTTGAAGGCTTCAAAATATTTCAATTATAGTTTCTCTAATATGAGCATTCTTTAACTTTATCCACACAATTTACAATTATTTTACATTAAATTTAATCTAATATAAATAATATATAAAAACTATGAAGAAATTGAAGAGTAAACTAGAAAGTACAAATACAGATAGTTTTGGAATATCGAGAACTGACTTTACAAGAACTCAAAAATCACATAGAAGATATTTAGTCAATACTTCAATCAAATTTAAAACAAGCTCAAGTGAATTAAATAGAATGGAGTTACAGGAAGAAGAGGATTAGAAGATTGTTAATCCAATTTATTTGAATAAGATTAGATAATAAAAGAAATCTTAAAATACTTTTAAAAGGACTGATTATTTTCACTTAAAAAAGATTCCTTCAATAAATAGTCAAGATATATGCTAGAAAAGTAATAGATTACAATAATTATCTTCATGTATAATCAGATGTTATTCTGATGAGATAGCTAGTCTTAAAGATATTTAAACCATTGATGATATAGAGTTTGATAATTATGTATCAAGATACTTAAACGAAGCTTCAATAAGTATTGATATCTTAATTAAGAAATTATAATACTTGTAGTAATACAAATAAAACAGAGAGAAGAGTGAATAAGAAATGAAGGAAATAATGTAGGAATGTTTTAAATAGAAGAATGTTTGTATTTAATAAAGGTTTTGTTATATATTTGGTAAAATGGAATAGTTATTTTTTAATCCAATATCTGGTGCAATTTACTTTAAATTATGCAAACGTCTATCTGATAATGAATAGTATTATAGAAATAAAATGAAAGCATATAGAGGTTTGGGAGAATGTTTATTAAGAGTTAGGCCCAAATTAAGTTAACTATATTTTACTAAGTATTTAATGTCAGCTTGGAAATTAAATGAAAAGAATCATGAATTATATGCATATGATTTATTAGGAAAATATTATTTTTATGTTGGATAAATAGAAAAGGCTAAGTAATTTCATGAAAAGATGATTGGAGGATATTGTGAAGTATTTTTAATTTATATTTATATATATAGGTTCCAGATTCAAGAGTAAGAGTTTTAGCATAAAGTAGATTAGAATAAGGAAGTTTATCAAATAGAATTAATAGAGAACATTAAGTAGTCGATATTGATGTTGTTACATCAGATGATGAATGTTATGAAATAGTATTAACTTAACCTTAACCAGTATAAGTTACATTTGTTGGTTCTAGTAAGTATTTTTAAAGGAAAATACCAGATCCAAAAATTGTTAAAGAGGAAGCTAATACAAACATTAGATAAAAGAAACCTAAATTTAATTCATAAATTTTAGAATCTGGTGGTTAATTTGATATGTCTAAATTAGTAATATCAAATCCACATCTTAATATTGGAGTTATAAAAGATAGGGTATTATTGAGTCATATGACTCCAAATAGAAAACTGGAAATGTATTAATATTTATGTTTAGCAAATGATAAGAATGCATTCAATAATGTTAATCATTTATCAGGATTGTATGATAAATTTGAAATTAGTAAAATTAATAAGTATTTGAATAAGTTAATCTCTCTTATGAACATTGTTTAATAATGGTTAATCAATTAATAAAGAGTTAAAACTAATATTAAAAAATATCCTCTTGCTTGACTCAAATATATTTATTTAGTTTTATTATTAATATATATATATATACTATTATTATAATGTCCAACAGAATTAAAAAATCAAAGAGTCCTTAAATCAATAAATAATCTAACATTGACAAAGATTTAATGAAATATCACATTTTATAAAAGATCAACAAACCCTAAGGTCCAGTAAAATAAATAATTAAAACCTAACCTGATGAAGAACAAGAACAATAGGATTTTAAATAGGAAATTGAATTTAAGTACTAAAAAAATCATTTGGTAGATATTAGAATTGTTAAATTAATCATACATTTAAATTCCCTAAAGAACATTATGAATCCTCATCTGATAATTCTCTTTAATCTATAAAAGATACTACTATTTATAATCTTAATTGTAACAATATCAATCATTTAACTGATGCTACATCTCCTCATTTTATGAAAGCTTTAAATGATAAATTATTATAATTAACAGAATCGATTGAAGATGATACTTCCTAAAATACTATTCAAAAACCAAATACTTCTATACCAAAATAAACGAAGTTTTTATTCTCCTCTATAAATAGCTAATAAAAGACAGATAATCTAAATTAATCAAGTATATCAATTGGAAGAATTGTTGATCATTATATTGTTAATAGTTAAAATGTTAATTTAAATCGAGATAGTGTAACAAATAAAACTTAAAAAAATTAATATTTTAGAGCTACTCCTACAATTTCATCTGAAAAAAAGAAATAATCTAAATAGATACTATAAATCTTAAAAATCGTATAATAACGTAAAATTAATAATAGTAATAATAATAATAATAATAATAATAATAATAATAATAATAATAATAATAATAATAATAATAATAAGTATATGAAATTTAAATAATTTTAGTTTTTCTTATAATAAAAGAACTACTCAAATTAATAGTTTTTCTTTTAATAATACACATAATCAATATTTGAATAGATAAAAGAATGCCGAAAACATTAGAATTCAAACTGAATCAGATGATTTTGAAGCAAGCTTGTAAAAGTTTCAAATTATTCCAAAATCAAGGTAAGATCTAATATTTAAATATAAGATCAAAAATTAGAGAAAATATAACAAAATTCAAGAAGCTTGAAAGTTCATAGGAATGTAAAATACTTAATTATACAATGGATAATCATTTATTAGAATAATTGGGTGTTGGAAGAAATGCAAAGAATTAAAATAGAAGTTATAAAGTTTGAGTATATTTACTTCTATAACTTTTCTCATTACATTGTTATAATTTTAATTTCTGAATCATTAATTAGTATTACAAATTAATTTATGAATCCATTTGTTACTGATACTTTATCAATGGTTTAAATCAAATCCATCAACTTTAGAACCATTAAAAATTGATAATGCCACTAATATACCTAACAATATAAAATATCTCCAATTAATATAAAATTGAAATGGCATCTATAACTTATATGCAACATAATCAGTAATAATTATTTCTATATATTCAGGAAGCTCAAGAAGCATAATAACAATTGAAAACTCAAAAGTTTAATGTTACACTAATCAATGAAGTAGAGTAAGAAGTGTACACAATAATTATTCATAACATTTCTCATACAACTAATTAGTATATACAATACGCTTTTTCAATATTAGGTGATATTGCTTACATCACTATATTTAAAGATGATAATGGTGAATCTAAAGGAGTAGGATATGTGGCATTTTAATATAAAGAAGTATATAATAAAGCTATAATAGCCAAGACTTTGATATTTGAAGATAATATATTGACTATTCTATAGAAATAACTATTCATATCATGGAAAATAGATTCAAATAATTGAAATTCAGATATTAATAACTATAAAAAAAGAAGTGGAAGCATAATAAAATAGATAATGTAAAGATATCATAAGTTGAAATTAATTTAGTAATATTTATGAATTAAATTAAGATTTAGAATTAGAATTAAAGAATGATAAGAATGAGTGGAAGAATAATAAGAAGGAAAATCAAAAAAATTAAATCTATAGTTGGAGATGATGATTTTGCTTTAGTTGCAAAAATGAAATAATTTAAAAAGGCATACAGTAAATTAAAGATTATAAAATAGATGACTTATATTGTAGTATTTTAAATAAATGAAAGAAAACAAAGAAAAATAAAAATGGAATAAAATAAAAAAAAAGCAAATAAAATATATAAAATGTGATGTTTATAAATATTAATTAAATCAACCAACAGTTTTATTAAGTTCTTTATTTTTATTTTTTTTATCATTTTTATTTTAATCATCTTAATCTTAATCTATAATTTCTTCAATATCTATATCTTCTTTTCTGTTTAAAGCTGTTTCTCTGTAAGTCATTTAAATAGAATTCAAAGCTTATATACAATTACCATATTTATCATAACCAGTTGCAATAGCATTTGTTAATAATTTTACAAAAAAGGGTAAAATAAAGATTATGAAAGGAAAACTAAAAAATGCATAGACTGTTCTTGCAAAAAATAATAAATCTCCTAATGATTATCTTGGATCATTAATTGTATGTACTAAATAAACAATAACTAAATATATTAAATTAAAAATAATACTTGATGCAATAATAGTTATAATTAAACAAATCAAATCATACATTAAAAAGTATTTTAATCTTCCTCCTTTTTCTTCCTAAGTTATTGTTAATTCTGCTTTTAAATCTTCTCCTTTAGAATGTGATTTTTTTAATAAATAAAATGCTATCCAAACATTAATACATTAAGCCAAAAATGTGAAAATTAGTACAAATATAGTGCGACTTTAACCTGGTCCTTGATCATAGAAAAAATAATGGAAATATGCAATTAAACAAGGAATTATTCCATTTGTTAAAAATTATATGGATTTATAATCTGCTATGTAATTAACTAATTAATATTCTTCCTATTTATATAAAATAATAAATTTACTTTTTGGATACAAAGTAAAATAATAGTAAACATTAATGGCTATATACCCATATATGGTATAAATTAAGATAATTTAAATATCTTAAATGATATTCTATTCATATGATCTTTAGTTGTTAGATCTGCAGGATATAGAGAATATAAGATAAAATTTCTTATTAAATTTATAGGACCTTTAACATCTCTTTTCTTGATTTCAACCCTTTTAGTATCAAATTTTGCTCTTAATTCTAATCTTACTAGATCAGTGAAATCTTTCCATAAATTAATTGCTGAATCATGCATGAAGTCTTACATAAAATCAAAGGGTACAGATTTTTTAACACTCTCTGTAATTTTTGGTTCCATATTGCTCATTAAATTTACAATTTTAGTATCCAATTATCCTGCTATCCAAAGATTAATATGTTATTTCTTTTCTAATATTTTTTTTTTAACATGAGCATCTAGTTTTTTTAGAGATTTCTATTTATTTATAAATAATAAAAATTACTTTGACTGATTATTATACACTTGTAGCTTTAGTTAATACAAAATGCTTTAATTAGAACATAGTACTATTTTATTCCTTAGCTTTTTTAGCTGCAATTTCAAAGTAGTTTTCTCCATTTTCATTTAAACAAATTTTTTTTGTTAAAAATTCTGGAATATCATCATTTAATTTAGGTTTTTTATATTTCTTTTTATTATTTTCTATAGCAATCTGTTAGATTTCTTATTCCTACATTTATTATTGAAGTTCTTCTGGAATGAGTGCTTTAGTAAAATCAATTTATGTTCTATCTGTTAATTCTATATGTTATTCCTAATTATTATTAATTGCTTATTTAAATATGAGTTTATTACATATATTGTTATCTACTTGATTGAATTAAAGTGTAGCATTGAATTAAGAGAATGGTGAATCTAGTTATTTATTATTCTTTTCTTCTTCCATTTCTTAATATTTCTCATTTCCAAATCTTTAATTATATGCTCCCTTTGCTGATTCTTACAATTTCTTCAACATTTTGTAATAAGTTTTATTATTTTATTTTAACCTATTTAATTGAAGTTAATTAATTAGGTGATATATGTTTGGATGGTTATAATGATTTATATTTTCTGATATAATATGAAAAAATCTTAGAGTAAATTAGAATCTCTTAAACACATTTATTAATTGTAATTAAAAGATATGAGAATTGAGATATTTATATGATTAAATAAATATATATATATAATTTATTTCTTAGATAATTGTTTAGTTAGATAAAGTAAAAATTATGAGGTCTGTAAATAATACAATAAGAGCAGCTAGTTAAAGGTATTTATATTTAAATAATAAATAAAGTAATGGGAAACATAGAATTCTCAAAGTTCCTACAAAAAATAAACATCATATTACCCTTGCGCCAATAAACAGATTCATTCAAATTAAAGATTGTGCTGAGAAAGATTGTCAATACAAACTAGGTAAATTGATTGGTTCTGGTTCAAATGCTTAAGTGTATTAGGCTATGAATATGAACACTGGTGAAGTTGTGGCTTGTAAAAAAGTACTGTTCAAATTCAAGAATCAGTAAAAAGTAGATGTAAGATATACAAATTTAATTAGATTGAACTGTCATTTCTATAAATTCTATAACACTAAAACATAATCAAATATATATCTCATGTATAAACTAAAGATAGTCTATTAATTTATTAAGAATATATGCCAATGGGTATGAATCAATTAATTTATTATAGGTTCAATTTCTCAATTATTAAATGAATTTGGTCCAATGACAGAGTAAACTATAAAAACATATACTCATCAAATCCTTAATGGCTTAGAATACTTACATAATAAAGGGATATTACATTTAGATCTAAAATCTAGTAACATCTTGTTAGACTCAAGTGGAGACATTAAAATCTCAGACTTTGGTTGTAGTAGACATATCAAACAAAATTTATGTTAGAGCATTCTTTAAGGGAGTGTTCCTTGGATGGCTCCAGAAGTCGTTAGATAAGAACAAATTGATACTCCAGCTGATATATGGTCATTTGGTTGTGTAATTTTGGAGATGTTAACTGGGAAACATCCTTGGTTTGAATAACTTGATTTTGATAATGTTGCATCAACACTTCTCGCAATAGCATTTAATCAAGAATCACCTAAAATTCCAGACAATGTTTCTAAAGAATTAACGAACTTTCTTCTAATGTGTTTCTCGTAAGATCCATTATAAAGAGCAACAATATAATAACTTAGATAGAGTGCTTTTTTATAATGAATTTTTTTTGTCTTTATAATTTGTAAGTTAATATAAATCTTAATTTTTTTTATAAATGAAGCAATGTCATCTGAATCAATTTAACTTAAATTATATTTATAACAATTAGATTAATGAATCAATCCTAAGATTAAATACGATCTTAATAAGTCAATCTAGAAGTTAAGTATCATAAAATTTATCATAGTTTTCCAATGAAGTTAATCGTATTTGTTATTTCAATTTTGTTTGCTAATTTTACATGCTTATATTTAGTTTAAAGTTAATCTGGTTATTTGATTCTAAATACATAATTATATTTGCATGGTTGATGGATTTGATCACTTTCATAGTTATATTATTAGACAAAAACATATCCAAATTAATCTCATGTATTCATTTTGCTGAAAAAGTGTTAAGTGTTTCATTTAAAGTATTATTATTACATTTCCTATATAATAAGATAACAATTATAATACATTTTGAAATTTAAGAAATCAATTTGTATTATATTCCAGCTTTATAATTAATTGTTACAATTGGATTATTTCTTCATTAAGTCTTACAATAAAATAGAAACAAAAGAAAACACATTATTGTATTATTTAAATCTAATTAGATTGCATATTCCTATTCAATTCTTTATATACTATAATTGTTATTATTATCTTTGAAATGGAATCATTTATTTATTTATTCATATTATCAAACTTTTATTATAACATGGACAGCATTAGGAGTTAATACATTTTTGATTGTATTATTGTTTATCACTTTGGTTGAAAATTGTTTCCATAAAGAAATTCCTGAAATAGATGGTACAATATTATCATATTAAGGATCAATTATAATATGGTTTATTTATTATATATTTGGATTAACTATTATTCCATTCTTCTTATTAAAAGAGATTTGTCAATTTTATGAAAAGGATACTATATAAATTAATATTAGAATAGCTGGTATTACTGTCTTAATTTCCATTATACTCTACCTTATTTCATTTATATTCTTTACTAATAAAATTAGAAATTAATTGATGTATTTGAATTATTTAAAATAGAATTGTTTTATAATTAGAAAATAGATAAACTTAAATCACTATTCCTAAATCTCCTTAAATAGAAACTCCAAAAAAGAAATGGTCTAAACTTAAAATTCCAATTATGTTCATTCGAGTTTCTGCTTCATATTATAAAATAGTAACAAAGAAAAAGATAAATGAATTAAATAATAGAAATATGAGTTCAATTCCAATTTGTAGTGATATCTTAAGACCTGATTCTCTTAATTTTAAATAATCTCCATGTTTAACTATGATGAAATAAATGAAATCTATACCAAAAGATTAAGATTCATGTGATATTTGTTTAATTTGCTTTGAAAATGAACCAGATATTGTTTTAAATCCTTGTAATCATGGAGGTATTTGTACATCATGCTCTGAAAATATTATGAAAACTACAAAATAATGTTTCTTATGTAGAACTGATATTAAGTATACCTTTAAATTAAATCAAAAAATAGGAGAAATTTTAGAAGTCACAGATGTGTAAAAAGTTTGATATATTAATATATTCTATTATCAATCAGTTTTTCATAATTTCTGAATTTTCTTATATTTCTATTGTCTCTCTTTTAATTATTAAATTAATTCTTCTGTTTATTTTATCTTTTTCAATTATTCATCTTCATTTTATTTTGAAACATCTTTTTTAATGCTAGGTAAGAGTGGTAATAAAGGCTATCTATCATCATTTACATTTTAAGGACTATAACTATCATGAAAGAATATTTTACGATTTTATAATCAAAGGTTTAAGTTCATTATCCAATTCATTTTTTCTTATTGCTTTTAGATTATCATGTTTTTAAGATTTATTAGAAATTCTTTATTCTTTTTTCTTAGGATGGATACCAACTCCATAAATTTAATTTATTTAATTATTTTTATTAGTTACATTGTCCAATTAAGTATCATCATTTTTTTTATTATTTCTTGAAACAACTGAATTATCAAGACTCTCTTCATTTCTTTTATTGAGACGAGGTAAAAAATCAACATGTAATGAATGATTTTCCTCCAAATTTTCTTAATTCAATTTCTATATAGCTAAAGTTTAGATAAACTATTATTTATCAATTTTTGTCATTCTAATTGGATTATAATTAGGTTTTGGCAATCTATCAGTTAAATAATGCATATTTCTAGGAACTCTGATTGTTTATAATAAAAATTTAGCTCCCTCTTCTTCAACCAAAACTTTATCATCTAGTCTATTTACTATAGCAGATAGTTATAAAATTTTATCACAACTAGGTCTTAAATGTGGTTAAACTTATAACAAAGTCCTGATAACATTACTTAAATCTTAACTATAGATTGTAGGTATTTTTGGGTAAAATCCTTTGACTACTTTTTTATACAAACCATTCATATCTTCTGCTCGAAATGGAGGCTTTAATGTTGTCATTTCATATAAGACACATCCTAATGACCATATATCAGATTTAGAATCATAAGGTTAATCTTTCCAAACTTCAGGAGATGCATAATAAGGTGTTCCAGTTTAAGTGTAGAGTAATATTTTTCTTGCAACTTTAGAGACATTCATATCTCCCAATTTAACAGTTCCATCTATATTCATAAAGACATTTGCAGATTTAAGATCTCTATGATATATTTTCATATCATGTAATGCTTTTAAACCTTTTACAATCTGTAATATTAATATAGATTAAGAAATACTTATATGAATATATTCCAAATATCTTTTTCCGACATAAGAACTCCCTTCTTTTAACATTCTACTATTTTTTAATATAGATCTCCATCATCTGCATACTCCATTACGATACTTAAAATAATTGCATATAAATAGTTACCATAATGTTTAAGATTATTCTTCCAAAAATGCTTCTTTATACTGAATAACATTAGCATGTCTTACACTTGCCAATATTCTTACTTCATTAAGTGCATTTTATTTCTCTTTATCAGAAAGAGATTACAAATTAACTTTTTTAAGAGCATACTCTTATTAATCTGCAATTCTTTTTATTTTATATACTTTAGAATAGGCTCCCTCACCTAGTTCGTATATTTACAATACCTAATTCTTGCAATATCTGAAAGTCCTTTAATGACATATATATAATAAATTATTATTAAAATAATCACATATATGTATGACAATAAATAATTTAATTATCATTCTCATTAATCCAAAACTACCTTGGTTTTTTGTACTTAAATATTAAATCTATAAATTACATGCATAAAATATTGAATCTATTATTCCAGCTATTGTAAATACTCCTCCTAAAATAGCACAAAGTTGAACTATGAAATGATTAAAGGTCTCATAATATTTTGTAAATTGAACAGTCACAGGAGATATATCATATCTAAAATAAATAGCAGGCATTGATGTAGTCTAAGCTTCATTTGTATTCGCTGTGAATTGATTTACAAAATATTCTTTATTATCTATATCAACATAGATTGTAGGAACAATAGAAATATAATATTAATGTGTCACCCCAACATTTTAGAGTTCTTATGTCTTAATTCTACTTATTCCATCTAAAGGATTAAGTAGTCCTTATTAGAATTTCTCTCTAATTTTTTATATATCATTTTAATTTCCAAAAGACAAGTGTCTAATTGAATGTGATAAATCAATTGTTGATAATCCAACAAATGGTAATACTATATTAACTTATCCTCCATATGGATGAGCAGATATATGGAAATTACCAGGGACTCTACTTATTATGATATATCCAGATAGATCACAACCTTCTTTTTATTCATATGCTTACTAGGCTTTCTCTAAATTCAATGATTCATTAGTTGATAACTATTTTTATTATTATTTAATTATACATATGATTCAATTACTTTTCCATTTAATATTCTCTTTTTATATAACTCACCTTATACATTTTATTAATGAGTGCCAATTACATCTTGTTAATCAATAGTTATAAAATCACAGGGCATTTTAGGAAATGAGATATCCATATTGACTAATAATGTGTCATCCTTATTTTAATCAATATACATCTCAGTTTGTACTTGTTAAGTCAGATATTCCTTTCCTTATGACTTTGAATTACCTAAAATTCTGTAATAAATAATATAAACATCAAAATCAATGATGTAAATGAGATTAATGCACCTGATTTTGATGGCTCAATCAAATCCTATGGTAACTTACGATATAAATCAAATTTCAGCATTTTTATATTAATTTATTTTTAGATAAATAAATTTTGATTATTGACTGAACATTGTGTAAAAATTGATGGTATTGATAATTGTATTATAATTGTTTAATATTGTATAATGAATTATGTTAGTCTATTATTTCTTAGTATAATTTTGACTCTCTAAAAAGATTATTAATGTTTAAAATAAATGAAAAATTATTATCCAATTCAATTATTCTTTGTAAGTAGTATTATAATGACAGTTGTACTTACAATAAGATGTACTTTTTCAGCCTTATTTGTATGTTTGATTTTGAATATTTTAGAATGCTTAGCTTCCCTTATCTTTATCAAGAAGCATACAACTTTTGTGATTGTCATTCATAAACTATCAAATATAGCACTAATAACATCATTTTTCTTTTAACGTACTTTTTATGATTGCACTACTTTAATACTTTACATAATATCTGATACACAACCTATTTTAGCCTTAATTGAAAAAAAATAATTTTTCTTAAATTTCTAATATGCTGTAATATTTTATGCAAGCGTAAGTGCTACTTTAAATAAATAATTGAATGATCAATTATTTTTAATAATGACTATGTTTGTATATTTTATATCCTCAGCTCCATAATAAATATTTTGGTAAATAGCTGATAAAATTACAAATAAAAGTTCAATCTAGTTGTAATAATCATCAATATAAAATCGTTAACTATAAAATCAATTGAATTAATTACAATTTTAATCATCAAATAAAGAAATGAAAGAATTTATAGAATTAGATTAACCTAATTCAGCTAAAATGGATTCATTTCTTGATAATCATGAATTACCATTTAAAAAATCAAATATATCAATTTAATTATCTTCAGGAAGACCATTAAAATAATCAGAATAAATATCTATTGAAATTTGTCATTAATCTTAATTATAAGATAAAATATGGAAACAAAGATTAAAGAGTATACCTGTTGGAATTGCCTTAATAGATAAAAATACAAATGATTTTACTTATAAAAATTAATATCTAGATTAAATGATGACTAAAACTCTTTAATTAGAACTTGAAGATTATCCAGCATATTTATTAAATTAATTAAAATTTAAAGTTATTGATTAAGGATCTGAATACAAAAGAAGTTATTACACACATTATTTTAGTATGAAATAAAGTAAAGCAAATATTTAAGTTGAATTTCCAGGAAGAACTTTAACATAATCTTATCATACACATAAAAAGAAAGGTTCAGAATCTTCTAAAAATATAAGCGAATTTGAAATTCATCATCCATAAAAAGTTTATTCACTTAATCAAATTATAAATAAATTATAAGATGGATTCTTTGATAATTAATTAAATGATTAAGATCATACTTTAGAATTATATTGTAAATATTAATTGAATGTTAATAATATTATACATTTGAATCTTAAAGTACTCTATAGTCCTGATTAAGTTGAAATGACAGTTATTATTTAAGATTATACAAGATAAAATAAATTATAAAGAATAGAAGAATAAGAAGAATTCAAATCTAAAATGATTAGTTCATTTAGTCATGAATTAAGAACTCCATTAAATAGTGCAACATTATTTTTTAAATCAGCATTACTTGATAATCGATTAGATAAACATATTAGAGATGCTTATATATTACCAGGATTATCATCATTAATGAGATAATCACATCTTGTTAATGATATAATAGATTTTTCTTAAATTAATGCTGAAATATTAGAATTAAAATATTCTGAATTTTATTTAAAAGAATTAACATAAGAATTAACATAATTATTCAAATTTGAATTTAAAGCTAAAAAAATAGGATTAGCATTTAAAGTGGATTATAATATACCACCAACAATTAAATCTGATTATTAAAGATTACTTTAAATATTAATTAATCTACTTTATAATGCATTAAAATATTCACAACATGGTTATGTTTTAGTAACTATTAAAGCAGATAATTAATATAATAATATATAATTTACAATTGCTGATGAAGGAGTAGGTATAACATCTTCAAAATTAAATTAAATTTAAAATGTATTAAAAGATCATCACACTTCTACTTAAGATTGGAATGGTTTTGGATTGATTTTATCTTAAATGTTATTGAGATATTTAGGACCTCTTTAAAATAATGATTTAATTATTAATTCTTTAGGTTTAGGATTAGGAACAACAGTATAATTTAAAATATCAAATCATATCAATATTTATGATTATTATGTTAAAACAAGAAAAAATATTAAAACACATGATTAAATATTGACATTACCTGATTTAGATGAATATAATGGATTATTAATTACTATTAAAAGTTAAACAGAAAGTAAATAAATATTAAATAAATCATTAACATCATATACTGCTATTGATGAATTTATGAAAATTCCTGATGCTTAAACTCATTTAGTTTCTGAATTAAATCTATTATATAAAAATGGATGGATTGATAAAACTAAAAGTTTTAAAATTTAAAAATCATAAGAATAAAAGTATTAAAAATGTAATTGTAGAACTATTCTTTCAGTTGATGATGAAATATTTAATTAATAATCCTTAACTTGTATATTATAAAAATTCAATTTTGAAATTGAAACTGCTTATAATGGTTAATAAGCAATTAAAATGATTGAATAAAAAAAATCATGTGGTTTATTATGTCGAAAATATTTACTTATTTTAATGGATTGTTAAATGCCTGTATTAGATGGTTGGTAAACCACAAGAATATTAAAATAAAAGTTTTAATAAGGACAACTTAAACCAATTCCTATTGTGGGTTTTACTGCATTTACTAGTAAATCAGATCTTGAATAATGCAAATAAGTTGGAATGATAGAAGTCTTAAATAAACCTTTATAAGTCAAGAAACTAAAATGTATAATGGAGAAACTCAATTTATTATGATTTTATAGTTTACTATATTTTATAAATTTACAAATTATGAATAAAAAATAATTCAAAAAAAAAAGAATACACGAAGTTGATTATGCCCAAAAAGTATTGAATTCTATTAAACCTGATATCTAAAATACAAAATTAAATCAAAATCTATTTCATGCATAATAAATAACAAGACATTCATCAACAATAATTAAGGATATTCAAAAAGATGTCAGATAAACTCTAAGAAAATATGATTCATAAATAAAATTAAATGAATCAAACAGAAATCATACAATTACTGATTCAACTAGAAAATATTCAAATGAAATACCTAGACACACATCATTCTCACCTGAAAAAGAATTAAATTGTTTAAAGCAATAATAAAGAATTTTAATGGCCCTATTGAATAATCTATAGAAATAAGAAAATCTTACAGATGTTTATCATTAATCTTTTGAAAAAGATTTAAAACCATAATGCATAAAGAAGTAAACCTAAAAATAAAATGAGAAATAAATATAATATTTAGAAAAAAAAAAAGTTTAAATAGACTAAGCATAAAAAAAAATATATAATGAAACTGATGTAATATCATTAGATTTAAGTAAACTTAAGAAATCACCTAATAATAAATCGATTTCATCTTTTAATTTTTTTGTAGCAAACAACAAAGATAAATAAAATTCAACTATTCCTGTTCTAACTCAAAACAAAAGTTATTCAAAATTTAATTTGAAAAATTTTAATTCATAAAATTAATGGGAGAATTATGGAGTAACAAATAATAAGAATAAATAAAATTTTAAATATTCTAATAATGAAAATAAGTTATAAAAAAATGGAAGATACAAAAAAGGATTAGAAAGAAAAAGTAATAAATTGAATTCTAGAGATAGTCATTATGATTTTATATATTTGAATAATTTTGATATTTGAGAATTAAAATATCAATTTAATTTTAATATATATTTTATGATTAATTAAAATAGTTCTTTTTTTTAATTGATATCATTTTGACTCGTCATCTCTTTAATAAATTGTAGAGTTGGCTAAGATTACCTGACTTTCGAATAATAATAGAGCAAATTATTTTTCAGTTAATTTATATATTCAAATTAATCAAATCATAAATATTTATTATTTCATTCATTTTTAAAAATACATGAATCAAAATAAATAAATAAGATTGGTAAAATTAAACATAAATATCAAGATATTTAACTATCTTCTTTATAATAAGATATTAAATAACTAAATAAATAACTTATATTATAGGATAAATATAGATTCTTAATTTATGTTTCATATCTAGCCTAATTTTATCACTTTAGATGAAAATAGTCATATTTAGATTGAGGTGAATATTCGTAGATCTCAGGATAGTATAAATTAATAAATTTAGAAATTAAAACAGCAAATATTGAAGCTAATATATTCATAAACTTATCACCATGAATATTTATATTATTATATAATAGATTTTGTATTTTAATTCATATTAATTCTAAGTCATCTTTATATCCTAATATATTTAATTATAGTTTAAATTATTCAATAATGGTTTTTGAGAAAGTTATCCATTTATATCTTAAACAAAATGGGAAATATGAATGATCCTTGTGGAACTAGTTTTAATAGTAATTATTTAAATTATCTTCTAGCATGAAATAATATATCTTGTTGAAGACTAAGTTAATTGATGATTATATGACATAATCTTGAACTTTTATTATTTTGGGAAAAAATAATCAGATTAAACATTAAAAAAGTGCATAGTATTCATAGCTAAAATATATTTGTTATTTTGTTATCAACTTAGATTTTTAAAATAAATTCAACTGATGTTTTTTCTGGAAATTATATCTCTGAATAGATTTTCAACTACAATAAATTAGATTTAAAAAATAAATAGAATTATAAGGTAATTGATGATAAATATTGAATAATAACATTAGTATATTAGAATTTGTTGATAATAAAAAAAAGAGTTTTATTTCAATATTAATTTAATTAATATTTTAGATGAATATTAATCGATTTCAATATCATTTCAACGAAAACAACAACTAGATAGATTTAAAGAATAGATGAATCAATGATTGAAGTGTAATTTGGAATAAATCAAATATTCATAAATTAAATGATAAAGTACATATATCAAATTTAATTTTTAAAGTAGATTGAAGATTTTTAAAGGGCTTAAATACTTATGTACTATTATAACCTCATGCTTTTTTGAGGGGAATAAAAAAATAATAGTTTTCTATTCAAACAATATAATTACCTCTCAAACTTATTTTAATTTTTAATCATGCATTTTTTCCACCCCCGGTCATTTTTTTATCAGGATTTTTAAGGTGAATAAACAAAAAATAATAATTAAAATAATTTGTTTTCAAAAGAATCTCTCTTACTCTAGAAATCGTTATTACAGCTATGACGACCTTTTGTGTATTACTAAATTTAAATTTTTGATATCTAGCAAATCGATGATGTTTTTTAAGTCCATTTAACTTCAGATTAAGCAAGAGTGATTGCAAAGAGATTACCCCCTGGTTTTAGCATTAATTTAAGCAGATAATCAAAAAGAGATGTTAAAGTTTGCTAATCAAATAATAAAATTTTAGAAATTTTAATAGGATATTTCATCAGATGAAGAGAATAAAATCACAAAAAAGACATATGTAACACCTCCTTATAGAGCAGAAAACAATGATGAAATCAAAAGATGTTTAACATTACTTTAAAAACTAAAAAAGCATTAATTAGCAGCTCCATTTCTAAGGAAATTAGAAAATGTTAATTATCCTTAAGAATTGGAATATGTTGATTTGTAAATTGTTGAATAAAATCTCAAAAACAGTACTTAACATATAAAATAATAATTTAGATGAATATCTTACTGCCACGTAATTTTGGGGAGATATAAAGAAAATCTGGTAAATGTCTTATGCCATGAATAACAAAGGAACCTAATTATATGCGATGACTTAAGAGTTAGAATAACATTTTAATGAATTATACAAAGAATTAGATAAACCTTATCCATAAAAATAATTTGTTGAATAACAACCAAAATAAGACAAATAGAAAAAGCCACCTTCTATATAATAAAATAATAATAATAATCATCATCATAATTTAAATAATAAAAAACCAATGTATAATATCCAAAAATAATATTAGAAAATAACCTAGTTTAATGGAATAACCTATGAATATGCAAGAAAAAAGAGCCTTAGTTTCAAATATAAATAGTTTGCCTCCTGAACATCTTAGAGGAGTTTGGGAGATAGTTTCTGATGGACTCAAAATATAAGAATAAAATGATGAATTAGAATTTGATATCGATACTTTACCAGTTAAAAAGACAAGATAATTAGAAAAATATGTTAACACAAAACTCGAATATTTAAAAAAATAATAAAGTAAAAAGGCAGCAGAAGAAAATAAAACTTAAGAAAAAAATGATAGAATTGTATTTAATTAATCATAATTTTAGGTTCATACAGCAAATAATACTTATAACCATACTCCATAGCCAGTTACTCAATTAAAATAAACTGACACTGGAGACAGCTCATTTAGCAGTGATGCTGAAGAATCTGTATGAGTTTTTTTTTAATTTTTGTTTTTTGATTTATTTCATTAAGATACATTAAAATATTTAACTTCTGAGTTTTTTCTACTAATTTATTCTAAAATTATATAATATTTTCATATATTATAAATTTTTAGATGTTCTTAGATGTAATCTTTCATTTTATTATCATTTCAAGATTTTAAAGAATTAATTAATATAATTATTTTTTCAACTGATTGATTTTCTAAAATATTCTATTTAAATAATCGAAAAATAACATCTTTATTTATTTGATTCATAAATAAAATTTTATAATTTCTAATCTTTTTTTATCATTTCATAATCCCATATTTAATTTAATGGATGTCTATTTTTTAACAAATGATTTATTAAGAATTCAAAAATAATTTAATATTTAATCATAAAATATATGTACTTATTTAAATGAAATATTCATTAACCAATTTACAATGTCTATTTAAGCTAGTTAAATAATTCTTGTTGTTGATTAGTAGATAATTAGGAAACATAACCGAGTACTGTTCCTAATGTTACTGCTTTTGGTAAGACAATTTAGTGCAAATATAAATAAGAAAACATTCCTGTTAATATTTAACAATCCATTCTATCAGTAATTCCTCCATGTCCTGGGATAGTATCACCAAAATCCTTGATTTTAATACCTCTCTTAAAACCAGATGCAAAAAAGCCACCAAATGGTGATACCAAACTTGTGAATAAACTAAACACCATAGCATGAATCTAGAAATCACTGAAATAAATAGAATCAAATCCAAATATTGAAAAAGGTAATTATCTTTATGTACTTATAAATACACTAGGTATTTCACATGTTAATGAAGCAAAAGGAGAAAAGGGTAGTTAATGTTAGGGACAAGTCAAATATTGACTACCTTATAGAACATAAGCAAACTATGTTATGAATTAATTATTACACAAAAAGATGCAATTAATGTTGAAAAACAGCCTCCTATAAAACCTTCCCATGTTTTCTTTGGTGATAGTTCAATTAAGGGAGTCTTTCCAAATGATACTCCAAAAATATATGCGAATATATCATTTGTTATTACTAAAGAACATGGTAATATAAACCAAACAATACCTAAAAATATTGATATTTATTGTAAATACCTTCAAAAATATTCATAATCATGACTGAACTTTATGCAACTACAAGTATTAAAGTGATATGTGTCCATCCAAACATTCTAAATTAATATCGATAATATCCTTTTTTGAGTGATAATGTAAATATTAGAAATCCTGCCACCCATAACATAAAAGTTATAATATTATGATAATTCAAAATAAATGACAGCATATTCATTTTAAATGCATATTCTGATAATTTAGATTAAAACAATTTTCCATAACAAAAAAAAGTGGCAATTCCAAAGAAGTACCAATTTATTAAAGAAGAATATTTAACATTCAACTCTTTCTCATAATTTCTTTTTAATCCTAAAATTTCCTTAAATATTCCAATATTAACCAGCAAGACCAATCCAATAATATAAATGTGGCCTGCCCATAAAACACCCATAAACCCCAAAATCATAACAATTGTCCATATAGTTCTTACCACAAAGTTGTTATTCTTGATAATTATAGGGACATTTCTTTCTAAATTAGGTAATTTATTCTTAGAAACAACCTTTTTTGGAGATGGACCTCTTCTTCTTACTTGTGTATCAGACATCTCTGAAAAGTCATTATCTGTATTAGATTCCTCTTATTGAGAATCAACTTTAGATTTCATTTTTGATTAAGAAAATATATTAATAATTAATATCAGCAATCTTTATTTAAACCTGTATCGAATTTTAACAATTCTTTTTAAATCTTATTTATTTTTTTTGTGTTGTAAGTTGATTATTATTATGTAGGTTATTGGAAGGGCATAGTAGCAAAAGGAAAACCTTAATTGCTAAAAGCTGGTGAATTAAATAATCTTAACAAACAAGGTACATCTTACTAGGGAGCACTCGAATCCAAATTATTTGTCGATTTCATGTATTCATCAAATAACTGTAATTAGCCAGAATAAGTTTTGTTCCTTATTTCATAAGGGGATGAAATATGGTTGGGACTTGATTCTAATCATACTTTCTATCTTTTACATAATAAATAATGTAATGGTGAAAAAGGTAACATAGGTGAGTATACTGGTAATCCAAGCATTAAAGGTTATTATTATTATTGTTATTATTATTATTACTATTATTATTATTGTGGTTAATGTTATTATACTTATTATTATTATTATTATTATTATTATTATTGCTGTAATTATTATTATTGTTATAAAAATTACTATTATAATTAAAATTACTATTAAGATTACTCTTATTAATGTTCCTCCTTAATTTCATTAATTATGTTATTCTCAATCTACATGTAAGACTGATCATTATTATATAAAATAGTATCCTTGTTATTATTATTATTATTGTTGATCGTTTTTCTTATTCTCTTACTAGTTATTGGTACAGGACCTTCATAATCTTTACCTTATAAATTGGCCAACAATTTATGAATTGCAATATCTTCATTATCCAATTACTAAATCTATACTTAATTTATACATTCTATCTTCTATAATTATTCATCATTGAATTGTATTGATTTTTTACTTAATTTTCAGTCCTTCCTTAAATACGTTTTGAGATTAAAGACCATCTCTTTCCTATTTCTTACACTAACAATAATAATTATAATTATTCTGGTTAAGACCATTCAGATCTAATTAATTATCATTATAATACTTTTTTAAGTCTGGATTTAAATAATTATTCCATCTTTCTCGGATTTATTTAGCATGTCTAACAATTTTTGCTGGATTAGCCCGATTAAAATCAATAGTTATTTGAGTCCAATTCTTATTTTCACTTGGATCTGTAATTAATTTTTGTAAAACTTCATCTTCCTCTATATTCCAAGGTGCCATTTTTAAATTAGTTTTAAGCATACTAATCCATTTCAAATTCAATAATTATTCTGTCACACCCAGCACTGAAGAAAGATATTGCCAATCTTAATCAGACTATGCTATTTATAAGATATACAGGATTGAGATCACTCTTATTCGTTAATTCAAAATATTTCAATACAGTCCATACAAATAGTATTTTATCTTTTCTATGCCACTTAGTACGATGTTCTTCATTAGTTCGTCTACTTTTATTGTAAACATCTACTTTGAAAACTCTTAGAAATAATAATTCAGGATATTTTTGCAAGGTGGAAAACTTTTTTCATTTATTTTCAGAACTTTTTTGATCTATTTTAATTTAACAGGCTTATCTTTGAAATCGCTGATGTCTTCAAGAAATTAAGAAAAATTTGACATTTTTTATTATTAAAAAAAATAATTATTCAATTCTTTAAGTAAATCCTTTATTCAATAACAAAAATAATTTTGAATTGTCGATTATACATGATTGATATTAAAGTATAATTTAAATTAAATAATGAAAAAATTAATATCTTAATTAACTATCACAAACCTAAATAAATTTTATGTCAACCTATTTCTATAATTATATAGACTCGATGTTACTTGGTTTAAGCAAAATTATTTGATAAATTATAAGTATTTATAAAATAAAAAAGTTATATTAGAATATATTATAATTCAAAAGGTTTTTTTAATTCAAGTCATCTTATACTTAAATTCTAGAATTCTTTAAATTATATTTAATTTAAGGCATTTATTTCTGATCTACTTAATCATGATTTATGGAGTATCTTATTAGCTCTTTAAAAAAAATAGATATTCCTTGATTGATAGCAATATTAATTCATAATATATAATATTATAAATTAAATTATCTAAAAATTTATGTCATTTACTTAAGATTGATATAAAAATAATTAAAAACTAGAAAATCACAAACAATTCCTTAAATTTACTAATATTTTTGTTATATAATTTACTATCTTAATGATTTAATTAATACTATTTAATATAGATTACTTATTATTATTATTATATTTAAAAACAGATTCTTTTTGGAACAACTTAATTGAATAAATGGCAATAATTTATAATATATTATTAATCAAAGTTTTGCTAAAAACTAACGAAGTTAATCCTGCTTTAAGGTTGCCTTTTCCATAAATGATTTAAATTCATTCCAAGTAAGCTAATTAAATAAATAATATATACAAACAACAGCTAATTTTAATTAGATTATTAATCTTAATTTCCTTCTTGTAATTATTAAACAATATCATTTATCAAATCATCAACCATTTCTTCAAAATTTTAGGTTGAATTTAATTTCTTAATTTATATATATATAATTTACCTTATAACTGACTTTTAAATCTTTCATTGAATTATTCAATAAATCTTTAATATCTTTTATGGATAGCATGCCTTTATGATCTTTATCATATTCATTAAATTAATGTTATAATGTTCCTCTAAAAACGTATTTTCCTTTTTCATTTACACAAAGATATTTAATCCATTCATCTCTTGTAATTCTTCCTGATTAATCCATATCTAGTATCTCCATTTCTGTTTGTAATCTATAATAATCTGGTTTATCTCCTTCATATGCATAAATTAAATATTTCAATTCTGACATAGAGACTTCATTATCGTAATTGATATCAGAAGCATCAAAAGCAGCCCAAGCATTCATTACATCTAAATATGCTTATTTACAAATCCATCCATCATTTTTTTGTTCTAAGTAAGCATTAGAAGAATCTTATAAAGTTTTAAAAAGTAAATCAAGAATTTCTTATTATTAATTATTGAATTCAGTCAAAAATAATTGTTTGATTGATTCTAATTCACATAATTAACATTTATCATTTCCAACTGCATTTATAAAAAAGTTTTCATAGAGAATTCTCTTTTCTTTATATCTTCTGCTTGCATTTTCATATGTTTAGATAAGTGCATATTTTAATAGAAAGTCTTGTAATTCAAAATTTCCGATAATCCATAGTTTAAACTCATTAAATGATATTGTATAACTGTAATCTCTATCCAATTCTAGAAATAAGCGTTCTGCATAAAAATCGATATCTTTTATTGAAGGAGCAGGCAAATGTACTAACTTACATAAGCCACGAATACATCTTTCTAAGGCAACCACTAATTCATCCTTCTCTATTTCACCTGACTTATCAGTATCAAATAATTAGAATATGAACTATAATTTAAGTTCTTATTCTTCATCACTAAATATTGTCTATAAGTTAATTCATTTAATTACCAATACAGCTAATGATTCGTAAATATCATTAGACCCTTCTAAAGAAGAATTAGAAGACAAGAGTTAGTATACATGTTATGTCCAAATTTCTAAAATTGGGTTGAATACATCACAATAATCACTGTACTCTAAATATTTTGAATTAGGGAATTTAGTATTTACAACATCAATAGCCTAGTTTAAATATCATAATACTTCGTTAATGTGTAGAAGTTTACGAGATTTGAGAAATTCGATCATTTCTCTATCAAGTTTATCTTTAGGTTTAGTTTTAAAATAGTTTCCCATGACGTATGGATTAATAAATTTAAATAAAAAACTAGAATGAATTATTATTCCTGATATTTATTTTATGCTACTTACTTTTGATTAATAATAAAATGAATTTAACCTTAAAATTTCCTATTTGAACTCAAATTTCATTAAAAATACATTATTGAATTCAGATAATCAATTAAACCCTATTATTATTCGATTTGATTACTAATATCCTTAAATTAGAATGAAAGTATTGAGAAGATTTTTCTGTATCTTGTCAAAAAAATAAAGTATATAATTTATTTTAACTCAAAAAATATTGAATAACTCTTTACCCAGATGATAGAAATGACATAAAATATAGTTTAAGTATTGATATAACATCTTTTGAAGATATTTTGATACTTGAAATTTCTAAATAGAAGAGTTTTGTACAAAAGAGTGTAGATATACATAGTTATTAAGAGTTTATGTATTAATTGAGTTTTAAAGAGAGAAAAGGAGTATATTTAATAATTCTTATCAAAATTTTTCCATAATGTTTATGATATAGCATTTATTTATTATATATAGAAAATAAAATCAATAATATTAATGTCTGAATAATTACATAAATCAACGTCATAGTTTACGTTACTCATTTCAAATGCAGTTTTAGGGGCTTTTTTCTTTGGATACTCAGTGTCTTATATGAATCCAGCAATAAAGACAGCAGATACACAATTTGACATTACAAACAACAAAGATTTGATAAATGGATTAATAAATGGTAAGAATCTTATTTAATATTTATTAGCATTTCCTGCTTTGGGAGCAGCAGCAGGTGCTATATCATCTGGCAAAATATAAAATAAATTTGGTTTAAGACAATCATTTTTATTTGCTGATTTGATTGGTGTTGTTGGATTTGTTTTTTAATTACCTCTTTATCTCACAACTTTATTAATTGGAAGATTAGTAATAGGATTTGCAGTTGGAATGAATTCATCTTTGGTGCCTCAATACATAAAGGAATTTTCTCCAGAATCTTTATCAGGACCATTTGGTGCTATGTTTCAGATGACAATAAATATTGGATGTTTAGTGGCATTAGTAATGGGAATGTAAAAATCATATTGAAAAGAGGTTCTTTAATGCAGATGGTGAAAGCCTTGATTATTTCAGATTTGTGGTTGTATTTCCAATGTTAATTTGTGCATCTAGGATTCTTTTTTTGGCATTTGCTTTTTAGGATAATCCACCATCATATTATATATATAGAAACAAATATAAAATGGTAAAAAAATGTATTATGATAGGCTAAAGCAGTTATAAGAAATTATTATAAACGAAAATTCGTTGACTAAATTTTTGATGATTTAAAATAATAAATTGAAGCAAAATAATCTGAATCTTAAGATAATAAATAATAAGATTCAGCCTCATATAAAAGTCGTTTATATGTTGGTTGTATTCTTTAAATTATTCAATAATTTAGTGGTATTAATGCAGTGCTTATTTATTCTTCTGGGTTATTCATCAAAGTATTAAACAATTTAATTTTTAGATAACAGGAGGAAACAATGAATTAAAAAATTGGCTTAATATAACAGTTGGTTTAGTCAATTTGGTGTTTAGTATGATTGCTATTCCCTTTTTAAAAAATATTGGAAGAAGACCACTTTTATTATTTGGAGCTTTAGCTTGTTCTGTGTTTTTAGGATTTATTAGTTTCTTCTCATTCTTTGTACCTGAAGAAGATGATGAAAATTATGAAGTTAACACATCTGCAATCATGGTGATTGTGTTTATGTTCTTATATTTGGCAGCATTTTAATTATCTTTAGGACCTGTTGTATGGGTAATAGAAATGATTAATATTCAAGATTTATGATGCTGATGTATTAGATGAGAAGGGAATGTCTATTGCTGTCTTGTGTAATTGGTTAGGGTGTGCTATCGTTGCTTAATTCTTTGGACTTATAAATAATGGATTAGGAATGTAATGGAGTTTTGGAATTTTCTTTGTATTTTGTGCACTAGGGTAAAATTATAAAATATATGATTTAAAGGACTGTTTATATCTCTATGTATGTAAAAGAGACTAAAGGTAAGAATCCTAAAGATATTGATTAAATGTTCATGTTAGGAAAGGTAGATTACGATGATTGAACATTATCATGAAAATATTAAATAAATTGTATAAATTTAATTATGGGAAGTGCAGTGGTCACATTATAAAAGAATATCTTTGAACAAGCATCTTTATTTAGAAATAGAAAGACCTTCTTAAATGAGAAAGTAACATCTCTAATATCTTTAGTAAAAATAAACAAATAATCTCCTGAAACTATATTTCTTATCCACATTCGCAGTTTTACTTACAGTATTATTTTATTGATATTAATATAGTAATTGGCAATTATGTAATAAGAGAATGTAATATTTCAAATGTATGTGGATTATCGTAAGAAGATAGAATAGGAAAGAAAGTTTGTAAGAGAAACATTATGACATTATTTTAGTATTAATGTGTATATTAATAATTTTCATATTTTTTTTAGCGATTTTTTGAATTTGAATTAATCTAGATTTATGTTAGAAGAATCAAAGGAATCATCTCTTCTTTTATCAGGCATTCTTTTAATTTATTATAGCATTTTTCTCTTTTTCTTTTCTTAAACATTTTATCTTGATTAATCAGGTTAATTTAAATTAAGTACAACTTAATTTATTCTTCTACTATTAATTATAGCTATTTTGCTTGTTACTCTAAAAAAATCTGTTATTTTAGTTTAATCTTCTTTTTGGATAATCTTTTAAAAAGGAATCTCTATCATTAATAACAATTTTTTTACTTATGGTTTCTTCTATTCTCTCTTAAGAATATCTTAATTATTATTAACAAAATTCAATAATCTTTTCTACAGCTGGTTTCCCCCAAGTAAATTATTCTAATGATTCATCTACTCTTGGTTTCTTATATTCATTAATTACTTCAATATTAGGAAAATCTGATGGTAATTCCCAATATTTTTTATAATTTTTATGAAATTCTTTGTAAATTCTTTCTTTCTCAGGTATATTTTCATAATGAGATGAAGCATTCTCTAATAATATATCAGCTTTAGATGCCCAAGATGTAAATCTTTTTAATGCATCTATATTGTCAAATACTTCAACAATTTCCATAGCATTTACTATACCTACTCCTTTTATACCTAATGTATAATCACTACCTAAAAATAGAGCCAAATAAATTAATTAATCTCTATTTAATCCTAGATCTTCTTTTATATACTATATATAAATATATCATAATACCTAAGTATCATAATAAACAAGTGAATTTTTAGATTCAAAAAAACCTTTAAGTACCTTAGTAGCTCCAAATAGAAAAACATCAGAATCCTCTGTAATTACACAGTCTACTAAACCATTTTATTATAGATATGCACATTAGGCTTCAGCTTCACCAGGAGCTATAATCCAAGGGATTCCAAATAATGCTAAAAGTAATCTAATATCTTCAAATTTTTATTGCATAGTAGTTGAATCAAGTGATTAAAGATTTTAATTCTTTCTAATATTTTCTATCATTTCTTAAGCATCCAATTCTTCACCATTATTATCAGCTTAAGTAAATAATAAATCAATTTATTCATCAGTAATTATTTAATTAGGATTTTATATATTATTTTATTAAATTTTTGGTTTAATTTATTAGATCTCATTTTATTATTTAGGATTAAGATCTAAAAATTATTATTAAATATCTTAAGATAGAAAATTATTCTTATTGTTAAGATCTTCTTTTAATGAATATTATTTAGGTAAACTCTTTGAATTGATTGATTCTTGATTAATTTTGGAATTACTATTAAAATTAGATGAATTTTAGATTTATTAATTTTAGATTTAATTAATAAATAAATTATCACTATCTGAATCATTATCACTTGAATTTGTTTCATCATCTTTTTCACTTATATTATTTTAATTATCTTATTAATTATTAATTACTTCTTATTAAGTTTATATGATATTCTAAATATTCTATATATTTTCTTAATTATTTATTTAAGTATAAGGTTAAATTTATTAAGAATTAGAATCTTCTTTTATTTATTATAATTATCTATATTCTTCATCCATTTTCTATTCAATTAAATCTAAATCAAAACAATCATATTTATCCATTAAATCTTCAACATCTTAATTTTCTATTTAATTTTGAGTTTCAGGTATAATTTCTTCATTAAGTTTCTCATGATATCTTCTTCTTAATGCTTCTCTTATATTTTTTAAATGTTCATTTTCAATTTCATAATCTTTTAATTTTCTTTTTGGTTTCTTTTTTTATCCATATAACATTTTAACTAATTCTTATCTTTTTTCTTAATCTTATAAATAAACATAAATATTATTCACTCCAAATTATCCCATTTTAATTATTAAATCTTGATTATTATTTAAATATTCTCTTAATAATTCACTTTCTTTATCATTATATTATTCTAATATTTTTTCAACTCTAAGTGTTTCTATTTATTTAACAGCTTCTATTCTTATTTATTTAATTTTCTCCTTTTAATCTGCTTCCATTAAAAATCTTTTAAGTGAAAAATTTTGATCATCAGCATATTATCCTTATCTTTCTTCAATTAATTACTCTATGATTTCTTCTTTAGTTTATAAATCAAAATTATGAAATCCTTCAATAGTTCCTTTCAAATAAGCAAATTATAGATTGAGTATATCATGATTTTATTAATCTATAATTTCTTATTCTTCTGGTGGTAATTGAGATTCAGATTCATCTTCAAATACTATTTCTTCAATCAATTCTTAATTATTTTATTATGTTATATCATATCCTTTTTCTATTAATTTTACAACATACTTTTCTGCTAATTTTTATAAATTGATATTGTATTGTTATCTTTATTAAGCTCTTTTAATTAATGTTTATCTCTTTAATTCTGGAGCAGGTCCATCAAATACAAATACTGGTTTTATACCATTTTCCAATAAAAACATTATTCTTTTTAAAATACCAATCAAATGAACATTATCATAATTTACTCCTGCATTAGACATTCCATGTAATAACTTTATCATCCATATACTGACATCTATAGCTACTCTTAAACCTCTTAAAGATGTAATTTCTACATTCCTTCCTGCTGCCGCCAATAATTTCCATAAATTATAAACTCCCATTATTTAAAATTATAATATTATTATAAACTCATTAATTCTACAATGCTTCCTCAATATCTATTTCATCTTATTATTCTAAAGGTAATTCTTCATAATTCAATTTCATTTGATTAATACATGGTACAACATTCCCATATTAATCATAAGCTGTAGGTATAGCACTAGTAAACATTCTTACAAAAAATGGAACAACAAATATTACAAAAGGCAAACTCAAAAATCCATACATCAAATGTGAAAAATAAATCAAATTACCAACATAAGGTAACATATAGAATGTATCATCTTTATTATAATAATAATTATAATAGATATATCCAGTTAATGAACATGTTCCCAAAAAACAGATTAGATCATATATCATAAATCCTGTTAATCTTCCACCTCTCTTTTTAGATTCTTATCTTTTTATTTCATTATTTATGAAATCAGCTCTAGATTTTGTTTTATGTAAAACTGCAAATGCACACCAAATCAAAATTACTTATGTAAAATAACTTATTTATGATAAAATTAAATGATTATCAGCACCAGGACCATGATAAAAACAATAATTCAATTTAAGTCCTTAATCTTTTTCATTTATATAATCATGAGCTGGTCTAAGTGTTGCACAATAAAAGTAAGTAAAAAATCCAATCAAAGCATTTAATATTCCAGCAGTAAAAAATTAAATGTTTTTATAATCCAAAATATAATTGACTACTTAATATTCTTCTGATTTGTCAATTGCCAAAAATATAATAAGAAATGTGAAAACTTGAATTCCATAATAAGGAATTACTTATAATAGTTTAATAAATAAAAAAGAAGGAGATCTTAATTATTTTCCAGGTTCAACATCAAATGGATATAAAGAATATAATATCCAATTCCTTAATAAATACCAAGGTTTTAACCATTTAATTTTATCTGGTCTTTTAGATAAAGTAATAGTAGGTTCATCTATACTTACTCTTAATTCAAAACGTATTAGATTACTTGCATCTGTCCACAAACTTAAAACTGCATCATTAACAAACTCAAAACAACATTAACTAGGAACAGCTTTTTAAACACTAAGTGAGATTTTAGTTTCCATTTATTTAAGAGATCTTGATATTCTTTAATCTATTTTAAGGGCAATCCATTTGTTGAAACTTTATTTTTATTTCAAAATAGTCTATTTAACACTTGAATCTACTTTTTATAATTGAAGCTTATTTATATTAAATATAATTGATTACTGTAACAGTCTTTTAAGCTTCATTAACCTTATTAGTTAAATAATCACCTGCAGCAGTTAGATTTGACTTAATATACGATATAGTTCCTTATTTAGGTTTATCTTCAGGTTTGTTAGGAGCAGAATCATCGTTTTTTGGTTAATCATCAATAACATTTGCATTATCACTTTTATTTTCTTGTTATTTAATTTCCTGTTCTTTATTTTCTTCATTCTTATCGATATTGATAGTTCAATACCATTTCTTGATATTATTCAGTCTTCTTTTTCATAATTTGATTGTATTTTTCTTGTGCTTAGTTCTTGATTTTGGTAACAAAACTCATAAAATAATAAAATAATTTAAAATATAGAACAAAATAGAAAATGTAGAATTTATTACATATACATTCACTCATTCTTATCTTTAATATCCTTCATTAGGTTATTATTCATTATTGAATGCCTTAAGGAAATTCAAAAAGCCTAGAATACTCAATCCTACTTCAATCCACCAAGTTGATGCTATAGTGTCATATCCATCTTGATACTAAATTTATATATAAATGAATTACATATTTTACTCCAACAATCATACCTATAAAAACTAATACAAAACCTAACCAAAGACTACCAAGAATAGCTAATTTCACATATTTATGTGTGAAAAAATAAGTTGCAATCAATCCCAAAAATGCTAACATCATAAAAACTTATCCAGAAATTGCGAATCTCACATATGTCAAACTTTCATTTCTATGTGGATGTTCATTCATATATGAATATTCTGTTAATAAAACAATCTCTATCATTAAAAGTGCTATATTGCTTATTGCCAATTGCTTTTTTGCATCCCTATAATAGAATATGTGAATTCATTTACAATTCAACCATGAAAAATGATATTATATATAAATTTATTATTAAATTCATACAATTTGTTGCTATTAAGTGAATTGAGATTCATTATTTCCTACCATTACCATCTAACTTTAATTTGCTTGAGTTGTTGTATTCTATAATTGCTTCTTTGAATCATCAGTTTCATCCTTCTTTTTATTAGTCTCTTCCTTTTTTTTATTCTATTCATTTTATCTATAATTATGCAAATTCACTAAACTCATAATATATAGACACAAATGAATAAACCAAAGTGCAACTGGAAAATTGAAACTGTCTTTTGGATAATTTATTTTATTTAACTAAAATCATAAATTTTATTATTATACCCCTTATGCTCCCATTCCCATTCCTATTAATAATATAAAGATAGAAAATGAGTTTATTGCTAAAATCGAATATAAGATTTTTTGATTAAATTTGTAAATCAAAATAATCTATATAAACCAAGTGATCATCATAAATAGACTTCCAGTTACTGATAGACCTTTAAATGCTTTAAAATCATTCTCATAATCAGTATTTATACTAATCTATAAATCTATAATTACCTGAAGTCCAAATCAAATGATGCATAATAAGCTAATAATATAATTTCAATCACATTACAACACATCAAACCAATTATTTTATATACATTATCAGTTCTATTCATTTAGACATATATACTTACATCTCAAATTTAAATTTCATGTTTTTTACTTTTATTTGAATTCAATTATATTATATAATAAATAAATTCAAAAATCCTTCATGAATATAAGATTAAACATATATTTAAATAATGATGAATTAAAATTATCCTCATCTTTTAATTATTAATAATTATACATACTATTAATAAAGATACAAATATTATATGATTTATTCTTGAAATATCATAAATATTCTCTATTTTTTTATCACACTTAAACATCAATAAATTATTTATATAGTTTATTCAATATATAAAATATGCTTACACACAATCATCTATCGTGGAATCTCTATATTATAATTTATACAAATCATTCACTACTCTATCCATTTTCTCAGCCAATTTCTTAGATTTTGCACAAACAGATATTGGTAATTCACCTTATAAAGCATAACCACTTATATGATAATAATATCCATAATATGCTTTAACAGGAGTTACTTAATGACATCCCTTATGAGTACAATTTTTAGCTGCTAAATGTTATTCCATTTATAATTTCAAACTATCCCTTAAATTTACTAATTTATTCACTATAGATTCATCACTTTAAGTAGATAAATTATCATTTGGTGTTCTTTAATCAATAAAAGATTATATTTCTTCTTATGATTCTTGTATTAATTCTTGACTCAATTAAACCAATTCTTATGATACACTATCATTAATTTAAGATAATTTTCCTCTTAATTTCTCTTATAAATTAGGAAAGAATATTTTTAATTAATCTCTTTCCAATTTATAATCTGTATGCCACATAGCATTTATCAATCTTTTTAATTAATCATTATAAATTTTACTAATATTAATTGGTTTAAATTATTGCAAAGCATCTTTAGTCTTTTCAATTTTTTAAGTTACTTATTTTTTAGTTGTTGAAATACTTAGATCTATTTACTTATTAATTTGTTCTTTTAATGAATCTATAATTTTATTTAATTAAATTCTCATTCTCTCAATATCACCGTTAAATAGTCTTTTAAGATTAGAACCCTTTTTTTCAAAATTTTAATATTCTGCTTCTAATGCATATACTTACTCTTATATTTCAGAATACTTTTTATTAGTTTAATTAACAAATTAGCTTTTTTCTAGAGTCATTGAATTTCCTTTATGTTGATGCAATTATTCTATACAATCAGAACAACAAATCTAAGGATAAGTCAAACAATCAGGATTTAAGCATGTCATCATTTTTTTAGAATGTAAGAGTGTTTTACATTGTGTTTTATCATCATCAAATAATATCACACACTTTGACATTGTATTATAATTAAATTTATAATTTCATGAATTTAACTCCGACATCACAAGCAATCTTTTAATCATTTTTTATTTAAAAGACTAAACTACAATCTTCAAACTATGTTCAAAATAAGTCCTCATAACCAAATAAATTAGGTTGCAGCAAAACTAAATAGTTATATGAAAGACCATGTAGCACTATAATATAATAAATTGGATGTGTAGATTATTCATAAACTCGTTTAGATAGAACTCGAAAAATCTCTTTAAATGAATCTCAATTAACTGTTAGAGGAATTAGAAGGCCATCTAAAATTTTAGAAAACAGTGAATATAATTAATAAGTTCCAAAGTTATCATAATATTAATAAAGAAGAACTAGATGGATGTAAGTATCAGAAAAACAATAATCTCCATTTAAATAAATCAATAGTCCTGAATAGGAAAAAGAGATTAAAAATATAAAAAGAATCAAGCTTCAATTATTAATTAAAGATAACAAATATCCTAATTTTAAATTAAATTTATTGAAGAAAAAACTTTAACATTAGAGTGGAGTTGATGAATATTTTAATGATATGATTTTTCATTAATAAAAAAATAATCCTGAATTAAGTGATTAAATAAGAATCATTATTACAAGATAAGAATAAACATTAGAACCACTTGATAGTAGTAGGATAGAAAAAATTAGAAATTAACATTGATTATATGGATTAACATTTTAATTGTTATTAAATCAAATTGGTTTTATTTTAATAATAACTATAAAATTTTTATAACTTAAGTTTAAATAATAGTATATATTTAACAAATGTATGAAAATGATGTTATCTAAGTTACATCATCATATGATCTTACTAATATATTTTGGGATGTTAAAACAGAATAACAAAATTAGGATATAAATTATAGAGATAATTAATAGTGAACAGAATTGATAAATCTAAAGAAAAATAATATTAGGCTGCAGTTATCAATTTTTTGACTCTTATTATAATTAGATCTCTTAAACCAAGGAAGTTGTCTATATTTAAGATAGATATAATAATAATATTATAGAATCGGATTTTTAAAAGATAGTAATTTCTTTTTATACTTTTTTTGAAGATTGAATTATAAGAATACATGATTTAAGATAAGTATTAGATTTCAATAATTATGTAGTAGATTTATCAAGAGAATATTAGGATAAAAAGCCAATAAATACAACTTTTTTGGATATAAATGAGACTGAATTAATTATTAGAGGTTAAATTAGAAATGTGGAAATACATAATTTTTAGTAAAACAAAGTGATATTGAAATTATCTCCTTGTCCTAAAATAGGTTTTAGATTTATTTCTATTTCCTAAAATACTAATCAGATTATTGCTGCTGATTTACGAAGGCAATGTCGTACTTATATGGTGAATAACATGGACCTAACAGAATAAAATTTAGTGTATAAATTCGAAGCACATCAACTAATTTTAGCGTAGATAAACACTTATTTTAACTTTGAATAAGAAAAATTTAGGGAATGCAAATAATCCAAATAGGAATTGTTTTCAACTCTATATGGTATTGAATATTGAGAGATTATTTAAAAGGACATTGGAAGTAGGTGAGGGATTGTGTGTGACTCAGAATATATTATTACAGCTATATCAGATTTATTTACAAAAATATGGTAAAATGATAGTGCTGCTTTACTAAGAATTTTAAAGGGACATAAATAGGGTGTTACTAGTTTTTCAATTAATGATATAGCAATTGACTGATATTATTATTATCAACTCTTTTTCTTTTTTATTTATTCCTTTTATTATTCACTTTTCAAACTCCATTTAATATATACTAAGGATTCAATAAGATTGAATATCTATTGATTATAATCATAATTAATACTATCAATAATGCAAACGGGATAAATGAAAAGTTTACTACTATCAATGAATTAATCTTCCAATAATCAGCTAATATTATGGTATGCAACTCTAATTATAAAAATAAACTTGTTAAAAACAACTAATTATTCTTATTTAATTATTACATATGAACAAACTTAGATGATTTTGTAAAATGAAAAGATTTATGCATAAATTCCAACAAATGTATTATATTTTAAGATTTAATCTATTTTCTTAATCACTAACACTGTTGTGAAGTTTTTAATTATTTTAAGTACTCCACTAATTAAGACTACCCAATATAAATGTTAATCTTCAATATGTTATAGTATGATTGAAAATAACAATACATTTTTACAAATTGATTACATTGATTTTGAGCAAATCCATTTTGTTTTCTCAGTTGTTGGAGCAGCTATAAAAATTTCTATTGCAAAAGCACCTACTAATGCAAAAAATGTATTAGTATTATTGTTTGCTGATAAAAATTTACTAAATGCAAAAAGCCCAATTTATATGAATTGGAGCAGAATTGTTATCATGTTATTAAATATATAAAAGTAATTTATTTTAATTTGAGTATTTTCATTATTTACTTAATCCATAAATAAGAAATAAAATTAGAAAGTCTTTTAATTCCAAAAGCAATGAAATCAATTTATTAGCCTTAGATGAAAATTTGTAAAATATTCTGCTAAAATAATCATTTCTAAGTTTATGATGATAATTCCTTCACTTAAAGATAAATTTTTGGAGTTTGTACAAACAAAGAATGTAAAGAGAAATTAGTATGTGTTGAATGTCAAGATACCTTTCATAAAGATCATAGAGGAATGATCTTATCCTATGAATAATTAAAAGATAGAGTAAATCATAGGTATTCAGATATTGTAGCTTCATCTATAAATGCTGAAATATTACAAGAACAATTTATTTGCCTTTATAAACAATTATTAGATTCAATTAATATAATTGAAATGTAATTTAATGAAAACTGCATAATATATCAATAATTTCAATAAACTCAAAATATTATAAGACTCATATAACAAGATAGATATTATGAAATAACAAATGAATAATTTAATGTTTTTTTTTAAGTTCTTTATGAATAGACATTAGATTATTAGTAATTTGATTCTCAATTCAAATTAGTATAAAATTAAATGGAAACAGCTATCGAATGTTTAGAAAAATTAAATTCATCTATCAAAAATTAACTTAAGAAATATAATTTCTAAAATATCATCAATCAATATATTAATTAAGAAATAATCAAATAATTTTATACTTAAAATCCATTAAATTTTTCATAAATACCACCTGAATTTAATTGTTAAAATTATGGAATGATTAAAGAATTTAAAAATTAAAATGAAATTTATTATGGAGAGGTAGATGAAAAAGCACAAAAACATGGAAAAGGTAATTTAAAATTAAATTAAAAATTAGGAATCTAAATATAGAAGAAAGGAGATATAATATATGAAGGCATTTGGTAAGAAAATTAATTAAAATGGGGTTAAAAAACCCAATTCAATGAATTATAAGAATGTACAATCTTAAAGGGGTATATGAAAGATAAGAAATTGAATGGATAAGGAACTAAGATTACTTCTTTTGGAGATATGTATATAAAATTAATTATATAGGTATGAGGGATAGTTTGTTGATGATAAATTAAATGGAGAAGGATATTCATAGACAAATGATGGAGAAATGTATTAATATATAAATAAAAAATAGATACAATGGAAGTTTTAAAGATAATAGAAGACATGGACAAGGAAAATTGTATAAAAAAGATGGAGAATAGTAAATTATATTATTAAATTAGTTATATTGGATCTTTTAAAAATGGTAAAAAGAATGGAGATGGATTTTTGAATCTTACAAATGGAGATAAGTATTGAAATATATTCAACTCAGTTATTCAGGTTGGTTCTAAGATGATAAATTTAATGGGAAGGGTGTATATACAGTTAAAAAAGATAATTCAAAATTTAAAGGGCATTTTTAAAATAACAAAAAAGAAGGAAATTTTGAAATAATTTATAATGATAATTCTTTGTATTTATTTATAATAATTTAAGGGAAACTGGAATGTTTTAGAATGATATCAGAAATGGATAATTTAGATTTTATTCTCCTAATTAATAGGTACCATTAAGAGAAGTCTAATATAACAATGGTAAAATTGTTAAATGATAAAATAAATTTGAATAAATATATTGTAATTATATAATTTTAAATTTGAAATGGAAACATAATCATTCTCCCCAATGTTAGATAGAGTCATGGCTCAAGAAATTCAATCAGTTAGTTGGAGTAAGACTATGGATGTTTGTGCAATCCTATATGTTAATAACTAATTGGAAATATGTAGAGTAAGTGAATAATTGTAAAGGATGTTCATAATATAAGAAGATGATGTAATTAGTAATATTATTGTGGAAAGTATTATAATTTATATAATTAGGTATGTTTTTGGCTTACAATGTTGCAAATAAATTATATATTTATCATTTGGCTTCTCATTAAAAAATCATTTAATCTACTTTGATTAAGAATTCAGATAAAATCACTTAAATGCTTCTTGTTTAAGTGAATGCAAAAATTATTAAAGAGTAGGAATTATAAGCAGCTATAATTCCATTATCAACCACAAATTTGTAATTTCCTTATTAATTAATAGAAAAAATTGGTAAAATCTTTGTTTTCTAAAACAATAATAAATAAATAATATTATATTCTCTTTAACTAATAAATAAATTGCCTATAATTTTAATGGGATTCTACATTTAGGAGAAATAGAACATAAAAGCATAACATAATTATTTCAATTAGAAAATGAATTGCATTGTTTTTCAAATTCATTTGTTGAAATTTATGATATTGGCTTATTGAAGCATCAATAAATTTTAGTAAAATCTATATTTTATATAGAAATACATTTAATAATTGAGCTATTTAAATGAATTACTTTGTTTCTTAAAAACATCAATTTTATTAATAAATACTTAATTATAAGATATCTTTAAATGCTACTAATTAAATATAATAGGTCCTTTGGTAGCTTTTGGACCATAAGAAACAATTAATTATCATATATTATAATTTTATTAAAAAGGAAATTGTCCTTAAGAATTGGTTTAATTTTTTCAAAAGGAACTATACAATACAAAAATTTTATAGAAAATGGATGATGTAATATATTTATATAATTAATTTATAATTTTAGAATATTACAAATAGCTTCAACAATATTTAAGAAATAATATAAGATTCATTAATGAATGTGTTATCTAGAATTTTAATCATTTTAAACTTTTTTATTTAATCAAAAAACATGTAAGAATTTAATATAATTTAGGCCTTTTTATTAAGGATTACATAAAACTCCTTTTGAAGAATTAAAATAAACAATTTAAAATATTTAAAAAGTTTTTAGTAGATTTTAGATTGAATGTCATTAGACTAAATTACATTTGAGAAACTTTTTTGTTTGGCTAAATTTATGTGCAATAAAAGCAGGAAATGAATAAGAAGTTGAATGTGAGAATGTTAATTCTCCACTTAATAAAATAGAAGTAGATCTATCAAAATTATTTGATTTTTTAAAGGATAACCATTTATTTTAATTAAAAAATTTATAATGTTTCTATTAAGAAAAAATAGGTATAAAATAAATTTATTTTTATAGCACCAAAAACATTTTTTACAAAAATAGTTATATAAAAAAATGTTGAGTTTAAATAAACAGAAAATATTACTAAGATTTTAAAAAATGTATTCAAAGATAGTTATATGGATAACATTTAATAAAAATAAAGTAAAATAGAATAAGAAGATACTTTTGTAACAGTTAATTCTTTGGTTCGCTAATTGCAAAATTATTTAGATAAAATAGCCATAAATTTAAAACCTCAACTTATCAACAAAATCAACATTGATCTTTCAAGTTCAATAATTAGATTTTCAGAATAATCAGAAAATTCATATATGTTATCTGTTTTAGTAAACAATTCAATCATTCAATATATATATTAATTAAAGAGTTTTTAATAATTAAATTAGATTTAATTCAATAATAAGTATATTAAAGAACTATAATACTTTGATGGAAAACTAATCATTTTGAGTACAAATCAATAAGAAAATTAATAATAATTAATTGCATATATTTCATCAGAAGATTTAGAAACTCAAAATAAATTTGAATGTCATTCAATAAAAGATCTTTAAGTTAGTAAGAAAGGACTAATATCAATCATCATAGATTCCAAAAAATTAATTATTCTTTCCATTTGAATATTATATATTTATTTAGTAATGTAAATTTATTTATTTATGTAATATCAATTCTACTCTTATTAGGCTGCTTATAACTTCTATAATAGTGATACTTTACTTCTTTTTTTAATTCAGCAATTTCCCTCTTCAATCTAATGTTTTCATCTTTAAGTTTTTCATATTCTAATTTTAGTTTATCTACATCAATATCAACAGGTGATCCCAAATACTTTTTGACATAGCTATTAATCAATTTAATAAATACTCAATAGCATTGTTAGGCTTTTCTGGTTCTTCATATAATCCTACTAGAACTCTTGTTAATTGATCAATTACTCCAGCTTTTTCTAAATATTTTCTGAATTCTTCTTTTTTGGAATCAGTTGTCTATCAAATAAATTTATAGTAATTACTTAGAAACTCATTGAAAATATAATTATTATATTATTATTATGTTTAAAAAGTGAAAATTATATAAAATAGAGTATTAATTAGATTAAGAATTGGAATTTAGTCAATTAGATAAGTAATTAGGATAATTTTTATTGTTAAATGATTATTATTATTATAGATTATTTAAATATTAAATAATTATAAAAATGGATTTTAGTAATGAGCTTATAAATTTCATAAAAGAGTTGGCTCCAAGAATGAGTAGCCAAGAGATTAATAATGAATTAAAGAAGGCTCATGGCCGAATTGATTATGATCCAAATTTAATGAATCATTAATGCAATAAAAGCTAATTACTTAGCTTTATTGAAACAGAATCATTACAAGCAATAGAAGAAAACCAATAAAAAAGCAAAGAGATTTAAGCATATTTGGGGGAAATAGTTAAAAAATGGTCTTAATAATGTGCAAAAGAAAAAAGGATTAATGAGGATCATTTAAAATATTGTTCAGCTGTATTGTTACCTTATGGATCAGTATTATTGGGAGTGGCAGATAGTAAATCTGATATAGATTTAATTTGTATAGCTCCAGAATTTATTGATAGAAGAGAGTAATTTTTTAATGGGTATTTATGATTGAAATATATAAAAGATTATTTTATTTGTTATCAAATGAATAAGGAATGGAATAAATAAATAAAATAGAGAGCACTTCAAATCCAATTATAAAAATGATTTATAAAGGATTTCATATAGATATTAATTTTGCTTAATTAAATTCAGACAGAGTTCCAGAGAATATAGATGAAAATTTAGATGAATTAAGAAGAAATTTATTATAAAGTGAAGATAAATCAATGTATGCTTTAAATGGTAGAAAGAATGGTATTTTAATTAGTAAATCAATGCCTGATCATTCATAATTTGTTTAAGCTTTAAAAATAATAAAATAATGGGCAAAGAAAAGAAAAGTGTCTAGCAATATAATTGGTTATTTAGGTGGTATTAGTTGGGCAATCTTAATGGCTAAGATTTGTTAATTATTTCCTAGAGTAGATGTATGTTAAACTGTAAGTTTATTCTTCTAAATTTACTCTTAATGGAATTGGAAAGTACCAGTTGTTATTGATGAATCTGAGTAATATTTTATTTATTATCAATTTATAGTCCAGAAATAGAAACATTTAAAACACTATGTTGGAAGAGAGATGAAGATAAAAGGAATGATAAGATTATGTAAATTATAACACCTGCATATCCATTCTTTAATACAACATTTAAAGTTAATAAAATTACTTTTCAAACCATTTATCATGAATTCTAAGTAGGAGCTTAAAAATTAGGAGATTGGAATGAAGTATTGAAACCATTTGATTTTTTTGATTGTTTTTAATACTTTGTTGCAATATCTATAGTTTCAAAGAGCTCAGAAAACTTTCATAAATGGACTGGTTTTTGTGAAGCACAATTACCTAAACTATTAAAATTAGTTGGACATAATGAAGCTACTTATGATACTGAAAGTTTTGAATTGAGAATAACACCTGATGGAGAAGAGAATCTTGAAAGAGATTATGCTAAATCTCTTACATATTTCTTAGGAATCAAGAAATTAAAACCAGAGGCATGGCCTTTATTTTTAAGAATTCCAATTACTTAATTTGCAATAGAATTAAATTAAAGAAAATTATAGAATTTTAAAAATGAAGATGAATTTAATATGAAAATATATATTGCTAATGTTACTGATATTGATTAATTAAGAGGAAAGTTGTCACCAAGAATGTATGATGATTAATATTCTATTGTAAAAAAGATTAAAACTAATCCAGAAGATAAAAATGGTAGTGCTTATTTGGTTAAGAGAATATCTTCAATTTAAAGCAGTGGAATCAATTAAGATGTATTAAATGATATGTTTTGATAAATTTATAGATGTGAATTTGCAAATATATAATTATTATTTTTTTAATTCATCTTAATTTTTATAAATTATTTATTAATGTTTATTGGTTTCCACCTGTCCATCTCTCTTTCTATTGTCCATTTTCATATATAATAAATGTTGGAATACTAGTCACTTATAATGAATCTGCAATCTCCTTGACCTTAATAATTCTCATTTGTAGGTTACCTTATCAATATTCACATTATAAAAATTTATGTGAGGATGTTATAAAGATAATTAATGAAATAGTGGTTTTATAGTCTTGCATGGACCACACCAATCAGTATAAAAATCAACAATACTGAATGGACTACTCTCTATAAGACAAAAAAATGTTGCTAAATCATCAATAGGAGTAACATTAGTATCTGTTATTGATTATTGTTATGGTGGTTATTAAGCAGGTTAAACCTTTTGATTCAAGGAAACAGGTTATGATGATTGGGGATGTGGTTAATTTATTATTTAAGGATTAATATATTAGAAACTTGATGGTGCCTATTATTGTTAATTCTAAAGATCAGTAAAATGTTCAGTTTAATCTGTAGCCTATTTATTAGTAATTTACTCAATTATGGGTTTAAGCATTTATCCTAATTGAGTATTTAAAAATTCTTAGGGTAATCCTAATGTGAATAGTAATTAATAGATTACCTGTTATATGTTCAGGAATACCTTTACCAACTAAAAACATGGCACATTCATTAGTAAAATTATTGCAATTATTTTCAAATAAGTCATATTTTTCCATTGTATATTTAGAACTTATACTTCTTAAGAATTCTTCAAATGTACTTTGAGGTATTTCTGTTTCTCCCAATTCTCTTTCCTAATTTTTAGAATAAATTATATAACCTCTATAGGATATCCATAAATAGTTGATTTTGGAGTTTAAGCACAAATACCTCCACCGAAATAATATTCTTTTCCATATACTACAATTCCAGTATGCCATATTGCATCTATTTGTTTACCTAAAAACATAGGTGAAAATTATCTGGCCATTCCTTAAGACAAATCATACATATTTAGTGTCACCTTATATTTATGATTATCCATTTTGAAATTATTATATAATACAAAAATTAATCAATACTTTTTTAATTCATAAATATAATAGAAACTCAATAACATAGTTATATTATTTTCTAAAGTCTATTCAATCTCAGTTAACTAAATTTATCACATCAAAATCTCTAAAATATTACTTATACACAATTAATTGACATACTAATAATAAATAAATTTAATTAACTGAAATGAATAGAGCTAGGTTTGATGAAACCAATCGTAAATTTTAAGTATTTCTTATTTCCTATTCATAAGGAATATTAAGCTGAATTCAAAATTCCAATTCTACCCTCCAGTCAATAAGAAAACTTTAATGCTTAAACATTTTATAGACTTTATCCTGAATTGACTCCATTTCATGCCATAAAACCACACCAAGCTCAAGCCTTTAATCCAGAAAAGACTAGACTATATATAGAGAGTTTATAAAAGCAAAATCATGAAATAAATTCTGAATTAAGACAACAAGCTCATGATATTGTTACTTTGTCTTAGATGGTTAATACATTGATTGATGAAAATAGAAGTCTTTCATTACTACTAGAGTAAAAGGATTTAGAAATGCATTCCATAGTTGAAACTATGACAATAAATGAAGCTGAAGAAGTCTCAGATCTAAGACATTAGTTAAGATTTTTGGAGGATGAAAATTCTGTTCTTTTAAAACATGTTTAAGAATAAAGATTGTAATTAGATGATAAAATACAAGATGGTTATGAATTAGAAAAACAATTCTAAAATTCAAAAAAATATTGTCTCTAACTTGAATAATAGATAGAAAAACATAAGTTATCTGAAATAGCATTATCTGAATAAATGCAAATACTTAAAGAAAATTTTAGAACTGAAATAGAAATTAAAAGTTCTTATTAATTTGAAAATCAGAAAAAGGATAGTGTTATTACATCATTAACATTTACAGTTGAAAAATTAAATAAATAATTATTATAATTATCATCAGATTATGAAAAATTAGAATTAGATAAAAATGAATTACATTCTAAAAGCAATTTGAAACTTTATGAATTGAATCAATAATTAGATGATTTAAGTAATGAATTATCAAAATATAAAATTACAAATGATTAATTAATTCAAGAAATCAATTAATAACATGAAGAAATTATGAAATAATAAGACTATTGTGATAAAATGGCTGATTAATGTGATGAAATTATGAATAAATTATCAATGGAAATTGAAAAATCGTAACAACTATAAGTTAATGAAAATAGATTATAAGAACATATTGGATAATTAAGCTTATAAAATACTGAATACTATAATAAATTAAAATTATATTAAGAATAAATTAATACATTTATTGATCAAAATAATGAGGATTTGGAGAATTAGAAATTAAAATTTGATTAAATTAAATAGGAATTAAAATAAGAATATTTGAATGATCTTAAAGGAAAATAATTAGAAATTTAGGAACTTGAAGAGTAAAATACATCAATTTCAAAAGATTTGAATAATGTTAAGAATGAATATGAAATGCTTAAAATAGATTATGAATAAATTAAAAAAGAAATTAGTGATTATTAATAATAAAAAAGAATCATAGAATAGCTTTAATTACAAAACAGACAATATAAATTATAATTGGAAGAAAATAAGGCTTTATTACAAGAATTTGTATCACATAAAGGTGGAGTTTAAGCAGATATTGAGGAAAGAGATAAACATATATAAAAAATTATAAATTAAAAAGATGATAGAATTGCTGAATTAGAAAGGGATTTTTAAATGTATTATGAAAAATGTGCTATTCTATAATAACATCAAAAGAATAATGAACATTTAGAATAGTTGAATTTTAATTACAGAGAATAAAAAGAATTATTTGAATAAGAGAATGAAAGATTAAAATAAGAAATTTAAAAATTACAAAATTAAATAAATAATTATGCAACTATCTAAAAATAATAAAAATTTAAAGCAGAAAAATCAATAATTGAAGAAAATTAATAACTCAGAAAAGAATTAAATGAATTGGGAAATGAATTACAAAAATTAAGAGATTAATAAGTTAATATGAACACTTTACCTATACCTCCTAAATAAGCTAGTGAAGCTGGAAGTAGAGTAAGATAAGGAGGACCTTCTTAAGATTTTTAATAAACCAAACAAAATTAAGTCTATCTTTAACCATAATAATAAATCTAAGTATGAATATTTATATATAAATTAAGCCTACATCTCCACATCATTCATAACATTCACCTGTTCTATCAAGAAGAAACATTTAAGAATCAGATGATGGGTCTGTTAAAGGAGGAGGTAATACTTAAGATAAAAATATGTTAATCTCTTTTACTGATGATCAAATTAAATAATAATAAATTTAAAGATAGAGAGATAGAGAAAATTCTTATCATTCTAATATGTCAAATGCTCCATACAGAAGAAAATCACAATAATAATGATACTATTATATAGAAATATATTTATAATATTTATAGATAAAAATATTCAATTTTATTTTAATTATTCAAGTAAAAATTTTCTTATTTCAGAAGGAGTTTCCAATTTTAATTATATTTCACTTAATTTTAACATATTTAAACAAGTATATGGTCCACAATCATATCCATTATTTTAGTGTATACATTAATCAGAAATAACTATTTTAGTTATTTACTACTAAAAAATAGTATTAAGTATATCTTTGAAATTATTGTATGATTCTTCTTTGTTTATAATGGAATCCATAATAATCATTTGATAATTTTTCAAATTTAATTAAATTAAAAACCAATGAGTGTTATTTCTATTAACAATAAAATTAATTCTATTATATATCTTTTCTATTTAATAATCAATTCTCTTGTATTCTAGAAAATGATTTTAAAAAATCTATATATTGATATCTTTTGTATTATTCTTCATTTATGTAAACACATAACTTGGAACAAATATTTATCTTAAAGCCTATTTTCTTTAATTAAAATCAATTTTAAAATATTTTTCATCAATTTATATATTTAGATATAAAACAAAGCTATCTATTATTGAACTTGTGAACCATCTATTTTTGCTCTTTAATATTTTTATATCATTCTATGAAATCAATTAATTAAATTTTATCCATTACTCTATTTTTCTTTAATTCTCTCTTATTTTTATATTTGATTTTATTATTTTATCACCATCTTTTATAATAATCTTAAAATTTCTTGGATGATCATCATTTTACTATAATTTTTAATTATTGTTTTAATCATTATTCTAATTTTATTTCAATTCATCCTCTTACCATTCACCTTCTTAAATAACATTCTCAGATTTTTATCCAAATAATTTACCTTAGCCATGCTTTAATCCATTTTTAAATTCACCTTCATACAATTCATATATTGGATTAAAATTACTATCATAACTTACCTTGTATTAAAATCCTTTTCCTGTATAAGCTTCCAAATTTTTATATAAGAATTAACCATATAATATTTCTCTATCTTTGCATTTTATCTAATATGATAAATTTTACTATTAACCAACTAAAAAATCTTCATAATGTCTTATAATGAAATTAGGTTGTGTTGGTTTTTATGTATATGATGGTAAGAGTGTAGAGTTTTTCTTTTAAAATTTTTTTACAAACTAATCTTTAATATATTAGATATTATTAGCAATTTCATCTTGATAGTCATCGGTAATTTTTTTAAATACTGCTTTATATTTATTATAAAAGTTAATCAATCTTTCCTTTATCAAAAAATATATAACTAGAATCAGAAATATAGTAATCAAGATTTGAAAATTGATTAACATCTTATGTTTTTTATTAATTATAATATTAATAAGATAATCTAATTCACACAGATTAAATTCTAATATTTATAATATTAAATGAAATTTTATCATTCATAACTCAGCTCTAAAAGTTTTATAGCCTATCATTTACTATCAATAACAACAGGAATCTTTTTCATACTACCTTTAGTATTTACATAGATGCAATTCATAGTTTGTACAATCACAATGGGAATTTTTGGAATATGTCAATGCATTATTTTTAGCAGATTTTAGAAATTACAAATTTACATATATTCATTTATAATATCACTCTCATTATTACTATCAAACACTTACACTAAAGCTTTAATAATTGGAACCTGTTTAGGGTTGATCATCAATCTGTAAAATTAATTTACTTAAATATTGCAATTTCAATTTTTATAAGAATGCCAATATTTTGGACTCCTTCTCTATTATTTGCTTATCAAAAACATTTCAATATAATCAATATCCATATTTACATTCATAAGCTCCTCAATTATACGATTATTTTTATGTGATTATAATATAGATCTAACAAATTCTAAACCATAACCATTAATTATTAAACAAAAATAATAATACTTATCAATATTAGGTTAATTTGTTATTGATTTAATATTCTTTGGAACATTATATTTATTATATTAGTTTTAAAATCATTTAATTATTATAGCTTTAACTTTATTGTTATTTGCAAGCATAATAGTTAATTTATTTCAAAACTATTTAAAATAACTTACTTATCCTATTCTAATCATACAAGTAAAATTAAATATATCAAATTTAGATTATAGTCATAATTTAATTAATTTTTATAGATGTATTTATATTGATTCCTTTTGATATTATTATCATAATATTGTTTGTGTGTAGACCAATAAATGATATCTACTTAAAAAACAATCTAGGTTTTGAAATGTACTAATAAGAGCATTCTAATTCTCTAATTATTAGTACAATTTCAACAATTTTTGCAGCCCTTTTGATATACTGATTGTAATTACAATTTAATATTTTATATCAATTGATAATTTTATTCTTTATTTATTCAAAGTTAAATTAGAAATAAAAATAATAATGAAATAAGTACTTTTAATTCTCTGTCTCATTTCAATTATTATTGTTTTCACTAATGGTGTTCAATAGACAAATTTAAAAGACCTAAAGAAGAGGAATAATTAAATGACAAGGAAAAATTAAAACAAATAATCTTCATAAACAAATACTAAACCTATGTGGACTAAATTTAAAAATAAAGATAAAACTTCAAGAAAAAATCTTAAGGAAACTCAATTATAGATTTTAAATGTTTTGAAACCTCTATTTGGTGTAATCAAATTTTTAATAAATGATCATAGTTAAGAACAAAAGATTAAAATCGAGATAATAATGGAAAAGTGATTAAAGAAAATATTACAAATGACATTAAGCATTAAAATAAAACTAGTAAAAAAATAAACAAAAGTAATAAAATGAATGATAAATTCCTTTTTTAATGGGATCAAAAGATGGGTGATTTTGAACCAGAATTTATATTAAGTTTTGATTTAGTTCCTGATAGTATAGAAGTATATATAATTTAAATTGTAGGTGTTTTATGAAGAAATCTTAAAACCAACAACTATAAAAGGAGCCTTTTTTATTTCCTAATTTAAAATAGAAGACAGAATTGATTTCTTTATAAAAAATTCAAACAATCAATTGATTTATTCAAAGGAAAAAGTAAAAGAAGCAATTTTTAATATTGATATTTTAGAAAAAGGAGAATACAGATTTATTTTCTAGAATAAAAGAGTATGAGAATCGCTATAAACTTAGTCAAAATAAACCAAAACTGTTACATTTACTCTAGATGTGCATGATTCAGAATAAGAATTTTTGAAAATGGCTGATTTAGATCCTTTAGCACTTAGAGTAGAAAGAATAATAATGGCTATGAAAGTATATATATATAATATTATAATAAGGATAATTATTTTTTTGATAAAATAACAGGATAATAATTTGAAGGTAATTTATAAGAAATCTAAAATTCAAATAATAAATTATTACTATTTAGTTTTATTGAAATTATAGGTGTGATCTTTATTACAATTTGGTAAGTGTTTTATTTAAAAAGAATGGTTGGCAATCAAAGATTATTTTGAGCTTATTTATATTATAATAATTTTTATAAATATAGTCTTTAGATTAATTTATATGTGATTATCAATTAATCTTTGATAATTATTATATTTTTAGATATTAAAAATAATGAAATAATAATCAGTTTCTACACCTACAGCTTAATTTGGATTTAGACATTCTCTATAGATCTAATCTTCTCCAAATATCAAACTATACTAATAGTCTCCTTATTAATCACCTTATTAATCACCATTATTATAATAACCATCTTTATCATAATAAAGATAACCAATACAATAAAGTAATTTTGGTAATGTTAATAAAACACTATTTAATGATGGTCAAAATTAAAAGAACAAATAATTACAATTAGTAGATTTGAATCATATTGAAGAACCATGGAAATAAAAAGTTTTAGAATTAGAAAGAAAAGTTTAATAATTAGAATAATAATAATAAAATGAAGAATGTGATTATAATGAGAGTGAATTATCTCAAGTTTATAGTCAAATTTAATAGTTAGTGAATACTATAAAAATATTACAAGAAGAAATTTAAAATTTGTAAGAAAAATTAAACATTAAATAAAATATTATTGACGGTTATAATTCATAATTAATATCAAAAGATAAAGAATTAGAAGATTAAAATACTTACATTTAAGAAATACATAATTAATTAGAAGATTAAACTTTATTAATAGAAAATAAACAAAAGTTTTTATTTGATGAAATAAATTCATGGAAAAGAAAGTTTATTGAATAAAATAAGTATATATTATATTAATTATTTTAGAGGATTACATAAAATTTAAGAAGAATCAATTATGCTCTAAACATAAATTGATAATCTTAAAAATATTAAATTGATCTTAAATAAATAGAGTGAATAAACATGAAAATATACTTTTTGCTCTCATTAATTACTATCTTTATTAACTGATTAAATTCTTTAATAATTATTTATTTATTTATCTACATTGTAATGTGGAAAATAGTCATCAAATTGACTAATTTTTTCAAATGATTGCATAAAATTACCTTCTATTGATGTTCTTCTTCTCTTATGATTATCAAGTACAGAATAATTACTTATCATAGTTTAATTTTTCCTTAAATCTCGTTTTTACTGTTTCTATTGAATATCTGTTTAATATTTCTAATATTGTGATTATTTATCTGTTCTATTCTTTTTGTATTTTATTCTAGTTTATAATAAACTATCCTAAACTCTCTATAAAGGATTGCATTAAAAAGATGATCCTTGCATTTCTTCCAATTAACCATATTTTTAGAATTTAGATTACCCTACTTCTTTCCCTTCATTTTAAATTATTTTTCTACTGCTATTACTACTGCTTATACCTTAAACAGAAAAATGATTATCTGAATCCATTTTTTTAGAATAAAGTGTTTATCCACTATGAGAATAGCTCACATATGGAACTGAACTTAATTCAAGTTAATTTATTGGATAATTGTTATTATTTAAACTTAATGAAGAATTTTATGAAGGAAGAATTTTATTAAAAGGTGCAACCTTATCCTTTTCTTCTGATTCAAAGGATTCTGAATCTTCCTAAGCATTTCCTGATTTAATAATTATTTTCTTCTTTTTTCTCTGTACTTCCTAATCATATTATAAAAGAATATTACTCTTTTGAAATCTGACACTCTATTTTATTCTTTATGAATTTTATAACTATTAATTATAAAATATTTATTAGGCTTATAATTTACAAATGGACATTATGTTAAATCATGAGCTTAATGACATCCATAACAAAAAATGTTAGCCAAATATGGATCATTATCTAATATAATAGTATCTACTAACATTCTGTATTTTTAAAATTCTCTTGGACATTGTTTAATTAATTAATGAAATAATTATGAATTCAAACTAGCTACTTTTGAGTGTCCTATACTCTCAAATTAAATTCCTTACATTTAATTTTTAAAAAAGGCACCATTATTAAATATTGAAAAAGGATTTCTAATTTTTGTTAATTTAAATTATTATAAGGAGGAATCACTTTTTTAAACTAATTGAATTATTCCTTGTAAATGAATAAATAATGCTTGTTTTTAAACAATAATTTCATTTGGTCTTAATATTTATTCTTAAATTAAATCACAAATATTTAGAATAGTCTATTTTGAGAATGATGTATTAAATATTGGAATTTCAGATAAAATCTTAAAATATTTTTCTCTCTTCATTTTCCTTTATAAAAAATTAGGCATCAAATTAATATCAAATATATTTTGTTTATTTAAATTACTGTATTCATATATCAATTTTTATGTATTTGGCTAGTAATTCAAATATTAATCAAGTTGAATTGACTAATAATTTATGATTTATTTAAACTTATAAAAATAAAATATTATCAATAATATCTTAATCAAATAAATGAGAAAGTAATATTGACCTAATATTTAAGGAGTTATGAATATTAATGTAAATATATTTTGTATATAGACAATGTAATCTTATTAGGATAAAGTGAACATAAAAATGATTGTTTAAGCAAAACAAGTGGAAAAATGTAATTAGATGGTTGTCTAGATAATGAAGATAAAATCTTATTAATTAGAATAGAAATTTAAATTCTGAATAAAATTATTAATTTTTCTAAATCTGATCAAATACAATAAATAAATTAACTTCTAAGATTATTAATTATCAATTTAATAGGAAATAAATGGTATTAATCCTAAATTATCAATTATGATATTAATTATATTTCCTTTATAAGAAATCATTTGATATGAAAATTCCATTATTTAAGTAATTAACATTATGTATTAGAATATAGCTAAATTTGATATCGCTAATTAATTACATCCAATTTCAATTAACAAGACTGTTAAATAGAATAACAAAAAAATGAAATATACACTAAATATGATAAGTTTAGGAGCACATTCACTTTTAAGGAATTTTTCTATTTAATCTTTTAATGGGATAAAGTATTATGCTGACAAATCATTTATCAACTTAAATTATCTCTTTGAAATAGTTAAATTAGAAATAAGTGTTGCTTTCTCTCTGTAAAGTAAAGACAATGATGATTAAGAGTTTCTATGTTTATTAAAGATAGATTTTCTAAATAATTAATCTGAATCATTCTATTTTTTTATCATACTAAGTTATTGAGAATCCTCCTTATTGCTAGGTTCTTCATTTATTAGAAGTAAATCCTATTAATTATGTGGTGATGCTCTATCTGATGCAATCTATACACTAACTTATGTTAAAGTAGGAGATTTTGGATGAGTAATTTTCACCTATTGTGTTTCAGATTGAATTTTTCTACTTTCTTCAGAAGGCTTACGCACTCTCATTTATTGCTAATTCATTGTTGACATGATCTAAATAATAGGTTTGCATAGAGAGTCCTCATTTGGAGGAGTTGTTGTAGAATTTTAAATCATTATTTATTATATTAAATCATGCTTATTTAAGATTTGCCATCTCTGGTTGTTCAAGAAATTCCTTTAAAGTTTCAGGACATCTGGAAGCACTTAAGCCACCATTTTATTTATTTAAATCTTCATCAAAAATAAAACATAATAGCACAGTGTCACATGCCATTCCATAAATTGACATAAATAGCACAGCTAATGCATACGCTATGATGAATACAACCTAAGTTTATCAATAATATTACAATACAAGGGAAAACTGGTGAGAAAATCTTTTCTTTAAAGTAATCCATAGTTGTAATTACATAATAAAAGATCATTAAAGTAACAATTGAGATGCAGAATTTACCGACAAAAATGAATGCTCCTCCGATACCATTAACTAAAGCAAATCTCATACTATTTGCCCAAATAGTTTCAAAAGCAGCTTTAGCAGCAGAACAAAAGTTTTTACCAGTTAGAGCAATCATAATGTAAGCATTATTATTCAAAAATCTAATAAACCTTTCAAAACATGCCATTAAACAACTCAAACATCTTAATAAACATTTGATTGCTTTATTTTCAGATCCAGCCACTTTTTCAGTTTGATATCTAACATATTCTAACATGATTCTAATGAGTTATACAATAGCCAAAATTAAAGAACCAAATGCTAATGAACCTGCATGATATCTAAATGCTCTATAAAGAGATTATGAAATAGCTCTTTCATCACCTCCAGCACCTTATTGTGCAAAATACCAAAAACAACAAGTAGAAGCAATCACAAAGTTATTCACAGCTTAAATGAATGCATTTATCCATAATCCACCAAATATGAAATACCAAATATATTATATTTGTAATTCAGTATGTGTTACTTCTGCAAAAGGACTATTGCCTGTTCCTTTAATTTCTCCAACTGCATATACATATGAAGCAGTGTAGATCCACCAAAACCAAAGACCTGCCAAGACTATAGCAGTAACTTAAGGGACAAAGATTAATAAGAAATGATCCTTTACACACATAGCTGCAGTCTTAATTACAGCTATAGCTAATCTTATTTTATTGAATATGCAAATCAATCCAATAACAGCAAAAGCACAAATACCATACATCACATATGTTAAATATTGGAATGTTAATTAATTATCTGAGGCTTTATTGGTTTATTCGACTGTATACTTTCCTGTTGTGTCATTCATGATACCTTAGTAATATAGATCTTGTTAATGACACCAATATGTTCCAAATCCTAATCCTACTAAAAATAGAAATATAGATGTCCAAACTAATACTCCTGCTAATAATCTTGTGAAAAACAAATAAATTATTCTATTATATAGTTTTACATATATACCCCATTAAAAATGCTACAGCAAATGAACAATAAATGGCTTCTTTTGTTTATGTTAAATCCTCTATGTAACCTGTAAGTACATCCATGGCAAATTAAGATCCATATTCTTAATAATTATCAAATATTGCCAATAAGGCATCTGGATAACATACACGATCAAATACTAAAATTATATATTTATATTTTACAGATTGATGAATTGAAGATACACAAGAAATCTTTAAATATATCAGTATTATTAGATGTTGCAAATGTCTTTAATGCACTTGCCGCATCACATTTCTATTCACAACTTTTAACCAAACTGTTTGGATGACAATCTAAAGTAGTTGGTTTTGTATTTTCATCTGCATACAAAGGACATTCTTTCACACAAACTGTTCTATTGAAGTAATCTCCATAAGGTATTGCAAAATACAAATATGGATAATCTACATTTGTATCAAATCCACAAGCCACACCTTTCATTAAATATTTCACATTCTTTACCATTTGGATCATACATTGCAAGAAGTCTTTCTGGTTCTCCTTTAGAATAAGCTTCCTAAGAGATGAATCTACTTTAAATATATTTAATACATCAAAATAGCTATCCCAGCTATAAAAAGTAGTAAACAAAGTATATCAGTGCAGCCTCTATCTGCCAAAGGTCCAGCAATAAGTCTAGGATCAATTTATTTCTAATTTCCTTATTGATCTGGTATTGTTGTAAGAGCCTTTTATGAGATCTCAGGGCTTGTGGTAACTTAAGCAACCACCTAAACTGAGTTGGCAGGCTAAACTTTATTATTTTTTCTCATTTATTAATAAAAATTACAAAGTAAATATTATTAATTTAGAACTCTATTAAAATAACTATTAAAACAATAATTTTTTTCATTTTTTTATACATATTATTAACATCTTTATGTTTTAAGGGATTTGAAAGAATTCATCAACAATAATCAGTTCTATTTTAAATATATTTCAATAAATAAATAGCAATATTTTAAACTGAATATTTAATTTAACAAATTAAAATTAATAAGATAATAATGAATTAAATAAAGTATTTTAATTTTAGATGTAGGAATATAATATTTAAGTATATAAAAAGCCAAAAATGAATTGATATTAATTATGATGATTAAATAAAATAAAAAAAAAAAGACTTTGGATGGAAAACCTTTATTTTAGAAATATAATTATTCAAATAATAATACATTTGATTTATAAATTTCATTTTTTAATAATTTTAAGTAATTAGACATTTTAGGTTAATTAACATAGTTTACATTAAATTAATTAAAAAGAAAATAAAATATTCTATATATATCTCAGATATCTTTTGATCAATTCAAATCAATTCAAATCAAGATATTAAGTTGATTAAAATATAAGATAAATATTCTTAAATTAATAAACTGGATATTAAATAATAAAAAAAAGTTATTTGTTAATTATATTAAAAGATATAATAGATGATTATAAAATTAAGAAAAATTGAATAATCTTCATTTTATTTTCGGATTATTAATTGCTTTATTTCTTAATAACTGCTGAATTGTTTCCAATTTTAATTGAAAGGCTACATATAAAATATATATAAATACATGGTTATAGGTATTATTATTCAGTGTTTGTTCTTGGTCTATTTTAAGGAGTTTTATTTTGATGCAGTTATTGTTGACGTTGTTTTTAAGCATTTAGATATGATGAATCAGGAGATCTGTTATTAACTCTATAACTAATAGGAGTGTAAGAATTCTATTATTCAGTCATTACTTATCTTTCTGTTCTACATGCATCTGAAAGTAAAGTCTTTAACTATGTATTATTAGTTGGACTTGATTATTTAATCATATTGTTTAGATTATTTTTGATATTATTATTCTTATATGGTTATAATTAAATAGTCATAACACTGTTAATAATATCTTATGTAGTATCAGTATTTAAATTACTACTGTTGCAAGGATTAGATTGTTTTTTTAAATAAATACTGAAATCAAAATCTGCTTAATTTTATTATTTTATTGAGTTCCTTTAATTAGTAGGAGAGGAGTCAGATCCTCTTTTTTTATTAATCATTTATTCTAATAGATTGGTTTGTATTTTGACAGTTTCACTAATAAGATTTTTAACTGATTATTATTGAGACTATTTTGGAGGTGATCTGGAATTAAGAAATGATTTAATGAAATTACCTGTAAGTTTTGGAGATTGATCTTATTTTTCAAATTTAGTATTAGTAATCTCTTTATTAATTTAAATTTATAACATCTTTCCTTTAACATTAGATTGCTATTATTCTTCTATTATCTTTTCAGAAGCTGTTGATTATAAAGATTCTTCTCTAATAACATCTAGATTCATATTATAATGTTTATGATAGCTAGTAATTAGATGAGAAATATATGGAGATTGATATGTAATATGTCTACAAGCAATCTCAATAGATTTAAGATGGTATAACTCACTAAGTTTAAATTCTTCAGTATCAATTTTATCATCTTTAACACCATGTTTTTTTGCTTTTTCTAATTCAACAAATCTCAATTCTGTTGCAATTGTAAAATATGAGATTGAAAGATAGATTACTTTTTCTAATAGTTATCTTTTTGCTAATTCAAAAATCATTTCCCCAAATTAAGTGAAATCTTCATAAATTTAAGGAGCCATATGCATAATTGATCCAATATTAAAATTTTTAATCCATTCAGCCAAATTTTGAATACCCAACAAAGATTGATATTCTTCATTTTAAGTCACTAATTTTAATTCTTTTCTATTTGATTTTTCATTATTATCTGGTTTATTTCTCCAATTATATAATTAACGTTTTGTTTCTTTTAGTAATTATTTTTGATCTAAACGAATAGAAGACATATCCTCTTATTTAATCATATCTTTTAAAACATCTTATGCATTATCAATGACAAACCTACCAAATTCAATTTCATCTTTGAGTTAATAAGTTTAGCTTTTCTTCTTTTTATCTAAATTATGAGAAGATTCATCTTTATTATTTAAAAAAATAACTTACTTCTAACAGATACATTAGATTATGACGTAGTAGTAGCAGTCCCTTAAGAGCCATTAATTTGAAGCCATTACTAACAAAAAGAATTAGCTATCTTAAATAACTCTCTCATAGTTTGAGCTGCTTTTTAGGAATTAAGTAAAGCTTACTTATGTCTATATATTTATTCTAAATTACTTTCCTAATTAACTTAGTATTGCAGTGTATTGTAAATAAGCTTTAACTAGAAATGCTTATCTCTTAATGAGTTAAGCTTGTTTCTCTTGTACATTTGAAAGAGTCTACAAATCTTGTTCATCTTCTTTAATACCAATTTCCATATTGTAAATAACTCCATCTAGATACTTAGAGCATTTATCTAATATCCATTAACTGTAATAATAAAGATAACTATACCATTGATATGCACATGCTTAATTATATAAGATAATAATAATTAAATTTCTATCGATGACTCTACCGCAACTGGCAGCAAACTAAAATATATATATATTTAATGATACTTCTAGCATTTGTTCAGATTATTACAATAATTTCAATGCTTCTTTATGTTTTTATTGTTTAATTTTAACAGTTGCCTATTCATTCAAAATATTAATTTGCTGCATGAAAGAATCTAATAATTTTAGGTTTTTTGAAAATACCCTAGTTATTAAACAATTATTTTAGATTTGTTGTTTGAGTATACTCTTATAAATCTTCATCATCTTCTTCATCATAAGATTCCTCTTCAGGTTATTGTTCTTACTTGGAGTTATTTGAAATTGTTTGTTAATTATTCATTAATAAAATAATAATGGATTAAAAGAAGGACATTATTCTAAAGAAAATTGCTGAGAATGAAGAAACCATAATATAGAAGCTTGCTCCTTAAATTAGATTAGCTATTCCTTTGAAACACAAAGTATAATGTGGTGGAGGCACTTTTGAAATTTACACTCATTATGAGTTATAGCGTAACATAGGAAATGGAGCTTTTGGATTTGTTTGTTCAGGAAAGGACAAATTGAATAATATTGATGTTGCCATTAAAAAAGTAATAGTATTAATTATATATAGATTACAATGGTTTTTAGAGATTTACTTGATGCAAAAAAGGTACTAAGAGAAATTAAACTATTAAGTATTATTATAATTTAAAATTAGAATTCTTTGATAATCCCAACATTGTTAAATTATTGGACATCATTGTTCCTGATGAATAGGATACTTATAAGGATTTATATTTAGTGTTTCAACTTATGCATCTAGATTTAGAAAAAGTCATTTAATCTCCTTAACCATTGACAGATAAGAAGATTAATTGGTGTATGTATTAAATCATCAGTGGCTTATATTATATGCATTCAGCAAATATTATTCATAGAGATTTAAAACCAAATAATATATTTATAAATGCAAATTGCCATATAAAAATTGGAGATTTGAATTTAGCTAGAAAATAAGAGATGGATAATGCATCAATTTAAACTGATTATGTAGTATAAAGATGGTATCGAGCACCTGAAGTATTGTTGTCTTCAAGTGAATATACTAAAGCAATAGATATCTGGTCTTTAGGTTGTATTTTGGGTGAACTCTTAGGAAGAACTATTTTATTTAAAGGTATGCATCATTAAGAATAAATTGAAAAAATTGTTGCTATTCTTGGCAAACCTAAATAGGAAGACTTACCTTATGAAATTGATGAATAATCTACTGAATTTCTATAGTAATTGCCAGAAAGAGAAGCTATCAAATGGGCAGACTTTTTCCCCTTTGCTTCTCCATTAGCTCTAGATTTGTTAGAACATATGTTAGTAAATTTGTTTTATTTATATAATAAGGTCTATAATCCCAATAATCGATATACAATTTAATAGTGCATTGAGCATCCATATTTTAAATAATAATACATCGATCATCCACCTTAAGTTTGTAAGGAATCCTTCGATTGGTCTTTCGATAATATTGAACTTAAGGAACAAGCCTTACGAAAAGCTCTCTATTAAGAGGCACTTGAGTTCTTAAAGCCAAAAAAATGATAGTAATATTGATTTATATACTTAAATCAAGTAAAAAATTTTCTTTACAAATGCAATTAAGGAAAAGCTTGCATCATATTGATTTTTTTGGGTGAGACCTTTTGTTCTTTTATAAAGAAATTATTCGCAAATGTGAAAGCACATTCATCTCGAGTTATTGGTGAACTTTATTTAGATTCAATCTGTGGCAACATTGAACGTTTATAATTTTAAGATATTGACTGTTTATCTAAAAAGTATCCATAATCATCTGCAGTATTCTATTTTTCATGAGGTTATAGTAAACTACGTGAATTTCTTTAAGATAATAAGAGCTCAGGTATTTCTTTTCGTTATTTCATCCTTGTATCAATTATTTTCTGCTTTTAATTTATAGTTAATCTTAGTCTTTCATTTTCAGAGATTATCCTCTTGATCTATTCAATTGGATCGACTTTTTTAACAGTAACTAATTATTTTTGGGAATTGCAGTTGAAAAAGTTGAATTGATTAGTCTTTTCATCATCTATAGGTGATACTAATCCTTAAAGTAGATTGCTTTCTCGAGATTCCCTCACATTAGTCGATGGTGTCACAAGAGCATCTGTCAATACTCTGTCTAAAATTAACAAAAATCAACATACCAGGAAATTGTGGAGCTTTCTTTAACTTAAGTCCAGCCTTTTTTTTTAATATTATTTTTTAGCCTTGATCCTTGCACTTTAGGTCCATATATGATCTTATAAGGTTTAATTTTATATTAAAATTAATTATGCTAATCACTGATATTTTCAATACTACTATTTCAATCAAACTCACCAATTGCTTCATATAAACTTTGTATTACAACTTTTAGTTATCTCTTAAATGCACCTCAAGACATCATTAAGTTCTATATATAAACCAAAAAAGACAAAAAAATATTATATAAAGAATCAAAATATCTCCTATATGATTAATCATGGCTTAACAATTAAAACGTTATTTATAACCAATCTATTATAAGTAAACAATGTTAGAATGAATAGTTAAATTTTTATTTCATTTTGATTTTGACTTCATATATTTATTATTTTGTGAATCTTTCAAATCTTTATAGAATTTAGTGATTTTTATTTTACAATTATAAAAATGATATAATAACAATCAAAGTATCATAATTTATAAACTCTTTATAAAATTAACAAATCCTTAACAAAAATTTAGCCAAAGACATTTATTAGTTCTCAATCTTAAAATAAGTTTGAGAAAAATTTTGGTTTATTCCAATATATGTTAGATTGATTAAATTGTTAATCAATATGAACACTTTTTATAGATCCATTCATAGAAACATATCTAAAACTATTTTTATTTATTTATGCATTTAGTTCAATTATAAAAGTCTTAAAAATCTACTAATATTATAATGGATAGGATTTTCTATCTTTATCAATTAAAAATAAATATTATATCAAATACAATAAGATTAACTTATAATTACAAGACAATCATTCATTAAAATACTTAATTATGTAATTAATTAAAAAAACTTAAATTTAGAGATCAAATTTATTGTAATTTCTTAAAATATTAGAGTAGCTATCAAACCACTTATTTTTAAATCTTATCCTATAGGTTATTATTATTATTAGAAATTCAAGTAAATCAATTCTATACTAAATAATTTAATTAATAACTATTTAATTATTATTTAAAAATTTAATTAATATTGAATTATTTTGATCAATCAATATATTAAACTCAATAATATATAATACTTTTAAAATTTGGGAATAACCATTCTCGAATTTTTTAATTCATACAAGAATTATTTAATCACTCAATATTTATATAGATCATCTATTTTTTAAAGAATAAATTAGGAAAGTAAAATTATTGTTTGAATAGATAAACAATTTAATAAAGGTTTATAGAATATGTAATAAATTGATTTTACTTAAATAATTGAGTCCTACAAGCAATTTTTTAAATGAATATTTATTTAAAACACATTCATAGATCATAAAACTTAATATACAATTAATTTTTTAATTTCATAATAGAATAAGTATTATTTCTATTAAGAAATAAACTGCAATAACTAATTTATCAATGAAAACTATATTTTGAATGAAGGATAAATGACATAAGTCAAGACTCTAACATCCAAAGAGGGAGTATAAATCCATTAGGATTTGATTTAGCCCATTTATACAATCACAAATTAAAAAGAGTTTTAAATATCAAGAGCAGTCATATTTTTATAGTATTTATCATTCTTGACCTATAAGAAGGTGAAAGTAAATCTTAAAAAAATAACAAGTTAAAATACCATTTAACGCATAATAGAAATTTTATTAATTTTTCATATTTGAATAAACATAATATGTAATAAAATTGAAGTAAAAATCTTGATTTCTCTTCCTCTGTTGATTTTGTAATCCTTAATAGATCTCAAATTATAAATTCAGATTTACACTGAATTTATAGATTATTTTATGCATTAAATAAGATTATATATATTTCTTATTTGATGATAAGTTTATAATGTTTATGGTATATAGATATAAATAAAGAATTATATATATAGAGAGTTTTGATCAGATTTAATTAAATATAATTTTCATTTTGAAAATGTGAAAGTGCTTATTATAAATATAAGGATTCTAATTTAAATCAGAAATAAATTTAATTAAGAGTGATAGATGGGCTTATCCCATATTTTTGGATATCTAAAAAGCTTAGAAGCCAAAAATTCTTTACATGTAGCAATAGCTTATATTTTGGTTGCATACTTTTTTCATGCTGTGTAGATAACATTTTACAAATCAGCACATTTTACTGTAGTGCCATAAAGTTTATTTTTGAGATCATTTTTTTCACTTACCTTTATATTTATGTTCTAATATAAGGAAAACTATCATCCAAAGAATAGAACTAGATATTTGATATAATCCTAAACGTTAGGGGCTGTTGGATCATTATTTTATTTTTATGGAATAAATTTCATTTCTCTTTCTGAGGGAGCTATATTATTTGCTACAAATTCAATTTGGAGTTAATTGATGGTAAGTTTTATGAATAGAGAAAGAATAACAAAATCTAGATTTTTAAATTCTATTATATGTATTATTGGGATAGTGTTAGTTGTCAACCCGACAGTCACTGTTGATGATCCTTTGATGCATATCGTTGGTTGTCTATGTATATTGATTTGTAGTGTAATACAATCACTAGGATTTATTATAATGAAAAAGATAGGTCCTGAGGTTCCTTCGACAATCACTACATCATATTTTCATATAATGATCATTATTACTTCAAGTCTACAATAATAATATATTGGCAGATTTGAATATTTCGATGGTTATTATAAATATATAGCTGGATTCTCTTTATTTACTATGTTAGGATAACTAATTTAATTTAGAGCCTAAACATTAGTTACTTATGATAAGTTATGCAATTATACTTATTCATAAACTCTGTATATTATTATAATAGATTATGTAATCTTCAATAAAATACTAAGTTTGAATGGAATCATAGGTGGAAGTTTGATTTTATTCGGGGTTTTCAAATAATTAGCAGAAGACAAGAAATCAAGAGGTTGATAATTAAAATTTGTGTGTGTAGATGCTAATAATATTACATTAGATATCTAAATTATATATATAATTAATTGTTTAATTTTCAAAAATTACTTTGAGGGAAATGTCTTAAAAGGCTTATCAAAGTATAATGGATGCGAACATTTCTGCTACTTAATTATTATAAGAAGGTAAATAAGAATAAAATAAAAATTAGAAAAATATAATTAGGGATATTAAATATTAAGAAGAATAGAAACTACTTTGAAATAAGAAAAGGAAGCTCCTACTATTCCATTATCATAAATTAATCATCTTCTCTCTGTAGTAACAAATAATATTGGTTGTTTTTATTATATGTAATTTTAATTCATTATAACATCAGGGTTGACAAATTTCAAGCAGCTGAAAAATATCTCAAATAATCTATTGAATATTTACAATTATCTATTCCAGATGAAACATTACTTATTACATTAATTAATTTAGTTATTCTCTTTATTAAAAATGAGAAATATTCAGAAGCTAGTAGATATATAGAATAAAGCTTTACTGAATTAAATTAATTGCAAGATTAATAACTTAATCCAAAAATTAGATTATTTTTAGGTGATCATTCTTCTATTATGACTTTACAATCATTAGAAGCCATATTATTATTTTATAGTGGATTAACATTTTATGAATTAGGATAATCAAATAATGCTCTCTAAGCTTGGAAAAAAGTACTTGATATTTTACAATCAAATACAAAATCACCTTATTATATATTAACTAAATCAAAAATTCAAAATTTAGAGATTGAAAATGTAGCTAAAAATAATAAAGGAAATTTATATTCTAGTAGATCACATCTTAAGTCAGATAGAATCAATAAAATTTTAGAATAATATTCTAAAGATAATGAAAAATAAAATTAATAAAGTTTTCGTTTATTAAGTTAAAAAATAAAAAAAAAAGTAAATTTAATAATATAAAAAGATAGGTAATGATATTAGTGAGTATCAATAACCAAAATGGTAAAATAAAATTGAACATAATGAAAAGAAAATTGAAATTAATAATTATTTTACTGATTAAAAGAAAATATAAGTATAAATTAATGTGAAAGATCTTTTGCATTAAAAATCTATTACTTAAAGAGATAAAAATAGAGATATACCTCTCAGTTCTCATACTTCTAGTGTCAATTAATAAATTAATAAAGCATTAAAAAAGAGACCAACATAACATATTGAAATTATTGAAAAGTTAAATAAAACACACAATGAAATCTATAAAAGTTATTTAGCACAAAGAAGTAACAATGGAAGTAAAACTTAACGTGGAGATTCAAGTATTTATTTAATTTCTAAAATTTAGATATTGATATTAGAATTAAAGTCAATGATAAAAGTTCTCATTCTTAAAATACTATTCAAAATAATAAAAGTCATGATAAAAAGTCTGTTGATCTTAGAGAATCCCCTGAATTATGTGGAAGTCCTTAATAATTTTTTAATATGCTTTCATCTACATAAAGTGTAATTAAAAGTCAATTGATGAGATCAGGTAGTTAAGGAAGTGTATCTTAAACATCTCCTTTTAGATTAGCTTAGAGTTAAGGGGATCAACCAAAAAATACATCTAAATTACCTTTTGATTATGCAAAAACTCATCGACCTATGGTTGATACTTATGACAAAGCAATAAAAGAATTATATTAAAATTAATATATTCAAATTGAGAACAAAAAGTTCAATAAGATTTATGATTTAGCTCAAAGTGTTAAAAATAGAATATCCAATATTAATAGAATGCTAATCCAATAAGAAAAAAATCAATAAGTCCTTTAAAAGAAATTTTAATAAGAGTTTAATTAATCTTAAGATGAAGATAGTTGTGAGACCATCATAATCATGGACTGAATCAAATAGTATATAATCACTATTAAAAAAAAAATAAAAATTTATATCAAATTTTTTATTTCATGGATTAAACTATTGTTATGAATAACAACAGCAATTATCCTGGTTAGCACATCAAAGAAGATTTATAAAATTTAGACCTTGACTACAAATAACCAAGATTAAACTAAGATAATCAATATTCAATATATTTCTTGATTTTTCAATCAATTGTTATCTTTATATCTTTTTTGAGTGTTGCTATTGGTAACTCAAAATAATTAGGATTTCCATTTGATTCAAATGGTATATATAATGCATTCTACATTACGAGGTAATATATGTGGATAAAGTGTTGGCCTAGAATAATACAAATATATATATTTTAGTAATCCTGCAAATGATAAATCTTTATATTTAACAGTTTGTGTAAAAGAATGTCCAATATAAGAGAATGAAAATGAAGTAGATGGTTTAAAAAAATAAATATATATTAGAGCTGCTTGAGTTATAATGTATGCCAAATCAATTAATTAAAACTTGCTAAAATAATCAATTAATTGGTGATAATGACTTTAGTTTGATATATTATGATTCTCTTAAATTCATAAATGTATGTCTGCCAACAAAGTCAAGCTATTTCAAAAATGTTTTAATTGGATTAGAATCTCATAGAATCGTTAGGTTTTTTCAAGATCTTAAGAATGGTTTTTTATTAATATTATGCACATTTCTATTTTGTACATTAATTAAGTATAAATAAATAATCATATGATAGTTAAATAGTTTATATTTTATTGATAAATTTATAATAGAAAACAATTTGGATTATTTAAGTAACATTAATATTGGTGCTAATTTTATTAACTTTTATTTTTATCAATTATTATATGTTATAATTGAAATTGTAATAATTAAATAGCAATTCAATAAAATTAACACTTTCAGAAATGATTAGCATAGTATAAATTAATAATTCAAATTTCACTATTATCTTCTCACCATTAATTTTAGGTTTATTTTTTGCTTTACTTGCAATATATTATACTTTTGATTTAATTTATAACTATAAAAAATATTAGACCATTGGATTAAAGATTACAATTGTCAATTATTTTTATGATTATAAATCCCAAGTTTAACAAAACTGCCATATTAATAAGTAATCAATTTTTACTTATTTTTATTTAATACCCATAGCTTTTGGAGTTATAATTGCAGTAATCTTTTTTATTTGGGTATTAATTGCTAAGTAATTAAAACAATTAAAATTAGTAATATTTTGACTATTGGAAATGTGACAACATATAGATATCCTTTTAATACTTTTTAATTAAATTTACTTGCTTATATATTTGGAATTATTCATATATTAGACCTATTTCTAATTCTTTTAGTAATTTCAGGTATTAGTAAATTTCTGATAATTGGCATTATTTTAGAATAGTATAGTTTTTTTATTAGAGAAAAATTAAATAATTTAAAATTTAAAAAAGATAAATCAATTAAGAAAATTCTTTTATTTTTTCTTTTCAACAAATTAGGAATAATAATGTTAGGTGAATTTTTGATATTTTTTCTAAAGATACCAAAAATGATAATTAAGATATATTTATGGTTAATTATGATCAAAAATCCAAATTACAAAGTTTCAAATCTGGCATCAAATATTTTATCAATAAATGAAAGAGCTTACATACTATCATTTATAAGACCTGATGGTTTTTTGTTAAATGCAAAGTGTTAATATTTATTTGACAAAAAATTAATGTAACAAACATAAATTTAATAATAATATGGTAAATTGTTTACTAATTCATGTTGTCTAACTATCTCAAGTTTATGCTTGTCATTTACATATTTACTCTTGATTATTACTAGAACAACCATTATTATTCAAGATCCAATTAACTTTTTATTGTTTTCATTCTTATCTTCCTATTATGTAAATTATATTTAATATTTAGATTACAAAATTCTATTCTCAAATTTATGGAAATACAATTGATAATCTAACAATATTATTATATAGAGATGTTACAGCTGATGGTAAAATTGTGGGAAAAAGCATTAAAAAACCTATAAGGCTTCTAAAAGAAACAGAAATAAAGTTCGATGAATGATTATAATATGATCTTCTGAATAATTTTATAAATATCTTAAGATTAATGATTCTAATAAAAGAGAATAATTGAATGTAAACTCTTTCTATCATCCTAATAATTAATTTAATGAATTAACGATAAGAAATAAGTGCCAAAGAAAATAGTGCAGATTTTTCAACTACTTTATAAGAGTGTAGAAATGGTAATGCAGCTGATCATTAACTATCAAAAAAAGAATAATTTTCACTTAATTGCACTAAACATTAAGACATTATGATATATAAAAAGAGATATCAAATTGGTGATAGTGTATTAATAAAGACAACTAATCAAATAGAATAGATTGGTTTAATTTAAAATTTTTATGGTTATTAACAAGATGATAAAACAATAGTTCCTTTAGTTGAAGTTTAATGGTAAATATAAGTTGTTTGATTCTAGGTATTGTACTTATTAAGATCTTGCAGACTCAATTGATAAAGACTCTTTTTCTGAATGTGAATTATTCTTAACTGAGTAAACTACAATCCTATTTATTGATTGTATATAGTCAAAGTGCTTTGTAATGAATATTGATGAATTTGAAAACACTGGAACTTCAAATGCCTATTTTACTAGAGCCAAATACAATACTATAACTAAATAATTGGAACCACCTATTACATAATGGAAAAAGGTATGTATTTGTGAATAACCTTAAAATCCTGTAAAAAATTATATTTTTAATATAAGGATTTATTGTATATTCAATGTGATTAATGTAATAAATGGTTTCATTTATCATGTATGGGATTAACATAGGAATAAGCTAATTAAATGGAATAATATAGTTGTAAAATATGTAAAAAATGAGTGTTTATTATTAATCATATTATAAACTTATTCATTAATTTATTTGCATTCACATTATTTATAATAGATTTAATTTAATCCATTTTTTTAATTGCATTGATTACTTTTATTGGATTGCTTTTCTAATTTTATAATAAATTCTTTTAAATAGAAATACTTTCTCCATATAATGAATTTAATTTGGCTAAATTTATTAAAATAATTTATATACCTTCAGTTTCACTAATTATTGATTCATCTATAAATAATTAATTATCTATTTCATCTGGATTCTTTTAATTTCTTCTTAGAATTTATTTCATGGATATTTAGGGTCTCTAAAAATATTCCTTTGTATTCTCAAGTCTATCACTTGTTAAACTTATTGATTTATTATAAATGTTATATTACTTATAATTCTCTAAATTTCCTAAATCATCAGTTAATTTTGATATTTATTAAGAAGGCATATGTGGAATTTAATTCAAAATATAATCAGAAGAGGCTCTAAAAGACTATATTCATAAAATTTAAAATGATTTAGTACTTTAAGATAATTACTGTAAATTAGCTATTATGATGCATTCTGTTATTTCAATTAGGAAATTTTAAAGCCTATTTGATTATCAGATTGTTATCTAAGATTTTATTAATTAAGTACTTAATTATTGCAATCTATTTTGATCTTATCTTAATTTTATTGTTAAATTCTTGTATTCATCAAATTATATAAATACTTTATTAATTATNTACTTATTAAGATCTTGCAGACTCAATTGATAAAGACTCTTTTTCTGAATGTGAATTATTCTTAACTGAGTAAACTACAATCCTATTTATTGATTGTATATAGTCAAAGTGCTTTGTAATGAATATTGATGAATTTGAAAACACTGGAACTTCAAATGCCTATTTTACTAGAGCCAAATACAATACTATAACTAAATAATTGGAACCACCTATTACATAATGGAAAAAGGTATGTATTTGTGAATAACCTTAAAATCCTGTAAAAAATTATATTTTTAATATAAGGATTTATTGTATATTCAATGTGATTAATGTAATAAATGGTTTCATTTATCATGTATGGGATTAACATAGGAATAAGCTAATTAAATGGAATAATATAGTTGTAAAATATGTAAAAAATGAGTGTTTATTATTAATCATATTATAAACTTATTCATTAATTTATTTGCATTCACATTATTTATAATAGATTTAATTTAATCCATTTTTTTAATTGCATTGATTACTTTTATTGGATTGCTTTTCTAATTTTATAATAAATTCTTTTAAATAGAAATACTTTCTCCATATAATGAATTTAATTTGGCTAAATTTATTAAAATAATTTATATACCTTCAGTTTCACTAATTATTGATTCATCTATAAATAATTAATTATCTATTTCATCTGGATTCTTTTAATTTCTTCTTAGAATTTATTTCATGGATATTTAGGGTCTCTAAAAATATTCCTTTGTATTCTCAAGTCTATCACTTGTTAAACTTATTGATTTATTATAAATGTTATATTACTTATAATTCTCTAAATTTCCTAAATCATCAGTTAATTTTGATATTTATTAAGAAGGCATATGTGGAATTTAATTCAAAATATAATCAGAAGAGGCTCTAAAAGACTATATTCATAAAATTTAAAATGATTTAGTACTTTAAGATAATTACTGTAAATTAGCTATTATGATGCATTCTGTTATTTCAATTAGGAAATTTTAAAGCCTATTTGATTATCAGATTGTTATCTAAGATTTTATTAATTAAGTACTTAATTATTGCAATCTATTTTGATCTTATCTTAATTTTATTGTTAAATTCTTGTATTCATCAAATTATATAAATACTTTATTAATTATTAGATTCTATATCATTTGATATATTTCTACTTTTTATCCTGTCTCTAAATGTTGCCAATATTAAGTTTAAATGATTGAGTCTCTTTTCCTTTTAATATTATAATGTTAATTTTTGATTATCCTTTTTGGAAAATGGTTCATCCTCATAATTATGATCAACTTCTTTAATGAAATGTTTAATTTCATTATAATCTATATAATTTTTTATATCAGAACTTGTCTTCCTACTTAAAGATGGCTAATTAAAATTACTATTAAATTTACTCTTATATGACATGAATTTGTATTTCTTTACTTTTCAATTGCAATATAAGGTTTAGAATCAGTAACATCTTCAGTGACTTTATTAATTTTTATCCATAATTTTTTGTTTGTACTTTATCTTTAGGTGTATTAAGAATATCCTCTGTTTAATTATGAAGTATCTATACGACTAGTTGGTCTGTTAGTAGTTAAAGCTGACTCAGAAGTTAGTTTATTTGATTTAAGCATATAAATAAAATAAAATTCATAAATAGTAATTCCTCTTCACTAAATATGGTTTATTCTGATTGCTTTAGTTGCTCAACATACTGTTTTTTTGATTGCTATCAAAATACTCATTTGAAAAGTATTTACTATGTTGCACCATATTAGTTGGAGTTTGATTGGTTGAGAAATTTAACTATGTGTTATTAATTTAATTTGAAGTATTAAGTTAAATTTTATTACATCCAAGATTTCTATTTACTAAAGTTTCTAGATGATCAAGAGATACTAATATAGTATTGGCTGAGATCTCATTTACTTAAATCTTACTTAAATCTAAAACTTATAATTTAACAAATATTTCTTCTATCTTCTTCTAAATTTTAATTAATTAGTTATTAAAATCAGTAATTATACTAAAATAAAAATAATGATTTACTTTTCATAATATTCCACATCTGCTTAAATTTTAATTTATAATGTATTATATTTTTATTATATTTGATTAAGATTTTACAATTCATCAATTTATCTAAAGTATTAAGTATTTAAATCTTAATTTATTTAATTTTGATCAATTACTTATTATTATATTAATTCCATTTATTCTACTTATTCCTATCTTTCTTATTAAAGTCTTTCAATTTTCTAATTTAAATCTTAAATTTCCCTATTAAGATGTGTTTCTTTCTCTATGAGACAATTATTTTATTAAATAATTTCTTAATGTTATTATGTGATTATAATTAATTATTTATTCTATTATTCAATCTATTATAATTAATTACTCAATTTCTCTTAATACTCTCCTAATTTTTAATGTAATATCAATTACTATTAAAAATCTTATAAAGTTTATTTATTTATTCGAATCATCTAATCTAAACCCTATTATTACTTTTATATAATATTTGTATTTCTTGATGATTTTAAATTACTATCAAACTCACAAACACTATGATTATCTTACATCTATGTAAATTAAATTTAACTTTATTTATCATCAGATTATCTAATTATCATTTATATTTATGATGCACTATCATTAAATTTTCTACTTAAATCTTTATTTTATTATTCATAATCTTATAATTATCTTTGTAATATAGTAATTTATGATTAATATTTCATTATTTCATCTTATAATAAACTTTTATTCTTATTTTATATCTCACTAATTTCTTTAATAAAATCCTCTTTATCCATTAATTCAATGTTGTATTATTCTATTTATTTTTATAATTATAAAATCATAATTTTCATTTCTTTCTACTTTAAATCTTTTTAATCATTTTACTATTTTAATTGTTCAGCAATATCTTTCTATTTATCAACATAATCTAATAAAGATTCCTTTTCTTATTCTAATTAATTGATTGTTTAATTAGCTAATGTTAATTTTGAAATTGCTTATTCTATTGATTTACTTAATTCTTGATTCTATTTCTGATATTCAGTAAGATCAATATATTCATTAGGTTTATTTTCATAATTTTAAATTATTCCTTATAATTATTAGATCTAATTTTCATAATATTCTTTCTATCTTTTTAATTCTATATAAAAATCAACACATTTTCCATTATTTTATTTGATAACAAAAACTCCACAATTAAACAATTTTTTTTCCAATTCCAATTTTAATAAATTATTGTAAATCATTAATTATTCATAACTCTAGTGTTCACTTTCATTTGATTAATTATGATTACTATGATGTGTTGATTGAGTTGACTATAATGGAGCATATTATTATTTCAATTTATTTAAATATGAATTAGGTTAACTAGGTGATTTCTTTTTAGTATAATTATTAGGTGGTAGGCTACTATTATGATATTTGTTAATAAAATTTGAATCTTATTGAAATTACTTAGTGCTCATATTAACTACTTAATTCTAATTATATGGAGCAAAAGTATATTCTCTATGTGAATAATGAATACTTGATGGTTTTTATTGTTAAGATTAGACATCTATTTGTTAACCATAATTGTCAATATAATTTAAATTCATTAATATTTTTATATTAACTCAAATATCATCATAAGCATTCTTGATCCCCTCTTTGAAAGTACCAAATAATGTTGAAAATGATTTATCAGTCTTGTTTAATTCATCTCTTAAAGGTAAGAATAGTTTATGATGCAAAGAAAAGTAATATGCTTAATCTAAGTTAATTGCAAAATAAAATCCTGCTGTAAATCCAATTAATAAGTATCCAACTTACAATCTATTTATCATTAATATATTTTTATTAAAATTAATAATGGTTTATAGAGTATTCTAAAATTGTATTATATGATTTAATAATTATACTTTTATTTTAATATTCATTTTATCATTTATATATTATTAATAGTATGAAATTATTAACTCATATATATATATATTTCATAGTTTTAAATCTAAAATACTATTTTTTTGCTTCTAATCGTTTTTAAAATGTGCAGTTTCAGTAAACATAGTTAAATTATCATTCTCCTTATCTTATTATGATTTTCTTGTATTTTACAACTTAATTGATGATAATTATGATGATTAATTGAGGTTTTATCTTATTTTTGTCTCTGATTTTACCGAAATAACAGATTAATTCCTACTTTCTAATCTACTTTATAAATTTCCTTATCTTAAATTAAGATTAGGTTTAAATGTTAACTCTTTATCATATTCTTATTGTATTAAATTTAGAGTTCGTTTCCTTTTATTTACATGATTTTTCATTCTTTCATAAAGAGACTCATTTGTTCCAATATTTTTAGGATTTGTCTTTTATCTTTTTTAACTGTCATCCAATCCTGTTTATTTAGATTTAGATGATAACATATATAATCTATCAAAGGCAGGTTAAGAACTAGGAGAAAAATTAGTATGAGTATTAATTTTAGGTTTAAATGTACAACTTTCTAATTCTTTTGTTTCTGATTCAAGTTTTTAAAAGGCTTTTATTTATTATTTCTCAGCTGATTCATTATGTAATCTCACAAAAACTAATTAAGTTGTTATTATTTATTACTATCGTCACCACTTCTATTCAATTATCTTTAGGATATTTATGGCCTAAAACTACATTACTAAAGTTCTCTTTCTTCTCTAGTTGGAGCTAAACTTAATTTCATATTATTTCTATTTATCGATTCTTAATATAATCTATCAAAGATTTATTCTATAGGTTAATAATTAGAAATTGATGATTATTTATTAATCTAAGGTGTAAATGTACATTAAACAATTTCTTATTTTTGTTTTACTTCTGAAAAATCATTTTTACAAGCAAGTTGACTTTTATATAAACGATCAAAAACTTCAGTGTCATTATTACCAAGTCTTTCTGCTGATATTTAAGGTTTAAACGTACAATCTCTTAATTCTTATTTACATTTCTCTTGTTCAAATTATTCTCTATGTCAGTTAGTATAATTTTACTTTTTTACTTTCTAAGCTATTCCATCTTAATATAATCTCTCACATGTATCATTAAAACCCATTTAACTAAGTTTGAATTTATCTACAGGAGATTAATATTAAAGCTATTGTTAACTTAATGACTTTTATGAATTTCTCAATTACTAGGGACTATTTAATATTTTTTAAGAATTCAATATTCTAAATGGTTTTTATAAAGCTAGTTTTGTTAATATCTTAATTAAGGATGTTGGATTTTATTTTTGCTTTAATTTTAATTTCCAACAATCATATATTCTGTTGGCCATATCAAATGAATCTGAAGCTGTGAGATTTTTCAAATAATCTGATAATTAAAACATCATATTGTTAGTTGATATTTATTAATTATTAGTAATAATGCCAGTATCAACTAAATAATCGATAAATTTTGCCATTTTTTTAATTAAATTTATAATCATTATTTTAATCTATTAATAAAGCTTTGTCTTCGAAATTCTGTAAATAATTTTCTATCTCTTCTACCTTTTAAAAATCTAGCAATAACTTTGCATGCCATAAATTTCTCCATTTGATTCTCCCACTATTAATTATATTTTTGTTTATTCTCAGTCAACTTTTATATAATTTAATTAGCATAATGTTCTTTCTTATCTAATTCCTTAAATAAATATATTAAATTATTACTTCAATAATCTATTTTTATCTACTAAATTTTTCTTATAATTATTTTAATGTGAGTTTTGCTTAAGATAATTCATCCTACCTTTTAGTACTTACTTCTATCATAATTCTTTCCTTATCTTTAGTATCTTACAATTCTTAAAACATCTTAGAAATATTTGTGTTATTCTACAACAAATACTTTTCAAGATCAGATCTCATATTCATTATTTCTTATTTTCTTTCTTTAGCATTTTTAGCCTTATATACTACTTTTTTGGATGTCTTTGTTAAACTTTCATTTGATTTAACTTTCTTATTATTATCTTAAACTTTCTCTAATTTTATTTAAGATTATTTTGTTTCAACTTCTTATTATTATGTTATTTAAATTTATTGAATTTCTTAATCCTTATTTATTACCTTACTTTCTTCATCAATTTCAAAGTTATCTTACTCATATACTTATTCATACTCCATTTTTTAAGTAGATATCTTTTAAGTTTACTTTTCCTATTCAAAATCATCATAATATTATTCTTCATCTAAATGTGGAACTTATTCTATAACCAAATGATTTTAAAGCAATTCATTCATTCGTAATTATTATATATTATCCAATTTTTATTGTATTTCCTTTTATTATTATTTTAATATGTCTTAGTTTTATTTAATTGAGGTTTCAATAATGTTAGTCTTTTATTACTTATATAGAAACTATTGTTAATTTGCCTTTTCAATAGATTCATACTTTTAAATATGAATTTTAGATGTAGGACTTTAAGAAATAAAGAAATTATTATCCAAATCCACATCATCATCATCCCAATCAAAAATACCTGCATTTTTAATATTATTTTATTTTTAATATTATTGTTTATTGTTATTATTGTCCATTTGTTATTATTTTGAATTTATAGGTTATTTTACCAGAATATTGTTTTATTAAGAAAAATAACAATTAGATTATATATTAGAAGTTGTCCCTTATGTTTTATTATTATCAAATTTAACTTATTTAGCAGAAAAATGTTATGGAGAACTATGTTATTATTTTAATTGTTTATATTCCACTCCCTTAGTTTATTAATTTAAATCCTTTTTATTTGAAGATGATCTTTATCCTGATGAACTCAATGGTCTGATAATGTTTTTTTAATTTGCTTTTTTATCTTATTTTTTGAATTATTGATTAAGTTTATCTTTGTTTTATTAAGCACTGATTTACTATGTTGATTGAAGGTTATCCTCAAATACAACTTATTAGAAATCAAAATTAAGTGAAGTTTTCAATAATTGTTACATTAATTAATTTTCATTATTTATAATAAACTATAATATCATCAACTCCAAAGCTGCCATCACAAGGATGTCTTTTATGATTTGCTTAAAATGATATTGTAAATTGATGTGTTTTATGTTCCATAGTAAATTAAACAGGAATACCAAGTGCAAATAATGCAGGACATGGATGTTCTGCTTAAGTGATTTCCCCTTAAAATACTTTACTCCATGCAACTTTATTGTCAATTAAGACATTAATACTATCTCCATTCCAATCTCCAAAGATTGTTAATTCTGCACTGACTCTTATATGATTATGTTCTATATTGGTATTGTACGTTTTCTGAAGACTTGGATTATTAACATTACAATTAGCTTCATGTATGAAATGATCATTTTATGGAGAGCCTTCTACATCAGTATAATGGATTCCCTTTAGTTCACAATAAGCTCTATGAGGTATATTCCAACCAAGCATAGAGTTCCTATTTTCAAAATCATCATGATGTAAGATTGTCCAGGTTTGAACAAATCCAAATTGATTATACAATGTTGTTGATCTGATTGGTCCAGATTATAATAAAATTGGACTTTCAAATATAATTGGTTTGTCTTCTGCTATTCCTTAAATATCAGCAGCAGATATATGATCAATTTCTGTTTTTTCAGCTTAAAATTCTTCTTCCAAAACTATTTTATTTTTTTATTCCAAATAATATGTAAATACATTCTTACATTTCACTAAATAATCAGCAGTAATTTAAGGAACTTTGAAATTGCGATTTGCTTTAATATTCTTGCAATTTACAAAATAAATGAAAACTAAAAGCAAATTTATTAACATATAATTTATTATTAAAATAATTGTTTTACTTCATTTTCTCATCATTGAATCATATTATGTTTAAGAATATTTAATATATAAGCTAAATTTATATTAAAATATCTTATATTTAAAATGAAACAGATAAGAAAATAATACTAGCTCTTTTATTTCAATACAACATATGATATTTGAAGTTGTTATATTTTATATAATAATATTTATTTATAATGAACTTGTTAATTTAGGATAAAACAGAATAGTTCTCTATGCCAAACTTAAATTTTAGCATAAGTCAAATGATCAATTAAGCTACATTAAAATAATAGTAGTAATCAACAACTGAATTCTTAACTCCATCAAAACATCGTTCAATGGAATAATTATTAAAATCACCAGGAGTATAGGAACTAATAAAAGATTCTATAAAAGCAGTTATAAAAAAGAAAGATTTTAGTCCAAAATTATTTACTTAATATAAATATGATCAATTAGATAGATCTGAAAGTCCAGCATAATAAATTTTACCGAAAATAGAAAAAGTCAATAATATACATGTTCTTAAATAAATATAACATGTGAAGAAAAAGAAATGTAAAAATTCATTATTAAATTATCATAGCAAATAATCATGGTAATTCACCAAAGTCTAAGAAATCAAATCATTTAAAATATTAATAAGGAAGATTTATGTAAATATTTCCATAAACAGATGGAATATCCACTTTGAACATATCATCTAAACCAATTCATATTATTTGTACTATTAATTATTCATTGTAGAAAGAAATAAATTTTAGGATTCCTTTTTAAATAATTCTATGGATAATAAATTAGAAAAAGAAATCGTTTAAAAAATTAGATTATAAATGGAAAAACACACTACACAAATTGAAACTGAAACTGTACGTACAAATAAATAAGCAAGATAAAATTCATAATTAATCAAAACTTCTAGAAATATTAAAATGGAACCAATGGGAAATATTCCAACAGTTATGTAAATAACTAATCCTAATTCAACTACAACTTAATTACCTAATATTAAAAAGAAGAAATTAAAGAAATTTGATGGAATCTATTATTTTGATCCAAAATATCCATAAGATTTAATCTTTTAAGAAAGATATGCATCTATGAGACATTATTTTAATATAATGAATTTATCTAATTGTCTATTTGTTTAACAAAATTAAAATATTTACAAAGCATATGTTGGAAAAGGTAATAATGGAATGTTAGTAAGATAAATTATAAAAAGTAGATGGTGGTGGAGTATTTAAGATGAATAAGAATAATGTCATTTTGTTTGGACTCAATTAAAAGTTAATACAATACATGAAAATATGAAAGCATTAAATAGAAATCCTAATGAATCAATGAGTTGTTAAAGTGCTTCCTCTTCTCTAACTACAATTGGATCTGTTAGTTTAGGATTCTCTAAATAAGATGAATAAAGTGAAAGTGAATAGATTAAAATTGATGCAATACAAAAGATTAATAATTAATGGAATAAATTTCTTTCAAATGCTGAATTAAGATAATTTAGTACAATTCTTAATGGACAAGGTCGATAATCTAAATTATTAACTTTAGAGTAAGCTTAAACAGTCAAACCAAAACTTTCAATATATAATGAACCTGTTAAAGCACATAATCACTTAGAAAACAATTTTCATTTAGGAAATAAGAAAGCTTTATTTTATAATATGAAGGCATATTATGAATCATAAAATTTAAATGTTTTTGAAAATTTACCAGTTACATATCATATCAAAAGTCTTGATGGACCAGAGTATCATCAATTTATGGAAGCATATAAAGAAAGATAATAAATGATAAATTAAGAAAATGATGAAAAAAATAAACGCAGAAATATTTGGATTATAAAACCAGGAGAAATTACAAATAGAGGTAATGGGATAAAAGTATCTGAAGATCTAAATGAAATTCAATCTATTTTAAATTCAAGAGAAATGCATAAAAATGGAAGTTATAAAACTTTTATTGTTTAATTGTATATTGATAGACCTTTACTTTATAATAAACGCAAATTTGATATAAGATGTTATAGTATGTATGTATCAATCAATGGAAATTAAAAAGGTTATTGGTATACTGAAGGTTATGTCAGAACATCTAGTAAAGAATTTACAATGAAAAATCTTACTAATAAAATGATTCATTTAACTAATGATGCTGTTTAAAAAAAAGGAGAAGATTATGGAAAATATGAAAAAGGCAATAAAGTTAGTTTTGAAGAATTTTCAGTCTATGTTGAAAATCTTGGAGGTGATTTTAATAAGATATATGCAAAAATGAAGGTATTTATTATATACATATATGTATAGTAAATGGCAACTGAATAATTTAAAGCAGTATATGGTAAAATAGATTAGAATAAGAGAGAAAACACTTTTGAAATATTTGGATTAGATTTTATGATTGATGATGCTTTTAATGTTAAAATGATTGAGGCAAATACAAATCCATCAATTGAAATTTGTTGTCCTTTACTATCTAAATTGATACCTTAAATGCTGGATAATGCATTCAAGTATTTATAATAAATATTGAAGAATTGCATTAGATCCAATATTTCCTCCTCCAAACTTTTATAATCCCAAAAAGATTATTTGTGAAAATTATCTTGACAATAAATTTGAATTAGTTTTTGATGAAATGACTGATGGACCACTCATTACATAATCATAACCTAATTGTATTTAAATGATTTATAACAATATTAGATGATATTGGATTAATTGAAGAAGAATCTGAAGAAGAAGAACCTGAATGATTAATATTAATATTATTTTAATATAAATTACTTATGTATATAGCTTACTATTATAGTTGATATTTTATTTTTGAGTAAAACAGAAAAAAAATAACAGGATAATGATGTTTATACTAAACAATTCATGTTACCCTCCTTAAATTTTTATTAATTGATGAAAAAAGAATCCAAGTATTATTTAGGAAGTTTACTAGCACCATACTATTATGAATCTAATTCCTTTATTGAATTAGCTCCTAATGATAAAGCATTTCTTTGTCCACAAATGATTGATTTTAGTAATCCTATTTGTTCATTAAAAAATGAAAATATATCAACATACATTGTTACTAAAACTATGAATTTCAAATAGTCAACATTGGTTCTTAAATAAAAAAAAATTGGTAAACAAATACATTACAAACCATTATAAATTCATGGAAGAATTTCTCATTGTTATGATGAAATATGGTGGTTTTTATTAACAATAGATTATGTTAAGGTAATTGCAAGATAAGTAAATTTCAAATATACAGATAATTTAAGATAAATACGATTGGATGTCTATTTAAAATAGAATGCATTAAATGATTAATTTGATATATCTAAATTCAATTAAAAAGCATTCTAAGATGGTTTTGTAAATAGAGAAAGATTTTCATATGCTGAATCAGAAGAAGATCTCAATGTAGATTTATAATATTTTGCTCGTTTATCACTGTTACTATTATTTGATTTATTAAATCTTTAAAGAACAATACCAGCAATGATCAAATCAGATAAGTATGTTAAGATATTTTTTACTTAATTGGAGAAATTTCATTCACTTCAGATGGGATAACCTCTCAGACTTGATTTAACATTCAAAGATTTTGCAAGAGTAATCATTACAAACAATGAATATTATAAAAAGTCATTGTAAAATTCGGCATTTTCTAATAAATTATATTCTCTTAAAGACTTTAAGAGTTCCTGTTTATTTTTATCAAAAAATAAATATTACACTAATGAAGAAACATAATTTACACCTATTCAATAAGAAGTACCTATTTATTAGAATGTTTATTTTAAAAAATACATGAATACTTTATTACTTGAAATATAGAAGTTTATATCTACATCTACTAAACATGTACCTGAACACAAATAAAAGAATTATTAAAAGTATTGTTTTGAATTATTGTTTCTAAAATTGAATTGTACTTATCAATCTTTATGTTAAGGATTTCATAATCATTAACCAAGTATTGATAAACTTAATGAATTGAGATATAAGGTTGATAATATTGAATAATTGAGTATAAAGACATTTCTATCACTTAATGCTGAGAATTCATCCTTATATAAAGAGATTTAAAATCCATTTATTTAGGTTATTGTAGGAGGTATAAATCATAAGAAAGATAAAGAATATTTTGAATTATAGATTTCTTCAGGGAATTTATGTGATTGTTAAAAATATTAGTAATCATTAAAATAATTGGAAATCACTAGAAGAGAATAAGTACAAAAAATGATAGATTATTGTACAGGTAAATTAAAAGAGTCTGAAGAAATAAATGAAATTAATTCATTTTTAAATAGTAAAGATTAAGAAATATATGAACATTCTAAACCAAAAACTATGGTTTGTGAATTAAAACAACATTAGAAATAAGCATTAACTTGGATGTTATGGAGAGAAGGTATAATATCTAATCCCAAAAATTAAGAAGCTAAAGATAAAGGTTAATGGTAATTATCTCCTTTATGGGAAGAAGTTCTTTTAGAAAATGGGAAAAAATTATATATGAATACATTTACTGGAAAAATCACAGATGAATTTTAATCTTATAATTCTACTAAAGGAGGAATTCTTGCAGATGAAATGGGATTAGGTAAAACTATTATGACTTTGGCTTTGATTTTATAAACTTAAAAAAAAGGAAGAGTTACATTAATCATAGTTCCAAAATCTGTTTTATTATAATGGTAAGCTGAAATTAAAAAACATTCTTAACCTAATAGTCTTTAAGTTTTGATATTTTATAAAATGTCAAGTAGAAATAAGAAAATTGATTTCTCTAATTATGATGTTATTTTGACAACATATACTGTTTTAGCATAGAATTATTCTAATTGGCTTAAGGAAAATGGATTAGAAGATACTGAAATATATTAAAAAGTAAGAAATAGACCAGATAATGAATCTAAAGAATATAAAGAATATAAAGAATAAAAAGAATAAAAAGAATAAAAAGATTTAAAAGAATCTAAAATTAGTAATGATACTTAAATCTTAAATGATAGTTTTGAAATTGAATTAGATTCTTAAGATTTTTGTTAAAATAATGATTAAAGTGAAGAATTCAAATCTATTTTTGATTTAAAATCATCTAAATCTGAAAAATCTAAATTTTTTGGGGAACCAAAAGAAATAAGTTTAAATAATTATGAATGTAGTACAAAAACAAAGAAAAATAATTAAGGGAAAGTCCCTAATTTATTTGATTTTAACTATTATAGGGTTATATTAGATGAAGCTCATAATATAAAAACTAAAAATACATTATAAACAAGAAGTGCTATGGCTTTAAAAAGTGAATGTCGATGGTGTTTAACTGGTACTCCAATTTAAAACAAACATGACGATTTATTTAGTTTATTATCATTTTTGAGAGTAGAAACATTTGGTGAATAGTATATTATTTATTTTTATATTTCATAGTTATTGGTGGAATGCTTACATTAATAAAGAAGAAAATGAAGAAGAACAACAATGTATTTTGGGAGAGATAATCAAACCAATTATTCTAAGAAGAACTAAATAATAATTGAATAATCAAAATTAATTACAAATAAATGAATCTATCTGTTGGGTTAAATTAGAAAATAAGGAAAGAGCACTTTATGATAAATTTTTTGAGGGAACTTAATAATTATTCAAAGTCTATTTAAATTCTGAAAAGAGCAGATAATTTGTCCATATCTTTCAAATCATAAATAAATTAAGAATGACTTGTGATCATCCCTCAATAGCTTTAAAAGGAATTAATTTAGATACAAATTCTATTGATGAAATTAAATATTGTATAGAAAACTTTTTTGCCAAATAAAAATCAAATGATTAAGATATTTCAGATAAATAAAGATAATAATTAATTGATCTAATATAAAGAGGTAATTTAAATGACTGTACACTTTGTTCTGAAGATGGGATTACTACATTTGATATATCTATATGTGGACATGTCTATTGTCATAAGTATCATTTATTTTATAATTTTTTAGTTGTTTCAAAGAAGTTATTGAAACCCTTGGAGAATGTCCAACCTGTTCTAAAAGATTAACTTTAAAAGACATAATGAGTGTGTAGAGTAATTCTATTGAAGTATAGGAAATCAAATAAACAAAATGGGGACCTAGTAGTAAAATGCTTGCTGTTGTTAATGAAACCAAAAAGGTACAAATCAAAAGAGAAAAGTGTCTTATCTTCACCTAATGGATAGAAATGATTAGATTACTAGAAGAAAAATTTCTAGAGGAAGAGATTTGGTGTTAAGTGGTCACAGGAGCTATGTCTGTAGAATAAAGAAATAAAGTTATTCAATCATTTGAATAGCATCCTGCTTTTACTGCTTTAATATTATCTTTAAGGGCAACATCCACTGGATTAAATTTAACCATGGCTAATCATGTATTCTTAGTTGATCCTTGGTGGAATGTATTTTATCTAAATTTATTTTTAGCCAGCTATTGAAGATCAAGCTATTGGGAGAGCTGATAGAATTGGATAAAAGAAATAAGTAGATGTAATTAGATTTCTGTGTGCAAATACAATTGAAGAAAAAATTAATTTGTTGCATTAGAAGAAAAAGAAAATGATAAGGAAAGTCATAGCAAATGATTAAAAAAAATCTTAAGATATTGATGACTTTAAGTTTTTAATATTTGAATAACCAAATATGATCTGATATTATTTGTTTTAATAAATTTATATTAATTAAATAATTAGTTTAATTATTGAGTGGAACTCTCTTTTTTAGATAAAAAATTTTAATTCTTATATATTAAAACAATTGTAATTAATTCTATTAAAAATTTAAATGAATATAATTTAATTCATTTTTTCTTCATTTTGCTTAAATTATCAAACTGATATAATTGGTTACCTATAATAAACCTATTATATAATTAACTTTAAAATTTTATATGTTGAACCTCAAAATTATTAAGAATAATAATTCGTATTTTTTTACTAGATTAACGTTTCATATTATCATATATTTTATTATTATTTAAAATATTATAATTATATCAATATATTTATATTAATTATATTAAAATATAAAAAAATATTCTCATATACTTAATGGAATTTTTAGAATAATTGCTAAATAACTCTTTAATCCAAAAATATAAAATAGAATTAAGAGAAAACAAATTTGGACCATAAAAAATGCCATCATATGAATATGAAATATTTTTTTATTCATATTTTTGATAAAAACAAATCTAATAATTGGTCTAACACATCATTAAAAAAAATTGTATTTAATTTTTGATAATGCTTATCGAACCTTAGGAAAAATTGGATTAATTTAATTTTCTAACATTATATATGGTCAAGCTTTAATAAATACTATAAATATAATGAATATCATTATTATATATATGTTAATGATAAATAAGATAGCAATAAAATATCAAATTTAAGAATATAATCATAAACAAGTTATTTCATCTAATAATATCATTATCAAAAATGTTATTAGTAAGTTTATATTAATATTGTTATGACTCTTAAGTTTATTTTAACTTTTCAATTTTAAGTTAAGCTTTAACTCTTTCTAAAGCATATTCTTTTTCAAGTTTAGCTTTTTCTTCACCTTTAACTTAATTTAATTTTTCATCCCTTAAATTTTCATTTGCATGTTCTTCCATTAATAATCTCATCATATCTTAATTATGTTTTTAAACCATTTTATTAAGATAGATAAGAATTTAAGGACTTGGAGCTTCTATTCTATTTGGTTCAGATTTCTTTTTAGCTTCAATTTTTTTATGGAATTTAGGTGTAGTTCTATTGGCTAAATTTGAAATATTAAATTACCCTACTATTCAATAATAGGTGATGTTGGTTTAAGATCTATTTTATCTTTTGTTTAAATAGGTTCAGGTTTAGCAGATTAAATCTTAGCTGGTCTAACAGATTATAATTTATCAGGTCTTTCTTTAGCTTAATTAGTTTTAGGTCTGGTGGATGAAAAAGTACGATAAGGATTACTTTAATTATTAAATTTTGCATCAGGTTCAGTTATACCTAATTATTTCTAAATTTCAGCAGGTGGAAGTTTACCTTCTCTAACTTTTTCAAATTTGTTCATAATTTCTCTTTTTTATTTTTCAATTTCTCTTCTTAGATTATGTCTTTAAGATAATAATTAATCAAGATCTTCTGATAATTTATCTGCTCTTTACATTTTTTCAACAATTTTTTCTTATAATTTTTATTTATCATACTCTTATTTTCTCATAATTCTTTCTACATTCTCTCTTTTATCAAAACGTTTTAATATATCCAATGTTTTTCTATCTTAAAGTTATTCATTTCTTTCTTCTTATATTTTATTTAATATATCTTCTTTCTCATTTATCTTTTTAACTAATTCTTCTATTTTTTATTTATTATTTTCTTCATTTAATAATAAAACTTATTTTCTTTATTACTCTTTTTCTTTTTCTAATTATTTTTTTACTTCTTTTTCTTTTTCTAATTCTTCTTCAATTTATTTTCTTCTTTCTTCTGCTTCTTGTATTTTCTTTAAATATTAATTCTTCTTTTCTTATTCCATTTGATTATTTTATTCAATTACCTTTTAAAATAATTCAGAATGTTTTTCAGCTTCTTTTCTTTACTAATCAAATTTCTTTTATTTTTCTTCTTCATATTATTTTTATTTGATTTCACTTAATTTTATTTTTCTTTCAAAATCCTATACATATCAATTATTAGAATATACATCTTTTAATTTTTAAAGTTCATTTTCATTCCTTTATTTTGCCTATTAAATTCTTTCTTCATTTTATACTCTTGCTAATTCTGCTTCTTATTTCTTTTTTAATTTTTATTCTTCTAATGCCTTTCTTCTCTATTCTGCTTTGAGTTCCATATCTTATTTTCTTTTTTCTAATAATTCTTATTAAATTCTTTAATTTTCTTCATTTTATTTTTTTAATTTTTCTTATATAGCTTTTCGTTCCTCTTCTTTTTTCCTTGCTTCCTCTTCTCTTTCCTTTTATTTCAATTCTTCTAATTTTAATCGTTCTTTTTCTTTCAATTCCATTTCCTTTAATTTTTACCTCTGTATTTCTTCTTCCTATTCTCTTTTTTATTATTTCTCTAACTCCTTTTATTTTTTTTATTCCTCTTATTCAGCTCTTTTCTTTTATAATTCAACATCCCTTTATTATTATTTTGCAATTTCTTCAGCTTATTTTCTTTCATTTTCTTATCGTATTTCTTGCATTTTCAATTCATATTCAAGCATACCTTCTATTTCTTTTTACTACTTCTTTTTTATTTTCTCTAATTATTACTTTTCCTTTTCAACTAAGGAAGATGTTTCTTATTAACCATATTTTGATATCACTTTACTTTTAGATAATCCTTCAGAACTCCATGCCCCTTTACATAAATATAATGTAAAGTACCAGTCTTTTCATCTTCAATAACAATATGTCTCTATTTAATTAGTTCTTCAAATTTCTTTTCTCTTCTTTCCTCATAATGTTTGTAAAATTGTTCAATTCCCTTATGATCTAAATTTTTCATTTTGTATCTCTTTTGAAACTCTTCAAATGGAATCTTAACAATTTCACTAGGTTAAATTCCTTCCCTTCTACAAGCCTCAAGAGATCTCGGTGTATTAATTTCTGGTGCATTTGGTTAATGAAAACCGAAATCTGATAATGAAACTTTCATTTTAATTTATATATATATATATAGATATAAAAAACATTATTCAATATTTCTAAATCTTATCCTCCTCATCTGCTAATTATATAGACTCATCAATATCTTAAGTAAGACTCTTCTTTGTAATTTCCTTATTACCAATACCAACATAATAATCCAGAAATGTCATATATCTAGTTTGTTCTTCAATAAATGATTAAACCTAAATAGTATGAAAATTAATACTCCAGCTCCTCCAGAATGTCCACCATCATTAATATCAATAATAAGAGGATGATCTCCAATCGTTTCTACTTTTTTAGACTTTATAGCAATCTATTTTAATTTTTCTGTGTATTTTAATACATTCCACAAAGGAGCTCTAAAATCTCCAGTACCAGCACTTATATAAATTGCTGGATAAACTTATTTTTTTAAATTTTCATAAGGAGAATAACTCAAAATGGTATCGAATATTTTTTTATCATTTGGATTACCAAATTCCAAATAATCTGATTTTGTTAATGGTAGATTTTCATCTAATAAAGATCCTAAGACATCTAAAAAAGGTGAGAGTAATATTGCACATTTCCAAATATCAGGTCTCATATTTATAGCTGCTCCCAAAGTTGTAGCTCCAGCAGATGCTCCTAATCCGCATAATAATGAGGGATGAGTATATCCTTCTGCTATTAGATAAGCAGCACATCCAAGTAAATCTTCTATGCTTTTTATTTTATTTTCCAAAATTGCTTATCTATGCCAATCTTATCCTCTTTCATATCCACCTCTAATATGAGCATAGGCTAAAGTCCAACCCTTTTCTAAAGCATTTAGTTGTACTATATTGAAAGGTATTTCTTATGGAAGACCATAGGCACCATAAGAATGTAAAAGCAATTTGTTCTGTCTATTCTTTTACAAACCTTTATGATGTACTAAAGTGATTGGAATTTCAGTGCCATCTTTACTTGGAGCATAATATCTAGTGCAAGTAAATTCTTCTCTTTTGAATGTTTTACCTGTAAGACTAAAATCCTAAAGTTTAGATAACTATTTATTTGATAGATTGTATTGGTAAACTTAATCATATACCAATGGTGTACTGAGATGAAACTAAAATACACCACTCTTGTAATTATGATTAATACCAGGTTCTATTGTAGCTCCTAATACTTCATTTTAAATTTTCTAATTCATAAAATATTGAGACTTATCTTTTTTTATAACTCTATCGTAAATATTTCTCAACATATTTTTTGTATTTTTTTGATCATTTGTATATACCAATGATGGTGGAATGATTATATTAAAAATTACTTTATCTTACAATGAAATAACTTTAATAAAACTTTCACTTTCTTTAGTGTAGTATAATACTAAATGCTTGTGAAATAAGTCTACTTCTTATAATACTTCTCCTTATTAAGGACAATAGAAATCTACAAATTTATCACCTTCTTATTTTAATACTTTATAATCATAATTGTTTTTATTAGTCAATATGTATAATCCATGTTCTTCATGATGATGAACTAAATTAATTGCATTTTCTTTTCTTGAAAACAAGAGTTATAATTTCTTAGGATCTTCACGATCTATCAAAATCACTTCGTTACTTTACTTTGTCTAACTTAACAAAACAAAATATTTTCCATCTTTGGTTTATTGTAAATCTAAATAAAATTGTTCATCTTTCTCTTCAAATAATAATTCATCTTCTTCTTAAGTTGTTCCCAACTTATGTAACATCAATTTATAAGGTCTGAATTTATCATCATATTAAGTATATATTAAATGCTTATTATCCTTAGTAAAAGCTGCATCAAAACAATCAGATAATTTTGTCCTCAATACTCTTTCATCATCTATATATTTCATAAACCAAACAACATCTTCATTATTTAATAAATCAATTCCAAATGCTATTAATTTATGATCATCTGAAATCTTTAACTTTGTTAACTTTAAAGTTGCTTGATATTATTTCAAAAATTAAATTTTTTTTAAGTCTAATACTACTTCTTTCTCACCTTCTTTAAGAGATCTTTCAATTATCTAATAATTGTTTCCTGAATCAAAATATGCAAATCTTCCATTATATTCATATTCATCATATAACTCAGGAATATTATGTGTTCTTCCATCCTTTCTACCTTAAGATACTTAATAATAATCATCAAATATTTCTTTTATTTAAGGTTACTCAAAAAATGTGTTTTTTATTTTTGTTTCATTATCTATAATAGGTTAAAGTGACTCTGGACTATTGTTATAAGATTATCATACTTTGATTTCAAATACCAATAGTGATCTATATATTGTCTTCCATGTATTAATTTAGAAGCTTCTTTTATGAGACGGGAGAAATTCAAACCTCTCTTAATAATCATTAATATTAATTTATGTAAAAAACATTATTCCTTTTGTAAAATTAATTAAAATTTTATATCTAAATATAATTCTTCATTCTTATTCATTTTCTTAATGATCACTATCAGAATTAATATTTTATTATAATCTTCTTTATTAAACTGCTTCCTTAAGAAATTATAATTTCTCTCTATATTAATTAATTTCTATTTCTTATTCTTCAATCATTTAATCAAGTTCTCTCTCTTCAGGTTGATCATTCATTTACTCAATTTAACGACATTTCAAATCTTCCTCATCTTATAACAATTTAATCTCTCTTCTCAAATCATTAATTTCACTAATCAGATCTACATTCTAACTCATTATTCTATTGTTATCTTATTTATGAACTCTCAATTTCTTTGAAAACTTCTCCTTCAATCCTTTATTAGTAGTCTCTAAATGAGCTCTCTCTTTAATGAATTCCTTTTAGACATCTACATTTTCAAATTTCTTTTTTGAAACTACACTTTAAACATATTTATTAAATAATTTTAGCATATCAGATTTGAGTCTTTTGAAATCCTAAATAATATAAAAATTTATTACATTAATGTGTGCATGAGTTTCTGATATATCATATTCAAATGCCTTAATATATTAAGAATTGCTTTCTATAACTTATTATTGATTTTCAATTTCTTATTTCATACCTGCTTATCTCAAATTTAAATCAGTTACAATTAATCCAAGATTTGCATTAACTTTTTTAAAATGCAATATTTCTGTATTCATATTAGTAATTTATTCTTTCATTTTTGTAATCTCTTCCTCTCTTGGTCCAATATCTCTTTTCAATTCTTTTATTTTATAATCCAATACAAATTTAAACTTTTCTAATTCTTATGTTTTTTTCTTTAATTCATAAATACGTTTCTATTTATCTTATATTGTTTTATCTCTTTCTTTTATTTCTTTATCATGACTCTCTTTTTCTTTTTAATATTATCTATTTAATTCTTAATTTTATGCAATATCTTCCATTATCTCTTTAACTTTTGAATTAGCTTATTCTAATGTAGATTAAACATTATCAAATTCAGTTTTTTTAGTTCTCTTTTCCAATTCAGCTTTATCTAATTCATCTGATAGTTTCTTCATTTCAGCCTCATTAATCTCCTTTTTTTTATCTATTTCTTTCTCTGCATCATCTTCTAATCTATTTCTTTCTTCTATGAATCTTCTTTAATTTTCTTCCTTATCTCTTTATAATTATTCATATAATTCTTATTCTTTTTTTAATTATTTTTCATATTCTCTTTTCTTTTCATTTTTAGTTTCTGTACTCTTATCCTTTTATTCTTTAATATATCTTTGAAATTCCTATAGTTTCAATTATTTCTCTTTTGTTAATTCTTCTAATCTTTAAGATTCCAATGCCATTTTTTATTTGAAATCATTTTCAGTAGTTTTTTTATTCTTTTCATGATTTTCATAAAGTTATTTCTTTTCTTCTTTAAAATCACTATCTAATTTATTAATAGCATTCTCTAATTCTTAAATTTTAGCTTTTTCTCTTTTTTCCAATTAATCAATTTATTCTTCTAATTTTCTAATCAATTCATCTTTTTCCTTTGTATACATATTCTATTTAATCTTTTAATTTATATCATGTTCTTTAATTTTTTATTTTAAATCCTCTATTTTAGCAATCTTTTTTTTATATTAATCTCTTTGCATTAAAAATTCATCAGCATAAGCTTAAACACCATAAGCCTATCCTCCATCTTTGAATTCAATTTTAGAACTCTGATCTTTAACATCATAAATAATCAAGGAATTATCATAAGAAGCAGTAAAAACATATGAATCATCATATGATACTTTCATCTATGTAATACCTTTAATATGAGGTTATATTTCAATGATTTCTTCTGGTGCAAGAGGATATTTAGCAAATCTTAGACCTCCTGGTTCAAATTTCATATTTTTAATGTTCTACTTTTAAGTGAATTCAGATGTATTAGCTAATTAACAAGTAGCAAATAGCATTATCTTTTCACTATTAAAAATTGCCATTTTACTAACTCTACATCCAGTTTAAATTGGATAGAGTGGGATTTCCTTCTTTGTACCTTCTGTTGCTTCTTTGTGAATCTTAGTATGATGTTGAGATTCATAAATACAATATTGTCCATCATATGGACCTGCTATATAAACTTTTTATAATTCAATATTGGCATAAGTTTTTGGAGTACAAATACATTCAATTGGTTAAGATTGAATCATAGCCAATTATAATTTATTTTAATTATCTTCTAATCTCCAATAAAGTACAAATCCATTATCACTTCCAGTATAGAATCCTAAATCATCAATATCCCATTCAATAGTTGAAATATTTCCTGTTGATTATTTAAATATATAATTTTATGGATTTTCACCTGTATAAAATTAATAAATTTAAACTAAATTTTAATTGGCTACTGCAAATAAATGACCTCCATGAGCAAATTTAATTTATTGACAATTCTTTATATGAATTTCTTTAAATGAATTTAAATCTTTTTCAAATAAATTGTAAAGTACAATTTTGTCAGAAAATGAAACAATCAAATGAAATCCAGAAGGATGAATAGCTACAGCCAAAGGTGTATCTTCACATTCTTTCATTACTTCTAATATCAATTCATTAAAATTCCAAATTCTAATACTTCGATCATCTGATACAGTAACTACTAATGATTTTCTTGTGCAAACATCTAATCCTGTAATTGGTCCACTATGAAATGGTGCTATTAAATGATCAAATTTAATTTCATCTTCATTTGCTACTTCTCTATCTGCACTAAAAGGAATGCTAAACACTTAACCAGATTCAACACCAAAAATAAGATTATCTTCTTAATTTGTAAGACATAAACTAGTAATTTTTGCCATTATTTGTTTATTTTATATTCTTTTATCAATTCGAACATATGGATTTTTAAGATCACCTTCATGTTTTCTATAAATGTAGATCATGCAATCACTTCCACCAACAATAAATCCATTTGAATATTTTACTATACATTCTATTGGAAATCCTTCAATTGATTGTTAATTCGAATTTTAAAGTGGAGAAAGAACTAATTTGAATTCACAATTTTCATTAAAATATAACACCTCTCCTCTATCAGTTCCTACTACCATAGTCTTAGAATCACTTAAGATACAATAAGAAAGGAAATTAGTAGAATGGGTTTCCTTATACAATAATATTAAATGCTTACTTCCTTCTTCTTTTAAAAAGGAGAATCCTTTGGTTTTGGAGGGTTATCTGGTATCAATTTATAAGGTTTGATAGCTCCATTACCCATAACACATACAAAATCATCTTCTTTTGGATGATAAAAAACTTAATGGAATTTAATTGAATCTCCTTTAGCATTTATTATTGTGCTTCCTAAACACTTTGATTTATCCCATGCCCAATGTATCAACATTTATTCTGGAGGGGCACTTAAAGCTACTAAATATTTGGATTCTTCTGTCCTCGAAAAATCGAGACTCACATAATAACGTGATTTGCAATCTGTTGTACTCAATATTTTTGTTTTACGAGTATTTAAATCTAATATTACTATTATTCCAGCATCACTCTCTTCTGACCATGCGATATATCTAATTACAATTTTGAATCTACCTTCTAGATAAGGAAATGGTTAAACAGGTAACACCTTTACTTCCTAGAACTGTTTGAATTATTTCCTATGACTTATTCTTATCAGCAATAGGATCAAAAATCACTATATTATTTGCTGCAGGGTATATGAATTTTGTTTTAGTTGATTTCTCTTATACATTTGTTTATGTCCCTTACAAGATTGAGTTTTTGATGTCACCTCTAAAACCAAAGACATATTTCAATCCCAAGACTTCCTTCAATGGTTTCGGTTACTTATTTTCTGTTTGAGACATTATAATTCAATAAAATACTAATGAATCAGATTTATTTAAATTACTTTTCTGAATCAATTCATTTAAATTATCCTTATTTTTCAATTTTATAAGCTCCTTCATTATATTCTTAGAAATATATGAGATATTATAAAATCTATTGATTTAAGAATTTTCAAAATTAAATAAGGTTTAACCTTAATTTTTATAGAATTATATTGAATAAAATAACTCAACAGTCCTATTCTTATTTCCCTTAGATTTCAATTATTTTAAGTTGATTTTCTTTCTAGAAGACTTAATTCTTTAAGTATTGATTTTATGAATAAAAATTATTGAATGACAAAAAATCATCATTTGAAAAACGCTTAGTGTAAATCACTCTGTGACTAATGTCAATTGTGTGATTTCATATAAACTTTCCCTTAAAATAGGGAAAGCCTAGCTGAAGTGTTTATCATCGTACAAGTATTCAATTACTTCAGATGCTTGATGAAGTAATTCTATTTTCTTTAAGTGATCTTTAACTAGGATAAGTTTTTATTTTATTTCAAACAATTCATTTATTTTTTCTTACAAGTATCCTCCTAACGAGTGGGTGTCTCCAACGAGTTCTAAATATAGGGACAACCGTTAGAAAATGAAATCTAATCTTTATGAAGTGAGTCTTTCACTAACCCTCCATTCATTGCTCTATCTTCTTGACCTTTTGGTGTGACAAGCTCCCATTTTTAATATTGGCTTTTAACTTTTTTATAGATTAAATTTATTTATAAATACATAATTAATTCAAGACTATTTGAATTTAATATAGAATTCTTACAATAAAATCTAAGAATAACATCTAAATATTATTATATACAAATTTATAACCATTAGTATATGTATATAATTAAAAATATTTAAATCATTTTTTAAAGTAATTTTTTTAGGTAGTTTTAGACATAATTGATTTTAAAGGACTTACAGATCTCTATTACTTTTTAGTTGTACATTATTATTGATTCTATTATGTATTTAAAATCTAACTGTTTTCAGTTAATAAAAGTAAATTTTTAGTTATATTTTCTTAATTTGATTGATAATTTTCAGATGGAGAATGTTAGAATTTTCTTATGTCTTCAAAAAATGTAAAAGATTTATAATCATTTTTTACATTTTCTAAATCAATTTCAAATTTTTTATTTTTAGTTGAATTTAAATTAACAAATTATTGAACAGTTTCATAGGTTTGACGACTTTAAAAGTTTCGAGAAAATATTTAAGGACTAAAAGAAGGTGTAATACTTTTTTTAATTTTTAATAAATTCTATTCTTTCTCTAACTATTTATCTTTCAATCTATCATAAAATGGTTGTACTACCATTTATACAGATTTTTTATTTATTTTAGGAGAACAACTTCTATTATTAATTTTATTTTCTATTTATTTTTTTTATTGTTCTATTTGTTTTTCCTAAAATTTAAGATTATATGATTTTATACAGTTTTATTTTTATAATCTAAATTATCTTTATAGAATTAATCAGGAGTACGTATTTTTTAATCTTTATTTAATATTTATGGATGGAATGTAGCTCCTTCCAATTGATCCATCTCTCTTTTCCAATCTAAACGTTTCTTCTATTCTTCCATCCACTTCCATTTTGCCTTTTATAATTAAGTTTATCTTTCATGTATATCTCCAATCCAATTAATTTACTTTTGTTGAGCATATTAATCTTAACACTTGAATTTCTATTCTTATTCCTTTTCAAGATATTTTTTTTTATTTATTTCATACTCTTCAAATCTCTACAATTATAACCAACTTTTATGTTGCATTTGAGATTGTTTCATTAATTATTAACAGATAATTTAAATATAAACATTTTCATACATTAAATCCCATATAGGCAGATTTTCCAAAATTCCTTTGTTTAGGTTATGATTATTGGGTCTTGATTCTTCTAGAATTGTCACTAAATAAGGTCTTTATATGCTATAGATTCTCTTCTTATTTCTATTGCATTTCAATCATGTGATCTAACCTTTCAAGCAAAGCATTTCTTTCCTTCATGATAACCCAAAAATTACTTGATTGCCTTCACATTTATACTTTTATAAATTGTCAAAAAGTAATTTATTCTATAATTCCAATTATTCTGATTTTTCTCTTAATTTTGATACCTATTAAGTCAAAGTATCTAGTTTATTTTCTAGATTTTTTTCTCTCAAAAAGGCATTTGCATTTTAAATAAAGTCTTTTTATTAAAATCCAATCATTGAGCTTACATGATTAAGATGACATGGTTTTTTTAGAGTTTTTTACAAATCTTCATTTGATTAATGTCTTATTTTATGTATCCCCCTTTCAGAACTTTAATTTCTAAAACTTTACCATCCTGAACAAGGAGATTTAGAAACATATTTCTCATTTTTAACATTCTTTGTATCATCTGCTATATCTATTAATTATAATTTAGATTTAGAATTTTTTTTCATAAGTCTTTACAAAATTTCTTAGGTGTTAAGTGGAATTTAATTGATTACATTTTTAGGTGTCTGTTGTTTAGGTTACTTTTACATATTGAAAAATTGTGATTAATAAATTATCAATTATAATATATATTTATATATAATAGAGAAAGTATTAAAAAATGATCAAAAAATAATATAATTATGAATATTTAAATAATAGCAAGTTCTACCATATTATCAATACATATCATTTTGATTACTTTTTATATGTATGTGGCAAGAAGAGAAATGATAGAAAAGAAGATAGAAATAGGATTAAAGACTATGACCAATTATATCTTATGTATAATTGTAAATAACTTTATAGCAAAAACAATATTTACTTATTTAGATTCTCTAGATTTATAAATAGTAGATGCACCATCTAGAAAGAATACAACATCACCATTAAGATCATACTCAAAAGAATAAAAGGAATTAAAAACTTTACATGAATATGATGGAACAATAGTTTGTAATTGCTATGATTGCTTTTGTGAAGGTTGTCCTTGGGAATAGAAATGTGTATGTTAATGTTGCTATTCTATTGGGTAATGTTGTACTATGTTACAAAACAAAATATTAGAATCTCTTAAATACATCATCTTCTTTTTAACAAAACCTTATTTCTATATAATTTTTAATTCTTATTTTCATTTTATAAGTAGGGATGGACTTATATTAACATTTGGAATTATTTTTAATGGATTGTAATTTTATGTTTTACTATTTGCTTTTTCATTTCTATCAACAAAAAGAGAAATGATGAGACTGGATAAAAGTAAAGAAGATGATAGAGGACTTTTATTGTATTATCATATTAGAAAAGCCTTCATATTAACTTTCTTTTTAATACTTTTATTCATCTTTTTTGGATTATCTGTAGATCAATTGATATTTAAATATAATCTTTTAAACGATAATCATGCTCTAAAATGTTAAAATTAAGAATGTTCAGATGTTCTCTTTTAAATATACAACATATTATTTTTATTTATTGGTTGTATTGTTTCTGTATTGTTAATGAGTTACAATAATTGTTTGAGCAATGACTTAATTCAAGATAATGACAATATACTTAAAGCATAATAAAGACTATATATTATGTAGAATAATTTGATTAAATACTTTCCAAGTGAAGAATAATTTTAGAAGTATGTGGAAGAATGCAATTTTGATGATCAATAGATATCAAGATTGGTTCATGAGAAATGTTCAGAAGCCAAAGGAAACTTATAATTATCTTTAGGAGCAAATGATAAATAATAATTTAAAAAAATTAAAAAGAATTTAGGATAAAGTAAATTTTTAATTGGAGGTATAGTAAGTTATCTCTATTTATCAACATATTTAACTTTTATAGCAAGTTTTACTTTCTTTTTGGCTTTGTTCATCTAAATATAAGAATTAAAAAAAAATAATCCCAATGATGAAGTAATAGACCTATATATTATTCACAATGCGAAGTAAGACTCTGCAATATATATATCCTAAATAACCTTACTTATTTTATAAATTATATAAGCACTTATTTTGCCTCATTTGTTACCATTTTTATTTATCAAAAAAAGACTTTTTGGATAAGATTATGGAGAATGGGAATGATCTTTATAATTTAATTTTATTAATTATTATGGCTGCTTATTCTTTTGGAACATCTCAATAAAGACCACCTCCTAAATTAGAATAAGCTCCTGGAGTAGGGGTATGAATTACATTTTTCTTTAGAACTACAATCCTGATCGCTATCCTCATTAAAGACCTCCTTCTTGGAAGTACACATTAATCAGTTAAAATTAGAATTGGAACTGCCAATAGAACAGATTAATAAATTCATTATCAACCTGGACCAGGCTAATATGAATAACTTTAAAAAGCAATCGTAAAAATTACATATATTAACTTCAGAAAAGGAAAAAGCCTGAATTCTCAATAGGAGCTAAATTTTAAAATCACACAGAAATTGGCAAAGGAATCACTCGTAAAACTCTAATTAACTATTTTAAAGCTGGACCAGGTGCATACAACCCAGATTTTAAACCTTTACAAAAGTGTGCTTCCAGTTATAGTATGAGAAATAAACCATAATTGGGAGGTATAGATGACAATTTACGCGAACTAAAAAATGGTCCTGGTCCTGCTGCATATGAAACTAACTATTCCACTATTATAAGTAGACCAGCTTCCAGAATTGGAAATCAATCTAGAGGAGGCTTTTATGACACTAAACCCTATATCCCTGGAGTTGGTAAGTATAATGTGCGTCCTGCAACTTCAGGACCATATCATAGATTTGGAAATGCTTTAAGAGATTCTACTTTCATTGAAAGAGTATAAACTCCAGGACCAGGATAATATATGCATTAATCTCATCTTAATCTCAAAACAACTACTATCAGTACTAAAAGAATGCCTACTGCTACTGATACTGCTCCTGGTCCTGGACATTATGATCCTTCAACAGATTTCACAAAGCGTTCCATTCCAGGTGGAAGAGTAGGAACTGCTAAATAAAGATAAGTCTTTGATGCACATTACACTCCAGGACCTGGACATTATCAATCATAAAGTGCAACAAAGAGAAGACCTCCAAGTTATAAAATTGGATCAGAGTAAAGAAAGCTTGTAAATTAACAAGAAGTCCCAGGTCCTGGATCCTATGATATTAGCAGAGATGGAGGAAGCAAAGGCTATACTCTAAGACCAAAATACACTGATAGATTGCCTGATGGAATACCGGGTCCTTTAGATTACTATCCTAATGTTTCATAAACCAAATCAAGACCTTTATCTTGTAGAGTTGGCACTGAAACTAGAGAAAAAAATAAAATAAATGATAATCCTGCTCCAAATCATTATCAACTTAATTAAACTAATCCAGGACCTAAATTCCCGTATTTTTGCTAAGTATTATTTTTATAGATTCGGATCGGAATCAAGAGTAACTGATAGAAATGATGCTGGACCAGGACCTGGAACATATAATATTCCACCTTATTTTGCAAATGTACCTAATTATCTAATCCCAAATAAAAGCCATTTAGATTTGTGATATATATATATCTATTATATATTTAATATCATTCAACCCAAGAAATTTATCACAGTCAAAAAAAGCACAACCATTGCTGCTAAATATTCCCAAAAGGCTCTTTCATTAGAAATTGCCATGTATCTAGTTTCAGGATTTAATTATTTCCTTAAACATACTAATGATGAAATTTAATTGCATACTATTTATAATCATTGCTCCAGCAGCTGCAAATATTCCAGATAGAAATGAATTTCTTGGAAAGTCACCTACTAATGTACAATAAAACAATTGAATTATCACTAATATAAAGCAATATAAAGAAAAAGCATCCATAATTTTCAATTTTTAAGGAGTCTTAGTTGAATATTATTACCAAAATGAAGCTGCTATTCCAATTAATGAATTTTCATCTACAAATTTAGTTTCAGACATGGATTTATAATTAAATTAATAATATTTAAAATGAATTTATTACATCAGAAGAGATGGAATTCAATTCAGAATTAATGAAAACCCAAAAAATGAATATTCATGAATTAGAAATAGAGAAATTTTATTAAACATATAGTAAAACAGAAATCCTATTCAATGTTCTAATATTTTATGAAGAATGATGGAATAATAAATATAAAGACAAATATGAGATTAAATAAGATAATATTGAGTTTTTAATTAAAAAAGATATTTCTAAAGAACCACAAGTAATTAATTGATTCATTTCCAAAATATTCTTTGATTATGTTATGATTATTATAGAAATTCTTCAGAATGTATAATTTATAACATTTTATTAAATAAATTAATCAATCATTTTGTCATAAATCAAATACATTTTCTACTTATCACTCATATATAATAGTTATATATAATATGATTGTTTTCTTAATTCTTAAAAAATACTATGTTATACTTTCATTACGCTATCAAATTTTACTTAAGCTATTTACTTAAACTACTAAAAAATGATCAAAGATAATGATAAAAATATATTTTATTTAATTTTTACTATATATTTTCAACTATATCATGGGTAGTTGTGAATCTCAGGATGAACGAGTTTGCTTTGAAGAATTTTAATCAATACCTCTTCCTAATTTATAATAAGAATTTACAGATGAATTTACTTAGTAGGAAAATTAGGTTATTGTCAGTTAGTCCAAGAAAGATTTGGATGCTGATTTATCAATTTAGACTTTGTAAAATAAATTAAACTCACATCCTCTATCTAACACACTCTATATAATATATAATAAATGTCGAATTGAGAGACCAATAGAAGTGGAAGAAGGAACATATTAGGGATAATGGTTTGCTGGAAAATAATGCGGTTTTGGCCGTATGTATTATAAAAATAAGGACATTTATGAGGGATTTTGGCTGCTTGGTCGAAAACATCATATGGGAATATTCATAGAAACTGATAAGAGACCTTTAATTGGAGAATGGTTTGATGATAAATTCCTTGGATAAAATATTTCTATTAATCTTACAAAAGATCCGAAGCTCTTTTATTCTGATTTACTTAATGTACTTTCATTATTTATAATATGTTAGCTTTAACCTATTCAAATAAAGGATTCTCTATATTATGGAGAGTATTCTAATAAAGGAAAGCAAGGTTTAGGACTGTGCTTTCAAAAAGGAGAATATAAATTTATTGGTTATTTCTCAAATGATAAAAAATAAGGTTATGGCATAGAAATTACTAAGAATGATATATATAGAGGAATATTTAAGGATGACATTAGATGTGGTATTGGTCATCTTAAACATAAGAAGAATTTGTTTTTAGGTTAAAATATAGTTAATATATTTTTAGGTTAATTTGAAAATAATTAGCCAACGACTAATGGGATTTCAATTTAAATTTGAGTATTTTAATATATATATATTTTTTTTTTTCCTTATGGATCACTTATCTTAAAGACAATTACTTTAATTATTATATGAAAAGGATTGTTATATTTAAACACTTGAATAGTAATTAGAATCTAGTAGACAAGAGATTTAATTGTTGAAAAGGCAAAAATAATAAATATTTATTTAAAATGAGTCATCAGATGAAGATTGTAATGTTGATGAGAATTCAGAACCTGCAATTAGTAATAGTAGAGTGGAATAATTTTAAAGTTCAGGTTAAAAGATTAAATTAAAAGCTCCTTTATCAGATAACCATAATTTTAATATCTCCTAATAATTTAGACAATCTACTTAATAATATGTATTGAATTAGTTTGATATTAAAAATGTTACTACTTCTAATATAAACAATAATAATGATTAATTGTTTGATGATTTATTTATTTTAGGATTAGGATCATAATAATCAAATGAACCATAAGTGATTTATTCATACCATTAAGCTAGTAAACATTTATCATTAGAAAATCAATAGTATATACTATAAATTTCTAAATTCATATTCCCAGATGGATGTAAACCTAAAATGATTCCATTATCTTTTAGTTTGGAAGATATAAATTTAATGATGAATCAAAATTATTCAATTGATTCTCCTAATTGTTTTGTTATTCTAACTAAATAAACAGAGAAATAATAATTAAAATATCATATATGTTATCGTTATACTGATTTTACAATTTTAAGTCCATAATAGGTCAGATTTAGCAAAAGAGCAATTTGTATTACAACTAGTAAATCTTTAATTGACTTTTATTAACAAATTATAATTGTAATATTATCTTAATTAAAATCAATGAGAAATAATTTATATTTAAGAACAAATAATATTTCTATAGTAGACACACATTATTTTGATAAAAATATTGCTTAAATATGTTTGAGAATTTTATCATAATTTTCATAGAAAAATTGTCCTAATTTCATTACAATTAATAATTAAGAATTAAAAATATGTGAAAATGATAATATTTAATGGGTATTGATATTTGAAATATTAGGGAATACCATAATTATTTAATAAATTTAATTCTTAAAGTTTGATTAAAATATTTGTAAGTTGTTTAATTGAAAAATCAATAGTTTTTGTAAGTAAATCACCTTATTTATCAACAGCAGCTTGTTTATTATGCTAAAAATATTTACTTAAACCATTTGCATGGATCCATCCTATTATTAGTAATTTACCATTAGAAAACATTGTTTATTTAGGAAGTCCTGTACCAATAATTGCTGGATTAGAATGTGTACATATTTTTATTAAAAATAGAATTTTTCTATTCTTTAGAATCAAGGAATTATTAATAAATTTTAAAATACTATTTTTATTAATTTGGATAGTAAATAATAAATATAATTTGGAAACACAGATGCAATTCCATTATTATCAGCAGAATTAATGAATTATCTATTAGGAAGATTAGATTCCTATTTTAAAATAGTATAATAAAATCATAACAATTACAGTTAATGTCTATAAATTTTTAATTAGTTGTTTCATGCTAGAATAATAAGAAATATTCCAATAGAACCATTTAGATAAAATAATTATTAAAAATCGAAAATATTTAATAAAGCATTACTAGATTATGATAAAATAGCCTAAAAAACATTGTAAAATATGGGTACTCTTAATGCTGATAAAGTAATATGGAAATAATTTTTTTAAACTCAAATTTTTATTTAATTTATTGATTAATATTATAATTGAAATATATTGATTTCATATATCAAATAATAATATTAATAAAATATAAATTCAAACACCACATAATTATTTAACATCTTTAACGATATATTATTGCATGTATTGAACTGCTTAATCGATAGTACAATAATAACCACTTTCACACATTTTTGTTTTCAATTAGACTTTATTATAGTAAATAAAAACCATATTTCCTTTAATAATAAATTCCAATTCTGAAGCAAATGGTGTTAAATACTATTCATCTACTAAAACAGATAGCATAGCAAATTAATTAGATTCAGTACCAACATAAACACTCAATTATTCATTGGAGTAAAATTATGAAATAATCCATTTAAAAGGTTCTGTAAGGGATGCTTAATGCTAAAACATATCTGAATTTGAACCAAAGTAATTAAGAAATTTAACAACATCTGACATATATGTATATGTAGATTATGAAGGATTTGGAAAATGGAATCCTTAAAATTGATTACAAAATGTATCATCATAAATATCATCAACATCAGTTAAAGTAATAGAACTTTTAGTAATTATTTTACTAGGATATGCTTATACCATTATATCATATACTCCATTTAATTAATCCATTAATTTAAATTCTTTTTCTCTGTTTTTATATTCTTTACTATTTTGAACATTTTTATTAATTTGTTTCAAATTTGGACACTACTTTGTTTTATGACCTTAGAACATAAAATCTCCAGTGCTATCAAATATATCATAATCTAAAGATAATGGATCAGAAAAATTAGATTATAAAATCTTTTCAAACTTGCTCTAATTTAAGACTCTATTTTAATAATATTCACTAAAAAATCTATGTAGAATTTCTTTATAGTTTTTAGGACATAATCCTTTTATGAAACAAACAGTTGAAGAGGTACATCTAGCTGTTTTTGATGATTGAATCTCTAATAAATCATATATGCAATTGCCTTAAGAGTCAAAAAATGATTATCTTTATTATTAAATACCAACCTCTATTAATTAATCAACTCCTTTTTGGGTTAAAATTTTAATTGGATCTGTCCATAAAAAGTGTTCATCATATTCAGTCCAAACTTATGGATCCCTTGCTCCATGTCTTAAAATAAGGATTGATTTTGTGCAGAGAGACAAATATATTATAGAGAAAGCAAAGATGATTTTTATCATTTAAAATAAATGATATTTATTTGGGAATACTGTTATTTGAATATATGTGAAGTAGATGATGTCATTTATATTTGCTTAATTTATTAAGACAATATATTATAAAAATCTTATATTCATCAATAGAATTTGATATTTAATATATTTTAACTTGAATTTTATTTGATTTTAATTAAGAGAAGTATATAAAAGGAACTTCAATGTAAGAGTAGTGTAAAAATGACATTATATAATAAGATTATAGTTAACATAATTTAATATTCTTTGAATAACAGATTAAATAATTTATAACATGAGTTCAAATGCAACTGCTGAGAGATTAAAGCATGTTTAAGAATTGAGGAAAGCTCACTTTTACTTTGGATTTGATGAAGACACAAATCATTAATCTGTAGCTAAGCAACCAATGCCAATATAGAAAACAGCTAAAGTTAGACCTATGACATCTGTTGTAGAGAAGGATTAAAAGTTACAATAACAGTAGCCATTATAGCCTATATAACCTCCAAAATTACAATAAAATCATTTTCATTTAGGAGATGACAAACCTAAATTAGAATCCATATAAAAATCTGACTATTAAAGACCTTAAAGTGCAGCTATAGCTAAATTAAGTGATGAAACCAAGAAAGATTTGAGATCTCATCATTTCTAATTAGGTTATCATGATATCAATAAGCCAACTGAATATGAATAAAATTTTGGAGATTAAGGCAAAAACAATGTTAAGAAGGCAGATAATGCAGATTTACGTAAACATCATCATGATTTTGGTGATACAAATAATTATTACTCTTCTATGTATGATACTGTGCATAATAAACAATATGATAAGGCTTTATTAGGATAAGGATACTCAAAAGAAAGAATGGCAGAAATGAATGTTCAATTAAGAAAAACTAATTTAGTTATGGGAAGAGATGGTAATGGTTATACAACCTAGAATTAAGCTATATATGGGAAACCATAATTATAAGTGAATAATTTTCAAGATAAGACCTAACAATTAGTTAGAAATACACATATAACTATGGGTACAGATAGAGTTGAATATACAAGTTAAGCTAAGGCTTCTCATGTAGGAAATTAAGGTGATAGATCTATATTAAATGAGGCATAATTAAAAGATTTAAGAGCAACACATTTCTAAGTAGGAAATGATTAAGCTGTTAATTATTAATCAGCATATAGATCTTAATTCTCAGATAGAAAAGGATAATAAGAATAAGTAAGGAATCCTTAATTTCAATAAAATAATTTTGATCTTAAAGATGAAGTTGTAAAACCTACAATTTAAGAACATTATAAAAGCACATATAATCAATAATTTAATGGATAAAAGGCTGAGAAAGTNTTTGAATAACAGATTAAATAATTTATAACATGAGTTCAAATGCAACTGCTGAGAGATTAAAGCATGTTTAAGAATTGAGGAAAGCTCACTTTTACTTTGGATTTGATGAAGACACAAATCATTAATCTGTAGCTAAGCAACCAATGCCAATATAGAAAACAGCTAAAGTTAGACCTATGACATCTGTTGTAGAGAAGGATTAAAAGTTACAATAACAGTAGCCATTATAGCCTATATAACCTCCAAAATTACAATAAAATCATTTTCATTTAGGAGATGACAAACCTAAATTAGAATCCATATAAAAATCTGACTATTAAAGACCTTAAAGTGCAGCTATAGCTAAATTAAGTGATGAAACCAAGAAAGATTTGAGATCTCATCATTTCTAATTAGGTTATCATGATATCAATAAGCCAACTGAATATGAATAAAATTTTGGAGATTAAGGCAAAAACAATGTTAAGAAGGCAGATAATGCAGATTTACGTAAACATCATCATGATTTTGGTGATACAAATAATTATTACTCTTCTATGTATGATACTGTGCATAATAAACAATATGATAAGGCTTTATTAGGATAAGGATACTCAAAAGAAAGAATGGCAGAAATGAATGTTCAATTAAGAAAAACTAATTTAGTTATGGGAAGAGATGGTAATGGTTATACAACCTAGAATTAAGCTATATATGGGAAACCATAATTATAAGTGAATAATTTTCAAGATAAGACCTAACAATTAGTTAGAAATACACATATAACTATGGGTACAGATAGAGTTGAATATACAAGTTAAGCTAAGGCTTCTCATGTAGGAAATTAAGGTGATAGATCTATATTAAATGAGGCATAATTAAAAGATTTAAGAGCAACACATTTCTAAGTAGGAAATGATTAAGCTGTTAATTATTAATCAGCATATAGATCTTAATTCTCAGATAGAAAAGGATAATAAGAATAAGTAAGGAATCCTTAATTTCAATAAAATAATTTTGATCTTAAAGATGAAGTTGTAAAACCTACAATTTAAGAACATTATAAAAGCACATATAATCAATAATTTAATGGATAAAAGGCTGAGAAAGTTAATCCTATAGTGGATAATTCTAAAAATATTATGATTGGAAATGATAAATTAAGTTATTAAAGTGAAGCTTAAGCAAGGTTTAGAGATTTTCATTCAAAACCAGGAAAATTGTAAGAAGAAGTCTAAGCAGAGTTAAGAAAACATCACTTTAAATTTGGAACTGATGAAGATACAATAGAATCAGTGGCAAAAGCATAATTTAAGAATCCTCATGGATAACCAGGTAAAATGGATGCAGAAATGAAAAAAGTAAATTTATTATATAAATATCTTATAGGATTTGAGAACCCATCACTTTTAATTAGGTTATTGTAGAAATGATTATTAAACTCATTAAAAAGAATTTGGATCAAAATAAGGACCACCTAATAAGTTACCTCCAGAGATGGCTTAAAGGGTAAGATAGAGTTCATATTAGAATTGATTATATATTGTCATATTATCGATATTAGTTATAATAGTGGTGGTTATATTTTAATCGAATAATTATGATTAATCCATAAATCACAGTTTTTAATGTCTTCTTTAGGAAGTTAGATTTTCTATAGAACTTTTCGTTTTATAGGAAAGTAAACCAGGAGAAGAAACAAAGACTAGTTGCTATTTGGAGAAGAGTGTTTTTGGCATCTTACTTTATTGGAATAATGAGATCATTTTAGAATAGAGTGAAGATATATGGTGCAATAAGACAAGATGATCATATGGATTTAATAGAGGATGAAGTTTTTAAATCAAACTAAGAAGAAAAGAAGGTATATGTATTTTATCCAGATGAATAATTTAAAACAGTTTGGAATATGTTGTTGATATTTTTATTATTGGCAACTGCAGTTATAACTCCATTTAAAGTTTGTTTTGTATGAAATTACATTATTATAATTAGATTGATTCTGGAAATGAAGGATTTTGGTTTTGGGTTGATGTAATATTTGATGTTTTGTTCTTTGCTGATTTAATAATAAACTTTTTGAGTGCATTCTATGATGAGGAATAGAAAATTGTTGATGATTATAGAATGATAGCAAAATAATATATTTATGGATGGTTTACGGTTGATGTTATTGCAGTTTTACCAATTACTTATTTTTTAGATGATAATACAGATACAGCAGCTCTTAGATACAATAAATTGCTTAGATTGATTAGATTGCCTCGTTTATATAGATTAGTTCGTTTATTAAAGATTTCAAAAGCTAATTTGAATATAAAAAATAAAACATAAGCAGCTAGAATCCTTTCTTATTTAGGAATCAATGAAGGAATCATTAAAGGATTGATTCTCTTAGGTAAAATCTTATTGATAAATCATTTAATTGCTTGTTTTTGGTATTTCATAGCAAAATTCAATGAATTTGATCCTAACACTTGGGTTGCTTAAGCACATCTTGAAGATACAACTCTATATAATAAATATATTGCTGCTTTTGAATGGAGTTTGTAGACTCTCACAACTGTAGGTTATGGTGATATTAAGGCTACTACAATTGAAGAACGTATATTTGCTATTATTTGGATGATTTTTGGAACTGGATTCTTTTCTTATACTTTAGGAAAATTATCATCTATTTTGGAGAATGTAGATAAAAAATGGGTTGATTTTGAAAGAAGAATGCATTTATTTAATGATTTTTCAGTTAGAGTTAAATTACCATATGCTTTAAAATGCAAAGTACATAAATATTATAGAAATAATTATTTAAAAAATGTGTATTCATCTCTAGATCCTAAGAAATTGATTTAAGAATTACCATCATAAATTCGTAATGAATTGTTGATGATTTGTTATAAATATTTGATTGATAGTGTTTCATTACTTAAGATTGATAAGAATTTTACAGCTACTATACTACCTCATCTCAATTTTTTGGAAGTTCATCCTGGTGAAATCATTTATAGACAAGATGATCCACCAACAGATATTTATTTTATTGAAAAAGGCAAAGTCAATTTTGTTACTCATGATAAATATACATTAATTACTTTATTAGAGGCATCATTTTTTGGTGAAATTGAAGCATTTGAAGATATAAATAGAGAATATTTTGCAATTGCCAAAGAACCAACAAATTTGTAATTTTTTATTATAAATATATTTAGATTCTTTTGTTCATATGATATTTTTAGAAATCTCTTAAAAGAATTTCCTACAGTGGCTTCTGAGGTTAAAATAATTTATGATAAAAGGAAATCCAAATATAAAACATGTTTATATATGATTGAATTATAGAGAAAACGTAATTCTGGATCTGATCCAAAAGAAGTATTCATTTATATTAATGTAGGAATTATAAAATAGTACTTAATATTATTTAGGATTAATTGCTCAATATGAAGAAGAGTAAAATAAAATGAATTCTACTAAAGGATTAGTTAATACAAAGAAGAAAAGTGTACTCGATTAATTTTCTTTTAAAAAGAAATAATAAAAAATGTCTGTGTTTCAAACACTCAAATGAAATATAATTAAATAATATATAATTAAATTATGAAACAGCAAAAAAAATTAGTGCTACATTTCGATTTGAATAAAACTATTATATTGGCTGATTCCAAATATATCAATTAAACTAAAGAAGAATGTGTATCATATAAAATCTTTAGTATTAGTTATAAGAAATATTGGTTGGATATGCATGGGGTAAATTAGAATAGAGAGATGAAAAATCACCAGTCTTATGGAAATTATTAACAAATAACTTTACTCCAATTAGACCTAGTGAAGATATGATATCTTATAAAGAATACATATGTTAACAATTTCCTCTCAAAACTGAAGGAGATCCAGATGATATTACAGAATATAATAATAGTGCTATGTAAAATAGATTAAATAATTAAATTTAGAGAATAACGAAAATAATTATATTTTCAGTTTGTCAAATTAGGATAACCATGTATGAAATTGAAACCAGAATATGACAGAATTGTAAAATTAATAGTATTTTGTTCATTATTAAAATAAATTAGACTTTACCAAAAGCTGTGATTGAAGAATTAAAGTAATAAGCTGAAGAATTTGGTTTCTTGAATGAAGAAGAAGTTAAATAAAGAAATTTAACTTAATTGTTATCTGATAAGGATATGTTAAATAATTTATTTTCAGATAATAAATATTAATTGTTACCTACATTTTATAAGACTATAATAAATTTAAAAAAATAGAAAAGAGAATTTGCAATAGTATTTAGACCATTTGGAACTGATCCAAAAAATATATTGAGAGAATTTAATAAATTTTGTTTAGGAGAACATCCATGTTTTAGTGGTAGAAATAATACACCAATAGTTAAATTTGATGGATCAAAAGGGACTAAAAATTATATTGTTTTGGATAAATAATGTGCTTTAGTTTATAGACAATAAAAATAATTAGTAACAGGAACTTTAAGAAGAACAGATAAATAATAATTAGAAGATGGATATGAAAAAGAATTAGAAGAAGAATAAGTTTAAATATATAATGAAACACAAATGCTATTAAAAATAACTGAATCATTAAAGGAAAGTTGTGCTTTATGTTATGTTGATGATTTTAACTTTTATTAAGCATATCCAAATGAATAAAATGCTAAATAATTATATGTTGATTAATAAGATGCTGATACACTTCATATATTTTTTGATGATGGAATTTAAGAGTAATTATATATTTTATATATATAGAAATGAAAATAACTTAGTTTAAGTAACAGATTGTGTAACATTAGAAAATTTAAGTAGAAAGAGATGTTTGAATAAATATTTAGTACATGTGGATATATTAGATGTTATTAAAGATCCTGATTATTTCATAAAATAAATTGAAATATGTGAAAGAAATAGAAATGAAGAAATTGAAAGAATAGAAAAAGGTATACCTGAAGAATAAACTGAAATACCTAAGAAGAGTGATTGGGAATTATTAGAAGAATGTTCTGATGCTGATTATTTACGTAAAACAATCCTTCCTTTATTAATGCCTGCTTTATAATTGGTAGATATTGAAAGACCTAAAGATCCTCTTGAATTTATAGCCATGTATTGTTTAAAGAATAAAGAAATGGTCAAGATTCCATAACCCCCTGAATAATAGGAATGAAATATTTCTAATTTTATATTATTATAGAAAATCAAAGCAATTTAATTACAATATATTTGTTACCACTAATTTTAATTTTACTTAAGGTATTGAAATATTAGCATTCGTATTTTCTTAAATTGAGTTTCTCATCTATTGTCAACAAGGCCTCATCCAAATTGATAATTATAAGAAAAGTGAAATTTGTGTTGTCTATTATTGAATCACCTTCCAATATACACATTTCATAATATTTTTCATTTCTTATTATTTAATTTTACTTGTATATTTATTAACAGGTATTCCTTTGGACATCAATATTTTATATAAAAATTTATAGTATTTCTGAAACATCTTAAGAGTTATTACTATCTCTATGATATGAATTATCATTTCCACAAATATATTATATTGCATCTCCTTCTTTAAATGATTAATTTTCAGAGATTGAGCTATATAAATCAATTTTAAATAATACTTATCTTATCTGTATTATCCCTTTAAAATATAAGTGATAATGTCATTTTAAGAATGAGTTGCTTATTTTAATTGTTCTCCAGGTGGCAATCTCCATATTACTATGCTAATTGGTAATTAATGTCTAGGATCACAATGTTCTCCGAAATTAAAAAAATGTCTAGCCTCAAAACCACATCTTTAATACAATTAAGGTCTTAATGTGAATTGAGTATGCACAAATTCTTATATAAAATTTTAGAGCATAAATTAATTTTGTTAAGTTTGTTGATCTGAATTGCATATATACATATATAACATGTGAAATTCAATTATTTAATTGGTAGCGGAACTGACACTTTACACATTCATAGAATACAGTCGATCCTTCATCTGCTGATCTCAATTAAGCAGTTGAAAAATATGCTTCTTCATGACTACATTTAGGACAGGCTTGTTAAATAACAGCTCTATGTGATTGATCAGACAGTTTAGACTCTTATGGTTGATTAGATAGCCAAGATTTAGGTTCCATTTTGATAGTTGAGATAATGAATTTAGGTTGATAATCAGTGATAGAACACTAATTTGATATAGTTGATTAGATACTTTATATCCACAACGATTGCATTCAATTACATCCATAACTTCTGGCAGTTCTAACATAAAATGACATTAGGGACAAAAGTCAGCTGCGCTATCGAGATTCATTAATTATATTTTATTTGTGCTATATATTGAATGAAAGGACCGGTAAATATGATTAATCTTATGGTAGTTTCTTTGGGGATTTGGTTATAAATCACTTTTCGCTTTCAGAAGTAAGCATTATTTATATAACTTAAGAGCCGACATTCAAGTTTCTTTAAAGTCCATTTCAATTAAACAAAGAGGATCTCATTAGGAAATCTGTAAACATCCCAGATCATAAATTCGATTTCTCACCATTCATCCACGCAGACTCAACATTTCTAGTCAATTAACAAAACATTCAGACCTTGCGTTTACTATAGAAGGACTTCGCCTCTGATCCTCATAATCCTGATAAAGCTTTCAACTATGTGAGATAATTAAATCGTATGCAAATGTATGAGGAGTCCCTTTAAATATTCAAATAAGCAGGTATCACATATGATTTAACCGTAGACGATTTCAGGGAAGGTGTGACTCCTAAATAACATTAGTAATTGCAAGAGTAATACGGGATTGCTATAACTAATCAGAAATCTAACATGTATTCTGACAAGCGTAAATCATTGATTTTGCCAGGGGTAATCCAATTACTTATAACAGCTGCAATAATATATCAATTATTTTACTATTTTCAGCCAAATCAAACAAAGCCTAAGAATGAAAAAGCATAAAGTGAGAACTCTGATTAGGGAGTAGGTAGAATGGATAGATTTTATAACATATTGCGAAACAATTAGAGTGTTCAAGAAGAGAGAAACATTCCGACTCGTTTTAATGATGTTTTGGGAATTGATGAATTCAAAGAAGAATTGGAAGAGATAGTTGAATTTTTGAAGAATCCAAAAAAATATACTGATTCAGGAGCCAAACTACCAAAAGGGATTCTATTAGTAGGACCTCCAGGAACTGGAAAAACTTTATTGGCAAGAGCATTAGCTGGTGAAGCTGGATGTGCATTTTTTTACAAATCAGGTTCTGAATTTGATGAGATGTTTGTTGGTGTTGGAGCTTCAAGAGTGAGAGAAATATTTAAAGCAGCAAGAGCCAAAGCTCCTTCAATAATTTTTATAGATGAAATAGATAGTATAGGAGGAAGAAGAAGAGCTTAAGATCCAGGATATTCAAGAGATACTATCAATTAAATTCTTACAGAGATGGATGGATTTAAATAGACAGAAAGTGTTATTGTAATTGGAGCTACTAATTTTGAATAAGTATTAAATATTACTATAATAAATAGGTTTTAGATCCAGCTTTAAAACGACCAGGGAGATTCGATAAGATGATTCATGTTCCATTACCTGATGTAAGAGGAAGAGAATAAATCTTTTCTTACTATTTAAATAAGATTAAATTTGATGAGAAGAAAGTCTTGCCTACAAATTTGGCTAGACAAACAAGTGGATTCAGTGGTGCAGATATTCAAAATATGGTGAATGTTGCAATTTTAAATGCAATTAAATATGACAGATAGATAGCTACAACTGAAGATTTTGAATTTGCTATTGATAGAATATCAATGGGAATAGGAAGAAAGAATATGCATGTGAGTGATAAAGAAAAATTAATGACAGCATATCATGAGGGTGGACATGCCCTAACTAGTTTATTAACTGATGGAGCTATGCCATTACATAAAGTAACAATATTGCCTAGAGGAGGAGCTTTAGGATTTGTATATATTTATTTAAGTTTGCTATTAGACAGCTATGTTACCAGAAAAAGATCAATTGAATTATACAAGGAGAGGAATTATTGCATCTATTGATGTAGCTATGGGAGGACGAGCTGCAGAAGATCTCTTTCTTGGTAAGGATGATATTACTAGTGGATGTAGCAATGACTTAGCTAAAGCAACTGATTTGGCTTATATGTTTGTGAAGTAATTAGGAATGGATGATAAGATTTCTTTGATTTCTATTTAAAGTGATAGATAGAAAACTAGTGATCAATATGATTATATGGTTGATATGGAAGTAAAGAAGATTCTAGAGGTATTTAAATAAATTTAGATCAAGGAATCATATAACCGAGTTAAAACATTATTGAAATCAAATGAAAATAAACTCAAAGCATTGGCTACAGAATTAGTCAAGAAAGAGACTTTGTCTGCTGAAGAAATTAGAAAGCTTTTGCAAATAAAATGATTCATACATTTATATAATTATTTTTAATTAACGTGATACATAAATATAAATATAAATTATTAATGGGAGCAGAAGATACTCATTCTGAAGGAGAAAATATTATGCATTAAGACTCCTTATTTAGAGATGAGGAGAAAATGGAAGAATCTGCTAATGTGGCCTACTTGTTAACTCTAGGTATCCTTTTAGGACTTACTTTAAGAGAAGTGAACAAAAAAACAAAGTAAACAAGATTATGATGTAGATTCCCTTATTCTCCTATGGTACTAACTTGTGGGTTATTAATTGGTTTGTTATAAAGTTCACTTGGATACTTAGGAGAAAGTGCAAGTATTCTAAGCCATATGCATCCACACTTAATTGTCTATGTTTTTATTCCTGTTTTACTTTTTGAATCAGCATTTAATTGTGATTGGTATGTATTCAAATATTAAATGGTGAATATCTTACTTTTGGCAGGACCTGGAGTTGGTTGGGTAAGGATCTATTATATTTTAGGGTGCCATACTTTTAGGAATTGTATTCAAATTATTCCTATTTTATAGTGATGAAGATATGAATTGGTATTAGGCATTCACTCTTGGTTCAGTGCTTTCAGCCACTGATCCTGTAGCTGTTGTTGCATTACTTAAAGAATTAGGTGCCAGTGCAGCATTCAATCATCTTATTGAAGGTGAAGCATTACTTAATGATGGAGTAGCTATGGTCTTTTTCATATTTTTTAATAAATTATCCAAAGCAGCTGCAGGTATAGGAGGTGGAGTAACATTTGGTGGAGTTTTGTTAAATTTCTTCAGAAATTCCATTGTTGGTCCAGTACTAGGAGTAATAGTTGGATTCTTTGGAGCATTATGGGCAAGAAGAATAGTAGGAGATGATGTTGAAGTTGGATGGTTGACATTTGTATTTACATATCTAACTTTCTATTGGGCTGAATTTTGTTTCTTTAAAACTAGTGGATTACTTGCAGTTGTATCATTAGGTTTGTTTTGGAGTGCCTTTGGTAAAACAAGAATTAGATCAGAAAGTGAACATGCTGTTCATACTGTTTGGAGTTTTGTATAATATTCTTGTGACACTACAGTATTTTTATTAGTTGGAATGATTGTTGGAACTGAAGTTATTGAAGAAAGATATATTTATACTTCTGATTACTTTAGGATGATACTTTTTTATTTCTTTATGATAATATGTAGATATCTTATGGTAATATCATTTTGGCCGTTACTTAAGAAATATGGATATCCTATGTCCTAACCAGAATTAATAGTATTTGTTTATGGAGGTCTAAGAGGAGCACTAGGATTAACACTTTCATTGATGGTTGGATGTGATCCTGATTTACCTCCAAGATTCAGACATTTATCTGTATTCTTTACTGCTGGAATGGCTGCTCTAACAAATCTTGTTAATGGAACTACTTGTAAAGCACTTGTTAATTATCTTAATATGATTGAAAATCCAGTAATTAAGAAGAAAGTTTATAAAAGATATTTGACTGATATGATTGTGAATCAAGAAGATACAATTAAAGAATTAGAAGGTGATGAACATTATGCTATGGCTGATTGGAATTAAGTAAAAGCACTAGTTGGATCTCAAGAATACCTACAAGAAGTTGTCTAATTGGAAAATGAGATCAAATAAATCCAAGGTGGAAATATGAGTAGAATTTCATATGAAGGATTAACTGATTCAGAAACCTTTGGTGAAGTTAGATATAGAGTTCTAAGAATCCTAAAAGGTCTTTATTATTCAAAATTTGAACATGGTCAATGTGATGAAGATTCAGTAAGATTGCTTGTAGAATCTAGTGATGTTGCTCTTGATCATACAGGTTCTATTCTCAATATTTGGGAATAATTGTTCCAGAGTTTCACAAGTTTTAGTAGCATTAAATACTTTTTCAAAGCCAAAGAATGGACCTTTTTAGGTGGATATGCTTAATAGTATATCACAAAGCATTTAGGATTTGTTTATGATGTGACTACTACATTTATATCATGTGCTTCTGAAGTACTCACTTTATAATAACACATGCCAATGAATAAGGGAGCAGTAAAGTTAATTATGGATGAAATAAGAAATGAAATTACAAAGGCTGAGATTTATTTGGGAAGTTTGAATGACACATTCCCTGAAGTCATTAGAGCAATACAAACTAAAAGAGCTTCACATACAGTTCTAATGCATTAAAGACATCATTTAGAAGAGAATTAAAAAAATGGATTAGTTGATGACAAAGAATTCAATTCACTTAAGGCTAATATTGATGCTCGTTTAGTTGAACTTGAAAATCATTCATTTGATTGGTAAATTCCAACATTTAATGCTTTTGCAATGGAATTCCCTATATTTACAGGAGTACCTAAAGAAGAATTGGATACAATTGTTAAATCAACATATGAGAAAAGGTATTAACAAGATGAAATTGTATATGAAAAAGGAATGACTTGTTAAAATATATATATTGTTTAAAAAGGTACAGTAGATGATGAAGTTGGTACTCATATTTTGAAAAAAGGATTGGGTTCTTTACTTTCATATGCTAATTTGATAGGAGATGGGAAATGTATGACAACTGCTAGAGCTGCATCTGAGACTGTTTTACATTCTCTAAATTTGAATGTACTCAGATCATTAATGTAAAAATCAGAAATATTTGAATAAAAAATATATATCAATTCTATTGGTAAGTATTTTATTTAATTTGATTAGAATACTTAATTAAATTATTTGAATCTTAAGCAGGTCCATTAGCATAGATGGAAGCAAAGAGATTGGGTTAGTTTTTGAGATCAAAGACATAGTTCAAAAAATTTGATGTACATTCTAATGTGGAATTTATGTTTGGAGGATATATAATAAAAGGGGAAATTCAAAGTTGTATATCAGATGATGGTGAAGGAATTGAAAGATATAGAGATTATTGGTATGATTATTATAAATATATTGATTAGTTATGTACCACCAAGAGAGAGTGATTTTACTGTTAATAAGCCACTTATTTGTCTTGTTTTTGATGATGCTATTGATATCATTAAATAAGATAGATTAGAACAATTCAATTTAGAAAATCATGAAGAGATTGTATAGGAGAGATTCTCAAGAATTGAAATTTAGAATCAATAATAGGAATTCTGATTATTATTATAATATAAATGAATTCATTATTTATGATAGTAAATTTTAATGGTTTTAGATTTAAAATTTTACAAGCTTATTTGATACACATTTCCTTATTAGAAATCTTTAATGGGATAGTTTATGAATTCTGAAATTGTTTTTAGGTTATTTAAAAAAATAAAATTATAAATTATTTATTTATATTATTTTAATATATATATATGTTATTTATTTAGTGATCTAATAAAAATATATATAAAATATATTTAAATCATTCTTGTTATTGATATTTTTTGATATAATTTTTTATTGGTTCTATTTAATCTAATTTCTTTATAGGAATAAATGATAACATTATTCTATTTTGAAAAATTTCTTTTTAATTTTTTTATAGTCGAGGAATCCACATCAAAAAATACAATACTATAGATAATAATAAAAAACTTAGAAATGTTGAAACAAACTATAATTTTAATTCTTCAAAATGTCTGTTTAATGAGCTTTGTAATATATTAGTCAAATGAATCTATAAAGGTTTCATGTACACCTTTGAAAAAATTCTATTTGAATTTAAATCATCTTAATTTAATAGATTATAAGTATAATTTAATTAGGGATCTATTGATAGATCATATGGTAAATTAGTATACTAATATTATGGGTCATAAGCCTTGTATAAAGATAAATAATATTTAATATTTTCTAAGAATTTAGTCACTCCTAAAGATAATCCTTATAATAGAATTTCATTATAAAATTATGAGCAAACACTTTATTCATTATCACCTTCATCTAAAATTAAACATGGATTTAGAATATAAATCTAATTAAAAGCTTCTTTATATTCTTCATCCAATATTGCTGAGTTTTATTGATTTAATTGATGTGATTCTGCATCCATTTCATATAATACATTTTGCATATATGATAAAGCTGTGAAAGAGTTTAAATTCAAAATAACTTTGGATTAGTTCCAAAAAGCTTCTCTCATTATATTATCAATTAAACTATATTAGGAAGCTGCTATTGATGTAATGTTTAATAAGGGAGTCAATTATTCAGTTTAAGAAATTATTGTCTATATAATAAGATGATAAATTACATTTGAGGTTATGAAAATATAAATAAAAAAGAAAGCGTAACATATCAAGATCATAGAGACATAAATAATATTCTTCTTAATTTCTTTAGTTGAAAAATTTTGCTTTTTCTTTTTCTTTTTATTAAAGGAAGATAAATCAAAATGATCTTGTTCAATTTCTTATTCTTCTTCAATTTCATCTAATTATTTATCATCTGCTAAACGCATTGCAGTTAAAAAATCTTAAGCATTTTTTACATATATTTTTATAGTTTTTTCATCTAATTCCATAAATAAAGATAAGATTTCTCTTAAATAATTTTAATGTTTATTCAAAAATATCTAAATTATAAAGTATGTGAATATTATTAAAAATAATTGTGTTAATGAAAAATAGATTTATAATTAATCTAATTGATCAGTCTAATAAATAATATTATAATAGTAATAATCTTAAGCTAAATGTTAATTTAATAGAACTGAATTAAATAAATTCTCATTGAAATAATAATAATCTTGATTAAAATCATTAAAAGTATTTAAATTACTTGAATTTAATGAGATTGCTTTTGATATTAATTATTAAATCACTTCTTCAAATAAGAAACTCTAGGATTCTCCTGTAACTTATCTCATTGTAATTTTTGTAGTTTTAAATGCATTTTAATATTTAATATAATCTCCATTCATAATAATTTCTTCATTCTATAAAATAATTTAATAATCCATAGTAAGATTTAATTCTGCTGCAAGTTCTTATCTGTTAATAGATTCAAAAAGACCTTATACAGTTTCTTAAGTATATGGTAATATTTAAAAGTTTGTAAATTTAAGATCTTAAAGATTGGATTACATTTTAATGAAACTACATAATCTAAGATTATTAGCAATTAATAAATTTAAGGCTTAAACAATATTTCCCTAAGTTTGATTAATTAATATAAACATAATGATTGAGATTATTAATACAGATAAAAATAATAAACTGATACATATAGCTAGTCTTAACATAATTAATGGTAATTTAGAATTATTGATAACTTTAATTAAAGCAATTCTTGAATTAATTTATAAACTTCTCTATTCAATTTTTGTTTATTTATCTAATTCATTTTCATCTTCTCCATTTTATTTTTTTTGACTAAATTCACTTTCTTCCATTAAATCTTCTTCAATTTCAATAATTTAATTTTCAAAATATCTCATAGTTTTAATATCAACTCCATATACTCTTTATTTTAATAATGAATGTTTGGATTATGAATATTATTTTTTACTACTTGTATTACTATGTTAAGTAAATAAATATAATTTTTAAGGTTCTTCCCAAATAATACTTTTATCAATTAATGATTCATTATTAGTATAATCAGGATCTGTATTTTCTACTAAAAAAAAATAATAAAATTAAATAATTACATTAATAAGTTTTTGTAGCAACATAAAATTTAAATACTTTATTTATTTTTTTATTTTTAATTAATAAAGGATAATTGATAATTTCATTATTATATTATTCCAATTTAACCACATAACCATATACTTAATATACATCATCATTTTAATTAGCATAAGGTGTTTCTACTAGATAAAGAGAACAATTAAATATTTTATCTTCAACTTCATCAAATGAATTTACAGCATCATCTTTAGATTATGATCCTCTTGATGAAGTACATTAAAGTTAAAAATGTATTAATGTTTATTTACTTAAATAGTCTTCCCTATTTAATAATAATTCAGGAAAGAATTTAGAAATATTAAATTCTTTTAAATGAAGAAATTTCTAATCCAATTTCAAAATTTGCATACATGAAGATGAAACATTTAATATTCTACCATGAATATCTATAAGGATATGACATTTTGGTTTATAATGAATATCTTATCTTAATCTACTTGTCATAATAAATCCATTTATAGTATTTATAATTTATGATTATGAATAACAAGGAATAATATAGTTCTATTTATTTTTAAGCATCATAAGTCTTTCTTAAAATTAATTAATTTAATTAATATCAACAGATTGTTTATCAAAAATAAAATCAACTAATTAAAGGTGATAATCTACATAACTAATAATAATAATATTATTTAATTTTACATTGATGGTAGAATAACATCTATATTACGATTTATTAAATCTGTTTTTGAAAAACCTAATAAACTATATGCTGCTTTATTAACATTTAAAATAACAGTTGGATGTCCTACAGATACAGACATAACAATCAAAGGATCTCCAGAACTAGAAAGATCTTCAAAATATTCATTTCCTCTTGTATTATATTTCTATTTCTTAATCATTTATAATAATAAATCTAAAGCTATTTATTCATCATGTACAATCATTTCATAATATTTACTTAAAATTCTATAAGTATTAATTTCATAAGGATCAATCTCTAAAATTTTATTCCATTGTTATTCTACTTTATCTACAGATTTGATTATTTTTTGTCCATGTTCATGTAAAATTTTTAAATTAGGAACTTCTTCTTATAATTATGACCAAAAATATAAATATTCCATACAAGAATCTTCAATTAAATAATGAATATTTTTTATTTCAGATTTTAAATTTTTTTCAGTAACTATATCAAGTTTTTTTTTATTATTGTTATTTGATTATTATTACTTTTATATTTATTCTTCTATAATTCTCTTATATCTATATATAAAAAATTATTAATCAAAACTTGGATCACAATTTTCAGCTAAATTTAATTAATTAAGTGCTTATTATTTTAATTACATTTTATCTAATAAAAAATATGCATAAGATATTTTAAGATCTGCACATTCTGGAAATTATTCTAAACCTTCCAAATAAGTTTAATTTACTAATAATACTATTTATTATTTTCTATCTTTAAAAACATTTACAGTCTTATTTTTCTTTTTATGATTAGATAATAAAACACAATCAAGTTTATCACAAGATTATTTATGAAATTCTATAAAACCTGCTAATAATATCTATGACTTTTAATTAATCTCACTTTATGTATTTAAAGCTAAAATATATGTACAAATCTCAACAGTTTCAATTCCATTTTATGTTGATTTCATACAAGCTGTTACTAAATCTACATAAGATAATTCTTTCATTGCCAATATTGCAAATATAAATGGTACACCAAATATCCATATTATAAATGTTTTCTATAAAAATTTACCTTCTAATACATAAGCATATAGTAACATAAATTAAGTCCAAAAATTGATTCCTGCTGTTATAGACCATATTCTTTAAATTTTTGTATTATAAAATGGTGTATGCTTATTAACACTATAAAATAATGTATATGAAGTAACCAATTAAAATAAGATAACTATTAAAGTATATTTAGGTTCCTACATAGTTGAATATGCCACCAAAGAGACAATAATAAATAAATAGTAATAAAGCATTGTCTAACCTCGTCTTTATGCTAATGCACTTTATTCAACTTCTTTAGATTCTATACATATTTATGCAAATATCAACACAACTAATAAATATTCTGCAAAAGTCAATATTGCAATTACTGCATGCAATTCATATTCACTAACCCAACATTATTAATCTTCTATATATCTCATCATAAGTATGCCTTTATCATTTGGTTTACATGCTAAATACTAAAATAATTATAATTTATATTACTCCCATTAATATTCTTGAAATTGGTTCAAATCCTATTGTCATTAATATTGCCAAAGTTACTCTTAATATTTATATAGGAATCGATGTTGCTGTATGATTATATTCTAGAACTGCTAAAGTAACAATCAAAATCACAGTAATTTACACTATTCCAACACATAAGTAAAATACAATTAAATATATAGTGAAGCTTGTATTTTTTGTATATTTCATTAATGTGAAAAATCTATTTTCAACCAATATTTATACTCCAAAATGTAATTTACCCATTTTGTCGAATCTTCAGAACACCAAACATATCGGATTTATTCTTAAAATGAAAAATAAAGAAGCTAAGCCATTTATATAATGGTTGAAATAATTGCTACATTTAAAGGATACTAATGTCTCTTCAAAATTAAATACACAACACTGTACTAAATCAATGATTTTGATACTTAAATAACTTATATTTAGTATTGTTTATTAGTTTTTTTAGAACTTCAGATTCAGCTTCCATTATTAAATTAAAATCAAAATTTATTAATACACCACTTTTTATAATTTCAAATTATTCCAATCAGTTAATCTTTTTTCAGAATAATTTACTAAACTCATAAACGCAAACATCAAGTCCATTATTAATTTCATTTATTAAACATTTATAATATCTCATAAATCAAATCATTCCTTCCTATTTTAAATGTATTACAATTGATTTCGAACTAATTATTATTATTTTATATACATATTAAGCATTCTTGGAGTTAAAAATGTCAACATACATCTTACTTAAATTAAATTCTATATCTAATACTAAAAAGTAGGTAACCATATCATAATTGTAACTATTAATATCATAAAACAGAAACATATAAAAAGGATTGTTTTTCTTAATTATAACTATTAAAATATTGCTTCAATATTTTATTATAGATATTGATTTAAATAATTTTAAGCTGATCTTAAATACCTTTATTACATTATTCTAATATCTGATCCTCGTTTAGTATTCAATAAATTTAAACCATAATTTATCAATTTATCATCACTTAAATTGAATTCCAAATTATAATTTTAAAATTCATCAAATAATTTAAAACTTGTTAAGAAAATTCTTAAATCTTCAATGTATTTAATAATTCCAATAGACAATCCTTATACTAAAATACCATCTTCAAAGTTTTCACATTCTTATATTTATTAATTCTTAAATAAATATGTGCATGAGTTCATAAAATAGATCTAATTAAAAGCAATTAAATATTCTTAATCCAAAATATCTTAATATTTATTATTAATTTCCATTAATTCAGCATTTAAATTATATAAGAGTTCAAGATATCCAAACACAGTTGCTTAATTGTTAGGACTATTTAAAATACTTATGTTTGGATTAATAAACAATTCTCTTATAAAATTATCACCTAATCTATAATAACTTTCAACTATAGAAGTCTAATTAATTATAGGCATCAATTCATTATATTCATCTGAAATCAGTTTGCTATCTATAAATATATAGATATAAAACAATTAAAAGACTGAAACAATAAATGCAGTTTTCACTAATAATTTTGATAATTAAGATCCAGAATATTAAAATTTTTTTTATTTTTTACTTTATATCTCTTTTTTATCATTATACTCCTCATTCTCATTCTCAATTTAATTATAATCTTGCTATGGAATATTAATTAAATTAATACATCCTCTTAATCTTCACATTGTAAAATAACTAGAAGATTTTCACAATTTCTCACCTATTCCTTTATGCTTGATTCTTTTAAAAATATTAAAGATTAAGCAATTTTATTAGTTTCTTTTTAAATCTATGTTAAAAATACAAATATTGAAATAGTTAATGAGATCAAAATACAAGTATTCAATACAAAAAACAATATTTCATAACTAATTATAGTATCAATTAAAGTTTATATATAAAACCAATAATAAGTTTCAGCTATCCTTCCATTCCATATGATATAATTTAAAGAATTATAAATGTAATAAAAGAAATCTGGTTTTGAATAATCAAATAATGTTAAATCACTATTTTATAATTGAGTTGCTTTAGATATCAACTAATCTATTGCTTCATTAAATGTAAAATTTGATATATATCCATAAATGTCTACCATTATAATTATTTTTTCATGATATTTAGAAGATTGTTCCTTATACTTATCTGCAGTTTCCACCTTAATTGATGATAGTTCATTTTATACTAATTTTAATTATTGGATTTCATATTCTAGCATATCAAAATTTTGTTTCAATACTTAAGATATATTTGATATATTAACTAAATAGTGTAAATTTATGAATCGAATATCTTATAAAATTGATTAAATCATGAATATATTTGACATTCTTTAATTAACTTAATTGATTAATGGAAGATTATTTAACAATTCTTATTCATTTTTTATACTAAAAGTATAAGATAAGATTTGCAATAATAATAATACAAATAAAAGTGAATGAATTATCCTAGATGATATTTTAATTATAAATGAGATTGGTTTCTCTTCTAATTCCTTTTAAATTAAACTCTTTTAAAAAAACTAAGATTAAAGAGTATCTCTCTAACTAAATATATCACTCTCTTTAATATTCTCATTTTCTTCCTTTTCTTCTTAATCTTCAACTTCTTCCTTCTTTTTAGCATCCAATTCTAAACTATCTTCAATATCACTAATTTAATTTTATATTAATCTCTTTATCTTAATTCCTTCACCATAGTTAAGTTTAATCGATGTTTTTAAATGTCTAGACATTCTCATACATCCCACTAACTTAGAAAAATTTAAAGAGCTTTCCATTATTAATGTATCATTATTCAAACTATCTAATTCATTAAATCTTATGTTCTCCACTTAAATTATTATATTTGATATTACTTTTATAAGTCAAGGATCTTTGAGCAAATCTAAAACATCCTATTACTTTAATGCCTGGACTTCTTATAGTATTTTATTGAATCAAATATTCCTATTTACATTACTATGATGTTTTAATTTGTTCTAATTTTATCACTAAGCCATATTTAAGATCTTATTCTTCTAATAAACAATTAAATTGAATATAATTTATGATACAATTGAATTTTGTTTTAGGAATATAAGTAGACGTTGAATGAATAGATTGTTTTAATCTTTTACTTGCCTTTAGTACTTATAAATGATCATTATAGATTACACAAAACCCTGACTTATTAAAAATTTAATTATTATTTTTGAGAATTTCTGGGAATAAATCTGAAATCAATATTTAATTAAGTGTTATTGATTATAGATCAATTCCTAAAAATGAGATGCAATTAGAGGACAAATCTGTTATATTACCTTCCGGAGATGAAATAATATAGCATTGATTGCTCTATTAAAAATTATATTCTAAAATGCCTAATAAAATTAATTCATTATGATGCACCTCCAATAATTTCACTTTTATATTTATAGGGAGAATATATTTGTTTTTCGTTTTGATATAGACATGAGATGATTTAATTATCTGTTAATTTGTAGCTTCTATTTTATGTAATAAATAGTTTTCAATACATTAATTATGCTTAGAAGCATATCTATTTAAATTAACTGAATTCTTACATATCAGGCATTATTTCATTCAGATTTCTTTTTATCAAATCTGTCTTTGAATATCCTAACAAACTGCAGAATGATTTATTTACATTCATAATATTGGAATCTTAATTAAGATGTTTTTAAATAACAATAATTGGATCAGGTTAACTACTAATTTCTTCGATATCTTCAATTTACATATATTAAAACTATTGATTACTTAATTCAAACTAAAATGTCTTAAAATTTAGATCATTTAGAATTAATTCTGTATATTTCTAATAAATTCTTTTTAACTTTTTTGCTCTTCTATTTTATTAGGTAACTTTACGATAGTCTTATTCTATTTCTTATTTTTTATTTAACAACAAATATCCAAGTTAAATTAATTTATAAATATCTGGAATTTCCTCTAATAATTAATTCCAAAATTCAATAAACATGATGGTAATTTTCTCCATTTTTTGATAAAATTCCTTTTCCATTTTTTAATAATTAGCTTCTGCAAAATGATCAAATTATTATGTTAATTATGAATCAATTAAAAATTCTTAAATTAGTCTTTTGTAAAAAAACAATTAAAATTATTGTGCATATTATGTAACAAATTATTCTGAAATAGATATCTCTTACAAGGCTTAAGTATATTATTTTCTATAATCAATTAAAAAGAAAACAAAGTTTAATCTTAAATCAATATCATCAGGAAAATGTCTAATTCCATCTTCAAAAATTTAATTTATCAAATGAATTAAAATATATTCATATTAATTTATATTTGGCTTTAATTTTATAGGTTAAGAAATTTTTGAGTAACAATCTACTCTTTAACAAGTTAATTTATGAATCTCTAAATAACTTTGCAATAATAATTCATATTTTTAATTATTTTCAAAATTTATCATTAATTCCAGTAAATAAATACATAATTATGAAACTTCAGTTCCATTTTTAGCTTTATAAAAATTAATTTTAAACAAATCAATCTAATTTGATTTGGATGATATTATTATTCCACAAATTAATGGAATACCTAATATTAAAATAGTTAGACTATTTTTTAAGAACTTTTCCTCCAATATGAATGAATATAACATCATCAAAATTATCCAAAAATTTATGGCTGAAAATATAGACATCATTTTTTAAATAATCTAATGATGAAAAGGCTTATGTAGATGTACTTTTTGAAAATAAATTATACTCATTATTAAATAGACTATTATTATTATAGCTGTATATTAAGGAGTAGGAATTAATTAATACACCATTATTTATACAATTATATACACTAATAAAGTAATTTATGCATGACTATTTTTCATTGCCATAGCATTCTTTTTTGAAAACTTTTATTAATATAGAAAGTATGATATCAATAGTGTAAAAAGGATTGTTATTATTAATCCTATAATTCCAATTATTGCATGAATTGTATAGTTAGTTGTCCAACATTCTTATTTAGTTTCAAACATCATTACAAACTTGCCTTACTTGTTATATTGGCAAGCCAATAATCCAAATTACATTCTAATTATGGGCCAATATCCAAATGTTAAAGTTATGTATAATAAATATTATAAAATTGTTAATGGTAATTTCTAAAAGCTTGGATTTCTAATATAAAATATTAGTAATAAGATCAAAATTATAGAAAAAATTACAATCCCAAAAAATAAATAAAATACTAGTAAATACTTGTTAAATCCAATATTTTTTACATTAATTGTTATGGTAAAATATCTAAAAATAATATTACTTGTTAATACTTAAGCATTAAATTAAATATTTCAACTGTTGAATCTTTCCAAATGTATTTGATCTTTAAACCAAAATTTAAATAACAATATTAACAAAATACAAAAAATGATGAAATTATCACAAAAAATTTTGAAGTTTAAAAGTCTTACATTATTAAATACATAATACTAATATACATACTACAATTACTTAAAGAAGCTGGTCTAAAGAGATTGGTTATTATTTTTTTTAATTTTGTCATACATTATTTTCCTATGTCTCTATGATTTAAAAAAAAAAATAAATTATTTCTCTTAAATAATTATTGAATAATTTTAATTTATTTTTTAAGGAAAAATTAACATATATTTAATCAAATTATATATATATATATAATATCTGATTATTGTCTAATTAATGCATATTTCAATAATAAGGTAAAGTTTAAAAGTACTATTAAGAAATGAGCTAAAATTGATCTAAATATGAATTGATTTAATCTTATTTTTAACTTTGAGTTTTTGTATCAGGATTCAATTTTGAGAATAAATTATTGAAATATTAATTGGTATCATTAAATTGATACTTTCTAATAAAATCTATTATTTTATTAACAACTTGAACTTTTTCAACTGTAAAAGAGCGATTTTTTATAGAGTTTATTATTTATATCCATCCCTGCGTTTTAAAAGTAATTTTAGTTCCAAATACATAATTTTTGAATTAAAATTATAATATTTCTATAATAGTTGGATATTCTTCAACTCCACAACCATAAATCATGTAGTTATTTAATAGCTTTTCAGTGTAGAAATTATTATTATTTGTACCATTTAACTTTTTCTCAATTAAAAATCCTAATTTCAAAACTTTATTTTTTTTATTTTAAATTTTTTCAATTGCTGATATAGCAGATAAATATTGTCCCTTTTCATAATTCTCTTCAGCAATTTAGTATGTGTATTTCTCACTTGATTAAGAAGATCGAGAAATATTAGTTGACTTTGATTAATCAGATTCAAATGTTATACACTTTAATTATGATTCCACTTAATTAGGATCTTTTTCATTAATTCCAATCATTTTTAGATTTTTAATCTTTTCTTAATTTTTTTAATTTTCTAAATTTTATTCTTCTATGTGTAGTAAATCTAATGCTTCTATGTGTTTGGGATGTGAATGATTTAAGTGCTTTTCAAAAAGTCTTACAGCTTTTTCTAAAAATTCAACAAATTGTTGATGAAATTGTATTTTTTTTTTCATTTTTTGATAATATTAGATGTAAAAAATTCCTAAATATTAATTTTCCTCTCCAAATAATCCAACACAATATCTTTCAATTTCAGATAATTTAAATTCTTCAGATTATTGGGCTTTTAAAAAATTTCTGTAATTCATCAAATACTCCAAATCAGTAATATCAGAAAATAATATCAAGTTTGTTTTATTACTATAATCAGAAAGAGATTGGAAATTTAATGATGTAAAAAAACTTGTAAAATTAATAAGTTTTCTAACTTAAAGATCAATCCTAAATTAAAAATGATACATCAAAGCATTAAGAAGTAGTACATCAACAATTGCAAATTCACTATCCTCAATATCAGATTAAAATTCATCTTTTGCAATTTATATAACATTTTTATCAAAATTTCTATCTTTACCTTTATAAAGAGTCTCTATCATTTATTCAATTCTTTACATTTTCTTATTCATATATTCATTTTATTTACTTATGAAAATAAATAAAGAACGAGCTGCAATATCTGCATTTACAATTTTTCTATTAGTAGTATTGTTAAGTTTTTTAGAAATGTATCCCAAAAATTAAACTTCAATTTTAAAGTTATTTAATTCTTGTTCTAAAGATTCTGAACTTTAGATCTCTAATTCCATTTTATCATATTTTTCAATAAATTCATCACAAATAATATATTTTTATAATTTCCTTTTCTTTTCTTCAATTTCAGCTAATCTATTCTTTATTTAATTTATTTCATTCTCAAGTTTCACTTCAAATTGCCAAATAACACTCTTTTCAGGATTTTATATTTTATTTGATTTTTATTTTTTTTATATAGTTGGATCTGGATTATATATTATTTTGTGTTTTATTATGAATTTGAAATTAAAATAGTATTCTTTGTTTTCATCACTAATCCAGCCAAACTTAATTGAATCTTCATTATTTTTTATTTTGTTTATATTCACACCAGCCTTATATATTAAATAACCATGATTGAAAATATAGTCTTCAATACTTAATTTAGATTTAGACTGATGATTTTGTTTATCTATATACTCATCTTTATTCATGTATTATACATATCCTTTATTATATGTCAATATTTTTGTTTTAACATCATTACCTTTTTTACTTTTTTTCTGTACTTCAAGATTAAGTCCATCAAGCAAATTTTAAAAGTCTTATAACTCCCCTTCATTTTCCAATAAAATTTTAGACATAAAAAATAATATTAAAATATCATTAGAAAAAAACCATTCCAAATTAAATATCATCATAAAGTAATAGTAAAAATTAAATATATTTAGTATAGATATCATGCTTCAAATTCAAATTTTTTTTTCTTTATAAAGATTAAAACTATCAATATAAATGTACTATCAAATTAGCTTATTTTCTATCTTATTTTATGTTTTAGCTTAGTTTAATTGTTTTTATAATATATATTCGATTATTTAATCTCTAGACTTAATAGAATATTTTTAAAATCTAAAGATATTGTAAGAATAAGTCAAAAATTTATAATTTGTAAATATATTCCTAAATTATATTAATTTATTATGATTAAACCAACACTCTTATTCATTATCATAAAATGGTTTCATTTCCATATATTATTATTTTTTAATTAAAAAATATAATATTTTATGTAAATAGAATTTAGTAGAAATAAAATAGTCAAACTTAAATTTTAGGAAATAAAGATTAAGTTTGCACTAATATTCAGATAAAGTTTGCACTCATACTTATACTTATATATATATTTTAATTGAAATATTTTAAATTCAAATATTATTTGCGCCAAATTTACTTATCAATGAGTGTGTCTCCCCCTAAATCATAATCACTTTCAGCTGATAGAAGAAAAACTACATTATTTATGTACCCTTTCCCCAAACCTCCAAGTGTTTCTCATTTACCAATCTTCAATATGACAATTAATAAAGAAAATGTTCAACCTCAAAAATAAAGTTGGAATATGTATTAATAATCACAATAACTAACAACAGTATCTTAAAAAAAGAAACCTTAAAAATTTATAGAATTAGAGTCTTAGAAGGATCCAAAAGTAAAATATAAATTTCCAATCTTTACTGATAATCAGCTTGGTATAAAACTTGAATATTAATAATTATTATAAGAAACATATGATAATGATGATGATGTTAATACTAGAGAAAGTGTTATGCAATATTTTATTGATGTTTGTAAGTAGGATTTAGTTTAGGGGATGAGAGAAAATAAAACAATAAAAGATAAAAAAGGGTAATACTTATTATTAAATAGGAGAAATCCAATAATTAACTTTGCAGGATTGCAAAATAGATTAAAAGAATAATATACTAAAATAGAAATTGATGCTTAGATAGTAACTGATGCTATGTGATTTACTATATATGATTATTATCATTTATTATATATTAAAATTGATATAAAATATTATGAAAAAATAACATAAGTTTATTAACTCATTTGAATAAGATTTAAATTAATTAGAAACACCTCCTCATAGATCCATGATTACAAATTATGAAATTTTAATAAAAACAAAGAATTATTTGGATGAAGTATTTTATTAAAAACTAGAAAAATGTTCTATTCATACTTAAACAATACTGCCAGTAAGTGCAAAAGACAATAAATCATTAGTATTAGATGAAGAAAGAAACTTAAGATCAAGAACTATAGATCATTTTCCATTAGATCTTAAGATAGACTCTTAATTAAGATCTATAAATGAAAAAAAGATAAAAGTTAAAAATTGTTGTAAATCTAAATTGAATTCAAGAGAAACATTATGTACTTAAACAACTACAAGAAGAGAAAGCAATAGTAGTTTTTTAAAGAAAGGAATTTTAAAAAATCATAGTCCTAAATTATAGACAAGTTAAAAAAGAAGTATAAGTGTGCATTCAGGTAAGAATGTAAGATTTAATCTGATGAATAATAATGTTAGATAATTAATGATATTTGGAAAATGATTTGATTACTTTTTAGTTTTATATATCTCAATATAAGAAAATTGTGAGTCAAAATTCATCATCTTGATTACTTTCAGGTTATTTTTCTTCAAATAATGATTTTAACCCTTAACCATCCATTCTTGAATCAAAAACAACAACAAAATCATTTTGTTCAGAATAGATATTTATTAATTTTCTTTTATCTTTTGGCCATATAGATGGTGATGGAAATAAAACATCAACAGAAAGTTATATTGTATTATCAAAAAGTTACTAAGCAAAGTCTTTCATGAAATCTGTATTTTAATCAAATTCTGTTTTAGGTTTGATGTCAATTAACCATGGTTTATATTGATTATCAATTATTATTTTAACTTAAAGTAACTAAGTCTTATTTAATGAATACTTCAAAATTATGATCTTTGACAGGCATTTAAGTAAATACTGATCTAATATATTCACATATAACTATTTTAATTTCAGGAAGGATTTTATAATCATAATCCACTCTACAATCATCAAAATATTCTAAAATATCTTTCATTTAAATAATATCCTAATTATTATCTTAATTTAAATGTTCATTTGAATTATACTACAGATCTTTTTCAAATGGAGAGAAATTTATTTATGATTTTTCTCCATAAAATTATTCAAATAAATATGCTCTCACTATCCCATTTATTTGAGCTATCATTAAATAATAGCATAAATCTAATTTTATTTATTGATATACAAACGATCTTATGTATTATTAAACAATAAAACTTTATTATTTTCTACTAGGTGTCGAATATTCTTTGTGAATAAAGTCAAATATACTCTTTGTATTTTCACATAACTAAATTCTATCTCCTTCATTTTCACATTTCAAAACTATCCAAATCTCTGTTGAAGTTTTATAATTTCTTATAAATTCATAAAATGAATCTTCTCCCAAATTATTTACTATTATTGAAAATGGAAGAAAATCACAATAATTTTAATTTGTTAAAGTACAATATCTTTAAAATCTATTAATTAAATTCTTTTTTGTCCATAATGGATTCATAACATCTATATGATTATGTATTTTTATATAAGGAGATAATAAACAAAGTTTTTATTCTATTGCAAATTTCATTTAATCTTCTACACCATCACATAACTTTAAAATCTATTCAAAAGGTTGAAATTCTATTTTATCACTTATATGTCTTGATCTTTATTTATTCAAAAATAAACTCTAAGCTTAATAAGTCCATAATAATTGTACTTCCTCATCAGTCTCATCTGCTTCCTACCACCACCATCTATAACTAAAACATCTTTTCAAAATGCTTTCATTGTTATTATCTTAAATTCTATACTTTTATATTCTAATTGCTGATGGACGAATGTATATAGTATGTATACATTGATTTTCAAATTAGCTTTTTTAAAAATGTTTAAGTTTTCTCTAAATTGGATCTTCCTAAATCTATCCTTATGGTAAATACATTGTTTTTTTTCTTTTTAATAATCTATTCTTCAATTTGTCCAAAAACTCTTTTGGTCTTTAAATTTATGGTCTTTAAGGATAAATTAAACTTCTCTCTGTTTATATTGGAGAAAGCAAATTCTCTCTCTATTAATGGAATGGTCTCATCATGTCTTTTACTGATTTTTCAATTTAAAAAGGATAGAGTTATTTCATATTTTTAAGATAGTAAAAGTTATGCACAGGAACGTTTTTGTTTTGAGGAGATTTTTCGAGTTTTTTTAATTTGATATTACTTAACTTTACATCATCTATTACATTTTCAAGGATTTTCTTTTGACTCTCAATATTTTTAATGGATGTTGGAGATTATTAATTTAGATTGTAAGGGGAATGCTATTTTATTGATCTTTTTCTACCACGAAGTCGAGCTAAGTTATCATCTTATTTTTGTATTTTATATTTTTAAAGATTTCCATATATATCACATTATGATATTTCACGATAGCTAGAATTTAAAAATGTTTCTTTTCTATGGCCAAAAATAGATGGCTTTTAAGTAGCTAATATTTTAAGAGTTGGTTAAAATGAATGATTAGTAAATAAATATGAAGGAGATATTTGTGTAGGTGAGATATCTTATCTTTTCAAAAGATCATTATGAAGTGAAGTGATATTGGAATTAGCGTCAGTATGAATTTTATGTATCGAAGGCATTTTCATGTTCATTATTATAAAATATATATGTAAATAAAAACATTTATACCAAAATAATCTTTGTCAACAAATTATCATACTTAACTGATGACCAGCTTCTATGTAAGAACATTTTTAATATAATTGAATTCTAAATATTTGAATTAAATTGCCTATTACAAGCATATATGATAAATCTTATATGAGTATTATAACTAAATTTTCAATTATTTTAGACAAAAGTTCTTGCTAAATGTATTTAAATTCAATATTATTATTACTCTAAAAATTATAATACTCCAAACTAATTTTTTTTTGTTGAACTAATTTGTTTGTAAAATTATCATTTTGATATATTATTATTATTTAAGAGCATAAAATGTAACTTATATATTCTTTATCTATCATAAATCGATTATTTATTAGTACTTCAAATAAAAAAATCTATATTATTAATTAAAATTACTAAAAGTATTTGAGTATTCAAAATTACTTTAATTTTCATTCTTATTTTATAAAAATCATAATTTTTAGTTTTGAAATTCTTAACAAATAATTTTAATAAGAATAATTACTTTTAAATATTATTTATCTTCATATTATTACTAAAATTATCTTATTATTTATAAGAATAGCTTAGTATTTGTTTATTCTCTGTAAAATATATGAATTAATTTTAATTTTATAATAAATTAAACTATTATGAAAAAAGAAAAAAAGCGCTAATGGAAGGGCTTGAACCTTCGACCTGTTGGTTAACAGCCAACCGCTCTGCCGACTGAGCTACATCAGCGTATTCGATATATATGTCCTTAATTAATAATTAAACACCAGATCCATTTTTGATCTTAATATATATAAATGAATTAATTTCAAAATCAGTTTATATGAGTATTAAAAAATAATTATATACTAAAAAATAAAATTATATAAAAATAAATTCTGAAATATATGAATAACTGTTTTAAATAAAAAATCACTTTAATGTATGCAATCTTTTGACCATAATAGGGTTATTTTGAATAGATGAAATACTTTGATTTTCACTAAAAGCTACTGATGGTTGGTGCTAGAGTTATATTTAACTTATCTGAAGTTTTGGCATCGTATCTTTTATTTGATCTAATTTATTTAAAACTTAAAAAATTTACTAAACCTCATTTTAAATATCTTCTATTTGAGTACGTTCTTTTTATTTAATTCTATCGCTTTCAAAGAGACATGAGAAATTATTAAGTACTTATTATTAAAAAATGTTGCAAATTTATCCTAATGTTATTTTTTCTTCTAGAAAATTATTTAAACCCAATTCTATGTAACCAAGTTGATTTTTTAAATTTTAAATATCAACTATAATATCGAATTCTTTATGAGTTCCTATTATACTTTTAAAATTTTCTATATTTTTCAAATTAAGCCTAACTAAGATCTATTTACTTTATTTCATTAGACTTGCTTAATTGTCTAGAGAATTTTTGTATTCTCTTAAAAATTGCCTAGTATCTCTCAATTATACATGATGTTACTTTGAAAATATGAATTATGTATTTTTATCATATAATAGTTTGTCAATTTCGTTTAATTTAAATACTAATTCATTAGTGATTGCCTATTTTTCTAAATTTAATTTGTTATTTTCATTTCTAGTTTTCACATTTTCTGCTGACGCTATTTCAATTTATTCCATTAAGATTTCTTTCGTTTTCTAACAATCCTTGATCTCATTGTCAAGTACAAAAATTTATTTTTGAAATTTTTCTTTTTCTTGAGTTATTATTTTGTTTTATTCTTTTTCATTTTTAAGTGATTCTTCTAATTCATCAAGCGCTTATGATTTCATTTTTAAACATTTCTCATAATTTTTTATTTAATTTTCAAAATTTTTAATTTTCTCTTCATTTTCTCCTTCTTTTTTTTTTAATTATTTGACTTTTTCTAATAAATTTTGTATAGTAATTTACTAATTTGAGATTATTTCTTGTTATTCTTACAATGTTAAATTTTTGTCTTTGATAACTATTGTAAAATCTTCAACGATCTATTTAAATTATCTTGAATATTCACTATAATCATCTTATTGAAATTAATCTTAATAATTAAAGAAAATGATTTAGTCTTGTTCTAATTTTTCCAATTGTAATTATTTAATCTATTAATCTTTTTTTTCTTGATTCTCCTAATAATATCTTAAACTATTCTCATATATTTTTAATAAGTTTTGTACTTTTTAATCTAAAATATCAGTATTATATTGATCTTTATCTGTATTAACTGGTGTAACCGAAGCAATAGATGGTTAACTTTTTTTACAGATCATTTCTTAAAATTCTTTATCTTATATTTCAACGAATGATTAATTACCAATTGTTTTAAGTTCAGAATAACAATAAGTTTTTTTTTTTATATATCTCTATTCTTTTCGGTTTGTTTCAAATATTTAATTGTTAAATATAAATTCAATTTCTAACAAACTCATAGCAGAATCAGCAAGGATGATTTATTCAAAATAAATTTAATCATTGTATTTAACTTACTTAAGTTCTAGAATAACTTATTAAATTATTTTTAGATTTTATTGTCTCTAATTGGCAATAATTTTCATTGTTTTCATAATAGCATTTTATGTTGTTTATATTCTTATTGAAACTTCTTTTCTATTCCATTTATCATTTTGTAAATATTTTTGAAAAGTTAAGTTTCTAAATTCTTTCTCCTGTACTATATATTGATTTTTATCATATATTTTATATTTGTATTGATAAGATACTTAAGGTTATAAAAAAAGATTGCATGAATATTATTAATTATTTTTTTGCATCTTCATCTCGATATTTTTTTTTTTTTCTATAAGTACTATGTAAACGTCCTTCTAAAATTAGGTTGGAATATCTTAAACAGTAAAATAGACTAAAGTTCCTTATTACATGTCAATAGAATAAATTTTTGATGTTAATTAAATTTTTATTTTTAATGAGAAATAAATTTGGTTAAATTAATTTTTTTAATTCTCAAAAATCAATCAATATATATTTATAATTAAATATTAATTAATAGGAATTTTTTATCAAAATAAAAAAATAATGATGTTGATGAAAAGATTTATATTACAAAATAAAATATCATATTGTCTATTTAATAATTAAATATACATTACTCAGTTAAAAAATTAGAAGCAAATTATGAGATCTAAGATTTTTTTATTTTAATAACAAATATTATAAATATATATTATGAATAATAAATAAGAATTGATTAAGTATTTGTTAAATCACTAAGGATGAAATAATAATCAATTAATTCATAATGATTATGATCTCAACTATAAAATCTATAAAATGGTTGCTTATTTTAAATTACATAAAATTAAAAACTAAATGCTTTATGAAAAACTGTGAAATTTTAATTTAAAAAGTTTATATAATTCTTATAATTTTGTGTAAAAGAAAGAGTTGCTAAAATGAACAATAAAAATATGATATTTTAAAAAAATCATCCTCCTTTAGTAAAATAATTTAACTTGAATTCAAACTTTTTATTATTAATAATTATAATTTTAAATGATTTTCTCTTTTATTATGAAAGCTAAAAATAATTAGAATAGACAAATTATTTTTATCATTTAAAATTTGAGAATATATTAATATTGAATATTTTTAGTCATTTACTTTATATATATATATATATTGATTGCCCTTAAAAATGAAAATTTAATTTTTATACAATACTTCTAATATCATATAATAGTATTAATAATATCAAATCATCAAATCAGAAAATTATAAAAATATACTTATTAGAATTGAAATTATATTCTTTAAAGTTATTATAAAATTTAGTTACTTCACATTTTTATGATAATATTGAATTATAATGGTTTCTATTTTCAAAATTATATATAGTACCTTATTATTCAAGCAAAATTTACAATGCTGATTTTTTGATTGAAAATATTATAATATATATTCTTTTATGAATTTTAAAATTTTATATCAATTCATTAATCTATTTTCTTCTTTCTCTTATTTTTCATAAATACTCAACATTAAAGAATTGAAAAATTTTTCAAAAGCTGGATGGATTGTCTGATTTCCTTCCTCTATTGAAGTATCATGTACTGTTAAACTACTTAATGATTTAGCTGAAATATTTAGAAATTCAAATATTACGCAATTTTGATTATCCCTTAATAGCCTTTCCTGTCAAATGATGAGCAAATACAACATTTTGAGCTGCAGGAATACCAGCTTTCTTTGATATTTGATTCACCCACCATTCTAATTCTTATTCATGCTTAGGATTCTCTGCATTATATACACATATAACTCCTTAAGCATCCTTCATTACTGCAGGCCAACAGGAATCATATCTGATTTAATGAATAATAAAAACTTATTATCTCCACTCATATCCCAAAGCTCAACAATTACTTTTTCTGAACCTGGTCTTTTAGGATTCTTAGGTGCCTCTTTTTCAAATTCCAAAATTCTAACTCCAGCTGTTGGTCTATATCCATTTTATGAAATATCTTCTCTATCAGCTATATAATTTGCAAGTCTTGATTTTCCTGATTATTGTGGTCCAATAAGTAAAATTTTGATTGAAGAACCTTTAAACATGTTATTTATTAAAAAATGATAAATATAAATATTTTATATGAAAAAGCGTACATCATCAGCTTTTTCAGAAGCAATCCATATAATGTCAATAGCTAAATTTTTACAAAAATCAACCTATTAACATGATATAAGCCACATAAAAGATTCTTTAACAAAAGATCCATTCTAAAGAAATGATTAAGATATTTAATCTCTATATGAATTCATCTATGTTTACAATTATGTTTAAAGATTAAAATCAAAATATAGTGATTAATTTGTTAAGGAAATATGTAGATACTTATATTACAAATAAGTTTCTTAAAATACTATAATAAATACACATAAAACAGTATTTTTAGTACTAAGTGGTAGAGTTATTGTTACTTATTATGATGATAATGATGATGGAGAAATACAAAATAATTAAAAATCAATTTAATAAGAATTAACTTTTGGTATGTCATTTAATGATTATGGATTATCTGAGAATAAGAAATGTCATGTAAGAGTTATAAGACCAACAGAATTTGCATGTTTGGATTTTAAAATATTTAATGAAATCAATTCTAATTAAAGATCAAATGATACTTATGAGAAATAAAAATTTCTTAAATCTCTTTCTTTTTTTTCTATATTTTCAGATGTAGAAATTAAATACTTTAGTTATCATATGGAATAATCAATAGTATAAAAAAATTCATTTATTTATTAAGAAGATGATGAATCTATAGAATTCTGTTATTTTATAGGTAGAGGAGAAATGGAAATATATAAATAGAATAATTAAAGAAAATAATTTTGTTTAACAAAACTTTTATAGGGAGAATTCTTTGGAGAAGATGGTTTATTTTAACTTAATAAAAGATAATTTTCTGCTAAATGTTCATAGGAAAATACATTATTATATAGAATAAGTTTATTAGAATTTGATAAAAGAATTTGGAAAAAAGAACAAAGAAAATGTTTATTTGAATTATTAAATCAAAAATGGATTTATAGATTTTAGAGATTTTAGGAATTAACATAAACTAATTTAGATAAAGAAATTCTTTCTTAATAAATTAAAAATCTAAGTCAAAAATTGATTTAAGATGAGTAAATTAAAATTGATTTTGAATATATAAACAATCAAAATCAAATATAAACTACATCAACTTAAGAATAATTTATTACTGCTTCATGGTTATTAAAAAGTGCAAATTAAGCATAATAAATTTTATAAAATTTTAAATAAAAAACTTAAACTAAAGATGAAATAAAATAAATTACATCTGTTTCTCCAAAACATCAATAATAATTAGAAAGAATAAAAGCAAAATAAAAAAATACTAAAAATAATTTTAGTAACCGCTAATCAATAATTAAAACTAATCAATCTCCATATAGAATGAGTAGTTTTCATAATAAAGGTTAAGGTAAAGTAACATCAAATATGAACTATTTAAAATTATTTAGTTAAGAAACAGAAAGATTAAATTTAGAATAATAATTAACACAATATTTAGAAAAATTAGGAATCAATAATGAAAATTTATAAGAAATCTAAAAAAAAAGTGGAAGTGCTACTGATAGATATGAAAAAGATAATTAATTTTATTAAACTATGGCAACATATGCTTAATTTCAACTATATAAAAATTTAAATTTATAAGAATCCAAATCTTAACATGTATTATATATATTTCATTATTTTTTAATAGACTAAGAATTTGGAAGAAGAATATTAGTAATTAGTATAAGATTAATAAACCAATATTAAAAAGGCATTTGATTAATTAACTACTAGAAAATCTGATAATATGATTAGAAAAGAGTTTTTTTTAAATAAACTAAAAAAAATGAATAAAAGATTAAAGATTTTAGAATTAATTTAAAAAGGATAATTAGAATGTAAAGCAACTTAAATGGTAAATGAAGAAGGAGAAATTGTAGATATAGATGAACCTATAAAACCAGATGATGCTTATGATATTGTTGATGGTAAAAAAGTAAGAAAATTTAATTTTGTGACTTCTGAAATATTTGAATAATTTGAAAAAAATGTAAATATAAAACTATTTATAGAAATATCATGATTTCAAATAGTAAATTGATTAATAGAAATAAAAAATATAAGTAATTAAAGAAATCGTATCTGGTAAACTACCCATTTCAGCAGCTAATGATGATTATCAACAAAATTAAAATAGAACAAAACCTTCTAATTCTTTTAGACCATCAAGCAGTGTAAAATAAGTTATACCTTTTTATATACTATAATAAAAATAATAATCGAATTCGTACAAATAATAGTAAGCAAATTATTAAGCCTCATCTCTAATAAGTACTCGATTAAAGATGTGAATTAATTACTTTTATTAATAAATATTTCTAGAATAAATAAGTAGAAAATACATATAAAACAAATAAATCAAAAAAATAGTTCTTAAGACTTTCATTCATTAGCCAACTATTCTAATATATGATTAAATTATTAATCAAAGCTTATTTTTGATTAATCTAAAGTTTTCTCTGAAAAACAATAAATTGATAAATCTTAATTATTTATAGTTGAATCAAGAGAAGTTGACAAATCAGATTCACATTATTTTTCTTAAATTTCCTTTTTTTTATTAGTTAGTTTATTCTATTTTTAGTAATTCTTTATATGATATTTTCTAAGTTAGAGCAAAGCTTCTAAATATACATTTTGTTCCGTTTCTCTTTTGTTTACACCAATTTTTTATATTTTCATAGTATTATTTAATTCTAATGAAATTAAATATAAAGATTTATTTTAATTTAAAATGGAATCATCTTTTTTCCATTCTATTGTTAATTTTGGATTTATGTTTAATTCCCCTTTGTATGAATTTAAGTACTCTAAGAAGGATGATTTTGGATTATATTTCCATTATGTTTTTGTTATTTATTCTCCTCTATGTATAAATTTTATAGATACTTATTTAATAATTGTACAACAATTGGATGGATAATATCTCTAAGAGTCTCAAGATCGTTTTGTTTATCATAGTAATGTGCTCCTATTATTGATTTTATACAATCTGATAATACTTTTGGATTATTTCTAAAAATTATAATTAGAATGTGTACTTTAATGATTTTTAGTTTCCAACATTTAAAAGATTTTAAATATTTAATAGAATAGCTATCTCTGAAAGGTATTTATCATTTATTAGCTTCTACCTTAATTAAATTATATCACTTGGTTTTTTAAATTGACTTTATTGATTTGGAAACCTTAGATAAAATTAATAGAAATACCCTTAGAGCAACATATAGTCATAAAAATAGAACTCTAGTAACTATTACCCGCCTATAGTAAAGTCCTCATTATTGCCATATTAATAAGGTTATCCAGTCTTCTAAAGGTATTCCATTTCATGAATTTTATTAGTTAAAGCTTAAACTAAAAGTTTTGTATTCTTGAATTCTAGTAGTTGGTTGAACATTTGTAATTAAATTTATAATAATATACAATAAATCATAAAAGCTTAAAGTATTTCTACCATTGTACAATATTTAAGATAATTTACATAAATATTTTTTTACATTTTTTCAGATTTAAATAAGAAATTAAATGAAATATAATAATTTTATAATGTAGAGAACACAATCTAGTTTGAGCAGTTCACTTTGCATATGCTGATAATTTTATTTTTATTAAATGTTAATATATTTTCAATAAAAATAATTTGTAATTATTATAAATCATGAGCCTATTTTATAAATACAATATATTTTCAATAGAAAATATTTATAAAATTATAGAAAATTTGTACATTATCAAAAGAGTTTGATTAATAATTGGATGAAAGAAGAATTTAGCATGACTTATAAAGAGCTTTCAAAAGTCAAATAGAAATTTAATATATGCTCAGTCAATTTAAATTCTTGTATTTTTTTATTATATTTAATACGATATAGCTGACATATTTATATTTCAAACTGCCTATTAATCGGGACATCCATGAAAGTATTTAAGAGAGGTTGGATTTCGCTTATTACATTATAAAATACTGTTTTGATTGAGAAGGGATACTTTTTAATTAAAAAAGAAACTTATAGAAAATAACGATTTACTCTCAATTCTATATTAATTAAGCTAATATAAAAATAATTTCCTTAAAATTATATTAAAAATATCTTCCAGAATATATATTATAAAATTCTTCATTAAATAGTCAGCATGAAAGAATGATATTGATTTAAGTTGAATTGCAAATATAAAACTTAATTCAGCAAGAAATATAACAACGATTTAATGTTTTGAGTTAAATTTATTATTTAAAATTATACATGTTAAAATTGATTAAGTTGAGTAATATTGGTTTCAATAGAAGAGCAACGATATTACTTGGAGGAATGACTTGTATTGGTCTTTATAGTGCAGGTTATCAAAGATTTAAGAAAGCATAGTTTGCATCTCTTTATGAAAACTTAGAATTAAAATAAGTATTGAAATTGATCAATTTAAGGATTATTAATAAGAATATTTGAAGGGACATGTTTAAAGTGTTAATGGGTTTTGGAATAAGATGATTTAGTATGGAAAATTGTAATTAAGATTTCTGTAATTGATCCTAACTTTTACTCCTCTTGTATTATTTTTTCCTTTCGCCTTACTTTTCAAATCATATTTGTATAAGTATTGGCTAAGACTTTTAATTAAGTCATTAGAGATAGTAAGTTCTTAATATATAAGGCTGGGCCATTATGGATGAAATTGGGATAATGGGCAAGTCATAGGGGAGATGTATTTGGTTATGAAGTAACTTCATAGTTAAGTAAGCTAAGAGATTCAGCAACACCTCACATTTACTACTATACAAAAAAATAGTTTGAAGATGAATTTAAACAAAAGATTGAAGATGTTTTTGATAGTTTTGATAAAAATCCAATAGCATCAGGATCAATTGGTTAAGTTCATATAGCTTATAAAAATGGTGTAAAATATGCAGTAAAGGTTAGACATCCAAGAATAGTAGAGAAATTAGAACTAGATTTAAAAATTTTATATATAATATCAAATATATTGAGTTCAACTCAACAAATATTTAGAAGATTAGCTATGCCAGTAACATTTTAGGAATTTAGTGTAACATTAATGAATTAAGCAGATCTTTCATTTGAAGCAAAGAATCTTCAGATTTTTGAATAAAAATTTAAAGATTCAAAAAATGTCATTTTTCCAAAAATACTAAAAGAATATGTTTCAAAAAGTGTAATAGTTGAAACATTTGAAGAAGGAGTATCATTGTCAGATTTTATGAAATTGGAAAGAACAAGAGAACATAGAGTGGCAGCTAATTTAGGACTAAAAGCATTTTATAAAATGTTAATTTATGATAATTTTATACATGCTGATCTTCATTCTGGAAATATATTAGTAAGAATAAAAGATAATGATACATCTAAATTTGATTAGCTTAAAAATATGTTAGAAGAAGGATTTTATGATTTAGTGGAGTATGCTGCTGAATAGATTGTACCACTATTTGAAAAGTTTGTATTAAAGAAACCATTAAAAGTAAATTATACTATTATTAATAGATTTCAATATTAGAGAAAGAGAAGATATTTGATGAATAACAATTTTGGAACTTCTTGAGGTAGACGAATTATAATTAAAAAAATTTAGATTTAATATTTATAGATCCAGGAATGGTTACTATTTTAAATTAGAATGATAGAATAAATTTTATTAAAATAATTATGTTTGTTGCCTTAAGATAACCTAAAGAATGTGGTCAATTAATGTTAAGTTTGGCATCATATAATACTTAATTAAAGGAAGAAAAGAAATAAAAGTTTTTAAAAGATATAGAAGATTTATTTGGAGAGGTTTGTAATGCCCCTTTAGCTAAAATGGATTTAGGTTTAATTTTTAAAGGTATGCTTGAAATTTTAAGATCTAATGGACTTGCAGTAGAAGGACATTTTGCTACATTATTAACTAATATGATGATATTAGAAGGAATAGGAAAAGAATTAGATCCTAAAATCAATATAGTATCTAAAGCAGCATCTTTTCTTCTGTAAATAAGAACAATAGATAGTACAATAAATGAATTAATGAATATTTCATAATGAAAAGTCGTTTTATAATTTTATTATTAATGAAAGTTATTTTTACATTATTCCTAAGCTTGTTAATTGCTCAATGTGATAAAAATTTGAACTCTAAAATAGAGAGTTTACTATAAACACAATTGGGTCATACACTATTGTCAACAGCATAATTAGCATTGTAAACAAATACACCTTTGGATAGGTAAAGTTGTTATCTACTATAGAATAATAGATACTTTGTAAGATTTAGAAGATAAATATTAAAAAGATCAAAAGGAAGAAGATTAAGAAAACAGAGAGTTTTAATAAAAATGTGATACAGATCTTTCTGATTTGAATACAGAGATTGATGCAATAAATAGAATGAAAGTGAAGATATAAGGAGCTATAGATTAATTGAAAGCTAGTATAGAGTATGTTAAATAAAAAATATATTAATTAGATCAAAGAAAAAGATCTTAAATGATAAAAATGCTTTGAGAAAGAACTTAAAAAAAGGAATGAATGAAGTAGATGTTATAAGAGAATATTAAGAGAAAATTTATGAAGAAAAGAGAGGAGAAGTAGGAAAAATAATAAAAACATTAGAAGAAGTCAAATTGGTATATGCAACAAAATTAAGAACAAATTTTTTGGAATTATAAACTGAAAAAACAAAAGTATAACCAGAAGTCTTTGCAGAAGTAACTAAACAATTAGTTAGTTTTGGTAAGTTCAAATCTATTGGAAAACCATTCTAAAATATAATAGACTTTATGATTCAAATGAGTAAGAATGGAAACAATATAGGTGTTTTAAGGAACATTATAGATTTGAGTGAATCTTTAATTAGATAAATAGATGAAATCTGGTAAGTTGAAAGAAAGGCAGAAGAGGAAAGAGTAAGATGGTATGCAGAATATTAAAAATTTATGAATACAGATTTCAAAATTTATGATAAGGAAATAGGGGAATTAGAAGCATAATTACAATCATTAAAAGATAGATTGGCAGAAAATGAAAAAAAGATGGATGATTTAAATATTAGACTTGAATCTAAGGAATATACTAAAGAAGATAGAAGAAATGAATGTTAATAGGCTGCATATGATTATACATAAAGAAGGACATCAAGATAAGAAGATCGTAATATAGTTTCTGAAGTGGTTGGATTGCTTAATGTGAATATGAGAGATCTGAAGGAAACTCTTGCTTAGAAAATGGCTGCTGGAGATCATATTTGATGAAATTTACAGCATATATCATATTAATTTCATCTTCCTCATAACCATCATGAATTCATCTTTACTAACTTTACCATCTTAATCAAGATCAGCAGCATAAATCATGTCTTTTAATGTTTATTCATCACATTCTTCTCCTAAATCAGCTGCAACTCTTCTTAATTTTTCTAAATCAATAGCACCCTATAAAATATAATATTAGATTACTTCATTATCATCATCAAAATAGTTAAATGCTTTTTCTATTTCTACTTCAACATTCTTATCTTCCAACATTTTCTTTTTCATCATTTCAACAAATTCTTAAAATTCAATAGTTCCAGATCCATCTCTATCTATTTATTCAACCATCTTTTAAACTTCTTCTTTAGATGCATTGAAACCAAGTGCCTAATAAAATGAAATCTTTATTATTTACTTTCATTGCATTTCTTAATTCTGATTCATCAATTGATCCTGATTTATCTGTATCAAACAATGTAAATGCTTATTATAAAACATCTATTTGTTCTTTTGTCAATTTTGTTCTTTTAGATTTCTTATTATTCTACATTTGCACTAATTATTTAATAATTAATATATAAAATATTAAATATTTATTTCAAGTTCTTATGATATGTTCAATCTATGAATTAGTTATGATTGATTTATAATATCCATTTAAAATTAAATATAAAAGATCTGATTTTTCATAATTTATTATTTTATTATTACCACAATATTAATTTAATGTAATAAACTACATCAATTAGTAAAAGGATTGCTATTTAATTTCATAACGTATAAATGACATACATATATAAAAAAAGATAAAAGGAATTTACAAAAAGGATCCTTCAGCATAAGAAGTAGAAGGATAAAAAGAATTCTAAGAATATGTCTAATATTTAATAGAAAGAGGAATGAAAATAAATAATTTACAAATGGCTTAATTTAAAACAAGAAATAATTTACCTTATTTGGGATTACAAAGTAACTTTTCTATAAGCAATTTGGTTAGCTATAGAAAAGATAGAAAATGATTCAATTCTTGTATCAGTACCAAAAGAATTAATGTTGACCACAAAAATTGCTTATTTTTCAGATATTCAAGAAATCTTTGATGCTTATCCATAATTTTTTTGTTTGTATTGTGCAGGAGGATGGCAGGATAGAATATTACTCACTTATATATTATATTAATCATAATTAGGAAGGTAATTGATTTTAATTTAAATATTTAGATAATCGTAATGGTATCATTTAATATCTAATTTACCAAGAGATATTGATTACTTAATATTTTGGTCTGATGAGGAATTAAAATTATTAAATGATGAAAAACTTGTATAGAAATCAAAAAGAGAATTATAAGATTTCTTATTAATTTAAAAGACATTAACACATATTTTAGATTAATATCCTTAACATTTTAAAAAAGAAACATATAGTTTTGATAATATTAAATGGATTTTTATACATTTGGTAAGTAGATGTTTTGGATCAACTTTAGAATAAGTTGCATTTGTTCCATTTTGTGAAATGTTTAATCATGAGAATACTGATGTGAAATACAAAGGTTTATATTTAGAAAATAACATAAATAAACCCAAAGAGGATAAATAATAAGATACTAACCAATCTGATGAATCAGATGGTGATAGTGATTCATATGAGTAAGAAGATTATTAATATCCAATTGAAATTTTGTAACAAATCAAAAATTAAAAGTAGAAAACACCAACTTATAAACTAATTGAACAAGAATTAATTTAGTATTAAAATTAAGTGAACTTTCAAGATCCTAATGCAATTGAAAAATTGAGACTTTACTAAGAAAAATGTAATACCAGAATTGATTTATAAATCTAATATCTGAAAAACAAAAGATGGTTTTAAGAAAACTTAAATCTAAGAGATAATTTTACCATCATTTTTGTCTCTAAGAGTTTGGAGTATATTTAGGAATAAATTAAATTATATGAAACAGAGGTATTGTCATATGATTAGTTGTCATCTATTCTATAATCAGTAGAAGAAAAATCAGAATTATATTTAGAATATGTTAAAGATTATGCTTGTGAAAAACTCAAAGAGAAAAGTTATTAATTAAAATAATTTGAAATTCCAGAATAAACATAAGCTATTGAAACTGTTAAGGAAATGTTATAGATTGCTATTCCTGAAAATATTAAACCTTTTGAAGCTAAAGAAGATTGGAAAGAAGATTTATTTGATAATTTTGTTATTAAGTGTTCAAACAAAGATGAATTTGAAAAAGGTGCTTAAGCATACTTTTCATATGGTAAAATTTCAAATAGATCTTTATTATTAAGATATGGATTCACTTTAGAATACAATATCTATGATTATGTGGAAGTTAAAACTTAATATATTTAATATATACCATTTGCCAGTGATATTGCATAAGTAACTATATATATATATATATTTAGTACTTCTAATTATCGAAATATAAGAAATTTAAAATTAAATATACTAAAATTAATGATGATTTATTGATGTATTTTAAAATTTTAAATTGGTAATATGATTAAGGCATTTCATATTTATTTGATGATATTTATGATACAACAGTTATTGATTAGGCTATCAATTTAATTAAATCATATCACAATGAACATTTTAAGGAAACTTTAAAATATCAATAAGAGAAACTTAAAGATTCAAATTTAAATTATCATGATTATTTTGCCTTAATTTATCATGTTGAACGATAAAGAATTATAGAAGCTTAATTAGAAGCATTACAAATGTTGAAATGTAAAATAGAGAAAAAGGATTTTGGAAAGTAATAATTTGAATGGACTTCATATTTAATTGAGAAATTCTAAGATTGAAGATCATATAACCATAATGATTATTTTTAATAGAATTATATTATATTTATACTTGATGATACATATTCTTCAAAGAGAAGAAAACTATTATTAGATAAGCAAAGATTTTTAATTTTTAGATACATATTTAAATGATCATTTGATCGAAAGATTTTGAAGCAAATTATTATGCCACTTTTTTACAACTTCATCTTTAATAAAAGATTAAGTTGGATCTTTTAATACTTATGGCAAATATTTTTTAAGAACTTCTCCAGCTCTAAAATAAAATAAAATAAAATAAAATAATTACTTTTGGTTTTCAGATAATCTTAGATAACATCTAATTATATGTCTCAACAATCTTTAATCATCTTTTTAAGATTAATGTAAATCATCTATCATGGTTTGTAAGACTTAGCTTACTGCAAAAAATCTTTCAGGAGTTTAACAGATATAATTGAGACCATTGTCATCGAGAAGGATCTTCTATACAATAAAGGTAGCAACTGTTCTAGAAAGTTCTTATCCTTTTTTCATGATTCTCAAACAAAGTGGAATGATTTCAGTTTGCATTAAAAAATTAATTGCCTCTGGATCATCACCCTTTAAAAATTAAAAAAATCTTATTACTTTCACCAAAGCACCTATCACACCCAAACTTGTAACTCTTAAGTTTTCAAAAGCTTTGCTCTTATTACTAGTGTTTAGAAATGGATATAAAAATAATGGAATATGAGCTATATTCAAATTTAATATTACCTCTTAAGAAGCAAGATCTTGTTTATACATGTAGAGCAAGACATTAAAGTAATCCCAAAACACTACAGATTCTAGATGATTAAGCTGGTGTAAGTTAGGCTGGTTGTAAATGTTGATATACAACTGCTATTTCTTATAGACTTAAATATTTAAGTTTAAATATATTACAATATAGCTATGGTACCAACAGAGTGCCATAACAGTGGTGCCAAATGAGGAAAGCTTTCTCTTTTTTTTGATAATTCTGATAATGCTTATTCTCTTTTATCTGCATCTCTTAATTAAAGTATATATTGGACCACTAACTCAGTATCTGAATCTTTTTACATCCTACTAAACTGATAAATTTGAACATATTTCATACATCATCAATATTTTATTCTGATAATTGTGTGCTCAAACTTTTTTGAAGACTTGGTGATGGTGAGTATCCTCCAAACATCATTTATTAAGGAGGTGACTTTTATTTGGCTTGAGCTTATTCAAAGTATCGTTTGTCAGCAGGTGAGATACTTACCATACTGTCACTTCGGTAATTTTATGGCACTATGACATATTGATTAGACATTAAGAATTATTAATTATTTTTTTTATTAGAATAAAAGTAACAGTGTCTTAGAACTTATACACTTTAATAGTTTAATTATTTAAAACTAATTTTATTACAAAAACAGTTCAATTCTTAAGTTGATTAAGATTGAACAATAATTATAAAAGTAAAATCTTAACTTAATATATTATTATATTATATAGAATTACAAAATTTCATTTTATAAAATGAACATATTTTAAAATATGTAATTTCTATTATTAATGCAGATTTTAATTATTTTTTATCTTTAAGCTAAAATTGAGTTATCTATTCTCAGTATTCAATATCAATTGTTATTGTAATGCTATATTGAAATTTACAATTCATTCATTTTTACAAATCAATTCTGAAATTTATGAAAAAAAATATAAACTAAAAAAGGACCTCAATTTATAATAAGATAGGTTCATAATCATAAACTGATAATAATATATTCGTTTATCAAGATTCAGTACTAAAATATCGGTAAAGAGGCCAGTTTATATAAAGAATTAAAATAAAAGTTTTGAAATAACTGAATTCTTTATGTTTATAGAGAATCATCACATTGATTAAGTAAATCAAAATTAAATTTATAGGGAGAATGTCTAATTCTGAATTGATACAGCCTCGAAGAAAAGCTTGGAGTATGTTAGAAGATCAAATGCTTCAAGACTTGAGGTAGAGGAAAAGTCTTGATTGGATTGAAGTAGCAAGACGAATAGGTGGAAGAAATCCATCTTAATGTGCTTAGAGATGGAAGAGAATTAAGGGATTTAAGTTGAGGAGATAATGGACATAGGAGGAGGATGAAAAACTAAAGAATTTAGTAAAAGAATATGGATATCATTGGAGCAAAATCAGTAAATTATTACCAAATCGTTCTGGAAAATAAATAAGAGAACACTATCTCAATTAATTGCATCCTGAATTGAATAATGAACCTTGGAGCAAAGAAGAAGATGAAAAAATAATTGAAATCTATAATAATGTTGGAGGAAAATGGAGTGTTGTATAAAAAGAGCTTCAAGGTAGATCAGAAAACAGTATTAAAAACAGGTTCTATTCATACTTACGAAATAAATATCTCAATATAAAGAATCCTTATTATGTTGTTCCAAAAAAAGAACAATTGAATTTAATAAAAACTGAACAAAAGCTCAGTTCAATTGTTTCAGTATAATCATAAGAATAATCGCCTTCAATAAGTATAAGTCCAACTTAATAATATCTAATACCAATTAATATGCCAGGCATACCATCAATAAGTTCAGTATATTGTTATCCTCAATTCTCACTATGCTATCCTTATTACTAGTTTGCTCAACCTCAATATTTCTTTTAATGCATATCGAATGCTATCCAATAATGATTAAAGATTTAATATTATTTATGTTCATCGAGTGTTACCTTATAAATAATAAATTAATTTAAGATATCTGTATTATTATCATAATTTAATTATATATCAAATAAGATCCAATAAATTATGATATTATTTGCAATTCAGTAATTATATTATCATAAATTAATTACCATTACATAATCTTCAGTAAAAATATTCATATTATAAAAATGATAAAATTATATTAATTATGATATAATTGCTTATAAATTATTTAGATAATCATTTTTTCATTTGTTTAAATCCTAATTAGAAGATCAAGTCTTCAGAATTTTGATTTTTCAAAAATGCTTCACCAAACATTAAAATTCCTACTTTAAATATAAAATTCACAATTTCCTTTTCTATTTCTTAACCTTATGATACAACAGTTAGAAACATAAAGAAATCTTATATAGATGAACATTATGGATAATGATCAAATTGAAATACTAATCCTTAAAATTTTAGGTTTATGTATTCTTTAATTCTTTTTACTTAAAAAAGATCAAAACAAACTTATTAAACTATTTTTAAATATTTAATAGGATATTTTTCTTTTATCTATTGAATAATATTGGGATTAGATAATGTATATGTTGTAAGATCTGTTAGATTTTTTGATGTTTTCACAGTTTTAATTATAGTTTTAATTTCATTAAAGTTATCATCCATTTTCCATTGTTAATTATATTATACTAATCTTTAATCCATAGGAATATTGTGAGATTTCAAATTATTTTAATATTCTTTTTAATTTAAAGGTGGATGATATTGTACTAATATTTCTTCATCTTTTTCTATATTTTTAGCACTGACAACAATTAATAATTCTCCTAAAAAGTAATAAAATATATTTGGAGTTAAACTATGATTAACTTAAGATAATGTGAACCATAATCCTTCACTCTAATCTAAATATTTAATTTATTTATTCTTTGTGAATACTTTCAATAATTGAAATGCATGTGCATTATATCTAAATATATTTTCAATTCTATTAATATCAACAATATAATTTTAGAGTTAATATTCGAAATCCTATTTTATCAGCTTAACAGCATAATTATTAGATCCATCATACAATTTAAATAATCTTTCAGCAAATTATTTATCATTAATTGCCTTTTATCTAATCTCTTCATAAATATTATCCCTTTAATGTGTACCAAGTGTTTAATTTTCCTATATTTTATGCATTGGATGTTCAACTATTAAAACTGTTCCTTTAGGAATAGGTTAATTAACAAATAATCCTAATCCACCTAAATTACTTTTCTTTCTTTCTATACTTTTGTGTCTATAGTTATTTATATTTTCAAAGTAAAATTATTGTTAATTTACGAATTAATTTAGTATTGAAATTAGATCAATATTACCAGATTGATGTTTAATCATTAATTCACATTCAACTAATTTGAATACTATATCTTTATCTGTTTTATTATTTGGAAGTGACTCAAATAATTTCTTGGCATCATTTGGATTCTGCAATTTAAGATAACATAATGCTTACCTTTAAATTGCCTTCTCATTTTAAGGGTTTAGTTTTAAAACTTAATTAAGGTCATCAATAGACTCTTAGATATAACCTAATTGATATAAACATTAGGCCCTATTATTGTAACATTATTCTAATATTAAATTTGTTTTATTAATATGATCATATATAATAACCATAGAATAGACTTCATAAGCTAATCGATATTATTATAATTTAAAATATTGATTTCCTTTTTCTTTAAGCTAAATTGGTTCTGTTTAATCAGTTTCTGAATTAATCATGGCTTAATATGTGAATTCATTAATAGCAATAACATCTAATTAATCTTAAATAATTATTCCAAATTCCATTAGTATTGGATTTTTGACAATTAACCAATCATTAATTTAGTAATTGCATGATTTATTTTATTCCATAATTGTTAAATTGAGCCATATTTCATTAAAATCTCTAACAATTAAATATTGATTGCTATTTTTCCAATCAATCTAATATACTTAGACAATAATGTATTAATTATTCATATTTTTATTTTCCATTAATTCTTCAACATCTATTAGTTTCATTTCTGATATAGGTAATTTTGGTGTTTTTTCTATTTTTTGAAGAGGAGGATCATATTTTTAAGAATGTATTGTAATTACATGAGCTGGGATATTTGCCATAAAGACTATTCTCGAATTAGTAATTTTATTATTAAGTGAAAATAATACAATTAATTTAATAATTAGAAAAATTGTATAAATATTAATTGTTTATTATATTATATACATTTAAATAATTAAATTATATACTATAAATATATATATGATACAAATAAATAATATTATATTTAAAATTTAGGAACATATATTTATCTAAACACTATATTCTTTATTTACATTAAATAAAATATCTTATTGATGAATAGAATCCAACATCTTAGTACTTAAGTAAATAATTGTACTCCTGTCCCAACAAAAAGTGATAATGATGTAGTCATTTGTGGAGCTGTAAGAACTCCTTTGACTAAAGCTAAAAAAGGCTTACTTAGAGATACTCCTCCAGAAGTATTACTGAGTACTGCATTCACAGGATTGTTATAGAGAACAAAGGTTGATCCAAAGTTGATCTAAGACATTGTAGTTGGTAATGTCAATCAACCTGGAAGTGGAGCTATAGTATCTAAGATGGCTGCTTTCTTAGCAGGGTTTCCTGATACCACTTGTTTAACAGCTATAAATAGATTCTGTTCTTCAGGAATAGAAGCTTGTGCTGTAATTGCTGCTAAAATTAGAACTGGAATGTTGGATATTGGTATTGGTGCTGGAGTTGAGTAGATGACTATGTATGACATGTAGAGTTAAATGAATGCTGAATTACTAAGTGATGCTATTTTTGATCATCCATGTGCAAGAGATTGTTTATTGGGTATGGGATAAACATCAGAAAATGTGGCTGCTTAATTTGGAATCACTAGATTATAATAAGATAAATTTGCTTATGAATCTTAATAAAAAGCTTATAAAGCTTAATCAGAAGGATTGTATAAAGATGAGATTGTACCAGTTAAGACAACAATTAAAGATGGTGACAAGACAAAAGAGGTTCTTGTGACAGAAGATGATGGAATAAGAAAAGAAACTACACTTGAAGGTTTAGGCAAATTGAAACCTGCCTTTGGTAAGGATGGATCTACAACTGCTGGTAATTCATCATAAGTTACTGATGGTGCAGCTGCTGTATTATTAGCTAGAAGATCTGTAGCCAAAAAATTAGGATTACCTATACTTGGAAGATTTCTTGATTATACAGTTGCTGGTGTACCACCAGGTATTATGGGTATTGGTCCAGCTGCTGCTATTCCTTAATTATTATAAAGAAACTCATTAAAACCAAATGATATTTGCATCTATGAAATTAATGAAGCTTTTGCAAGTCAATCTGTATATTGTGTAGAAAAGATTGGTATTGATCCAACTAGAGTCAATCCAAAAGGTGGTGCTATAGCATTAGGACATCCCTTAGGTAGATCTTTATTTATAATATTTATAGGATGTACAGGAGCTAGATAAGTGGCTACATTATTACCAGAAATGAAAAGAAAGAAGGCTAAATATGGAGTAATTTCTATGTGTATTGCTACTGGTATGGGTGCAGCAGCCTTAATTGAAAATGAATAAAACTGAGTTTATCATTTAATCAAGTTATTTTAAAATTAGATTAAATAAAATTATTACTTGTGTTTCCATAATATAGATAAAAGCACATTACCTATGTTAAATTCTAGCTATTCAACTCCTGTTAAACATATCATACTAACTCCAAAATAGGAACTGATCTGTAATTATAACTTACTAATGAATCATTACTAAGAATTAGAATCCTAATCCTAAATTAATAATCAAGATGATTAATTAAGATATCAAGAACTTATATCTAAAATAGACAAGGTTTTAAATGACATTATTAATAATATTGCTGAACTTCAAAAATCAACTTTAAAAGATTATTCTTCATTCTTATAAGAACTAAGAACTTAAAGAGAAAATTATGGATAAAAGATGGAATATGTTAATAAAAAGTAATAAATCAATTATTTTGATGAAATTGAAAAAAAAGAATAAAACAAACTAAATATGTATTAATCATTATCTAAAAATATTGATACTCATCAATTAATGCCTATAACTTCAACTTTAAAAGAAAATCCTAATACTAAAAACAACCAATCTTCAACATTACCAGTTCAATAAACAAAACACAATTAGTATTATAGTTGCCATAAATAGCTATAAAAGGATTTAGATTAAAATTCAGGTCTTAAATATATTTAACCATAATACTAATCATTATAACCATCATAAATTAGATTTAAAACATCTCCTCCTAAATAACATTTCCCTCATAAAATATTAAAAAGAAAAGAAGTAAACGATATTGATCTTCCTACTTTTACACATAATAATTAATAACAAACATTAAAATCTTTAGATTTATAATAAACTTAATCATCTGTGCCACTTTTCGATTAACATTAATAATAAAATTATAATCATTTTACTTCTCCAGACTAATCATCATTTTAAGATGATTATGATTAATATATTTCTTCAGATTTATCTTAATCAACAAAAAATATGCTTCAATCATAAAATAAAAAGTATCAAAAAAAAAAGATTTTTGATGAAGATTAAAGTGAAAGTTTTTAAAAAAATTAACCTAATTAATTAAACATTAAATCTAATTAATCAAATTTCTATAAATAGAGTATTCCTATCAATCTAAATGTGGTACCAATCAACAATAATATAATACCTATTGATACTAAACCTAAGAGTAATTAATAAGATCAATAGTAAAATTATATAAATGATTTACTTGGTAATTTAGGATATGATTAATTTTATTCATATCTCTGTTAAAGGTATCCTGTATTAAGAATTTTATAAAAATTTTATTAAAGTAAACCTAATTGCAAAGATTATAGAACTTAAAAATAATAGAATTAAGTTTTTGATTTCATGTCATATATATATTGTACATAATGTGATCAATTTATTTCTATTAATTAAGCAAATAATCACACAAATTTTTGTATGAACAATAAAACTAATTAATAAAATAAATAAAATAAGTATTTTGATTATTTTACTTGCTGTAATGGATCAATAAATAATTAAAAAGAAACAAAAGAATAAAAATATAATAGAATAATAAATGATTTGGCAAAAATAAGATATTTAATGGAAATAGAATTGAAATTAAATGAACCAATAACTTAGATTCAATAAAAGCAGTAAGAGTATTGTTGGTTTGCTTTGGAAATATTAAATTTAATAATCGAAAATCCATAGAATTTATCATTAAATTAATAAGTATTGGATTTAATTAGCATCTATTAAGTTTTGGATTAATAATAATGCAATTTTTATTAACAGTTTGTATTCTTATTACAAAAGGCAAATGCGAAATTATAGAAAATAATATGATTAAATTATATATGCTCTTAATCAATATTACTAAACTTCCAATTAAGGCAGTTGAGGATTTAGGATCTCTATTATTTATGTCTCCAATTGTTAGCATTTTTCTGTAAAATTGACAAGCCATGGTATATCTTATTCACCAATTTATTATATAATTAAATTTCTAAGGTGGAATTCAGCTACATTATGAATAACAGCAGTTTGAATCTCTTCATTCTATAAAAATATTTTAAATAATAAATACTTAAGGAATAAATGCAGTTGCTTTGGTATCAACCATTGCTTCTCCAAGATTTTAAGGGTTTATTATTTCTTCTTCAGTGGCTTCATCTTCAACTTATTTTTCAACTCTTGTTTTTCCTGATTTTGGATGAAATCGTAATGTTTCCATTCCTGGCAATAATTTAACAAGGCATGGAATCTTTTGAAAATCTACTTAACCTTTAATTTTTGACCATTTGATCTTAGGTCTATTTTCAAAGAGACTTTTAATAACCAAATCAATAATTTGATTAATATTTTAAAGAAATCCAAATTATGACCAATGCTATTATAAACTATAGATAATATTTGATTTGATAGCATTTTCTATTCCTTACGTTAACTATTCTGGTAAGTTGGCTAATGTCAATTCAGCTAAAATTTTAATTAATATATGATACGTTCAATATCAGCTAACATTTAATCAATTTGATCTCTTAATCCAACTTCAATTATGGTTCCTTCTGGTAATGCAGCTATTGAATTTGAAATTAATTCAGATATATCTTCAATTGTTTCTCCAACTTATTGTAAAGCATTAATAATTATAACAAATTAACCAATAATACCTCCCAAATAACCAATAGTATTAGTTCCTTGATAATATCCATCGATATCTGATATTAGATTAAACCATTCTTTTTCTTCTCCTTTAGATATTAATTATTCTTGAATTGTCTCTTTTAATTTCTATCTTCTTTCCTTTTCCAATCTAATTTTTCTTCTCTCTCTTCTTTATCTATCAGCCTCTTCTTTTGCTATTCTCTATCTTTCTCTTTCATCTAATATTGATTATCTTCGATTTCTTTCTAAAGATAATGTATTTGTATGTAATTAAAACATTTTATCATCAATATTATCTAACATTTAGTTATATTCAACAAGGATATAATTAGAATTTTATAATTCAGTTGTTACATCCTAATAAATCCAAGGTAAATATTCAGATACTAATTATATTTCTACAGGATCTCTAAAATATCCACTAAGTTCCAATTATTATAATGCTAAATTAACACATTTTGATAGATATTTCTTAGCTGATGCTCTACTGACTAATTTTTCATGTGTCTTTATATCCCTTTATTTTTAATTATGGAATTGTTATTTTAATTTAATATTCTCATTATATAACTGTTATTCTTTCTTTTCTAACCTTTCTTATTCAGCCATTTCCATTTGCTTTAATTTCTAATAATGCTCTTACTTCTCCTTCATCTCTCTAAGCTCCTCTTCTTATAATACTTCCATTCTACTTAAATCCAAAGTTTTCCTTACTAATACTTAGAGAATTGGTTCAGCTTCATATTCAAAATTAAACAGTTCTCCATCATCCCACACTTGAGTTTCTTCATCAATTCCTGTCTTCTCTTTCATGTACAATCTTGGTACAACTTTCTCGATTATGAATTCTGTTTGAGTTTCTTTGAGATGTCTAGGTGGTTTATCAGTTAACTCTTCAACATTAGGGTCAGTTTGAGTTTCTTCATCATGAATAGTTTCATCTTCCTTCTTCTCAGTCACTACTTTAGTATTTTGAATCCTCTTTATAGTTGTTTACATAGTCGGTTCAGATTTATTCAAAACACTTGAATATGTATTCCCTCTAATGACCCTCTTATCCCACATAATGTTACAAGCCTCCCTATCCTCTCTATATTTCATCTTCTAAACCACTCTAGGTGGAGCATTGAATTCATAATTCTCTTATAATAATTCAGTGGCCATATTAATTATAATATTAATGGATGATCACATTTAATAAGCATGGTAATTTTACAGAAAGTTAGGATCACCTAAATTTATTTGTATCTCCATTAACTTATCATAGGTGCCCCTATGGTTGATTAAAGTGAACTTGCATTTAGAATGATAACTAGAAAATATGGAACAACATTAGCTTACACTCCTATGTTACATAGTAGAATCATGACTGAATCTAAATCATACAAAGAAGAATTCTTTACTACTTGCCCAGAAGACAGACCTTTGTTTGCCTAATTATGTGGACATGATCCCCAATTCTTAATTAAAGCAGCATAAATGATTTAAGATCAATGTGATGCCATCGATATCAATCTTGGTTGTCCTTAAGGAATTGCAAAGAAAGGCCTTTATGGAGCTTATCTTTTAGAAAAGAGAGAATAAGTTCTGTAAATTCACTCATTTAAATCATAGAACCATTGTGAAAGAGTTAAAATAAAATATTAAAGTTCCAGTTACTTGCAAAATCAGAGTATTCAAAGATCGAAATAGAACTCTTGATTTAGCCAAAGATATTTAATAAGCTGGATGCTCTATTCTTACTGTTCATGGAAGAACTAAAGAGCAAAATAAAGACTTTGTTGGTCAATGCAATTGGACAATTATAGCAGAAATTAAACAACAACTACAAATTCCTGTCTTTGCTAATGGAGGCATATACACTTGGTCTGATGTTGAAAGATGTCTCCAAGAGACTAAAGTAGATGCAGTCATGTCTTCTGAAGCTCTCTTAGAAAATCCTGCTCTTTTTTCTGGTTAAATTAAAGATTTAAATGACTTGGCTTTGGAATATATGTAATTTGCCAAGTAATATGATGCCAGAATAGTTGAGATCAAAGCACATTTATTTAAACTCCTTTATACAGGGTTACAGACACATGTTGGTAATCTAGCAGTTTTATTTTTAGACCAAAGATCTAAGCTAGCTTCTGCAAAAACATATGAAGAGCATTTAGAAGTAGTCATTGAATTAAAAAACAAAAGAGCTGATGTTCCCAAAGAAAATAAATTTGGTTGGTATAAAAGATATTAAAACTTTAAATAACCTTAAGATAAAATAAAGGATGATGAAAAATAGGAAAATATCCTTTAATAGTAGGATTTGTTGTTAATAAATTATGATACATAATGATGGACATATAAAAGTAAATGTGAATGATTGTTTATAAATAAATTAAGTTTTGATAATGAGCGATAATAATTCTGTTTGTTTTTTTTCTAAGTTATAATCTATTCAATCTTGATATTTGAATTTCTACAGCAAATAAAGATAAATTATATTATCAGTTGTATACTTAATCAATTCTTTTTTAAAATAAGAGAAAATAAATTTAAGATAAGGAAGTTAAATTAAAAATTAAGTAGAGAAGTTTACTTATACTATTATTTCTATGAATAATTATATATATAATTTTGTTAATTTTATTAATTATGTCTAGAAACTATTTTAAATAAAAAGTATTGTTGACATTCGGATATAATGGAGCAAATTATCATGGATTATAAATCTAGAAGGGAGTCGAGTTTGAAACTGTAGAATCAAAGCTTTTTCAAGCTCTTAAAGATTCTGTAATAAGAATATTTATGAATAGAATTTAATCATGGAATAGAATGGAAATGATTTATCAAAATCAGGATGGAGTAGGGGAGCAAGAACAGATAAAGGAGTTCATGCTTTATGTAATTCAATTGCAGTTAAATTATGCATAAATAAAGAATTCTTTAAAGATGATATTTAATAAAATGAGGAAGAGGTTTTATCAAAATTAAAGGATAAAGCAAAAGTGGATTATGGTAAAGTATTAAATGTGATAAATTCCAATTTGCCTAATGATATTAAAGTTCATTCAATAAAATTAGTAACTCAGGGATTCGATGTTAGAAAAAATGCAAGATATAGATTCTATGAATATATTGCTCCAGTTTCCATTTATTCAGAGAAAAAAGGAGAAGAAATAATTGAGAAAGTGAATAATTTAGTAAAAAAATTTGTGGGTACTCACAATTTCCACAATTATAGCAGAGGTATGAAATATACTGATCCTTAATCAATGAGATATATATTATCTATTTAAGTGGAATTGTTCAAGTATTAAGACAGGGAATTCTTCAAATTTTTGATTCATGGATAAAGTTTCATTTATCATTAGATTAGAAAGATGATGGGAATTGTTATTTAAATTTTTTAGGAGGAATTGCCTGATACCTTTATTGATAATACTTTTTTCAAAAACTAATTAAGAATAATCTTGGCACCTGCTGAAGGATTGTTCCTAAATCGTATAAGTTTTGAAGGATATAATACAAAATTTGATATTCCATAAAGATTGGAAATAGAGGAGGAAGACTAAATTAAAATTGATTAATTTAGGCCAAGTAATATTAATAGATATGCTTAGCTATTGTTGATTTTATTTGCGAGTAAGAAATTAAAAATTAAACATTTTCTAATTGGTTGAAGATCTTAAAGGAAAAGAATTTCAATATTGAAGAGGAAGAAGAAAATAACAATAAAGCTGAAAATGATGATTGATAATATATTCAAAATGTAGAATAATTTATAACTTCGAATTTTGTCAATAAAATAACTTTGGTTTATTGGTATAAATGTAAGTACAATCTTTTAAGGATGACTTAAATTCTATTTATAATTCCTTATTTAATTTTATGTAAATAAGTTTATAACTTGTGACTAAAATTAAGTCTCATAATTTAGTATCTCTTTATTAGAAATTTTGATCAATATATGAGCTGCTTTAGAAGTATTGCTTTAAGATATTAAGAAATATTTATTATATACATTAATTTATCTTAATGTCTCGATATATTAAAAAAGAGGAAATCCAGAATCATGCATGATTATTTTTTAATTTAGAATGGATTTTTAATTTGTAGAGAATCAATTCTCATCTCTACTTTTTTATGATTTTTCATTTTTAATAATAAAATAATAATATATAAAAATGATTTTAGAAGCATTTGAATTTCTCATTTATGCCCTATATCTAGCTTCAGGTTACTTGATTCCAATTTATATGGCTGCTATAGCTTATGCATCAAATGATAAAACAAAAATGAGTAGATGGTTGATACATTTTTTGCTTATCAATATTTTGAATCATTCTGTGTTTCCAATCTTGGCATTCATTGGATTATGTAATCAAAATTAGTTAAAATAATATAGAAACTTTCAATGACACTCTAGGTATTTGCATATTGATATTGCCAACTTATGTTTCATTTGATACATTAGAACAAATAGTCGAAAATAATTATGTAATATTCATTGATATAAAGTAGAATAACATACTTGCCCCCAAAATGGAAATTCTTAGGTAAAAGTCATATGTAGGATTATAAAAATTAAATTTATTATGATTAGTATTGTTATATATCAAATAAATCCATATTATTGTAATAATGAATCATGCTTCTGATGATTAATCTTATGAAATACCAAAATAATATATTATATTGATATGAAATTTTGCTAAATGAACTATTTTTTTTCTTTAAATTTTATATATTCTCAAAAAAAAAAGACATTTGAGGATTTTCGAAATTTCAATCAATTATAAATTAGACATAGATAATGTACTTGTTGAATAAATTTGGGTTGAAGGAACTTAAGAGAGAATGAGATCTAAAAGTAAGGTATACAAGCAGTAAAGATTTTACTTTTATAAAGGTCCAATCAGATTATTATTATCAATACTAAATACTTGTAATTAATTTTAAAGACTTATTTAAAGGCATTCCACTTGTTCTGGTACATATCAGCCTGATATCAGCTGGATAATTTTTTATTTTCTGATCATATTTTAGAATTAAGAAATGAATTTATATTTTATTTATATTGATAAAAGCTTTGACTCTTCATTTCTTTACTAAAATTTAGAGTTGGTTAAAACTCTTTACCCTCTAAGAATTTCTGAAAGCACATTATTTTTAGATATAATAGGAATTTACTGAAATATTTCTTTTAGTTTCATTAATTATGATCTTTTGCTACCCAAATGTATTTATTTGTTATTTATTGCAAATGAGTAAGCCCTTATTAAAATAATTAGATCAGTTTAGCGGAAATATAAATTTAATTTCACAATTTTGCTATTTTTAAAACTACAGGCAAATAAAATCTTTAAATAATAGAATGAAAATAAAAATTATAATTTAATAACAGTCCTGTTATTTATCTTAGTAAATTTTCATTTACTCAATTTTTAACATTAAACCTTCTGATTATTTGCATTAAAAATTTCTAAATTAATCCATAATTTTTTTTCTTTAAATAGCAATTTATTAATCTAAGAATTTTATTTTCATTATATGATTAATTTTTCTTAATATATTATTATTATTATTATTATTATTATTATTATTATTATTATTATTATTATTATTATTATTATTATTATTATTATTATTATTATTATTATTATTATTATTATTATTATTATTATTATTATTATTATTATTATTATTATTATTATTATTATTATTATTATTATTATTATTATTATTATTATTATTATTATTATTATTATTATTATTATTATTATTATTATTATTATTATTATTATTATTATTATTATTATTATTATTATTATTATTATTATTATTATTATTATTATTATTATTATTATTATTATTATTATTATTATTATTATTATTATTATTATTATTATTATTATTATTATTATTATTATTATTATTATTATTATTATTATTATTATTATTATTATTATTATTATTATTATTATTATTATTATTATTATTATTATTATTATTATTATTATTATTATTATTATTATTATTATTATTATTATTATTATTATTATTATTATTATTATTATTATTATTATTATTATTATTATTATTATTATTATTATTATTATTATTATTATTATTATTATTATTATTATTATTATTAAGAAATGATGGATTAAAAAGTAAGTTTACTAATTTACTTCCAATAAGCTTCCTGATATGGTAATTTTAATTAAAGTTTTGAATTACATATCCCTTAACTATAGATATTCGAAGCCTCTATCATAAAATTAATTTAACGGACCCACACTAGAAGATCTGTATATTCTATTTCAATAATTAGAAGGCTGAGAGATTTAAACAACAAATTATCCAGAATAAAAAGGCTCAGATTTTAAAGCAACAAAAGTATAAAGACTGTAAAAAAAGTCTATACAATAAATCATCAAATTGAAAAAACATAAACTATCATAGAAGAAGACACAAAGAGACATACTAGTAAATGATTATTTATTATTATAAAGTTTAATATAATGAGATTATTCAAGTAAAATATCGAACTACAATTTTAAAGCTTCTAAAAAAAAGATCAAAGAGAATAAATAATCAAATAATCCTAATAGAATATTTGATCTTAAGCAATTTTTTATCGCAATGTGTGATTTATTAATACATGATTATGAAATTTGTGTTGATATGCAACAGACGCTGATATATTAAACCGAAATTTTATTGATAGTTCAATAAATTAATATCATAGATTTATTATTAGTTTTTTAATTTATCACAATATGCATTAATGGCCACAAAGATGATAATTAAAAACCCAGAGCTAAAACAATTAAAATAAATCTTAAATTTTGAGCCTCATCTAAGTCTAGAAAAATAGAGAAATTTAAGTTATGGTATTATTTAAAATTTCAATCTCGATTAAAAACAAAGAATATGGTTTATGAAAAAGTATTCGAAGTTTTAATGATAGATCAAAATATCTAAATGTTTGATCAAGATTTTATTATAAAAAAAATAATATAAAAGACTATTTAGTTAAGTGTAAAAAAATATCGAACAAAATAGTATATGAACTCAAAAACTTATTTTAATATAAATCGCAACTGTATATAGAATAGTTTCCGAAAACTCTTCACATAAGTAAGATTATTATTCTGAATATCCTTAGAGTGTATAATGAAAGTTGATCAAATCATTTTAGATTATATTCTAAAGTAAAAGATAAAAATAATAAATTTATTTAAAGCTAATTTACTTTCTTATATGCTATAGAGGAATTTTCAGAATGAATAAAATCCCTCTTGAGTTGAAATTTTAGCAAAGCAGTTCATAATCTTCTTGAAATATATTCATTAATCCAAAATTTGGAATGAAATTTATAACTTGGGATTAATCTTCTATCATATATATCATAGAATTAGAGTGAAGAATATTTCGTTTATAAATATAAGAATTCAAAAAGTTAATTCGTAAATATGTTTCTGATTATTTATAAAGAAATATTTTAAGTAATTTAATCATTTCTAAAAACAAATAAAATTTTTAACAAAATATTTTAAATCTAAGATTATTTAGAAAATAATATTTTATTAAGCATAATATAATAAACTATCAATCTGAATCATCAAAAGTAATCAAATTATCCAATTCTAATCTACATGCATTCTAAATTCCACTTTAGATTGTTGTGTTATTCAAAGGTGCAATTTAATTTTCTACATAAATTATAGAGCAAACATAGTTGATAAAATAATTTTCTTGGAGTTTTTTTTTTTCTTAATCATTTAAATAGTCTAAATTTAAACTAAATATTGTAAAGGAACTATCGCTATCTGTAATTATTCGATTTGAAAGATTAATTATTTAAGTTTTTGATTAATTGTTAAATGATAGTTCATGTTCAGTGTTTCGAATTTCTATTTTAGACTAAGAGTTAACTTAATATCGATGAATAAGATATTTTTATCTATTTTATCTATTTTATTATTTATTATTATTTTAATTTTATCTTATTAGTTAATTACCAACTTAATTTATTTTTTAAGGTTCTTTGCCTTTTTAGAAACAAGTTTACTTCGTAAGTTTATTAACTTCACTTTTATTTATAATTTCAGTTTTTTAATTTTATTAATTTATATTAGTTCCATCAATAGGCATATCAAAACCATTTGTAGATATTATTTTAGTGTTTTAATTTTATTAATTTATATTAGTTCCATCAATAGGCATATCAAAACCATTTGTAGATATTATTTTAGTGTTTTAATTTTATTAATTTATATTAGTTCCATCAATAGGCATATCAAAACCATTTGTAGATATTATTTTAGTGTTTTAATTTTATTAATTTATATTAGTTCCATCAATAGGCATATCAAAACCATTTGTAGATATTATTTTAGTGTTTTAATTTTATTAATTTATATTAGTTCCATCAATAGGCATATCAAAACCATTTGTAGATATTATTTTAGTGTTTTAATTTTATTAATTTATATTAGTTCCATCAATAGGCATATCAAAACCATTTGTAGATATTATTTTAGTGTTTTAATTTTATTAATTTATATTAGTTCCATCAATAGGCATATCAAAACCATTTGTAGATATTATTTTAGTGTTTTAATTTTATTAATTTATATTAGTTCCATCAATAGGCATATCAAAACCATTTGTAGATATTATTTTAGTGTTTTAATTTTATTAATTTATATTAGTTCCATCAATAGGCATATCAAAACCATTTGTAGATATTATTTTAGTGTTTTAATTTTATTAATTTATATTAGTTCCATCAATAGGCATATCAAAACCATTTGTAGATATTATTTTAGTGTTTTAATTTTATTAATTTATATTAGTTCCATCAATAGGCATATCAAAACCATTTGTAGATATTATTTTAGTGTTTTAATTTTATTAATTTATATTAGTTCCATCAATAGGCATATCAAAACCATTTGTAGATATTATTTTAGTGTTTTAATTTTATTAATTTATATTAGTTCCATCAATAGGCATATCAAAACCATTTGTAGATATTATTTTAGTGTTTTAATTTTATTAATTTATATTAGTTCCATCAATAGGCATATCAAAACCATTTGTAGATATTATTTTAGTGTTTTAATTTTATTAATTTATATTAGTTCCATCAATAGGCATATCAAAACCATTTGTAGATATTATTTTAGTGTTTTAATTTTATTAATTTATATTAGTTCCATCAATAGGCATATCAAAACCATTTGTAGATATTATTTTAGTGTTTTAATTTTATTAATTTATATTAGTTCCATCAATAGGCATATCAAAACCATTTGTAGATATTATTTTAGTGTTTTAATTTTATTAATTTATATTAGTTCCATCAATAGGCATATCAAAACCATTTGTAGATATTATTTTAGTGTTTTAATTTTATTAATTTATATTAGTTCCATCAATAGGCATATCAAAACCATTTGTAGATATTATTTTAGTGTTTTAATTTTATTAATTTATATTAGTTCCATCAATAGGCATATTAAAACCATTTGTAGATATTATTTTAGTGTTTTAATTTTATTAATTTATATTTGTTCCATCAATAGGGTTTTTAATTTCATTCGTATTTTGTATTTCATTCTTTTAATTTTATTTCTATTAAGTAGTTTGGTCAATTTATTTTTTAAATTCATTTTTATTTTATACATGTGATTTTTTTTAATCTTTATTATCTTTCATTTCATCAATTTGACTGTTATCACTTTTTGTACTTAGTTCATTTGATTATTCTTAAATTTTACAATTCCATACTTAATTTGGAAGCATATTTGTATGGATTTTCTTGTTTTTGTATTATTCATAATCAGGCTCATTCTCACTGTTATATCTATCATCATTTAAATAATATTCTAACATTTCTACTTCTACAAATTTATCAACTTTACCACAAAATCTAACCAGACTCTGACTATTTCTTATCAAGTGTTTAAATAGACTTAAATTTATTAATAGAATTTCTTATTAAATTTTTTATGTATTTATTATTAAAGAACTTTGATGTTCATTATATTTGTTCTCGCAAATAACTATATGCCTTTTTAAATCAAAATTCAGTTATTTTAAAACCTTTAAATTTACTAGTAGGTAAGTATGATCGTTGTTTTATTGATTATTATTTGAGTTTTTAGAAAAATCTATTTAGCTGCATAAAATTTTTGGTAAATGTAATGATTGTTTAATTGATATATTTCCAGAATCGAAACTCAATCTCATACTATTTAATTAATCCATAAGATCTTTATCCGTTTATTTATTGATTGCTATTTTTATTAACAAATCTATGTATTATGATAATACTTATTGTTACTCTTTTTCTAATTTTCCTCTAAAAACCCAACATTCATAATTTTACTTATCGTTTTCAGCCAAAAAATAACTATTTTCGTTTAATTAATTCTTCCTAAAAGCTCGTAAATTTTTTCTTAAAAAAATAAATGTTATTTAAAAAGTTATGTCTTGATTCAGAGAGCGACTTAAGTAATATCCTTTAGGATTGATATTCCTATACGGAGCCCTTTCAATATAGAATTCATATTTTTCAGATTGAAAACAATCTTTTTTTACCTCATATTTTGGTTTCTCTTTTGCATCTGTATCACTATATATAAAGTAATCATTTTTAAATATGACAGATCTTGAATAAAACTTTGATGCTAATATTGAAATAATAGACCTTCCTTATTTTTCAACTTTCATCTATTTCTCAAAGAGTTTCATCCAATCTTAGCATAAAAATATAATTTACATTTTGAGTAATTTAGTTTGTAAACAATTTTTTAATCTGTTTCTATTATCTCTAAATCTTCCATTTTTATTAAATAAAAAATAAAAAAAAGAAATGATTTAGAAATTAAAGGATTTCTAATATATAATATTAAAAAAAATGATCTTCAATTTATCTTGAATTCATATAAATAATTATGCAATTCGAACAAGAATTAGAAATTGAGTCTGAATTTGTTCAAGTTAGACTTAAGCATATAGGAATTTGTTAGAGAAATAAACTCTTTTTTATAATCTCATACCTAATTCTATTTTTATTTATAGGATTGTATATATTTATTTTTCTGATTGCCTTAAACCTTGACATATTATTTTGCTGTAAAGTTAACTTGGACTCTTAATATATGTTTATTTAAATGATTTATATTATAATTTATATGAATTAAATTATCAATAGATTAAATGTATGAAAGTATCATTTGCTTATTGCATAGCAATCAATATATGAATTAGTAAAAAACCTAAAATATTCAAAGGATACTTCACCACAAACATGAAAATGATGTAAAATTTTATGATACTAATGAAGGATATGAAATGCTTAAATAATTATGTTTTAACAAGATTAGAATTTCAATAAAGTTTATAAGTACACAATAAGCCAGGGAATCCTGAAACTACAAATTTAATGTTATTTGTTTTTGAGTTGACATTCCTTTATAATTAATCTTTACCCTAAAATCTTAATACAATTTACCAATATAATATGTAATTTAATTACAATATTGTTTATTTATTTAATGTAAAATTTTTTGAATTATTAGAGCTTTAAATAGTTTTAAGCTATTTTTTTTTTAGATAAAATTCTGAAAAATTCTAAATTTATCCAAGTAATCCATTATTCAGCTATTATAATTATTTTGGTTTTATTTATTTAATAATAATAATAATAATAATAATAATAATAATAATAATAATAATAATAATAATAATAATAATAATAATAATAATAATAATAATAATAATAATAATAATAATAATAATAATAATAATAATAATAATAATAATAATAATAATAATAATAATAATAATAATAATAATAATAATAATAATAATAATAATAATAATAATAATAATAATAATAATAATAATAATAATAATAATAATAATAATAATAATAATAATAATAATAATAATAATAATAATAATAATAATAATAATAATAATAATAATAATAATAATAATAATAATAATAATAATAATAATAATAATAATAATAATAATAATAATAATAATAATAATAATAATAATAATAATAATAATAATAATAATAATAATAATAATAATAATAATAATAATAATAATAATAATAATAATAATAATAATAATAATAATAATAATAATAATAATAATAATAATAATAATAATAATAATAATAATAATAATAATAATAATAATAATAATAATAATAATAATAATAATAATAATAATAATAATAATAATAATAATAATAATAATAATAATAATAATAATAATAATAATAATAATAATAATAATAATAATAATAATAATAATAATAATAATAATAATAATAATAATAATAATAATAATAATAATAATAATAATAATAATCAATAATAAGAGCAATTACATAAAGTTAAGAGCAGACAAAGAGCTAACATAACTTCCCTTTTTTTTATTTAAATATAATAGAGTCTTAAAAGAAGTTAGAGAGTGATTTGAGGGAAACTTCTTATAGCTCTTAAATCTGATTCTTCTTTTTTTATTGTTTATTACACCTTCTAGCTTAGATACTCTTACTTTTAATAAAATCTAATTATTAAATTATAATTTTTATTTTTATGCTTATATTTTTACTAAATTTTTTATCTCTTAATTTCTTTACAATATTATTTTTATTGATTTTACTTTTAACTTTTGTTTTATTTAAGAAGGATATACAATTTAAAATTTACTCATACTTACATTTTTGTTGTTCACTTTTTTTTTTTATCATTATTCATTATTAATTAAAAAATATAATTTTAATTTTCTAATAAATAAGATTAAACCAATTTTTATTAGAAAATATGAATTTGTATATCAATAAAATCATAATAAAAATATAAATTTTTATATCATCACTGCCTGTTTAAACATTACTTTTTTCAGAATTTCAAAAAAAAAAATTTAATTTATTAAATCAACTCCAGGATATCTATCTTATAAAGATAATAAATTTTAGTTCATTTATAATCTTATTTTCCCATTTTTTCTTATCAATCCAGTTTAGTAATTTTGAGTTTGTGAATTTGACAGATGAATTCAACTATTATCTTGTATACATGCTTTCTTAAATGATATGAATGCCTATTATCAAGATAGTAGATCCAAATGAAAACAATTTGGATCTTTAGTACTTCAAGAGTAGATTAACCTTGAAAACCATATGATTTATTTTCCTTTAAATTATAATAAAGATTTTTAAGAAGTGATGATAACATTAAAAAAATTACTTATTGATTGTCTCATTAGATACCATTTAACTAAATAGTTTTTGTTCTAAATTAAAAAAGTGTATCTTCAACTCATTTTTGAGTTAAATTAAAATCCTCTTTATAGTAAAAGAATTGATTCTAAGAGCCATCCTTAATTATCAAGTGAAGTCATTTTTGATGTCGCTTTATTTAAAAATAACTTATGTAGATCAGCTTAAATAATTATTTGTTGTTTTGCCCAAGTAATCAAGAGGCATTACATTTTGAAATTTTTATTAAATATATCTTATATTTTAAATATATTCATCATTAATAAAAATTACTCGTTTTTGGAGGAGTTAATAAATACGGATGAATTTATGTATTCTCTTATTAAATAGGACGGCTTTATTCCTACTTGAATGATCCTTATTTAACTGGATACTATTTTGGAGGCTCAATAGGAGGTTCTGCACTTGTCATAGGCATCAAAGTTTGATTTTATTATGTCTGTATAAATTAATTATAAATTGGCTATATTGGTTCATTTGGAGGATATTAAGGATGATTTCTTGATACTTACTTCATAACTGGGACTTTTTTTAAAGAGACAAACTTAGCCAAATCAATATTTAACTCGTACAATGCACTTTAATCTAAGATGATTTCAGGAACGCATTTATTGAACTGCTTCATAAATTAATTAGATTCATGATAATATTCCTCATTTTCTTGAGGAAGATTAGATGTGTAATATTTTACAAGAGTCTTTACACATCTATCTGTATTCAGTTTTTCCAAGAGACTCATTAATGTCTTCCATCTTTATTACAAGTATTTACTAAAGTTCTAAGATTGATTAGTCATAAATCCTCTATTTCCTTCTATTTCTTAAGCTAATTCTGCTTCCAAGGTGTTAAAGAAATTATCAATTACTTAATAGCATTATTATCTTGCTTATTTAACTTTATCCATATAATAATTAATCCCTTCATTTAATGCTGTTACTTTATTCAATTATCCCATTTCATCTACAAATCTATTACAATTGGCAGCCACAGATTGATACACTTCTGTTAAACAGTTCTCTAGAGTATCAAAATCTCCATATGTATTGTATGCTTGATGTTCTTGAGAATGGATCTTAACACACTAATTTAATTATATAATTCTATACTTGTGGACATAAGGGCATTTAGCAAGTTTAACATCTACAAAACATAGTTATATATTGATCAACATGATAATGACAATTTACTTTAGGCATGCTTTCATAACTAAATTAATAATTTGGAGCAATTTTTTATGGAAAATTATTAGAACTAACATAACCTTTCTAAAAAAATGTCGATTATTGAAGTTGCTATGACTTATTAGGTGTTAAATTGAATAATCTATTTTCTTTCTTTTGAGAAGCCATTTTAAAAAAATATAATTTAACGAAAAAATAATAATAAAATAATCGAAACTAAATTAGTTTTATAAATTTAAGGATAAGAGTTAGTTATTATCATATTGTAGTGTAATTTTCAAAATGTAATTTTAATTTAAATTGTGAGGAGAATTAATATTGTTAGTAATATGTATAATTTCTTTAAAACTATAGATTAATTTGGAATTGAATAAAAGCTGTCTATACCATCAATAAATCCTACTTAAAGAAGTGCCATAGGAGGAGTAGCCACCTTAACATTATATGGAATAAGCTTTGCATACTTCCTTTATGAATTTATAGATTGGTAGTAAAATAATAAACTTCCAAAAATCACATCTTTGCAAAAATAAATTAATTAAGCTGAAAATGTTTAAGTATAAGATGTATTTGCTGAGATATCTCACTTTGCTTTTACTGAAAACAAAATTGATCCCTTCGATCCATAAAATTTAATTTTCTATCCTATTTTAACTACATAACCTAATAATAAAGATGAAGTAAAGTTATTTAAATATTTAGAGTAAAATACTTAAGAGTAGATTAGATAATACAGCTTAAGAGAATGGATAGTCATTTAATAAATTTCTTATAGAAAACCCTAATTTTATTGGTTCACCTCCAACGGCTTCTCAGATTCTATATGTAGATTATTAGATTCTATTTGGGTTTTGTGACCCAAATATTTTAGAAGTGGGATAATAATGTGCTGATAAGGAAACGATTTAAAAATATTAAGAACAATAGAACTTTTTACAAATTTAAATCTATATTCAATAATATGACACAAAATAAAAATAACTAATTAAAATACCAAAATTTTACACTCTTGATATTTCTAATGAAAAAATGCAATATTGTTCATTTAATCTATAAGCAAATTAAATTGATGTTGATGATGGATTTCTATTTTCAAATTCAAATCAGTAAATTTTTTTTTCTGATTTTATTATGTTTACTAATACTTATGATATTTTACAAAGTGAAAAAGTTTATGGAAAATAGTCTGTTTTGGTTGCTTATTTTACAATAGATTAAATTAAATCAGTTGTTTATATTGAATATCCTAAAATATCAGAAATTCTAGCAAATGCAGGATCTATAATTACATGGATCCTTTAAATATCTTTTATTTTCATTAAATACAATGAAATGATATGCACTCAAAATGCTAGAAAAGATGTCATTTCTATGTTTTATGCAGATTACCCAGATTTTAAAATAAGGACAAATTGGTTGGGTAAAATGACATAAATAGGATTAAAAGGAAAAAACTATGATATAATGAAGATTAATTCATTCATTGAAAATTTGCATTAGATGGCTGATTAAAAGATGAGTTACATAAATCTATAATTTGAAGTGTCTAGGTATTTATTATCAATATTTTAAGAATTTAATTAATCTTGCAAGAATATTTGGGAATTGATTAAATGAAAAAATATTTATAATAAAATCATAAATTAGAATCAATTTTGGATAAGATTGGATTACATGAATTACCATAGACCAAAAAGGTCATAAATTAAATTGTAATTTATATTAATTTTATTAAGTAACCTTTAGAATAATAGAATGATAATCTAAAGAGATAAGATTAATCAGAAGGAGAATTAATGATGTTTTCTGAAAATTTACTAGAGGAAGATTTGGATTTACATATAGGTTTATTATTAATGAAGGAAAATACTCAATATACTCAAATTGAATTTAATTAAAGTATGTTACCTTAGGCAGGATCCCAAATTGATTTAAAAATCAAAAATATAGAAAAGTAGCCATCCTCAATTAGTTGACAAAATTATAAATATACTAATGATGATTAGTATAATAAATAATTATTATAATATATTTAGAAATGAATAGCTTTTTGTTATCCATAGATTAGTTTGGAGTTGAAGAGAGAGTACTCTTTTAAAGATCAATATCTACAAAAAGAAGTGTATTAGGTGGAATCATGACGTTGCTACTCTACGGAATCACTCTTACATATTTTTTATATCAATTCATCGATTGGATGTAAAATAATAAGTTACCTAAAGTCACTTCAACATCAAAATAAATTAATCATTCTGAAACAGTTTAGAGTGCTGGTAAATTCCTAGAACTTTGCTACTTTTAATAAATTAATAAGTAAATAGATCCTTTCAATCCAAAGTAACTTATTTACTATCCAACATTAACTGTTAATCCTTCACAAGTATTTTATTTTTGATTATTATTTTAAAGGAAGAAATTAACAATATTGTATTTGAATAAGAAATTTTAGATAGTGATATCACTGTTAATAAATTTGTTTTATATGATATTGAATTAGTAGGATCTCCACTTTAATCTTAATAATTAGCATAAAAAGATTATTAAATAACTTTAAAGAGATGCAATCCAGATAAAATATCAAAGGATATGCAATGTGCTGACGAAACAACATTTAATCAATTTTAAGAATAATAAAATCTATTCTAGATTCAAATTTATATTTAATAATTCAATATTAAAACTAAAGAATTAGATAAAATTCCAAAATTTTATGTTTTAAATGTTTCAAAGAGTAAATTGATATTTTATAATTTTTAACTTGAGAGTAGTTAAATTTCAATAGATGATGGAATCTTATTCCCTAATTCTAGAGAAAAAAAATTCTTTTATAATATGTATTAACTAGCTTCAGTGAATGATATAAATTAAACAAATATTAATAAAGACTAAATGATGATCTTATATTTTACATTGGATTAAATTAAATTAGAAACTCTTTATGAATATCCAAAGATATCAGAAATTCTTGCTGACACAGGTTCTATTATAAGTTGGTTTTTCACAATATCTTATTTTGTAACATAGTATAATAAAGAACTTAGTATGTAAAATATTATTACAGAAGTTGTGTAAATGTACTTTAATGATTTATAAAATTTATAAATAAAGAAAAATTGGTATGGAAAAATAATTGAAATTTCATTTAAGGATAAATCTTGTGATAAAGTTAAAATGTAAAAGCTATTAAATAAACTACAATAATTGTCAATTTAAAAATTAGATTTTAGAAATATTTTATTTGAATAATCTAAGTAACAAAAATTTATATAAATAATAGATTAAAGCTATTATTAGTAAGATCTTTGGGATTTGAATAAATAAAATAATTATTAATTCATCCATAAAAATTAGAACCTTTAATTGATAAATATGGAATATAAGATCAAAAAGACAGTTCTAATTTTGCAAATTTAATAGTACAAATCAATATAATATCCTTAGTTCCCCTAAGGAGAATTATCCAATATAAATTTAAAATTGCAAGAAGTTTTAGAAGGTGAATGCAACGTAAATTTAGATTAAACACTTGAATAAGAACTAGAAAAATAGATTAGCTTATTTTCTTACATAGATTTCTTAAAAATATAAAATGAAGACAAATTATAAGTAATAGATTTTAAAGAAGAGAATCATTAAATTCAAAAGTTTGACTCAAAACTATTACGTATAGAGAATTCTTCCTCACTTTAATGAAATCACATAAATTTATATATTTTGGTACATGATTTATTGAAATTTCATTGATATTTTAAAGTTCGTTTAATAAAATATTAAAAATTTATAATTTATTTTTCTCTCAAATTAAAAGAACATTCTAAAATGAGCATCATCTAGTTAATGCTAATGAAATATTTTATTTGAATATTAAAATTTTTAATATTATATATTTAATAACATATTAAATTTCAACATGATTTATACAATGAATAAAATTAAACATGAGAAAGAATATAATTTCAATTTCTACATCACATTTCATCTAATGGACATGTAAGAACATAAATCAAATTATAATTCCTAAAAAATAATATGATCTATATTTTTTAAATTTTCATATTATATTATTACTTTATTCATTTTCCAATGTAAAATGTTGAAAAATAATCATCTCTAAACCCCTAATATAGATTGAAAATAAAAAATAAATAAATAATAGTGATTTTATTAGAAAGTCAAGTCGTGAAATACCAGAATTTCATTATCATATATATCTTTGTTTTAATATATTTATGATATGCAATAATTATTTAGTAATTTAAAATTCATAACATTAATTAGGAAGGTAATCAATTATACTTTTACAATTAGAATGTATTATCATATTTAACTTTTATAAAAAATTAAAGGACTTAAAGTTGAGTCTGTTGGTTAATTAGAAAATCTTATTCTTTCAATGTGTTTTAAATATTTAATTATTCCTAATTATTTATCAGTTATATCAGGTTGTAAACATTATGAAAAAGTTTGAAGATTTTAATAATTTTAAACAAAGATTTAATATTTTGCATTCATGAACAATTTAAACAAAAATTTGAAGACAGACTTTAAGATAGTGACAAACATGAAAATGTACTTCCAAAATAATATTGAATAATTAATATAACCATCTGAAGATGATCCTCAAGTTGAGATTACCTCAAACTCAAACTATGTTTTATTACCTGATTTAAAATCTATGGTGTTCAATTTAGTTGATTTAGAGAGAAATGATTTTGATCAACAAAGTATTAATCAATCTATGTATATACTTTCATCTACGAATGCTTCATGTATTAAATTTATTAATTTATAGGTAACAAAATCTCAGTTATTTTTCAAAGTTTAAGTAATGAATCTATTTCCTCAAACTCTATAGGTGAAGAATTTTGAATTAATAAAAAAGAAATAGGAAATAATGAATGTTACATCTTTCACTAATTATTACTATAAATATAAAATTTTTAATCTTATTACTTAACTTTTTATAATTTTATTGTTGTATTAAATTTATTCACTAATTCATAATCTGAAAAAGGATAATAGTATTCTTAATTTTACTATTAAGTTAACTTAAATTATTCATATTGTCTTTCATTTTAGAAATTAAAGAGTAGGATAAAACGGTCTTATTATATAATCTTTTTATCAAATTAGTTAACTTTCTAAATACTATTTTTCATTTCAAAGTTTTCTTATATGATTCCGTTTTAAATCAATTTTTTATTAAAAACCCCCTTTTTTATAATATAGATTGAGTTACAGAGTAAGGTATTAAGGAGCTATATATTTTTCCTTCAAAATTTTAATTATTATTTAAAGACAACATAAATTCTACATAGATTTACTTCAAAAGCCATATATTCATTTTCATAGAATGAAAAAAAACAAATGTTTATTGTGTTTTAATTTATTATTATAACCCATTTATTATTAGTTTAAATTATCTAAATAGTTTAAGCAATAGATCAAATGCATGTTTTTCCACCTTCTACTTTATAATGTTATTTGAATATACATTTTAAATCTAAAAAATTATTTGTAGTTATTTCATAAAATCAAAATTATAAAACATGATCAATATAATAAAAGAATAGATTAGTTTTAGTGAAATGAAAAATCATACTAAATTAAATATAAATAGAAATATATTTAAAAAACTTAATTCTATAATTATTTTTCTTCCAAGTAATACTTTCTTTACCATTCGTTTAATTTTATCAGCTTTTAATTTAATTTGTCTAATTAAATATTTTAATTATTTGCTGATAGAAATTCAATTATATTACAGATAATTAAGTGAATTAAAGCTAAATTCTTAAAGAACCTTTCATAAATGTTGACCTAATTTTAATGAAATTTATAGATATTCATAAATATTAAAATTTAATTCTTTTTTTGAAATTTGAAATAAAATCGCTAATTTAATCCTATTTTAACGAAGATTAAGAACAAAAAATAGACTTTGAATACAACTATATATTAAATTTATTTTTTCTTATATAATATTTGAATAATATAAAGAAGAAACAAATTGTACCTAACATTAGAAGCTAAATAGACTAAAAACCTAATTTAATTATAAAATTTATCTCTTTATTATAATTATTTTTTGATACTTTAAATCAAAATAAAATAGAAAAAAGTTTAAATTTAAGTTTATAAAGAAGAGTTATTATGAAATAACATTCATATCATATCGAATTCTTTTTTTTATTATTAAATTCAAAGCTTTGAAATACAATATATTTTTTCATTCTTTTAACTTTCCAACCCTTGTATATACTGTATATAAAAATCAAAATTAGTATTCCAATGTAAATTAGTATCAAAATAAGAAGAATATCAAGATTAAAAATAAAGCTTTTATTTAAATCTTCACAATCATCCTCATTATTCATAGATTCCTTACTTATATTTGTACTAGGATTATTAGACATTTTTATATATTATTTAAAATTAATATAAAATTTTCAATAAATGATTCATTCTAGTGATCATAATCAGAGACGTAAAAAGAGAGCATAATTTAAACATTAAGCTGGACCTTTTATTATATTTTTTACTGTACTAATGCCAACAAATTGTGTGATTTTAGAATAGTTTGTATCAATTATGAAAAGATTAGTACTTCGATTTAAAAATGGATCCTACAACTTAATTAATAAATGGATTTTTAGTTTTCTATTTTTATGGAATGGCTATGTGGTCATATTATTAATCGATTACAATAAAAAATTATACAATAGAAAAGGCTATTCCATTATAAGATAATAGAAGAATTGATCCTATATATAAAAATACTAATTCTTGTCTAGAATGTAATAAATGGAAACCTATACGAACTCATCATTGTTCACTTTGTGGAAAATGTATATTAAAAATGGATCATCATTGTCCTTGGATTCATAATTGTGTTGGTTTAAGAAATCATAGATCCTTTTATCTCTTTACATTGTATATGACTGTAAATAATGTTTAATATTTAGATTGGTGCAATTCAATATAGTTATGCATCTTTGATTTATTTTAGATTTTTATTCCAAAGTAGTCAAGGTTTCTTTTTTCATCAATCCACATTCTTTTATATATATTGGGGCTTAACTAGTTTGGTATTATATCCAACATGTGCTATGTTATGCTTCTTATTCTTTTATCATACATCATTAATCCTTAATAATTAGACTACTTTAGAATAAATGAAAAGTGGTTCCAATGAGAATTGTTGTATTCAAAATGATAAACCTCCAAGAAGTATTAACTTATTTGATAGAGGAATACTATCTAATATAGCATGGTTTTTTAATTATTCTTATTTTTGGTTTCTACCATTTGAGAATATTTATAAAGAAGATGGTAATTCTATATTCTAAATTAAGGTACAAAATATTCAATCTCTCCACTTTGTACTCTTTAGGATATTTAAATTAATAATCCTTAAATACCAATTGTATAAATACCTGAATAATAATTTGATTTTGATAAAATAGAACAAAAATATGAAGAATATTAAGCTATTGCTAAACTAAAATACAAAAATAAAAGAATTGTATTAATTGGAAAGGAAATATAACTTGATTGATATTCATCTAATTATATAATAATTTAATTAAATTCTTAGATATTTTTCAAATTATATTATATTACTATATTATTTGTTTTATTTTTCATAATTATATAAGACATCATTGTGGATTTTCATTACTCTTTTTCACACTATACTCAACTGAATTAAAATAATTGTTAAAACAAGTTGAAACACATTTTTCTGAGAATTATAGAGATTTATCAAAACATTAAGAATGACATAATTTTGTCAAATTTCTAATAGTTTATCCAACACATAACAATTTCTCTTTATCTGATTCACTTTATGGGTTAAATCGATAGTTATTAAATAAGTCGTACTCTTATTTTGTCAAATCTCTATAAAAATTCATATTTAGAATTAAATTATTAAGAATTTTATATTATTTAAGTTATTCCTATTATTTAAATTAATACACACATATATATAACTTAAAAATATTATTACAATATAAGACAGGAGATATGAATTTAATACATTATTAAATTATTCATTTAATGAATATATTATATTTATTTTTGCAACCAACTAAATGGTTAATATATAAATTATTAAAGGAATTAAAAGAATTTGATTATAAATAAGATAGATATCATTTGTTTTATAATTTTAAAGGAAATTACATAATTTACACATTAGATTTGTTGATAATAATATTTTGGGGTTGAACTTAAGTTTACATAGAAATCTACTTTAAATAATTGAATAACAAGATGTAAAAATAGAATGATTTAGTTTTATATTATTTTGTAGCATAATAATGGATATACATTATTTATTCATTTGAATTAGTGATTTAAATTAAAACATATTTAAATGATTATAATGTAATCATTATAAATATGAAAAAAATCAAATATTATTAACAATTTAAAGCCTAATTGACTATAAAAGCAATGAATCCCTAATTTGACAAAGATATATATGATAAATTAATAATAATTCATTAAAATAGTTTATTTACTAATCTTTATTATGAATGAGACATTACTCTACTAGCAGAATGAGAGTCTCTGAGATCTACACTGTTATCTTACTTTGAGAAAATTGGTCTTGTTTTTATGCGAAAGTTTTGTCCAAAAGTGAGATTCAGTTATTGAGTATTTTAAATACTATGTTATGATAGTTTTCTATGGATTTTTTCATTTTAACACACTCTTTAGCGAATAAGTTTTATATTAAAGTTCTTGATTATATCTTTTGCCTTATCGCAATCTATATTAAACTGTTGTTTTTTTTATATCAGAATTGGAAGAGCAATTCCACTTCTCTATTTATTTTGTGGAGGATCTTCTATACTACGATGAGTTAGATTTATTTTTGGTTCCAAAGATGGCTTATGGGCCAATATTTTTGCTTAACGTATCAAGTTGCTCTTCTGTATTTTATATTCTCCCTACAGCAATTCCTTGAATGCAGCAGTCTATTGAAATTACATATGTAAATAATAAATTTTATATTCAACTTGCAGAAAGAGAGAATAAAGTAAATCATTTATTTATGATTAATTAAATGAAGAAGTCTTTATAGAATAAACAAAAAATGAAATTGGAATCAATTTTTAATAAGCAAGACAAATTTTTTGTTTTTCCCTATAATTTTCAAATATTATTTTTATCAAATTGCTTTAACACATTTATAAACAGAAAACAAACATAAAATATTATTTCAAAATAATTATATTGTGGAAGTGTAATTATCATACCATAATGTTTATCAAATCAGAATTAATTAAAATTAACAATTTTTGTACTTTATATAATATATCATATTGTTATTTATATAAATATATATACATGATAAAGAGTGAAAGTTGACTAATTTGATTGATTTTTTTAATAGATTGAAAAGTAAGAATTAGAAATTTATAATGTATTATTAAATGTTTATTTTGATTAAGAAGATTGATCATTTATAAATTTTAAGAAACCAAAGTTTGATTATTCATTCTATAATTTAATTTTCCTTACTTTACTAGAGTATATAACTTAATAGATCCTTTTTCTTTTATTCAAATGTTAAATTTTTCGAAGAGTTGATCTCTTATAATTTTTAGAGAATTGTTTATGTGTTATAGGTTGGTTCTTTTAACTATAAAATGATATAATAATATACTTTAAGTACGAAATCATTTTTATTATCATAAAGCTATTATTCAGATTAGGCAATTTATTTATTGACTTCTTCAGCATATGAGTTTATATCATTTGAAAATAATTATGCAGCTCGAGGGTTAAAAGATGTGACACAATCATAATAACTTACATCAATAAACATTTCATAAAGTTTGTTTAATAAATTATATACCATACAATCTTGTCCATATTTCCATTTTGAAATAAGAGTGTCAACATCTACATTATTGTATTCATCAATTAAAGGATGAAAAAGTGGATATAGAAATCTTATTTTAGGAATAGATTCTGGAAAGGTTTTAGGAAAAGTTAATACAAATTTAAATTTTCCTTTTGCATATAGTCCATATGATATGCTAATCATTCCATGCCATTCTATTTTATTATTTTGCATATTACCTAAAATTTATTCAGTTTTTGGTAATAGAATGATTGAAAATTTATGAGCATACACCGATAACAATTTACTAATTATTAACAAATTGTAATTACTATTCAAATTTAATGATATTGTTTCTTGTTTCAGGATCTTTTGTAGCTTTATTGATTATCTCATCACTCAAAAAATTGGATGATTAAGAATTGAGTAAAATTTCGTTCATATTTAAAATTAACTATTTTTAGATAAATTATAATATTTTTTTGGAATGTCATTATAAATATATATTAATAATTCTTATTAAATAGAAAAAATATGTTAAAATGAAAAAGAATAAGATAGTTATAAGAAATATTTGTATATTTAATTTTCAATATAATAAAATATAATTATTATTAATAAATGGAAGATTGTTTATTTGAGATTAAAGGAGCAGGGTTAATAACTATTTATATATTAGTACTTAACAAACAATTCAAAAGTAAATGGGTAATGATGCTTAAAGTGATGATCAAAATATTGTGATTAATGATAATGATGAGTTAATGCCTTTGTTTAAAGTTAATGTTGATGGAGTTTAGAGAATTTTAGAGACAATTAAATCCAATATTGTTAAAATTGAAGAATTAAAGAAGGGTTATACAAGTGCAACTAGATCAGAAGCTGAGAAAGGTGGGTATTAGTCAATTAAATTATATTAAAGATGTAAGTATGAAATTGGATAGGATTATTTAATAAAATAATCAATAATAAGAAAGATTAAAAAAATTAATGGAATAAGTAGCTTAGGATGTTGAAGAGGCTAAAGAGAAAGAACCAGATGAACCTGAAACAAGAATGAAAATGGATATATGGGCTGCATTAAATTTGAAAGTTTAGGCTGTATTGTAAGAGAGTTAAAAGGCTCAATTAGATTTCCAAAATAGTATGAGGAACAAAATAAAAAGACAAGCAGGTTGTTTAGATTCGAATCTAAATGAGAATTAAATTGATGAATTATGTGAAGATCCAAATGTATGATTTATTTGATGTAGAAAATGCAAGAATTATTATAAAAGAAAATCTATGGATAAGCGTCGATTCAATTATAAAACGCTGTTCAAGATATTCAAGAAAAATATTAAGACATAGTTAAGCTAGAGAGAGTATAATTAAATATTTACTTTTTTTTAAGAGTGTTCAATAAGTATATCAACTCTTTGTAGATATGGCAGTGTTGGTCAAAAATCAAGGAGAATTGATTGATAATATAGAATAGAACATGGTAAAAGCTAAAGATTATGTTAAAAAAGGAGAAGCATAATTGATAAAAGCCAAAAAGGATCACTAAGCTGCTAGAAAAGTATAAATAATTATATAAATCATTAGAAAATGTGTTGTATTATTATGATTGGACTTGTTTTAATTTTGGTTATAGTAGGTCCAATTTTAGGAACTTCTTTATGAATTGAATATAAATATATATAAAGATTAATTAGTCTGATAATTAAATTATTTATTTTTTATAAATGATAATATAAAAAGTATATTTATAATTATACAACAAAATCATTTAATTTACATAAATCTTTACTAAAGTGAATAACTATAGATAGTACTAAGTCCAACTGCAGCACTTTTGAGTAAGTTAAAAGTAATTTTGATTCCATATAGTTTAAATGGATTATTTCTTGAATCATATTGAATAATTCTTATATTATCATCCAATTCTTGAATTATAGATTTAATGACTTCTTCAATCTAAGTTTCTTTTTGTAATAGTTATTTGAATTTCTTATGAATATAATTCTAAGGTTCTTTTTTTTATTCAAAATAGATGTCCTTCATTCTCAAAAGATCTTAATATATAGATTTAACATCTTATAGAGCCACTTCACATTAATCCAAATAAGTATTTAATTTAGCACCTTGATAAAGATAATAGGTAGTAAAACCAAAAATCATGATTGTTAATTCACTTAATAAGATGAATTAAAATAAATCAAGATGGACAAAATCTAAAATGAGTAATAATGTTAGAAATATCAATACAATAAATCCTAAGAAACAAAGAGAATAAAACCCTTATGTTCTAAAATTATATGTTTGACCATAATCAAATGAAATAGCTCTCATCATTGACCATGCTTACCATGTAGTAATATTATTAAAATTAATAGTTGGTAATAATTTAAGTTATTCAGTCTAATCTGGTCTAACTTTTATTATAAGTAATAATTATTCAAGTAAAAAGAATTTTCGATTAAAATCATAAAAGGCTTAATGAAAGAATATGATACTACCCCAAAATCCAATAAAAGATGAAACTAAATTCAATACTTAAATTATATATAAATATATCTATACCAATTCTAAACATATCTAATGCTTCTACTGAATTAAACAAATCACCAATTCTCAACCATATTGGAGTTGTAGAAAGTATAAGTGCTTCAAAAAGACTTATATAAAGATGAGTATTTGCTGAATTTTAAGTTTAATAATGATTTACTAAGTATCCAAAAAGTTTAAAACCTGAATATTCATCATTATCTAAAATGATTCCTGTATCTCTAAAAAAATTAATATCAACTTTATCGATGGCAACCTTTGTTTCTTAATGAGGCTACACTATAAAATCCATTTTAAACAATGAAATCTCAAATTAATAACGTTTTAGAGCACGATAAGGTTCCAAAAAAAGAATCTTAGGAGATTATTCTCTCCAATCATTCATCATTAAATCAAATTAAAATACATCATCTGGTAGTAAAACATTCTTGTATAAATTTATTACACTTCTACTAAAAGTTGCATATTTAGCTGCAATTACAACACTTCTTATAGTTAATGCATACCAAAGGAATAAAATTTCTGTAAGAGTGATTATACTTTCATCCCATAAAAAGTATCCCAGAACTTCTAAAACTGATCCACACCATAAAAGAGTTTATGTATAAAAAGCCATTGAATTACCATAAAATTTCATGTTCTTCATCAATATCATACCTGGACATACACTAAACAAAATAACCATGAATGGTCCCAATATTGTGAAGAAAATCTAAATTCCTAAAAATTAAGATTACCTAATGATATAAGAAAAATTCTATAAAAACATCCCAATTCCATTCTCCCTTATACCTTTCCATTTATTCTTATTAAATTTTTTCTAAGGAAACCTATTAGTTAGTAATTTCCCATTATCGCTTCTCATACAAAAATTTTTCTTCATCATCTATATTTATAAGTGCATCATCTTTCGGATGTACTACTGAAATTTTGAGGGATTGTCGATTAGTTTAATTAATAGATTTTACTAAGGATGATATATTGTTATTATTGTTTTCCATTTTATAATTAAATTAGTATTTTAAGACAATGTTCCTTATTCAAAATAATTGTTATTGTTTTTTAGTATTAAAACTATATAAAATCAGTATAGAGATGCTAAAATAATTTAAAAATAGTAGTTCAATAAAAGATTAAGAGTAATTGGATTTATTTATCTATTATATATATTTTATTAAATATTTAAAATCAAACACTAAATAATTAAAATAATTATTTATGTCAGAAGAATTAGCAAATACCGTCTACCTAGGTGGAATCCCTGAAGATGTAACTGTGGAATAAATTAAACATTTATTTATAACATTCGGTGAAATTAAATCTGTAGATCTACCTATTGATAGTGAAACCTGTATATATATTATAATTATTGAAGAAAAGAATAGAGGATTCGCATTTATAGAATATGAAGATATTGAAGATGCTGAAGCTGCAATAGATAATTATGATGAAGGTGAATTATTTGGCAAAATTGTCAAAGTTAAACCAGCTAAACCATATAAGCCAAAATCATTTTATACTAAACCTGTTTGGCATTCTGAAGATTGGTAAAGAAAAAATAATGAAGAGTACACTTACAAAGAACGTGTTAGAAGAGAAAAATAAAAAAAGAGAGATGAAGAAGAAAGAAAAAAAGAAGAGGAAAAAGCTAAGAAGTATTAAAAGAAATAATGAATTAACATATTATATTTTAAGTTATGAATTTTATATTAAAGTTGTATGTTTTAAATACTTACAAGTAAATATATAATATTAGAAAAATAGTACAATAAATTACTATAATCATTTTTTTTATTTTATTTTCAAATATCTAGAGCATTAGGCAATTTCAAATGTGCCTTGGTTGGTTAAAGAATATTTTCCATTAATAAATGTATTGAAAGTACAACTCCAATACCTGCCAAGAATAAATAAATTATATCCACATTTTTCATTGGATCAATACCACCACCAATAGCATATACAAAACCAGAAATCATTGGAACTACAGCCATACAAAAATTCTCTATTATTCCCAATAAACCCAATGCAGTTGCTATTTTCAATCATATTCATAAATTACCTAACATATCTTCAGGAACTGTAGATTATAAAGCAGGCATTAAAACACTTGAAAAACATGAATATGATAATCCTAATGTAATCAAACTAAAATTTTATTAATATTTTACGCAAAAACTGAATAATAATTAGGAGAATTCGTTAATGGCATGTAATAAAATTGTAAATGGGATATAAAAAACATTATTGTTGATACTACAATAAATAAAGGTCTATATTATGTAAACTTATCTGAAATTCTACCTACTATAGGAGATGTTAATGCTAGAAATATCATATTATTATTATACTCTACCTGCCACAACATAACCGATTGTAACTATTTGACCAGCATCCATTATACTAAATCCAAAACGTTCATGATAAAATTTATTAGCATTATCAAGAAATGGAACATATGATGCTAACATTAACGTTGTTATTATGCTCATTATTACAAAGGATTTCGTAAGTTTAACTAAATTATAAAATACTATTATTACAATTAAATACTGAAACTTATTCTGTTTATTTCACACTCTCTACTTTTTCATATTTCATATCTACATAAATCATTATTAATCCTGAAAGAAAGGACTATTCAAATTATTTTAAATTATACTAAAAAACATAGGAATAATCCAAATAACAAAGGTATTTTTAATGAATTTGTTTTTTCATATAAATAAGGTGATAAAAACGAATTAAGAGCAGCTGCTAATTCTGGTACTGTAAGTATTAATCCCATTGCTGTACCCATATCTTTTGGCATTCGTTAAGCTACCATCTTAAACACAGCAATATGTAAAATATCGCTTGCAATACCAAATATAGCTCTACCACAAAGCATCATACAATAATTATGATAGCATCCTCCAAAAAAAATAAATAATTATGAAAGGCCTAACATTAGACTAAATGTAAACACCTAAGTAATATAATATGTTCTTACACCCCAACGTCCACCCATATTATCTATCATTATACCTCCTCCAATACTCAAACCTATATTCGGGATTGCAAACACACTGTAAAGCAAATTGAATTAGGTTTATGTTAATTGAAACTCTTCTTCTATTGGAACCTCAAGAGCTTGAGGAATATCAAAAGCATAGTTGTTTCCTACCATCAAAAGAATAGCCAAAAAGATGATTAAACGATCCATTTTTTATTTTTAATATACACATTAATTTTAATTCATTGAATGAGATTTACCATACATTCTATGAATTTATATCAAATTTGACAAGTCAATTTTAAAATTTATACTTTAAAAAAACTATAACATATCTATTCACTTCATAATTGATATATCATTCCTTTTGGCATTTATAAAATATGCTTAAAAATACCTAATTTATTTACTTCAGTGAAGATTCAAAACTATTGAATAACTGAATATATATATCTTTAATAGAATGTAGTTTAATCCAAAAAAAATAATTTGATTTTCTTTAAATTCCTTTGGATCTAATATATGGAATGTAAAAATTACATTTCTGTTAATTCACATTTGAACTTGATCATTATAATAATTTAATCAAAAAATATTAGGTATTAATTTTAAATATATTTTAAAAACATAAGGCAATATACTATGTCAACTAATTATTAATCTAAAAATACATCAAAAAATTTGAGTTTTAGAAATAATAGACTTCTTATTTCTTTATTTATGAATAATAATTGGTTTTACCTTTTTTAATTATTTACATATATTTTATTATGATATTGTAGTATAAGTAATAAAAAAGAAATAAATATTAATTTTCATAACTGCATTTTTATGATCAAACTATATTATTTAAAAATGATTCATAATTCATACTTCTATTTTTAATTGAGTATTACAATTAAATATATTAAGGAAAAGGAATAATAAGTTGTTGAATTACTTAAAATCTAAATTCATATATCTCATTAATCATACATACATTACATATAATGTTTAATTAATATATTTATTAATGAAGTTTTATTATAATTTTATATCTATAAAATATATTCTTTAACTTGAATTAATGATTTCATCAAATATTACTAGTTTATGTCTAAATCATATTACCTGCCTGAATTGGTATACTTACTTATGAATTCATTAAATAAATTTTATAAAAGAGTTTATTAAATAAAATAAATAAATGGATTACGAAATTATTGATTAAATAGGAAAAGGAAGTTATGGAGTTATTTATAAAGTGAAAATTAGATCTTAAATCTAAGTGCTTAAGGAAATCTCTTTAAAGAATCTTTCTTTGAAACAATAGAACGAAGCTTATAGAGAAGCTCAAATAATGCATACATTAAATCATCCAAATATAGTGTCTTACTATAATTCTTAATTGAGAAAAGATAAGTTAAATATTTTTATGGAATTTTGTGAAGATGATCTCTACAATTATATATGTCGGAACCCATCTCCAACTGAAAACTAAGTATGGCAGTGGACCATATAATTGTTAGAAGGTGTTGAATATTTACATTCACAAAAGATTATGCATAGAGATATAAAACCCAATAATATTTTAATGAAAAGCAATGTATTAAAGATTAGTGATTTGGGAGTGTCTAAAAGTTTAATTTCTACTCAATAACTTTAAACAACAAAAGTTGGAACTCCTCTATATTTGGCACCTGAATTAATTCGAAATAGACCTTATGATAGTAAGATTGATATATGGGCATTGGGTTGTGTCATATATTTTATTTGTTAAGGAGATCCTCCTTTTGGAGGAAGTAATATTATTTCTTTGGGATATAATATTGTAAATAAATCACCTAAACCAATAAATTGTAAATACTCAAGGAAATTATAGAGTCTAATATTTAAATTGTTGAATAAAGTACCAGAATTCAGACCAACAGCTACTCAGGCATTACAATAAATACGTGAGGATAATGATGTTAAAATGAAGCCTTAATTCTAAAAGATATTCTCAGTTCATTCTTAATAAGATATAACAAGAGGGGATGATCTAAAGGAGTAAAATAAGACTGTTTAAATGATATAGAGTAGAAGATTAGAAAGGATAATCCAATAATAAAAGGATGCTTAATTAAGGTTATGTGAGGCTGATAAATTTAGCAAAATTGTACTTTTAAATAGAATTATAAAACATTAATCAGAACATTATGTACAATGATAAATACTAAAATCATAATACTCATAGTATTGGCTTTCTGTTAAAGGCATTTAATAATTCATCAAGTTTACTTTAATGTTAATTTAATTAAAATGGTTTATTCTAAGATATAAATGTCTTGGTGGAAGGTTGGGTCATTTGTTTAGCAAATTTATTTTCAAAATCTTATTTTTTGTTTTACCAATCTAAAGAATTCAATTCTAATGCTAAAGTAGCTAATCCATCTTTTTTACTTCCATGAACTAATAAAGAATTAAATTAAAAGAAATTACTTGCATCTTATAAATAGTTCTTCTTTCTAATCAAATCTGGAGAAGTTCTAAGTGCTGAATTAGGTCTATGATTAGTAAGTGAGAATTGCATTTTTTAAGATGGTTCTGGACTACTATAAAGTTCTGCTCCTAAGGATTTACGTTTATAACTTTCATATTTAATTTCATCAAGAGGTCTTGTTTTAATTCCAGAATATTATTATTTTTCTTCATATTTATTCATGAATGATATTTCTTTGGTTGGAGTTTAAAATTATTTACTAATTTTTTAATATAGATTTTTACCTTTTTAATAAAGATTCTTTTAAAGGTGATGAATCTATTATATCACTCTTATTAGTTTATTATTGTAATACTCTTTCATATTATTGTAATTGTCTTAAGAATCCGTTATTAGGATATACTTACCATCTTTTTCTTTCTAATAATCTTAAGGCATCTTAAGCACTCATATTATTCTTTTTCATTAAATATGCTGCAACAAGTGTAGCTGATCTAGAAATACCAGCCATGCAGTGAATTAATACATTACCACTTTATCTGGCTCTTTCAATGAATTAATTACTATTGTCAAAATGTCTGCTAATATTTTCAGATTCACAATCCTCTAAATATATATGTAGATAATTTTGTAATTATGTTTGTACTTCAAATGGTATCTTATTCATACAGATTGATAAAACACCATTGATTCTATGTCTTCGTAAATTCTCAAGGTTAGCTAAAATTAAGTAGAAATATAATCCATACATGCAGATTCTATATTTCCTAAATATATTGATCCTGATACTCCATTGTCAACAATACAGGTCATATCATCCATTTTCTATTCGTAAGAAAAAGAGCTGCTTTGATAAGATTTTTGAACAATAGGTGTAAGGCTGAACATTAATTAATAATTAACAATAAAAATTATTTCACTTAATGTATTAATTGGCAATTTAGCCTTATTTATAATAAATGATTCTATCATCATCAATGTTGAAATTATAATTCTTTCTCTAACTTAAACATCTTTTTTAATACATTCTCTGAAATGTAATATTAATACATTTAATATATAAAAAAGGGTTCCAAAATGACAAAAAATGATTCTACCTCAAATAGAAAAATTTTAGTTTCCCATTCCCATTGCAAAAATAAAGGAAGGAAATACAAATAAGATATAATCTTAAAGGCTTGTAACAGTAATATCTGAAGCACTTTAACTGTTTTAGAAAAGAATTAATAGAATTAAAAAAGTACAGATTAAAATAAATAAAATTAGTAGAATTAAAAACATAATTGAAAGATAGAGAATTATTAATTTTAAATAGTTCTCTAAGTTGCTTTGTTAGATATAAAAATATAGAATCATATTGAATTATTGTTTAATAGACTTTTTATTTTGAATATCAATTTGTGATAAATTAGATATAGATATTTTAGGGTTCATTTATAAATAAACAGCATTTACATTTGTCATATTATAAATTGATGGTGAAAGAAAGCAAATATGGCAAAAGTAAAAAGAAAGCAAATATGGCAAAAGTAAAAAAAAAATTTATAATTAAAAATCTTAAGTGAAGAGTTATTAAGTTAAAGAAGATCAAGTTTGTCTAAATTTAATAATAATAGAAAACATTTAATTGTTTATTTTGAAGTTTTGTATAATATGTTAAATTCAGTTTTCAAGTTTACAGTGAATAATGCATCATGAAAAAAAATTACAATTTCAATAAGATTATGTTGGAACCAAGGAGACTATATTTAACTTTTTTGATAGGATATATAAAATATATTGTAGTATTAAAAATGATGAGAATGTGCTTTTCAAAACCTGCTTATTATTGAATTTCGTATATTTAGGAACTCATAATACAATTTTTAAACTAGAAGTTTCTATACAATTAGGAATCAGAGATCTCAGATAGACTCAAACCTTTTAGTATAATAATTAGTAAAAACAAAAAATATTAGAGTAATATAAATACATTTTCAATCTACATCATAAAATAAGTATTTATTAGATTAGACATCTTTTAATGGGAATATTTAACAAGATTATACATGACAATCTTCATATACTCTAGAATTATGATAAATATTTAGAATGAAAATAATGTGATTGTTTTCATAATAATAATGGTTTACGATGATCAATAGGCGATGATAATGAACTATAAGATTTATTTGCCAACTTAAAGTTACTATGACCTATCCTAACATTGAGACGACTTAAGCTTCGAGGAGTTATTTTGGTTATTTTTGAGTCTGCATTATCAGAGTATGAGCATGCCATTTCGAGAAAGTTCTGTCTTAGTCTATTCAGATCCTTACTAATTTCTTATATTTGAGGATCCCATTAAACTATCAAATCTGAACATAAACCTACTCTCTACCTTTTATTCTTCCTTTCTAATCTTCACTAATCTCATTTTGTTTATGCATCAAATATACCGTATAAAATAGTTTGCCCTATATGGTCTCAAACTTATCCATTTTATTATTATGACAATTATTTGGATTAAAAATGAAATAATCACAACTTTGTCAACAATTTTTATTTAATCCACTCATGTATAACAATACAAACCATAATTTTACAATGAATAATTTAAAGAATACCCTAAAGTATTGATGATCAAATTATTTATTTACTAAATTTAAACTCAATCTCTTCATAATCTTTCTCATCCTATTATATATATTAATATATAGAACTATATTAATCTCTTTGTTTTAAACTTGTACTTCTTTTATTTTATCATTCTATAGTTTAAGCAATCATAATAGATAAAATTATAAAATAAGTTTTTTAAGAATCATTTAATTAAAATTAAATAAAATTTATTTGATTCTATTATTAAATTATATATATTTATATTTTATAATCTAATTAATAATATCTTCAAAAATCTTAGACATGTTAACTTTTTTGTTCTAATTAAATTGTTTACTTTATACTTTTATTATTTTTTTTTAAAATAATTGAGCATTAAATTAAATTAACAAATATCTAAATTTTTATAGATATAAAATACATATTAGATGTTTAATATCTTTTTTGGATCAAAAAAACATATTTGAATGTCTTATTTATATAAATTACATCTTTACTGCTAGATTGTTCCTATTGAAATTAACAGATATATTAAAATACATAAGTTCTTTCATTGTTGGAGTTTAAGTATTTTTTGGAATCATCTTTAGTATATTTTACAGTTTTGAATATTATTTTATTTTAGATAGTTTGTAAATACAATTATTAAATTATTTATGAATGATATTTAAGCAATAAAATTTATGTTAAGGATATAAAAATAAAATTAACAAAAATCTTTTATCTTCAATGTCACAAAGACCACCTGTCCCATAAAGTAATATTAACATATAAATCATTAGATTAAGCACCTCAACCATAATAATACTAACCAGCTCCATAATATGCCCCATAATATGCTCCATAATATGCCCCATAATATGCTCCATAATATGCTCCATCATTTGCTCCATAATATGCTCCTGTACCAACCTATGCTCCATAACAATATGCTCCTGCTCCTATTGCACCACTAACATACAGTGTTGCTAGACCTGTGGCTCAACCAGTTGTTGCTCAACCAGTTGTTGCTCAACCAGTTGTTACTCAACAAATTGTTGCTCAACCAGTTGTACAAGCCCCAGTTTTGTAGTAATCAGTAATTGCTCAACCAGTTGTTTAATAATCAGTCCATGTAATTATAATCAAATCTAAATTTTAAGGCAACAATTAAAGGAGAATCAAGAATTGAATATATTCCTTATTAAAAGGCTGTTATGGAATATGAAGAATAAGAAGTTGTTTAATATGTTCCAAGAGAAAAGAAAGTCACAGATTATTATGCAGTTGAATATTAGACTGAATATGTCCCATAAGTCTTTTAAGAAAAATATACAGGTATTAACAATAATTAAATATTAGAATACGTACCAGTTGATAGATATTAAGAAAGAGTTGAATATTATCCAGTTGAAAGATAAGTTGTTCATGTATATATTTTTATATCATACTTTTAGCAATAAGTTTAACCAGTAGTACAATAAGTTGTCTAACAACCAGTTGTTTAATAAGTTGTCTAACAACCAGTTGTTTAATAAGTCGTTTAACAACCAGTCGTTTAATAGGTTGTTTAATAACCTCTTAGTGTTGTTTAACCAGTCTAAACTGTCCCAGTGACATATGCACCATAATATGCTGCTGCCCCAATTGTTTCATCAAGAGTTATTCCATCATACCCATAATATCCATCATATCCTTAATACTAATAAGCTCCTTAATATCAACCAGCTCCATAATAAGCTTAACCATAATAACCCCCAAGATCTAATTTGAATGTTCATTGATATAATAAGTGCACATCAATCAATTATATTGTTATTATCAAATCCAAAAAAACATATTTTCATACTTTAAATATTTAACGAGTCTATTTTTTAAGTATTATATATATATAATTAAATATAAAAGACTTAAAAAAATCTCTTAAAGTTCTTTAATATAATTGATACCAATAAAGGTTAACAAAAAAGTAAGGGAGTATTTGAAATCATTTCAAGAATAAAAACAATTATTTTTACTAAAATGGTTTCTCTATATTTTATGTTAAATTTAGTGTAATATATGATATTGAAAAAGGTATTATAATTTGATTTAGAAATTTAATACTAATGAGAATGTATAAATAGATATTTAGCAATTCGTCTAGCCAATCCCATATTTATTTAATTATATAAAATGTTAAATTAAAAAGAAAGAATTAAAAGTATTAATTAATGATGACTTTTCACTTCGCAGTGACCCCCATGACATATCATGAGTGTAAAATCTTCCTTAGATGCCTGATATTATATATATTTTTATTAAATTAATCTCAATAAAAATTAAGTCTATATGTTTACCAGAATCTGTAATATTATAAATTAGCAATTAGTTATTCACTATATTGTAAACTCTTTGATTTCATAATCATACAGTCTTTAAGATTTTCATTCTCTATTTTTATAATAAAATGAAAGCATTTTTAATGTAATAATGGATGATTGGGGGATTCTATTTTTCTTTTTATATTGTATTTCCAAAAATGAAGTTAATATTCTGATTATCTCTTATAAGTAATCACATTGAGTGATCAATAATTTCGATTGAATATTATTCAGTTCTTAAGTTATACTTGGAATATAATTCAATATTTATAGAAATTATTTAGTATTCCATTATTAATAATATTCAATCTCATTTGCTTTATTATCAAGTGATTCTATATATTTATTTTTAATTTTTTTTGAATTAGTAGTATGCATAATCACTAATAATAATACTAACTCAAAGAATTAAAATTTCAATTATACAATTATAAAAATAGTAATTTTAGTAATTGAAATAAAGTTTTTTTTTCTATATTTTTTTAATGGTTATAATAAACAGAAGTTAAGAGGGTTCTTTATGGATTCAAAAAAAAATCATATAAATTTTATATATTAAGTTCCTCCAAATACAAAAATGCTTATTTTATTTGTATATTAAAATGAAGCTTTAAGGGATGATACAATCAACAAGAATATAATCTAGATTATTTTTATTGTTCTTATTATTATGAATTATTTTATTTGATTTATAAATTGACAATTGACAATTGGTTTATTGAATCCATGCAATAAAAAATGTCAATATGTTATTTTAAAGGATATCTTTCTAAATAATCCTAATATTAAATTAGTTTTTCTTTAATAATTATGAAAATTATAAATTATGTTTTATTTATAAGAATCAATAAATGCATATTTTATAGATAGACGTTTAATTTTGTTAATTTAAATTAATTAATAAAGTGTAAAGATAATTTTCATAATTATGGATTAATATAATATAATGATAAAAATAACATATTTGATTATCTTGAAAGTAGGATTCATTAAATCATTACTCAATAATTTAATCTTCTTCTTTTGGTTCTGATGAATAAATAATTGAGTCTCTATCAGATAGAATATAAGGCAAGAGATCTGATAGTTCAATTGTTTTATGAGTTGTTACTTGTCTTTGATTAATCAAGGAAGGTTTGAGATGCCAGTATAATATATAATAATTGAGTTTGAGTTTATTCATCAAAAAAGTAATCAGGATTAAGAGTACAATCATTGCAATCACAATTGAGATGATATGAATACTATTGAAAATATCTCTATAAACAAAAATACTAATTGGTAAGATTAGTAACACAAGAAAGACAATCACTATAGAAAGAATGAGCCACTTTCCAATAGTATTAATGTTTCTCCTAATTCTACACCATTTCATACATATAGTATCCTTCAATTTGGAATGGATATGAACATTCATTTTTGCAAATAAATGCTTATTCCTTTTATTTTTTTGCATTTCTTCTAGCTGTATCCTAAATACATTTTTCATGATATGTAATTCCTCTACATTTACAATATTGGTGAACCATACCAATTTCTGAATTACATTCTTGACAAAATTTAAATGGCTAATCTATTTGTCTATGGGTGGATGACAACATATTCAGTACAATTGTTTCATGACTTTTCATCAAGATTGTTCCTTTATGTCTAGTGGATGGTGAAGTTAATGGAGTAAATCTCAATCTATAATTACTAGATTCTTAAACTGTTAAATCTGATAGATTTGAAGAATTCTTCCCTTATTATCTCTATTCTGATAGTTTATTTAATGTTGAATTTCTCATTAATATTATATGATAAAAAATCAAATATTAAATTTTACAAAGACTAGTATGTAAATATTGTTTCCTATTTTACATTTAAAGAATGATTTAATATTTCTTTATTGATTTATCTTTCTATTTATATTAAATAAACAATATAATATATTAAAATTAGATGTGCATCATCTTAATTATAACTTTGATACTTAATATATGATATATTTTTATTAATTACAAAACTTATTTATTTTAGTTTTATAAGATAAAATTAATGAAAAACATATTCTTATGATTTAAATAGATAATTTTAATTACTATGAAAAGTATTAAGTTTTATTAATTATTATTTTTAAAAGATTAAAGAGAATTAATTTAATAGTATAATAAAATATTGATTAGAAGTAAAGAAAATATTATATCAAGTTATAAATTAATTAACAAGAATCACTGTTCGTTTAGTAAATCTTTAAATTCAGTTTAATTTTAGAATTTTTTCTAAAACTTAAATTTACTTTAAGTTTTATTAATAGGTTATAAATAGTTAAACTATCTTAAAGCTAGATTATCTCTTCTTTAAGGAGTTTATGAATTGATATTGGATTAATCATAAAATTTTGAATCTTATATTCTCAAATATGAAAGGTTATAGGATAATTATTCAGATTCTAAAGAAGATTCTTAAGAATATGGTTCATCAATTTAATATGGGTTATCGTACAGAGTTTTTTGATTCTTTAAACAATTTTTGGTTGCCAATTTTCTTTAAGTGCCTTTGTAACGCATAAAGACTACTTTCTCTGTTTCAGTTTTCTTACAATTAGAAATTTTGACTTTTTTTGAATGATCATGTAAATATTTATACAATTATACATCTTTTGATATAATAACTTCTTTTTCCATAGGAATATATAAAGGTAAGTTTTAATTTTTGCGAGATTAAAGTTTTATGATTAATTCTTTTCCAACTTAATGAAAATTTTCTTGATTAACTCTATTTCTTTCTTCTGTTATGTCTTAAAGGAGTTAATCAGATTCTACATTAAATACTTATTTATAATTGAAAACAGGTTCTTCTGATTTTTATAATTCCACTTTTGGAAAAAATAATATTTATAATTATTTTAACTTTTTGACTGAATTAGAGGATTTGATACCTGTGTCATTTGTTTAAGGTACTTCAATATTAGTTTTTGATAAATTAAAATCAATATCAATTATACCTTTAGAATTGTTTTTTTTGATTTTATCTTAAAGAAACCTCTGCAAGATATTCAACTTAGCATTTTTTATTTTTTTCATTTTATTCTCTTATGCCTTAGACTTATCTTTATGATTTAATAATCGATTTTCTGAAATTGATTAAGAAACTAAATCTTAAGTACTGATTTCACCATCTAAATATTTAATAAACAAATTTGTAGGTGGTTTTCTCAATTAATTTATTGGACTATAAGTGATGAGTGGATCATCTTATCTCAATAACCTTTTCTGTTTTGGTTTTATTCGAGATGGCAAAGTGAGCTTTATTGTTTTTTGTTGTAATTGCTAATTATTATTCACTAAATTTGCACGGTTTCTTAATTAATCTTTCGAATGAATATTATGTGTGGAGAATGGACTATTAAGTCGAATCATATCACTTGGAGTTGCATTCCTTCTACTTAATGGAGTCCCCACTTAACTATATGGCTAATCAAGTGTTTAATGAAGAAACATAATTTTTATTATTCAATAAAATGATCTCTACTTGGAGTAATATTACTAAATCACCAATATCAATACACAAAAAAACTGTGGTTTTTAAAACAACTCCTAAGTTCTCTATTACTCCTGAATAATTTAGGTCAAAACTAAATTTAAGATAGCAAATTACACTAAATCAAATACCTTCTCCAATTACATCCTTGAAGAAAATACCTATACCTTATAGTAAAAAGAAAAGTAGAATTGATGATCCATTACTTTTATATAGTCCTTTTATTCTAGGCTCTCCAGTTCCTAAAGGATTTAAGAAGTTTTTAGATGGAGAGGTTGATTAATGCGAAATGCTTAAATCTTAAGTTAAATAAAATAGTCGATAGAGTGACGTATTTGCATTTGGTCCAAGAAAGTCTAAAGTAAAAAGAGGAAAAACCATTTATATTAAAAACTAAAAAGAAAATGAGGAGGTTATTCCATCAAAGTTGAAGAAACTCTAAAAATTGATAGAAACCAAGATACTCAAAAAATAATTACAATAAACTACTTAATCATAAAAGAAATCCGAAATCGTTAATATTATCTAAGAAAAAAAGCCTATTCAACTTTCAAGTAGTGTAAAGAAGTTCAAATAAATGTAAATGCTATTTATACCAAAGAATCCAATTGAACAAGATCATGAAACATTAAGTTATTCTAAGCTCAAATTAATTAATGAATCTAATGATTTGATGAAAAAAATATAAGATGAGTAAACACTTAGAAATTTCAATAAATATAATTTAAGAGATAAAGAGAAAAAATTCATAGGACAATATAAAAAAGAAAAAAACAGTAACCACTTAAAAAATGTTGAATATTATCCATAAGAATAAAGTACTCTATCTTAAAAAGATACAGCTTTATATAATTATTTAAGAGAATAAAATTGTATTGATGGAAGATCTCTTTATGCTAATTAATAAGGTATATTTACTTATTTTATACAGTATCAAAGTCATCTTAATCAACCAGAAGGAGCATATTATCAAATCATAGAAAAAGATAACCATTAGGATAATAGAAAATTAAACCAAATTAAAATAATGATAGTTGTATCTCTGCAGATTTATCTTTACAGTCTGTTTACGAATACTTTCTGGATGATTTATACACTGAATAAAAAAAACTTGAATCTAAATTAAATTTCTAATAAGCATTTAATGCTGACCTTGATAAATAAATGAAAACAATTAATAAAATGAAAAATATCAATTCACGAGTAATTGATTGTTCCTTAAATAAATTATTCGAAACTTTATGAAACTTATTTTATAATCAATTTTCTATTATTATTATTACACATTTTTATCTTTAAACAACCAAACAATAATTAAATATAATTTTATTTATTTATAAATATTTATATATTTTGTAAAACAATTTAATCTAAATAAGTTAAATAATATTGTATGTTTTATTGAATTATTCTTAAAATTCAGAGTAAGCATATAATCACAATAAAAATTAACCAACTTGCTTTATTTTTTCAGTTTAAGCTTATACCTAATCTAATTTCTTTGGATCTACTCTATAAGTATTAATAACTATTTTTGTGCTTTTCTTCTTAGCCCTTTTACGTCTATGAATTGTTTTTGGTAAGAATCCTCTTTAAATATCCATAGAAAAGAATCTATCTTTTTCAGTAGGATAATCTAAATTACATTAATTAACCTTTTTAAATATATATATAAATATCTATACTTCTTTATCATATTGATTATTGAATGAAGAAAAGAATTTTAAAATATCAGTCTCTTATTTAAATTCTTTCATTCTATTCATTTAATTTTCAATTTCAACAGGATCTAATTTACTAAAAAATTTAAGATTTTTTTTTGTAGGTGAATTCAGATCCTATGTAAAAGATTTTGATTATCCATGAAAATTAGTTTAAACTTGATCCTCAAATTTTAAAAATTAAACTTTAGATGGATCATTATCTTTCCCTAATAATTTTAATTTCTATTCAGAAATATGAGATAATTCCTCATAACAATTTGAAAGATTATTATTAAAAACTAATTCAAATTTTGAAGCATTTTAAATTTATTCTTGTCTTTGTTTATCTAATACATATAATGATATTTTACATAACATAATTTAATATTTAGCATCTTAATCAGAATTAATTTCTAATTCTTTCATTAATTATTCAATAATTGATCTTTTTTATAATAAAGGCATATTATCTGGAATTTTAAATTATTCCATTAATTCTCTTTCATATTTCATTTTTTCAAGTTACTTTTAATATTCAATTTATCTTTATTTTTCTTTTTCTTATTGTTCTTGCTTTTTAGGCTAAAATATGAATTAATAATTATTTATACATCCATAGGAGAAATTTAATTTGATGATTTTCTTCTAGCAAAATTAAGTGCAACTGCAGCAGCTGGTAATTTCAATTACTTTTTATTTTTAACTATTTTTGATCTATTTGATTTATCTCCTTAAGAAGACTCAATTGTTAATTTACTTTCAGGTTAACTATCATCTGATCTTTATAATAATTATTATGATTATTATTATGAAATATAATCTTTTATTTAAGATCTAGATTTATTGTTTGCCCTATTATGTTTAATACTATTTTATGTATTACTTATAGGTATGAGCATTTTTGATTATGATTATGATTATGTACCTTATACTAAATTAGATGTAGGGATATAGGAACTTGTAGGAATATATACATTCTTTGGAGATGATGATAGTTATCTTTATTAAAAATTAGTTTAAGTAGGCACTTATTTTTAATCCTCTAATTTTAGGAGAGAAAAAGAGGCTATAGAATTTTGATAATTTTAAACTTTATAATTTGGTGAGCCTTCTATTGATTCTTCGATTATGACATTATTTGTAGGTTAAGTTGGTTCACATTAATTAACCTAAATATTAATATGTTATATTTAATTATTCTAAAAATTCTCTTCATCATGCATAATGGATGTGATACTAGTTTACTATTATAATAGTTTTTATGCAGATTTTTTCATTATATCTAAATTATCATGAGTTTAAAATAATGGATAATCTTATTATTTGTTAGATTCAATATGGGTAGTTGCTGGTCTTAATGTATTTTAATGCATATGATGATTTTACTCATTTTAGTGTAATGATTATTCCAACATAGAGATTTATGATTCTTCATTTGAGACTGAATTTTCCATTTATTATTGTTCATATAGGTTTTGCTAATCAAATATTTTTAATTCATTTGATTATAATGTCTTAATTTTTGTCTTTGTTGTCTTTGCAGAAATGACAGACCTAGCTGATTAAGGAGGAGACAGGAAATTTCCAGTTGGATGAATTTCTTCAAGGCTTTTCTTTGGACTTAATTGATCTTTAGAAAAGGTTTATGTCTGCGATATAAATTCCTAGCTTTGGACAGGAATAAATGAAAATTTAACTTATTATGATATAATCTGAGATTTATTAGATTTATGAGATTTATGAAATTTCTTATTATTATCTAAGTATTTAGCACTTTAAATTATTTATGGTTAATTATCAAGTTTAATATCTTTTGAATTAGGATCTGTGCCATAACTAATATTCTTTAATCGATCACTCTAAGTCATTGGTTTTCTTTGAGTACTAAAGTCTTCATCATTACTATAATATTTTTATAACTTTTCTTTAAGATCCATTTTGCTAGAGTCACTACCCATAGGTAAATTTTAAGATTGTTTTCTGGAGTGACTTTATATTTATACTTATTATTATTATTATTATTACTATTGTATATTACTGTCCTAAATAGATAGTTGTTAATGATTTTGGCTCACTATTGATTCTACATTGGTGTTATTATTTTTAATTATAAAATCTTCTTATTATTCTATTTCTCCATCCTAACTTACTATATTAATTATAGCCATTTCATTTTTAAGAATAGGTAGATTTTCATTGATTATAGATTACTTAAGAGATGGCAATTCTTTATTTATATTTTCTGCTTATGTGCTATTAGGACTATTGAGTTAAAAGGGATTAATATATCGAGCAGATGAATCATTCTATTACTAACTTCTATTAGTATGATATTTAGCTAAACAACTATTCTCAGTTTTATCTAATTTTAAGTTACTATTTCTATTTGATTATTGGTATTATTGTCCAATTAATAATGCATCTATTTCTGTGGTTTATTATTCCTTATTATTTAACAATCTATTGCTAAATGAATGAATGTAGTTTTTCCTCATATCAAATGATGATGAAGCAACAGTTCTAATTTCATAATTAACTTTTTTTTCAAGCATTGGTGTTTAGTTTTTTATTAGATTTCTTTTCACTCTGCCTAAGATTTAGATATGCAATGGTTGAATCACTTTATGTTCTGCTTACCTTTTTGTTAACAATTCACAAAACTAAGCCTAATCCACAAATGATATTAATTATAGATGTCCTGCTAATACTCTTTCAACTATTGTTAAAATAAATAGTTCTTCTCTTTATATATTTCTTTTATTGTCAACCTCAAATTCATAAGCTTTCATTTTTATATTATAAAATATAAAAAAGAAATATCATAGATATAAATTAATTGAACTACAAATAGCTTATTAAATCAAAGGTTAATAAAATCTAATAATCAATTATAATACTTAAATTCTCATTTACAATTTTTACTTTATTTTAAAGTTGAAATCTAAAATTTAGGTTTTTTCATTAAGGATTAGTATATTGGTTAAAATTGATTGAATGAAAATATATATTCTAAATATCTATATGTTTGGATATCGTATTTATTATAAGAAAGAGGTTTCTAATATAGAAAAATGAAAAAAAAGCTTTGGACAAGTAAATTAAGGAAAAGAAAATAATTATTAAGTGTTTTTTCATTATTTGATTTTAAGTTTTAGATCTTTTGTAAATCTTAGAATGCCTAAATTATTAAAATCCTAGAATTACAAAGATAAATGTATCAAAAATATTTTCAAAGAATTTTACTGAAAAATTTAAGATTAACAATATATAATTGGCTGATTATAAATGAATTATAATAACTATTTAAAAGCAACTGTTACAAAAACTTTTAGTATATAAACTTTTAAATTTATTTTATTCGATTTAATATTTGATTTTTATTTATTTAGCAATCCTTTAACTAAAATAATTTATCATTATTATATAAATATAAAAAACTTAATTACAAAATTAAATTTAAAAAAAAGAAAGAAATACTCAGTATTTATATTTTATGATCTCCTTGATTTATTAAAAAAATAAATTATTGTTATAATTAATAATTCAATAATAATATATTATAATAATGATGATGATAAATTAAAATGACGGTTTAACTTTAGTTTAAAATCATTTGAATAATAAATAATTTATTACGTATTATTTTTACATATTTCTTTATAATATTAGAAATTTGCTACTGTACTAAATTTCAAGAATGGAAACAAATAATCTAACTACTAGCTTAAGATCTCAAAAACAATATTATTAATAATTAATATTTAAAACAGAAAATATAAAAAGATGCTTCACAATTGAGTAGAAATCCTACTTTTTCTAGATTTTTTTAATTTTTCGACATCTCTATGCTTGTGTAATGAGAAGTGAGTGTTTTTAAGTTAAAATCTCACAAATTTAGCTTCTTCATTAAAATATCTCGAGGAAGATCGAGACTTGTTGCTTTATTTTTTAAGGATTCCTTTGACTGATTTTATATTCTAGTTATTAGGGTTTTGAGGATTTTTGTTTTCTTCAAAATTTGGAGAATTATTTTTGTCTTGGTCTTAACTCTTACTGTTAAGCATTTTATTATCATTTAAAAAATTGTTAGATTCTACTAGGAAGGAGTTAATAGGTGCACCTGGATCATTTACTCTTACTTCCATAAATACTGCTTTTGCTTAAGGTCTTTCTATTTTTTGAGAAATATGTGCTTTAATATTAACATGAGATTTTTGTATTTGACTTCCCATTTTTGATAAATTAATTAATCTGAATAATTAGTAATGTTATAACTTTTATAGGATTAATAAAGGATATTAAATTTATTAGAATTCACAATTATTTTCATATTTTCAAAATTTAAATTAAATAATAAATATTAGGTAATCTATGATAAGTACGAAAGTTATATAAAAAGATATAATAAATTGATTTAATTCATAATAATTTATTGATACAATAAAAATGAAAGTAGCACAATTTTAACAATTCCATAAATAAATTTCTAATTAATTTAATTATGGTATATTATTATAATAAAACAATGACTTATAAATTTTTAGATTATTTATATTTTATAAAATTAAGTATTTATTCATTATGTAAATGAGAATAGAGGATATATTTCAGATATTTTTGAAAAGAATTTATAATTTTAGACATTTCTATCTCTTTATTGAAATATATGTATAGATTTAATTGTTGCATAAGCTTGCATTTTGATTATAAAGAAAAGGGTCTAGCAACTAAGAATAAACAATAAAATTAAATTAATTGTTTAATCTTGTTTATGATCTCAACAGAATTATTCATTAAAATTGATTTATGTTTATTTTATTGCATCTTTTTCTTGAATGTTTAGGATAAACCTAAACCTTTTGGAATTTAGATATTGGGATTCATATATTATAAACATTTCAGACAAGCCCAAAACCAAACTATAAAATAGTAGTAAAATTAGAATAAGAAATCTTCGATTCAACATAACTATTGATATGTGATTCAGAAATTACTCTTTTAAAAGAAAACTGTATTTATGATGTAAATTCTTTTGATCTGAAAAGAAATACATAAATCATATAGCTAATACATGGTTTCAAATTAGAAAAGTATTAAATGCAGTTATTATCTATGAAATAATTTAATGAGTTCTCATAAGTATTAGGAACCGATTCAAAAACAATTTCAAATTTTTCCATTACAATAAGCACAATGGATATTTCCGAATGTGCATCGTATTTAAAACATATAAAATTTTAGATTATGCCAAAATGAAGGTATCTGTAAAGATGGTATGTGTGAGTGTATAGAAGGATATTTTGGAGCTGATTGTAGTATTGAAGCTTTTGATATAACTAAAGAATCTCTATATCATAAGAATGGATTTTACTATTTTAATATTAAAGGATGTGACTAAAATACTTGTTCTCTCAATATAAAATTTACTTAAGTGGGAAAATATAAACAAACTTGTTATGCTGAAGATTGGTATTTATTATAGTAAAATATGATTGAAAAAAGAGAGATAAAAATTACAGATGTCCAGTCATGTTTATCAAAAATCAATAATTAAAAATTGAGTCCTTAACAATTTTCTTATTATATTTTTTATTTTGAAACAGAATGTGAAAATTCATAAGAACCAAACAATTAGAATACTAAAATTATATTAATAATTGTTATAACAACAGTTGCAGGATCTATAAGTTTATGTTGTTGTATAGTTTGCTATTACTACTTTTGTAGAAAACAGAAGGAAGAACACCAGATACTTCCGACTATGTCATTGTATCCAAAAACTGACATACAAAGATACCTACCTAAACAATTATATAAGACATTGATAAGTTAATATCCAGGTTTGGCATCTACAGATGAATGTTTGATTTGTCTTGATAAAATTAAGGAATCAGATTAAGTAAGATTGACTTATTGTACTCATATCTTTCATATATAATGTATTGATAATTGGTTGGAGAAAAATAGAATTTGTCCAGCATGTAGATCTGAATTAGATGAGGTGACTTTGATAAAAATAGCAAAATAAAAGAAAAATGATTCCTTAATGTTTGAAAACAAAGCCAGTCGATTGTATGGTGATATGGGTACACCAAATTTAACTATGACTCCTCAACTTCGATCAGTCGAAATCACTCATAGACACTGAGGTATTTGCTAATTTTTCGCTTAATGAATTATTCTATAAGTTCATTAAAATTTTATTTGTTTTTCAGTAATCCCAACTATAGCTTTACAGTTTCTACAAATATGATAGATATCTTTGCAATCATTCATAAACAAGACAACCGAACCTAATGGACTTTAGAATAAATTAATAAAATAACCCACATATACATTACATTGCTATACACATCAAGTATGTCCACATTCCTCTTTAGTATACTAATTTTGTTTCTCCTATTTGATCACAATGAAAACACATGATAACAGCTGAATCTGTATAGCCATTTGTATTAAAAGGTAATTAGTTATCGTTATCAAAATCAATTTATTGAGCCATAATATTTTAAATAAAATATAGGAATAAGAAACTTATGATAGTATAAAAAATAAAGCAATTTATCAATATAAAATTAATTCAAATTATACTTCTCACATATATAGAAATATTTAAGATTTTTGATATTTTTAATTAAATTTAATGACATAGAATTTCTTTAATGATCTCTATCATACTACTATATTTAAATTATTATATTATAAATTATTGAAATATATAGATGCAAGCATTTTTTAATGATTTAGGACCTATACGAGAATATGATGAAAGAATAGAAGAATAAGATGATACAATATATTCATAAATAGTTGTTTATGATAGGGAATCAATAAAAGTTGAACAAAGAAATGATAAAGATCTTTTTGAAGGAATACAAGGTTCTTTTAATATTGAGTTACAAGAGACTATGGAAACAAGTATCATTAAATTATAATTAGCTTATAATAAATATAATGAACTTATTACAATTGCTACAGAATTAACTTAATTATTTGGTTTATAAGACATGTTTACGTTAAAAACAACTTAATTGACAAAGTTATGTCTAATTGGATAAATGTAGATATAATCAGTGATTGAGAATCTTAGTAAAGATTATTCTCACATTATTGGAGACTTTTGTCTCTATTCAAAAGATATTAACTTAAATTATGTTTACTAAATTCTATCTATTTTAAATATCAATCTCTTACCCAAAATCTTAAATGTATGTGAAGAATTTTTCATTAAAAATCATACTAGAAAACCAAAACATATTCTGATTGAATTACACTATAATTTATCTAAATTTTTATGTGTTTTAGAAGCTTTTCCTCATGCATGTGCCTCGTAAGACATTAAATATGAATATAAGAATAACATAATTGTTAAAGAAATTGCAAAAAAAGAATAAATTGATCATGCTTATAAATTTATATTGTCTGCTATACAATCAGCTTAAGCAATGATGTAAAAGAAATCTGAAACAGAAACTAAAATTTTCAGAGGTATTATTCACAATTTAGGACCTATCTATTATATGTTGGCTAGAAAATAAGGCTTATTGAAAGCACATTAATTAATGGCAGAACCAACAGTAGAATTGGCTTTTGCAGTTTGGAATATGGGTGAAACAGGTTTAGCTAAACATTTAATGCCAATAATATTTCCATCTATAAAATACAAATAATGTATATATATTCCAAGATATTTTAAACAAATTAATCTTGAATATGTTAAATACTATTAGAAACATTATATGGGTATAATCACTCCACCTTAGCCATTAATTGATAAAAGCCCAAAATTATTATCTTTTTATCAATTAATTGAAAATGGGGATGATAGAATTAAAATTCGAATTCTTAATTCAGAAACTTTAAATATAAGTCCATCCTCAAGTTTATAAAATTACTATTAAGATCCATTAATTTAGATATCTAGAACTAGTTTTATTGATAGATTGTTTCATAAGAAAACAAACACAACTTATGAAAATATTATAATACATATACATGGCGGAGGATTTGTTTCTATGTCCTCAAGATCTCATTAAATATATACTAGATTATGGGCAAACTCTCTAGGAGTACCTATATTTTCAATTGATTATCGATTATCTCCTTAATATTCCTTTCCTGCAGCTCTTGATGACTGTTGGCAAGCTTATCTTTGGATTATTCATTTTGCATTACATTATTTTAGTAATAATCTCTAATATACATTTAGATATAACTCCAAAAAAAATTATATTAATTGGTGATAGTGCTGGTGGTAATTTATGTGCTGCATTAACTGCTTTATGTATACGAGAGAGTGTATATTTGCCTGCTGGTATTATTTTAGCATATCCTGCATTGAATCTTGATCCAAAAAATTTCAATATGTATTAATTTGTTTCATTAGATGATGGATGTAATTTAATTTGTCAAATATTTAGTATTACCTCATTCATTTTTGAAATTATGTGTGAAATCTTATATTTAAGATGAAACACTTAATTATAAGGATTCTTTGATATCCCCTGGTGAAGCCATTGATGAAGTATTGTAACAATTCCCCTAGACTTATATTTTGACAGGAACAAATGATCCTTTGCATGGAGATACTTGGACATTATTAGGAAGATTAATGTATTCTATTCAATTCTACTTAAGTAATTTAGGAAAGAAATGCAAATTGTATAAATATGATTACATGCCTCATGGATTTTTGAATTTTTATAATTTGATCCCGAATGGAGAGTAATGCATCAATGACGTTACTCAAATCATAAAAGACATATTTTCTTAATGAAGATTAATGATAATTTTAATTTTTACTTAGAACCAATATAAATTACAATTTTTTTATTTGTATATTACAATTAAAGTGAAAAATATTTCATTATTCTTTATTTTTAGCGAAAAGAGATTAAATCACAAGTAATTATAATTAATAATGAAGAAAATTTCAAATCAGTTAAAAAATGTTGACTTTTTCAGCGTAACATACTCCCCTGCCATATCAGATGGACTTAATTATAACCATTCTAGTGTTATTGGTGGAATTATCTCCATGATAATCGGTGCTTTAAGTTTAATCTATTGTATATACTATATGTATATGTGGTGGAGTTATTAGCTATTGCCAAAAGTTACAGAAGATATAAACAATTTTTAGGAGGATACTGATTTTGGTTTCATCAATAATAGAATGCAGGTAATTGCATATGATAATAGTGGATTATCTCAGATTAATCCATTTAAAAGTGATGAGATTATCTTGATGCCATTAATAATAGATCTTGATGTTGGCAATTTTGAACCTCTAATTAGTAATATTACAGATGAATAACTACTGGATATAAATATTAAGATGGGGAAAGATAAATAATTTATAATCATCTTTACACTTTGCAAAGAAGAATATTTGATTGATGATTACAAATGTGCTTCTGAAGAAGTCTAATAGAATTACTTTAGTTAATCAGGCAATATGTTGTATACCAATATAGAATTCACTACTATAAATCCATCGACATTTGAACCATAATAATTTCTTAGAACTTATCCAATTTATGTTCACTCTGATGCAGAACTATGCTCTTAAATTACCTTACATTACTAATTAAATCATTACCAAATAAATAAGGCATTTTTATTATCAAACGATATAGAAGAGTATAATTATATATCAAATTCTCTGAATTATCCATAATTTGGTACTAAGAGTTATTGTGATAAAACCTTTTTACCAAATACTTATGGAGTATATTGGATACTATTTTAATAGTAATATCGTACAATCTAAATTGGATATCCATCAATTAGTGAAGTTTTTGCAGCAATAGGATCAATTATCAGTATACTATTTTCTGTCAAATATTTAATAACTATATTAAATTTATCTTAAATGAGATAATCTGTATTAGATGACATTATGAGACAATATTATCCTGAAATTAGAAGATTTGATATCATTAAAAACTTTTGGGGAAAAATAAAATCAGTTAAATTTGATGGTTTGTAAGTAGAATTACCTAGTTTTTTAGCATTTCAAAAATAGATACATTCTTAAATGGCTTGTAAATTAAATTATAAAAATCTATTATATGAAATGTCAAGATTTTAATTTATTATAATGTCAATCAAAAGACGAAAAGAGATAGAAAAAGTTCATAATATAGGAATTAAAGTACCTATGAGATTATCAGATTCAGGAGAATCATATGTTATTTCAGAGGGTATCTAAAACCAATAGAAAACCCTTAATTTTAGACACATGAACACACTTTCAACTAAATATGATATATTATCTATTAATGATGCATTAATATTAAGTTAAGATTATAAAAAGTGTATGTAATAACCAGAAACTTAAATTGGTTTGACAACTAATAATGTAGAAAATGTTAATGATAATGAGGAGAATGAAAGAGATTAAGATTTCTATGATATTAATTATGTTAAATAGTAAGAATTACAAATAAAAAATAATCATAATGATGAATAATGATAAAAGTTAAATCAATAAATTATAAATTTTTATAGTTTTTTATAAAATAAAAATATGTTTTTTATATTTGTCTTCTAGATTTATTCATATATTAAATTCTAAAAAAAAATAATATAAAAATCTTTCGATACCATTGAAAAAAAATAAATTTATGATTATTTCTTTATAGCTGAAAATATATAATTAATCGATTAAATTTCTTAATTTTGAATGAAATATTCAAAATCCATTAATATTATATGATCACTTTTTCTAATTATTATTAATAATAGATTTTATTAAGATTATCTAATAATCCTTTTTGGTTTTGCTGTGTAACATGTATTTAAAATCATGATTTTAATAAATTAATATATTTTAAATAAAGGAATCTAAAAGTTTTTGTCCTACTGAAATTCGATCTCAAATTATATTCAGCTAATAATATACATAAATAATTAAATTTATTTTATTTTCTTTTTAAATCCTTATTCTATATATTACAAAAATTATACTATTTGCTATTTTTCAGAAAGTATAAAATGGCTATTCAGAAGAAGTATAGTAATAGAAAAAGTTTTCTAAGATTAAAATTATAATCTATAGATTGTTAAATATAATACAATTGATTTATAATAAAATAAATGGATACATTATTCGACTTAATTATTATAGGATTGGGTTCTCATGGTAGTAATTGCTTTTCACATTTTTCTGGCAAAATGAAAGTCTTAGGTATTGAACAATATATTTCCCCACATACAAAGGGGTCTCATAATGGTGAGACTAGAATTGTCAGGGAAATGGGTTATTCTGGAGAATATGTGGATATTGCTAGAAGATCCCTTGAATTATGGAAGCAATTACAAGACTCAACTAGTGAACAAGTATATGTGAATTCAGGAGGAATTTTATTTGGAGATTTAAGTGATAGTCAATTTAGAAATCAAATATAATAACATAATCCAAACCTATAGCAATTGAAAAGTCAAGAAGTTGAATCTAAGTTTCCAATAAAGACATCTTAGGACTAATAATTTTTCTTTGATAAATCAGCAGGTTTTGTAAGACCAGAATTAGCAATATCTATCTTTATAAATTAGGGTAGAGCAAAAGGAGGACAGGTTATTAATAATTGTAGATATATAAATCATATATATAAAGGAGATGAAATTCATGTTTATACAGATTTAGGAGTATTTAAGTCAAAAAAGTTGATTTTATCACTTGGAATGGGTCTAAAGAGATTATAAAATACATATCCTTTGGATATTAACATTTATAAACAATAAGTTGTATTCTTCAAAACGGATAATAAGAACTTTGATAAATTACCAGTTTTCATTAGTGAAAATAATTCATTAGAAATTTATGGATTTCCAAGAATAAATGGGGAAGTAAAAATAGGATTGCATCATTTTGGTCCATCTTTAGAACATCCAGATTTATATGATCAAACAAAGAATGAACAAGGAAGTGTCAACTTAATTAGATAGTTTTTGATTAAATATATGCCAGAATTAAAAGATGCTATAGTATCTCGAGTAGAAACATGTGTTTATACAAGCACAAAAGATCATAATTTTACAATAGATTTTGATCCAAGATCTAAAAATACAATAATTTTAAGTGCATGTTCTGGACGTAATATAAATATTATAGAAAATAGATGGATTTAAATTTTGTATTGTTATGGGAGAAATACTTGAAGAAATGTTCAACACTTAAGTTCAAAAATATTAATCATTTTAATTAAATAGATTCTAGAAGCCTAAATTTTGAATATTGATAACGAATCAATGAATATAAAATTTTAATAAATTAATTCATATTAAATATCTTCATGTAATAAAAAGCAGACTACAGAAAGGAATTAGCAGAAACAGCATAAAAAATCTGTACTCCTGGAAAAGGAATTTTGGCAGCAGATGAAGTAATTAATGATTTCATTGTTAGTCTTAAGGAACTATTGGAAAGAAGTTTGTTACTATCAATGTGGAAAATAACGAAGAAAATAGAAGAGCCTACAGAGAATTGTTGTTTACATCTCCTGGAATTGAGAATTATATTAGTGGAGTGATTCTTTTCTCAGAAACTGTATTTTAAATTAGATACATTTTTAGGTTAAACATGCTACAAAAGATGGCAAGAACTTTGTTGAATTATTAAAAGAAAAAGGAATTGTTGCTGGTATCAAAGTCGATAAAGGTTTGGGAGTTATTCCAGGAACATAAGATGAATCAGCCACTCTTGGATTAGATTCATTAGCTAATATGGCTGCAGAACACTACAAGCTTGGTTGTAGATTTGCTAAATGGAGAGCTGTATTGAAAATTGGCAATGGATTACCATCCTAATAAGCTATCCAAGAAAATGCCTGGGGATTAGCAAGATATGCTGCCATTTGTTAAGAGAATGGACTTGTTCCTATTGTTGAACCAGAAATCTTGGCTGATGGTGATCATTCCATAGATGTGTGTCAAAAGGTAACAGAAAAGGTCTTGGCAGCTGTCTTCAAGGCTTTGAATGAAAACAATGTTTTCTTAGAAGGATGTCTTCTTAAACCCAATATGGTCACTCCAGGATCAACTAATACTGATAGAAGCAAGGTCACTCCTTAAGAAATTGGATATAGAACAGCTTTGGCTTTGAGTAGAACAGTTCCTCCTGCACTTGTTGGAGTCACTGTAATAATCTAGAATTTATAAATAGTTCCTTTCAGGTGGATAATCAGAAGAAGAGGCATCTTTGAATTTGAATGCCATGAATTAATTGACAACTGTTAGAAAACCATGGGCTCTAACATTCTCTTATGGAAGAGCTCTTTAAAATACAGCTGTTAAGACTTGGGCTGGCAAATAAGAAAATTGGGAAGCTGCTTAACAAGCTTTATTAACTAGAGCTAAGGCCAATAGTGAAGCCTAATTAGGTATGAGTTTCTTTTTAATAAATTCAAGGTAAATACTAAGGAGGACAAGGGGGAGCTTCCAATGAGTCATTATTCGTAGCAGATTACAAGTATTGAGTATTATGATATTTCATAAAATAATACGTAATATCGTCATTATTTATTCTAAAAATATCATCATATATAATTTAATGACGAAATTTGGGAATAATATCATAATAATACGTAAATTTGTAATTATTAACGTGGATATTAATTTGTATTAATTTATGTAACAAGTCAATTAATTGAACTCCACTTAATAACACATATTTTCCCATTTGACTTAAGCTCCCCCTGATCAAATTTTTGGAATTATGAATGCTTATAAAGCAGACACTTCCGATAATAAGATAGATCTTGGTGTAGGAGCCTATCGTACAGATGAGGAAAAACCATATGTATTTGACGTTGTGAAAAAAATTGAATAAGAGATCATTAACGACAATACATTAAATAAAGTATGAGTGATATTTAGAATTATTAAGGAATATTTACCAATTGAAGGTTTGCCTGATTTTAACAAGGGCTGTTAGATGTTATTATTTGGCAAAGACAATCCCTTAATTGAAAGTGGAAGAATTGTAACAGCTTAATGTTTAGGAGGGACAGGAGCTCTTAGAGTAGGATTTGATTTTGTTAAAAGACATTTAGCAGGGGATGTCTATGTCTCGAATCCAACATGGAGTAATCATAATCAAATTCTTGACAGAACAGGATTAAATTAAGTAAATTACCCATATTATGATCCTAATACAAAAGGATTTAATTGTTCAGCAACTCTTGATTGTCTATCATAAGCTAAATAGGGTTCAATAGTATTATTACATGTTTGTGCTCATAATCCAACAGGTGTTGATCCAACTGAAACTGAATGGTTATAAATTGCTGATGTTTGCAAAGCAAGAAATTTAATACCATTTTTTGATTGTGCTTATTAAGGATTTGCTAGTGGATGTATTGAAAAGGATGCATTTGCTGTTCGTAAATTTGCTGAACTAGGATTTTAAATGATTGTTGCTTATTCTTTCTCAAAAAATATGGGTTTATATAATGAAAGAGTTGGAGCATTACATATTGTCACACCTAATAAGGAGATTTCTGCAATAGTATTAAGCAATTTAAAAATTGTAATCAGAACTCTGTATTCTTGTCCTCCTGCTATTGGAGGGAGAATTGCAAGTAGGATTCTTTGTAATGAGAAATATTTCAAAGAATGGATTGAAGAATTGAATACAGTTACAGGACGTATAATACGAATGAGAACTCTTCTAAAGAATGAATTAGATAAGCTTAATGTTTAAGGAAATTGGGATCACATTACTAGATAAACAGGATTCTTTACATTTACAGGTTTGACACCAGAGTAATGTGATAAATTGACATAAGAACATCATATTTATTTACTTCGATCAGGAAGGATGTCAATGGTATAAATTCTTATTTATTATATAGGCAGGAATAACTTCTAAAAATGTAAGTTAATTAGCAGAAGCAATTAAAATTGTTGTCTAGAATGAATGTGATATATTATTAAATAATTGAATAAACTATTATCATTGAAGGCTTAGCTCAGGGGTAGAGCGTTGGATTCCAGGTCCAGGGGTCGCGCGTTCAATTCGCGTAGTCTTCATATTTTTTATTTTTAATAAATAAAATTATATATTTTTTTAATTTATGTTATTTATGGAAATTTATTAGATTATTTGTTCAAATGAATAAAATAGTGATTAACAATATAATTTATAAATTTTATTTAAAGAATCATATGGAATTAGATTTTAAATACATTTTAAATTTCCTATTGTTGTAATAATATTAAAATAGAACTAAAAATACTTAATTTAAAAATTTATATATATATATATATAAATTTTATTTCAATGATTAATAATTTTTCTTATATATTGTCTTATTGATGCAGTTTTATGGATTATTTATAATGGGATTATTGTTAACATTAATCGATTCTTGAGCATATCACTCAAAATACGAAATACAAGAGGAATCCATACAAAAAAGTATATGAAAAACAGGAATATATTGAAACTAATGAAAAGTACTACTTTTAAGTTTTTATTATTTTATGCATTTTTCTTCACAGAGTTAATTAAGGCTTAACTTATATATTTATAAGCAGCTTTGATATATCTTTCTTACATCAATCTCATATTGTAAGCTTGATTAGTATTAATTTAATTCATCATATAATTAGTTCTCTTATTTTCAGAAATATTGTAAACTAATTAATAATCATTAGACTCATTGTATTGATTATAAGAGTTTAAGACTTGCCTAAAACTTTCGAAGTATTTGGCCATTCCAATAGACAATCCTTATTATAAGACTCCATCATTAAAGTTTAAACAAATATCATAAGTGATTTCTTTATCGATTTGAACAATATAATCACAAGGAGTTAAAATGAATATATTGTTGAATACCTACAAGTATTTCAATTTATTTTTACATCTAAGTAGTCCGAATTAAGAATGTCTGAATTGGAAGAATGGATTTAATGTATGGCTGCATCCAAGTTATATAGTTCAGTAATCAAAAAGTTCAGAACTTCAACTGAGGAATTGCCAACAAAAGTATACTTCTCAACTTCTAATGCTTTTCTTAAGGCATTATCAGAATACCTGTAATAGCACTCTGAGAAAGAAGTCTAATTAAAAACAGGTATTAACTTTATGATATTGGATGTTTCAGACTAAATTAATAATAATATAAATTACCTAAACTGAAACAAATAAATAAATAAAATAGGTTGCCATAACAACAATAACCAAAAACAAGGCAAGTATTAAATGCTTATAATTTTAATTGGAATTTCTAAACTTCTTCCTCTTTTTTCTTCCATTTAATAATTGATCTCCTTCTTCTTTTTCTTTTTCTTTATTTTCATTTTCCTCATCCTTTTCATCATTATCTGAGAAAAACTATTATATTAAATAATTGTAATGATTACATCATCATCATCATCATCCCCTACTTAAAGACTAGTAATGAAATTCTCACACTTTACATATATAGATTTAATTTTTTTTTCATTTAAATCTAAAAATAATTGTAAAGCTGCTTAATTAACTACTTAGATCTTGATGATGAATAAAATAATAAAGCATATTCTAATATAATTAAATGAGATACTAAAAAAATAATATGATAGATGCTGTAGTTAGAAATGCAGTTACTGAAGTTTCTAATAATTCTCCTCTTGATATTATGTTATATTTAAAATATTCAGCTGGAATAGTTAAAGTTTATGTTAAAGAATTGAAAACATTATATTCTATATAAAATACGTCGCCATTTTGATCATTAATCTTATCTAAAGAGGTACTATTGATTTACAATGCTTTTGCAATAGAAGATTATAATGCTTCATTAAAAGTGTAATTCTAAGTTCCTCCCTCCAAAGTTGCCATTTCAACAATTTACATTTCATAATAATCTTCTACCCATTTATAATCCTTACCAATCTCAGCAGAAACCAAAGTCAATTCTTTTTATAATTAAATTAATTATTGCAATTCCTTATCCAACCATCCTCTAAATTACTATTCAACTTTTATATATCCAATCTAAGGATCTTTTAATAAAGGATATTAATCATAATGTAAAGCTTTTAAATCTTATATGACTGATTAGATTCCCATTAAAGTACTTGATCTTTAATTATTTTCTGAAACTAAAGGTAAAGAATCCAATAGATTTTAATTGAAATCAGAGTTGATGAAATATTCTAAGAAAGTTATCAATACCAAAACTAATGTCATTATATTTATAAATATTCTAAAATTGATTGCAGTTCTTGGTATTTTAGATTGAGATAATAATTACTCTAATTGACTTTTTGATCTATATAAATTTATTGTATCTTTTTCATTCTTTTAATCTTCTTCATTATTGTCATTCTATTAAAATAGACTTTACATATTATCATCTTCATATTCATCAGATTTAGATTCTTCTATTTCAACAATTCGATCTCCAATTAATCTAACAATTTTGATTCCTTCTCCATAATTTGTTTAACTATCACTACCTTAAACTTGGGGATCAATAATAATTTATTAAGATATTTTTGTTTGATCTTCCCATATAATACTTTAATCTATTTTAACAGTAGGATCTTAAGAATCTAATCCATTTCCAAAATCCAATAAATAAGTTAAATTTTAACAATTAAGTTTAAATTAAAATTAATTTTAAATGGTCTTATTTTTTGTATATAATTAATTTTTCTCCTATGATTTAATTTTCTCTAATTTTATAATATACCCTTATAATTTATTTTAAATTATTTCATCTTCTATGCATTAAAATTTAATTTCTTGAAGGAAACATTAAAATAATACTTATTATTTATTTTGATTATCAAGTATTTATGAATGATCTATTTCTAAATCTTGTAAAGAATTATGAGATGTATTGGTCTTTGATGATCTAGTTCCAATTATATAACTAACTACACCACCTGCTTTTTATAACAATTCTTCTTTACGATCAAATATATCAGAAAAGATATCTATAATATTAACAGGTTTAATAGTAATTGATTTCAATTCTAATCCAAACATTCTAATACAAGTTGAATTGATATTTTCTATAATACCATTTGTTTAACATAAAAATATGCTTACAGGTTTATGATAGATATCTTATTTGATTGTTCCACACATAAAAACACCTGAATTAATAGTTTATATCATTCTTATATTTAATTGACAAGGTATAATGTAACCTTACTTATTTTTAACATAAATAGATTTCTCTTTAACTTAATAATTTGAGTTATTGTCTTGAAACTTTTCCAGAAAATTCTCAAGAAAATGATCATGATACTTTGAGAAACTATTTATATAATATTTTATTAATACAGATCTGGTTATATTAAATTTAATTTTCTATTCACTAAATCAGTTTTAGCATATCCTAATAAACTACATGCTGCTTTATTTAAATTACTAATAGTTCCAATTTTATCAACATCAGTCAATATTGTTATAGTAGGTAATGATTCATTTTAGATTTCTTCTAAATCAATTGCTTTAAATTTATCATTCTAATTCATACGACTTTATTAAATCAACTTTAATCCCATTTCTTCATCATTCATTATTTATGAATAATATTTACCCATCAAACGATTTAATTTAGATGCTTTTTAATTTAATCTTTTTAATCTATTCCATTATTCTTAAACTAAATTTACAGAATCTAAAATCTTAAATCCTAAATTATTAATTCTACCAATATCTGGAATCTCCTCTTATAATTATGCCCAAAAATCAATATATATTAAAGATGTTTTCTCTATTTATTATATCAATTATTTGCTTTAAGTTTAAAAAGCTATTTCAGTAACTAAATCAACTTAATTTAAATTCTCTTATTATTATTCTTATAAATCATCTTCCATTATTCGTTTATATCTATATATAATAAATTCATGATCAAAACTTGGACCACTTGATTCTGCTTATTGTAATTCACTCAAAGCTTATTATTTTAACTTTAGTCTATCAATTAAAAAATATGAATAATTTAATCTTAAAAAAACATCTTATGGAAACTATTTAATACCATCATAATAGATTTAACTAATCAATTCTATAAATACAGTATATCTTTCTATATCCTAAAGAGTAGCATGTTTATTTTTATCATTTAAACTCTTTTTTGCTTTTAATATACAATCATTTCTATAACATGTTTGTTTATGTATTTCTATAAATCCATCTAACATTAATAATGAATGTTAATCATTCTTATCCAATAATTATAATAAATATTCACATAAAATAATTATTTATTATCCTGATGTTGCTCTATTGATATTAGAACTCAATAAATCTACTTCAAATAATTGTTCATTTATTATAATCATTATAATTAATGGTATACCACCCACCCAACCCCAAATAACATCTCTAAAATATTGACCTTCTAAAAGATAAGCAAATATTAACATAATAGAAGTCCACATATTCAATGCTGTAATTATAGACCATAATTTTTATACAACTTTATTATAAAAAGGCTTTTCTGTATGAATTTAATAAAATAGAAAAAAACTTGATATTGTAAATATAGTTAAAAACAAAGAGCTAAATCTTGGTGTTTCAAGTAATTAGTATGACATTATAATGATAAAAACATTAATGTGATAATATGAAAATGGTCTTCCTGATCTTTATGCATAAGCATTACCATAAACACATTTACTCTCAAAATATATTAAACATGTTGTGCTAGTTAATATCTGAAATAGAAGGATGCCAATGATTGCAAATATAGCATGAATATAATGATCATTTCCCCAACATTCAACATCTGCATTATAAGACCAAATCTCAACACCATCACTATTAACTTTACAAGAAAGAAGCTATTATATGTAAAAATGAATATTATACTCCAAAAAATAAAAGCATAATAGGGAGAAATCCTATAGTCAGAAATAACTTTAACAATAATTTCAATATTAATAATGGAAGTACAGCAACCTTAAATGCAAATGCAAATATTATGAATAATGCAATAGATAAAATTACTAATCCAAAGAAAGTGTAAAAAAATGCTAAATAAAGCTCTAATTTTTATTATCTTAAATGAGCACTAATAACAAAGTAACTTATAATATATTTAAATTATTACGATAGAATTTTACTAAGATCTGTTGCTGCTTGTTAATTATTCCATACATATGATATTTTAGATCCAAAAGCCAAATATGTTAACTGTAATAATTAAACAATTGAAAATAAGATTGCTACATATAACGATTCTTCACCCTATTTCATCATCAAATAAACTACTCTAATATATATATATGTTTGTCTATTTACTTATAAATACTTAGTTTTATCTCATTGATTAATCTGATTATTTAAGATATATTTACATCAGATGATGAACGATTGAACATTCTTATTATTATAATAATTATCTAAATATTAATTTTGAGATTTCGCAATTCAAATAAAATTGCTTTATCATTATTTTAAAAAAAGTAAATACATTTTGATAATGAGTCTTAAACAAGAATTTACATAAACTCTTTGGGATTAATTTAAGTTATCACTATTTAAGTATACATTTCTCATAATCCTAGTATTGCTTATTAAATTATTGGATAAAATAACCAATCTTTATAAACAACCTGCTTGTTATCTCTTATTTAATTTATTCAGCTTTTATATTTTCCTTTTTAAATATAGCTTTAATTTGCATGGCATAATATGAATCTATCAGGGGAAATCTAAAAGTTTTTGTAGTATTTTACTTTCTTAAGAATTCTTAACTAACAGAAAACATCCACTTATTTAATAGGAATGTATTGTGCTATAAGTATTGTTCTATTAATTGCAATCATTGTATTATTGGCGGCTATCATAAAATAACTCTTGAATAATTAATTTCTTATGTTAATACTAAGTATTGCTTTAAAATTAATCATGACAGCAGGATTTGTTGAAATCTTGAGATTGCATTTGGGAGTACATTCTTATTTATATAATATAGTTTTTAATTTGTAAAAGAGATTATAAAGGAGAATTAAGAATGTTGTATACAACTGATTAAGTATGTTGGACTGGCAGTTATATTATTCATGCTTGTATAGTTGTATTTTCATTAATTGTTTTGATCTTTATTGTAATTATTGGATCTAAATTATTTATTGAAGTTAGAAATAATAGAAAGAATGCATTTTCATAAAGAGAAGGATTTACTTACACATTTTTATATGTGTATGTATCATTATCATTGGTAGCTTACTCATTAATAGAACTACCTAAATATACTATGATTGTAATCTTAATTTAAGTTTTGACAAGTTTTCTTTTCTTTTATAAAATTAGATTCAAAAAGCCTTTTTATAATAGAAATATTTAAAAATTATGGTAAGCTATAAGTGGTTTAGTTTTTTATACAAATTTTATGCTATTAACTACATTTATATTTGAACATTTAGTATTTATTGATACAATGAAGGGTTGGATTGTATCAATGCCAATGCTTTTGGTTATTCTATTATAAGATGATAGATAAACTATAAATTTGTTATAAGCTAATATGATTTAATAACTTTCTAGTTAAGAAATAATATAACTTTCTGAATTTTTGATTGAATTATGTGAATGTTTTGAGAAAGATAAAAATAAGGAAATTCTTGTATTAGGTTTTTTGGAAGTTCATAAACAAACTTGTTTAAATCCATAATGTGCTATAAAGACATCAATTGAATTGTCTAAAAAATTTAAAGATAATCTTAAATATACAGATAAAAGAATTATTTTAAAAGAAATTATTGATTAAATTTATTTACTTGGACTTTAGACATATCCACTTAGTGTTGAGTTAAAGTTGCATTATTCTTATTTCCTTTTAGACACTCTAGAATAAGGTTAAAAGGCATTAATTGAAGTAGATAAAGCAGAAATGTGTAATCCATCTTTTGCATAAGAATTTTTAATATTTAAAATGAGGAAAATTATTGATTAAACATTTTAGAAATCAGCAACAAAAAATTAAGTTAAATACATTTAAACAATTGATAGAAGCATGAAATATTAATATAAATAAATTAAATAATTAACTGAAGAATGTGCCTATTATAAAATATAATTTTGGAATACTTTACTTGATGAAAATCCAAATTTATCATATATACAAAAATATGGAAATTTAATTCTTAAATAGATCCATTTATTAAAAAAATAATTATTCAAAATTCAAAGAAATAATCATTTAGATGTCTCTATTTATAGACTTATAGAAAAATTTTCTAAATATGTTCATAAATTAGAAAATTATAAAGGTTTTTAAATGGGAAATAAATAAAAAATTACTTCTTAATAATCAGAACATTAATATTTAAAAAATTAAGATGAACTAAGCACATATTCATATCCTGTTATAGTTTTGGAATTGTTTGGTAAAGCCAATTAACCAACAATAATAAAAAATGTCAATTAAGCTTTCCATTCTTTATTAGGATATTCTAAAACAGATGTTATTGGTAGACCATTATCATTAATCTTATAAAATACGTAATTTATTTATTAGATAAAATAGATATTTAAAATTACATAATATTTTTGTTGAATCTTATTTTTCTTAATTAAGATAAGATTAAGTTAATGAAACAGAAGAAAGATCTTAATTTTTAGTTTCTAAAAATAAATATGTTCTCTAAACTTATAGTATTAATTCAATATACATGTCTGATAAAGGTGTATTTTAATTTTGTAGATTGAGACAAGATCAATGCTATAATCATTGTGCATACTTAATCTTTAATTTAGATGGCAAAATAGAGAGTATTTCATCAACTTGCATATCTATACTCAATTTAGATATACGTTAATTGTAAATAAGATAATTAACAATATAAAAATTATTCCCTTACTTAATGTATAATAAGGATGATTATATTAATAAAATGAATTTGATTGTTTTTGAAAATCTAACAAATTCTCTTAATAAAAGTTCAGATTTTGAAGAAAAATAAAATGACTAATGTGTTACTAAGTAATATTATGCATAATTATATGAAATATCTAATAAAAATTACTTATTTTCTTAAGCAAATTGTAGACAATAAGTTTATGGATATTATTTAAAAGTTCAATTAAATGAAGTTTGTTAACCAAAAGAGGATTATTATTTAATCAAAAGAAATATTCTAAAACATTAATTTAAGTTTTCAATTGAGTAAAACTAATATATATGTATATTAAATTTTATTATAATTGTAGTTGAACATGTTAGCTAATCAACTTCTTAATATGAATCTATTAAAAATGACAGTGAAGTTTAAGATGAACCAAAAGTTTGTATGTTTACTTAGTAAAGTTTTCCAAGTAAAAAGTTTGTTTCTATGACCAATCTTAAATTATAATCAGGCTTAGGCTATGATATTAAAACTTTGAGATTATTTTAAGGAGAAATTAAGGAAATTATTGATCTAGATTAAGATGAAGAAGAAGAAGAATAAATTAGAGAAAGAACTTAAAAATTACAAGTTGAAGATGAAAAAGAATAGCCATAATAAATCAAAATATGTAATTAGGAAGACTTAATGTATTATCTCTTAGGTGTCCCTTATTCTCCACTTTTAAAGAAACTTATTATTATTCTTAATGTTTTAATGATTTTAATGTTTATCATTGCAATAGTAATGTATATGGTCATTATACAGACTCAAAGTTAATTTGAATCAGCAATAACTCTTTTAGCAGCATCTAATTAAAGATTTGCATCAATACTAAAGATTTAATCAAATTTATAAGATTTAAGAGGATGTTATTTAAATCTTGAACAATATACTATGAAATCTACAGGAGGTAGGTATGTTTAAATAAATTATGCTGAATTGAGCAATGAATTAGATATTTTATTACTAACTGATAAAATTTTAACTTCAGCTTAAATTTAGATTAATAAAAATTATCAAACAGTTTTAGATGAATTTGAATCTGCTAATGTGTAAATGTTCACAAAAGATAATAATTCTTATAACTTTACATTTACTTAAGCAATAGAATAAATGATATCTAAAGCTATCACCTTAAATAACTCAAATATATCATCTTTCATAGATGAGAATGAAGATTTCCATTATTATCTTCATAATACACTTAATTCAATTCCGAAATTTTAATTAATTTCATAAGCCTACTATTACTCAAATATTTTAAGTTTAATAGATGATTTATCTATAGAGGAAAGTTCATTTTTTACATTCTAAATCTGTTGTCTTATATTAATATTCCTATTCTTTTAAATATATGTTTATTTTCATTAAAAAGATGTAAAAGAGATTATATCTTTGTATTTAGAGATTAGAGAAAATTAAATTAAAAAGATGATTAATTAATTTTAAACCTTTATTTAATTATTATAATTAAATGAGAATGATGAAGTATTTTATATATTATTATAAGAGATTGAATCAATAGAAGATGAAGATGAAGTATAAGATGAATAAGATTATTATTTAGGAGTATCAAACAAATATAAAAAAAGAAAATCAAAATTTGAAATGGACAATTATCGAAAAGTACAAGCTAACTTCCTATTCTTTCTTACTCTACTTGTTTCCTATTTTTCTTATTTATACTTTTCATCAAGTGTAATATATGTATCTAATTACAATATAGACTATTACTGATTAAACTAAGTCTTTAGTACCTTTAGTGAATCTAACATCCTATATGCCAACATAATATAGATTAATAGATAATAGTATAAAAGAGATGCTTTATGATGAGAATGCTATTTTGTTTAATGAGTTTAATTCAAATCAAAAATTATCAAAAGAATTAGAAGAAGTCAAACTTTTGGATGCAGAACTTCATGCCTTGAATTAATAGAATGAATTAATTCTATCTGATCAATATAAAAAGGTTTTTAATGAAATTTATATTCAAAATCCATGTGATATCATATTAGCAAATGATCCATCTGTAAATTCATCAGCATGTTTAAATTTTAATAAAAATATTTTATAAGAGGGTTTATCTATTGCAATAACTAATTTTTTTGAAAATGCACAAAATATGTTACAATAATATTCATATTATGATAAAAATGCTGTATATAATAATTTAACTTTTAATATCAGTTCATAACATCGTTAAAATTATACATGTAATATTTATAATACAAGAATTGGAAATGCAAATAGAAAAATGTAAAAGGTATTTATCAGAGTGTGTCATATGCAATTATTAAAAGAATTACAAAATTATTTAAATTCACATTATTCAGATTTACAATTACAATTTACTTTACTATTCATGATATTTTGTATGATATCAGTTTTAGTATATTTTGTTGTATGGATTCCATTATAGACAAGATTTTATTTTGAATCTAAAACAGCCAGAGAAATATAGTCACTTATTCCATTAGATCTTTTTAATAATTGCTAATCTTTATAGACATATCTTAGATAAATTAAAGAGAACCGTTGATTTTTATTTGATTGAATGAGAATAAAACATAACTTTTATTATTTTAACTAAAAATAATTAAAACATCAATCCACTTAACTTATTCTATAACATATCATTTTCATTTCCTTTTTTAATTCTAACGTAATTTCGATATACTTATTTTCAGTTTTAAATCTTCATTCTTCATAATAATAATCTAATAAATTCAACATTTATAGATAAATACCTTAAGAATTTCTTTATTTTTTGAACCATTATCAGGTTTTCCATTTAATTCTTGAAATTTTTATTCTCCTATATCAAGAATAAATGATTTAAACATTTTATTGATAATATATATACGGAATATAATATTATATAGATTTATTTATCTGAAGAATAATTAAGTTATATTAATTGGAACTTTTAATTTTTCATGATCTGATATTCATTTTAATAAAATTTTATAAAATTTAATTAAAAATAATAATGTAATTAGAAGTTCCATTAACTTTTGAATTCAATTGTTTTAAAAAGGGACAAAAGGGGACAAAGTAATACAAAGGAATATTAAATAATAACAAACTTGAACTTTATAAAGTATTACGTTAATTTAATAAATTTAAGGAGAACACTAAGGCCCCAAAATATGTTTTACCTATTTAATTATAAACACATGTTAAATGGGAGGTTGAAGAAGAAATTGTTAATGGGAAGAAGCATTACAAAATTGTCTCATTTAAATTTTAATAAGTATTTTGTGATGACTAACTTTTAAGATTAAATAGATAAGAGAATCTTAAATTGCTAAGGTCACTTGTTTTTGTGGAGATGATGTTACTCTTACTAAATTAAAAGAACATCTTAGAAATAAAATAATCTTTCAAAGAATTTAAGATTTTTACACACCCCTCCAAACTTTAGGTAAAGGAGCTTCATCTAGAGTATTATTGGTTAGACACAAGAATTCAGAACTCTATTATGCTGCTAAATGTGTTGATAAGTCATATGTAAATGAAACAGAAAATGGAATTGTAATTAGCTTTAACTTAATATTAAGGAATCAATGTTTCAAGAGATTTCTATAAATAATGATTTAGATCATCCATCATTTATTAAATTACATGCAGTTTATGAAGGTGACAATACATTTTATATGGTAATGGATTTGTTGGAAGGAAAGAGTTTGCATGATGAGTTAAATAGCCATAAAAATGGATTTCCTGAAGAAATAGTGCGTAATGTGATGTGGGTATAACATTTATTTAAAATTTAATATTTAGTAAATTCTGACAGGAATAGAATATATGCATAAGAAAAATATAATGCATCGTGATCTTAAACCAGAGAACATTATGTTACAAAAAAAATCAGATTTGAATTCTTTAAAAATAGTAGATTTTGGATTGGCAACCTACTGTAATATTGACAAGTAATTATTAATTATTTAATTTAAGGTATTTATTTCCTAAATGTGGTACTCCTGGTTATGTAGCACCTGAAATAGCAAATTTAATTGATAAATAAGAAAAATATGATAAAGTATGTGATGTCTTCAGTGCTGGAGTTATATTCTTTAAATTGTATTTTTTATTATATTATAAGTTAATAGATTGACTGGTAAAGATCTCTTTCCAGGAGTTGGATTTAATTTAGTATTAAAATTAAATAAATAATGTAAAATTGATTTGACTCCATTATAAATGAAGAAAGTAGATCCTAATATCATTAATTTAATATAAAGAATGCTTGAAAAAGACCCTACAAAAAGAATATCAGCAAGTGCATGCTTATTAGATCCATTCTTTGAAAAAAGTCATATACAAAATTAAGAACTAAAACTATAATAGACTTCATCTCAAAAAAAATAATTTTTCTCTTCTGGAGGAAAGAATTTTCAAACTTAAGAATTTCAAAGTGATTCACCTTCATTATAAAATACAAAATAAATAGAAAAAGGTTCTTTTGTCACCTAAGATTGTGCATTCAAAGGATTCAAAGAACCTTAACATGGCAAAGTAATGTAAAAATTCAATACTACTGAATTTGATCATGTTGATCTTAATGTCAATGGAAGTCCTATTGAAAAAAAAAATAGTAAATTTGCAAAAACAGATTAAATAGAGGAGGAAGATGAAAAATGATATAATATAAATATTGAAAATTTAATTATTTTTTTATTATCAAAATCATTTAATATATTATCTAACTAATTATGTCTAATGAATTAGATAATAGAATCTTTTCTTCAATAGATTTTAAATAGAAATTTATAATATGATTGAATTAATCTTAGTAATATAATATTATATATTAATTATACTAATAGATTAATACTTTAATATTGTAGTTAATAGAGATATATGAAACTATATATATTTTTAATATCGTTAAAATTCCAATTTTTTTTGATAATTTTAATAAGTAATTTAGCGTTATTACTTTTTTCAAATAGTAAAAAAACGCAATCTCGTTGTTATTTTAATTTTTCCTATTTGTTTTTTCATTGTATCTTTATTCATAATATGGTTCTAATGAGTTATTAGATGGTGTTAATATATTGAATTTTGATTATAAAGAATAAATAATTACATGATGTAAGATTGAAGAATATCAATTTTTTCTTTAATAATTTTGAGTCAATCTAATCATAATTCATTAATGAGTATCTTGAATGGAATTAAATAACCAAAAGTGAAAGAAAGAATAGTTAGTATAGTTAGAAAAATAATCACTTTTGGACTTAATATTGAACTAATTTTAGAAAAGAAAATGTATATCGTTATTAACTAACTAAATATAGTGAAATAAGAATGAACAAAAAATAATAACTCAATCATTATTGTACATTTGATTAAGTTGGTGTGGATTACTCTCTCAAACGACGATTGAGAATGGGATTCTTATATGGATTGAATGTAGTATAGGTTTCTGTTGTTTCTTTTAAGATAATATCAATATCTTGAGATTTTCTAACTTTGGCCATTACTTATTTCAATTATCCATTATTTTTTTTTGTGCTTCCATGACAGACTCCCATAATTATTTATTTAATAAATTATCTTCTGATATTCATTTTAAATTGATTTTTAGATTGTGATTAATAAATTTCATTCGATTAAAATATTCATGAAACATTCCAACCATTAACTTTATAATAATTATGAGAAGTTAAGCAAATAAACAGAAAAAAAAATAATTTTCTAATGTTTTTACAATATACATGAAACATTATAGATAATTATAAAATCATTCAATTTGAGTTATAGGTTAAGGTGAAGTTGGTATTTCTTTTAGTCTTCTACTTAGTATTGGATTTTTAAAAGGATTTAAATGAGATGATTGACTAGCTCTTTTTTTCAAAATAGATTCACAATCTTGGGAAAGCCGAACTTATGCAACAACTAGTTATAGTTCACCATCATTAGATGTTTTTTTTTATTTTGAGGCAGCACAAATTCCCATTTAAAATATATTATATTAATGAAGATATTAATCAAATCAATTATGTTTTATAGTGACTTTATAAAATGACATTCAGTTTCTAAAATAAATAAAATAACATAATTTCTTATTTAAGTACTGATAAGTAACAAAATAATTAAACATACAAAAATAATGTCTATGATAAAAATATCAAAATTATTTTCAATTTATTTTATTTCTAAAGAATAATATATTATTAATACTTCTAGAAGAAAATTTAAATAAAAAAAATCAAAATTTATGTCACTTTTTTATTTGACATGAACTCGATAAAAATCAGTAAAATTTTGTATTTTTAATTATTTTTAATCATCTGATTCCTTGAAAATCCATTCTGGTATATAAATTAGTAAATGTTTTATTGGAACAGTTGCATAATAATTGAATCATCTTATTGCTAATATGAATGAAAATTAAATAAATAATTTTAATTATTCATTTTATTTTAAGGTTAAAGAAATTACACCAAAAAAATTGTTGTTTTCCAAAAATTTATAATTGTATAATTTCTTTTTAGTTGGTAAAACAATTGATTTCTAGATTGCTACTAATAAATCAATATTCTTTTTATATTAAAAATAACTAATTATTTATCATATATATGAATATTTTGATAATGTTTATAAAAATAAATTAATAAAATTTCTCAAATTTGTGACACATAATTTTAGTATTCTTAGTATATATGAATTCATTTCAAATTTAATTGGAATTATAAAATGTTCAAAAAATTATTTGCTTTAGGTCTTGGAGGAAGTTTAATAAATTATAGTATTAAATGTTGTGGAATAATTGGTGTATTAACTACAGAAGATAATGCAGAAAAAGTTATTTTTGAAGGAGTGTAATTATTATAAAATAGAGGTTACGATTCTGCAGGTATAGGTACTATCAATAAATAAAAGGAAGTAATGATATTTATATATTAAATAGTTAATAATATCAAAGCATGCAAGTGATTAAATAAACAAAATAGATTGCTTCGTAAAATTAAATCAAGAATTATAGAAACATATTCAAAGTTAAGTTGGAATAGGACATACAAGATGGGCGACTTGTGGAAGCAAAACTGATAATAATGCTCATCCCCATTCAGATATTACAAAAAGGATAGCATTAGTTCATAATGGAACATTAGAAAATTATGTAGAATTAAAAGAAGAGCTTATTTAAAAAGGGATTTAATTTACTTCAGAAACAGATTCAGAAGTAATAGCCCAACTGATAGGATTAGAAATATAGAAGCATAATTTTTTAGAAGCAGTTGAATCTGTCTTAACAAAATTGAGAGGATAATGGGGTCTAGCAGTGATTGATAGAGAAAATCCTGCATAAATGATTGTATGTAGATAAGGAAGTCCACTTTTAGTAGGATATGCTGCTAATAGTATATTTGTAGCAAGTGAAAAGATTGCATTTGAGAAATATACATAAAATTATATAGCATTATAAGATGGTGAAGTAATGCTATTGTAATTAGAGAATAGAAATTAATTATATAATCAAATAAAACATAGATTAATTTTTAATGAGAATTAAGAAGTTGAATAAATACACTTAAAACCAAAATAACCATATTAAACATTTTTTGAAATGGAAATAAATGAATAACCAAATAGTCTTTTAAGATGTTTAGGAAATGGAGCAAGATTAGCAGGTTTTTCTGATTGTTCAAAATTGGGAGGATTAGATATGAAAGAAAAAGAACTTTGTGAAATTAAACATCTAATTTTGATTGGATGTGGTAGTAGTTTTAATGCTGCTTAAAGTGTTTTACCAATATTTAAAAATTTTAGAACTTTTGAAAGTGTTTAAGCAATTGAAGCAAGTGAATTTCAAATTTATGATTTACCATATTCATAAGTAGGAATAATATTTATAACATAATCTGGTGAAACTAAAGATATTGTAAGAGTTTTGAATCTAGCAAAATAATAAGGAGTTACTACAATAGGAGTGTAAAATTATGATATTAATTTATTAGTGTAAATGTTGTTGGATCATTAATAGCAACTAATGTAGATTGTGGAGTTTATTTGAATTCTGGAAGAGAAGTAGCAGTAGCAGCATCAAAATCATTTACTTCTTAAACTACAGCTCTAATATTAATAGGATTGTGGTTTAGTTATTATAAAGAAAAGAATAATTATTTGCCATAAAATATAAAGATGAAACCTTTAAGAGAGAAATATGTTACATAATTGAGAATGTTACCAATGGTATTTGGATAAGGGATTGTAGAATGTTAAGCTTCTGTTAAATTAGTTGCTAAAATATTGTAAACAAAATAAAGTTTATATATATTGGGTAAAGGATCTAATTATGCAATTGCAAGAGAAGGAGCTTTAAAAATCAAAGAATTAACTTATATACATGCAGAGGCTTTTGCTTCAGGAGAAATGAAACATGGACCATTAGCATTAATTGATTCTTCAAAAGAGAAAGAAACAGCAATAATATTAATAATTTTAGATGATGAATTCATTTAAGATATGAAACTATCTTTAAGTGAAGTTAATTCTAGAAATGCTAGAACTATAGTAATTACTGATTCTGTATAGAGTTTATCAAATACAATGAATAAGATTGATCATTTAATTTAGATTCCAAAAATTGGAGAATAATTAAATTGGTTATTAAGTGTTATTGTATTCCAATTATTAGCATTAGAAATATGTTATCTCTAAGGAATTGACCCTGACAAACCCAGAAACCTTGCCAAAACAGTTACTGTCGGTTGATATGACTAACTATAAAAATCAATTAAAATCATTATGCTTAATAAAAATCAACTTCCATTACTACCAAACTCAACCCAAGTTCCTATTACAACCAATAATCTATCAAACAAAAATAACTCATAAATATCTGTTCTAGATGGAAATTCTATGAAACAAAGTGGTACTTCTGCAAATTTGACATTAAATCTGACAAAAACAAGAATCACCCGATATCAAGATACGTCATATCTATAATAGAAAACTGTTATTCCTACTTCATTAAGCAACTTAGTAGATGATCCAAAGCTTCATGAATATGTAAATGTTATTTATTAGCCAAGACACAATAAAGATTAAAAACAAATTTTTATGGAACTATGTATAGAAATTCATAGAGTATGACATCTTACAAAACCAGTTTAACAGAATTGGATTCTAAAGATGGTACTTTAGATTTAAATCCATTACTTAAGAATGTTAAATCATCATAATTATAAATTTACTTGAAGAAGATCATTCAACAATAAAGTGAAAAGATTTAATAGAGTTCAACATTACCAAACAGATAGATGGCAATAGATTTATAATTATGGTTTGATTATATGATTAAAAAAGTAAAATAATCAGTCATGCTAGAAAATAGTAATACTTAATCTATTGCTGAAGAGATTTCTCTTATATATTCATCATGTTTAAAAGAGATTATTAGATAAGTGTCTTTGGATTGTAAAGAGCGTGGATAATTACTTGAAAAAGTATGGAATTCTTATATTGTTTTAATTGATGATTTAATTTAAAATATTAATAAAACTAATTAAGAACACCTTGAAAACTTAAAAAACATTTAATAATAATAATTATTAAATTAAACTCAAAAAAGTTATCACTAATAATATATAACTTTAAAATAAGAATTCTAATAATTTTAAATAGAAAAAGAAACTTTAGAAAAGAAAAATATTTTTTTAGAAGATAAAATTAAAAAACAAAAAGAAGAAATTACATTGCTTTATTAAAATATAGAATAAATCACAGAACAATAAAAGAAATATTAACATAATCATACTCATTCCAATGATATCATAACATAATTACCTACTGGATTCTCTAATGTGTAACTTAAACATTTACAAAGTATTTAAGAAGGAAAGTCTATAGTTTCTCATATTATGACAAAAAAAGCTTAAATTCCTATTCAACTTAAAAATAAAAGTTTGTCTCCTATTTAAATTGTTAAGACATCAGATGATGAATAAAGCAAAACTCCACTATCTTAATTACAACTTGAATTTGATAATATGGATGATTCTTAATTGATTAAGATACAAAAATATCATAGAAAATCAAATATGATATAAAATGTAATCTTAGATGAAAGTATCTATCTATTTATATTATTTTAGAATAAATATAAACAGATAAAATGATTTATAGTAACATTCCTATATTGAATGAATTCATTCATAATTTCATTAATCATGGTATTTAAGCTATTTTTGATGAAGTCAAAGAGGATGAATATAGAGAATCAATTTCAATTGTAAGATATGCAACCTCTATTTCTATTGCTTAAGAAGATTTTGTTATTGAAACTTTAAATAAATCAAAAATTAAATAAAAAGTTTATGAAGAATTATAATAGTATCTTACTAAACTTAATGATAAATATTAAGAATTCCAATCAAAAAGTATAGAATAAATGTTGAAAATAAAGGAACATTAAGTTGTTGCTTAGAATTTAGAATAAAATTTAAAAGAAGCAACTTAAGATTTTGTAGAAATTCTTAAAGAAAAATAATAAACTATTAAAAGTCTAAAACATGGATAAACTTTATTATTAAAAAAGATCAATTCAATTAGTTAAGATTAATTATCATCTAAAAGATCTCCATAATTTGCATCTCCAAATAGAAAGACACCTAATTTTAAACATACTTTCGATTTCAATAAAGAAGCTATATCTAAAGAATTTGATGTAATTAAGGTAGAGGAAGATAATGATAATAGTTCAATTAAATCTGATGAAAAAGATAAAATTAATTAGACATTTCAAATAAATAATAATGAAGTATTGCATTTAAATGTACTTGAAGATCAAGATGAATATGATGATGGGTAAATATAAATAGAAGAAAAATAAGATTTAAATTAAGATATATCAATTAATGATGAGAATACATTAAATGATTAAAAATCTGAAATTACATAATCTTAATAATTAGATTTATAATTAGATAGTAAAAAAGTAGATGAAAATAGATTAAGTAATGTTAAAGATTTAATTTAAAAATTTGGATTGTAAAGACAATCTACAAAGAAATTTACTAAACCTCTTTAAATGAGAATGTCTTTGTTAAGTGAACTTAAATAAGATAAAAAAAAAGTGAAACGTATTTATAGTTAAAATACAGATGCTGCTAATTAATTAATGAAAGAATTGATAGCAAAGACACCTACTAAAAAAAGTGTAAGAATTCCAATAATTCCAATTATATAGTTATTAAAAATATTTTATACACTTATTTTAGATGCATCTAAAAATCCAGAGGGTTATAAAATTCCTCTTCATATTAGTATTTATGATTATTTTCTTAAGAAATATGGTTTTAAAAATGTTGCTGAAAAGAAAATAAAATAAATTTTTTAATTTATATGTAGTAAAATGGAAATTCAACCTAAAATGTAATTTATGGCTAGACTTTGTTATATGCATGGAGAAATGGATGAAGCTATTTATAAATAGATAGTTGAAACAGTGAAATATTTTAATAATAAAGAAGTTAATTTTCATAAGAATGATTTAATTATTCAATATGATTTAATGACAGAATATTGTAATGAATTTCTAGCCAACTTTCTTGGATAAAATACTGTCAATTAATATCTTAATTCATTAAAAAATAAGAAAGAAATATTATTTGAATCAGAAATGATTACAATATTGAATTTATATTTTTCAAAAAAGAAATAGTGTGAAGATTCATTATAACTTATATTTTAGGCTGCTGATCTAGATGGTAATTAATTAATAGAATTTTCTGAATTTAAAACTTTATATAAAGCAATTCATCCTGATCTTTATAATAAAACAAAGGCTTTGCATTAATTTATTACATTTGCAGATTTTATAGATGAAAATACTAAAGATAAAATGATTACTTTAGATAGATTTGCAGAAATGGCAATAGAATTGAATTTATTTAATAAAGAAAAAATAAATTAATATGGTTAAGGTAGTCAATCATTAATTCATGAATGGAATGAAAATAAAAATTTGATTAAATATCGATATTTAGTTTCCAATAATTATCATAAAGTCAAATATACATTTAATTTATTAACAGAGTAAATTTAATTGCATATGCAAAAATAATGTTGTAGTCATTCAATTTAAAGTATAATATACAATTATATAATCAGTTCTTTGGGTTAGCTATAAATTATTATTTGAGAGATCTCAGAGAGTTATTTTAAAGTAATTATCTATAATTTATAAATTTTTAGTTATGAATTAAAATAACTTATGGATGAATTTGTTCCTTAAGAATTTGTTTAAATAACATAAATTCATAATGCAATAGCAGAAATAAATTTATGAATGATCAATTTAAAAATTAATATTATATATATATATATATGCAATTTTCCAATATAATGACATAAAAATGATAATTAGATTTGATATTTTGAACCTCTAATATAATTCTTAAGTTTGAATTGGCCCTTCCTAAAAACATCATTTAATTTAATACTTACTTATTATTATTATATATTTGATCAAATAATAATTTCAAATCTTTAAAAATATGCTAACAAAAATGCATTAGTAAATTAGTTAACTCTTGAATGGTGAAATACTTTAGATTAATTAATAGATGAGTCAGATGATCATATTTAGGATATTACAGTTAACATAGTATTTTTCTATAATTATGCCTTCTTATAATAATAAACTAGACAGTTTTCACTTGAATTCATTAATCACTATATTGAAAGCATCATTATTGGATTATGATAGTATTCCAATCTTTTTAGGTTATATCTCAAGTTTTATAAGCTTTGCAATCTTAATTTACTTACTAATACTAAGTTGCTTCAACTTAAATTAAATCGCTATAATTAAATAGGCGATACTAATATATATTGGAGTACTCCCCCAATATTTTTGTTATCTATAAATATCCATAACTGTACATACATTAATAAAATAAGAAAATAATTTATTTGAATAAATGCTTGGAACTATAACCATAATAATAATATTTATTCAATCATTTTTAAGTCTATTATTTATGAGAAACACATATTTTAGTTAAACTATATTATGTAGAGATCTCACAATAATAGGTTTATTATCTCAAGTACTGAAATTTATGACAATTTTATTTTATTTTTACAATAATGATGAAGATAATACTCTGTATATCATAACATTGATAAGTGCCTTATTATGGACAATATCAGAAATATCTGATATCATATATTATTATCCATATAGTTTATCTGACAATTAATTATAGTTTTGTTTAAATTCCATTAAAATAGTATGTACCATAATGAGAATTCTGGATGTATCACTTTAATTTGAATAAGCAGTCATTATATATCAATTGATTTTGAGTGTTTTAGGATATTTTGCTAGCAGATAGATCTTTCGAGTTTTTCTCTATAATAATTGCTTTAATCTCTTTTCTTAAGCAATTTCAAAGGATTAACAATCTCTTTACTTCAAAATAATTCTATATCTTAAAGAACAACAAAAAGAGTAGACTAACATCTATTAACCATTTTTGTGTTGTAATGTAATAAATTTACATTAAAAATATTGTGAATAGAAATGCTAAGTAATGATTTATATTAATAAGGCATAAGTATATTCCCATATTTTAGAATGCTTAATTTCAAGGATATTTTAAAATGAGGATGAATCCCTATTCCTTTATAAAATCAGTTATATAGCATTCATAAAGAAACAATATTCTTTGAGTTTGATGAAAATTAAACAGTATTAGATATTCAATGGACATACTTAAAGTTGGTATTTTAAATTAATGGTTCTTGATATAACAAAAAATATAGAGAAAGAGATTTAACAAGTTCTTTATAGTTCTAATGTTGCTTAAAATTGGAATAAATATACTTATTTAACATCTAAAGATTTAGTTGAATTTGAATAATAGGAAATTGAATTGATACCTTTAATTGCATAATTAATAAACAAAAAAATAGATATATGGTAATCTTAAATAAGGGGATTCAAAAATATATATGATTTATAAATGAAATTAGTAAATTTTTCAATATTAATTGATGAAATTAGAAAGATGTTAGGTGGTATATTTGAAAGAGATATTAATGATTTAAGCATTAGTTTAATAAATAATATTTATCATCTTAGAATTTTATCATTATATTATTCTTTAATAATGAATGATTAATTAAATAGTTATTTATGTGAAAAGTAAATTTAAATTGTTTATTATTTTGAATAAACACTTAAATAAAATGAATTGACTTCTTTAGCCTTAATTACAGACAAGATTTCAGTAATAGCTGTAAGTTTAGTAAAGAAATAAGGAGAAATATTAAATAAAAATAAATAAAAAATTGGAAGTTTATTTGGTTATCATAAAAGCAATGAATATAATGCATTATTATCAGTCAATTAAATTATACCTGATTTTATTAGTAATATACATAATGAAATGTTAACAGAATTTTTAAAAAAAGGATAATCCTCTTTTTTTGTTTAATTTAAAACAGTTTTTGGTAAAAATAGAGATTATTTTATTATGCCATTATAATTAAAATTTTCTAATGACTTTAATTTTGTAGATGATTTTGTTATAAAGGGAGTTATGTATTAAGGTCAAAAATAATAAGATTTTATTTTATTTGATGATTAAGGACATATATAAGGAATTACATAATAATTTTATGAAATTCTAATTAAAGATAATCAAAAAGTTAATAAAATAGATTAAGAAGAATTAACTAAATAAATGTATATATATTATTTTATGCCTGAAATCTTTAATATTATATAAGAATATTAATAATAGAAATAACATAATTAACTTGTATAATTTTTAGAAGATACACAATTTCTTATTATATAAAATCTAATGGAATTTCATGAAGATTTTTCTAGATAAGCAAAGAAATTTACAAAACATACAGTTACAGATCCTGCTTTATATGCATCCAGTTATACTAATTGTTCTGAACTCACTAATAATAATATTAAAACTATTTTAAGAAGAAGAATGTTTACAGAAATAGACAGAAGTTTAATAAATGAAGAATTTGCTAAAAGTGCCATCAAATTTATATAAAATAATGTAATTCTTCTGATTATTTGTAGCTTGATATCTATGTCACCTACTTCATTAAATTTCAATTATAGTATTATCCTATTTAGAATGAAAAAGTTAAAGGTTTCTATATACTTGAAATCATTGATTATAGAAAAAACTATGATAAAAAAGTTGGAAGTGAAGCTGTCTTTAAAGATCTTGAATCTTAAATGAAATAATCAATAAGAATATAAAGTTAATTTATGTAGAGAATTGAAAATTAAACTGAGTTTGATGAAATTAATGTATGTTAAGTAGGTAAATCTAATACAAATACTACTGAAAATTTAAGACTTGAAACAAATGGTAATTCTAGTAAGAGAGTTATATTTCTTAAACCTGAGATTTAAAGTTAATTAAATGATTTTGCAGGAGTAGATAATTCATGTTCAAGTTCTGATGAAAAATAAGAAGATTACTTTTCACCTCCTCAATCAAATAGGTTGTAATTTTGTAAAGAAAATGATAGCATATAACCTCATCAATAGAGTGTTAAGAATCAAAAACGAAATATTAGTGAAATGGAAATGGCTATTAATTAAAGTTAATCTAGTGGTATTTCAAGATAATCAAGTAGAACTAGTACATATTTTAATAATCTTTTTTAAAATAAAATTAAATATTCAAATAATGTAAAAGCAATAATCATAATATGTATGTTAACTGTAACAGTTAATCTATTTTTATGTATTTTTAATAGTATTAAACTTTATTCAGGATATTAGAATTTTTAAACAATAACTACTAATATGAAAGTACCTATGAATTTAAATAGATATTATTCTAAAACAGCAACATTGGCTTGGATAACTATTTGTTCTAATTATAGTATATTAAATATTAGTTAGTTCTAGAAAAATCAAAACAAATATTAAATGAAATTAATTAATGAATTCATGTTGGGAAATGTGTCTTTAATATATCCATCTTTAATTGAAACTGAAGAATAAATACCTTATATTAATTAATCTTAAGGATTATATAAGTATTAAGAAGTAAAGCTTACTTAATTTATAGATTATATGAATTTCTTTACTAAATAAATATTGATTAATGAAGATATTAATTTAGATTATATATAAGCTATGATTATTTTAAGATATAATATAAAAAATATGCGTAATATAACAGAATAAATAATGGATGAATTGGAAAATTAATTTAAATTAATCACAGATTTATAATAAACTAATCAATTAATTTCCATTATTACAAATTCAATTTTAATGTTAATTCTATATTGCGTATAATTCATATTTTGTTTGAAAATAGAAATTCAAAATTAGACTCTTACTTTATTAGTTGGAAGAGTAAAAGAATAAGAAATTATGAATGAAATTGTGAAAGTATAATATCTATTATAGTCTTTAAAAAATATTGCTGGAGAAGATTCATGGAAAAGAATCAATTTTTGGTCTTATGTCTTTTAGAATGATTATGATAACATATATAAAGCAAGACTTATTTAAAATAAATCAAATAGGACTTCAAATTTAAATTCCAGAATAAAACACATAAGAATTAAATTTTAATTTCAATTATTAAAGATAATCATTTTCTTATTAATTTATTTATGTTTCATATGGGGATTATATATATTATATAATTCATAAACTTAATAAATGAATCCAATTGTATAATTAGAAGCTTAATATGTTAAATTTAGTGTTAATATTGATATTCTTGTATTTAGTGGATTGATAATAAAATCATAACCTTAAATTTATAGTAAATTTATTGAAAATAAAATTTATTCTTAATAATAGATAAATACATTTGATGATGGTAATCAAATGATATAATTATTCACTGAAATGTAAACAACATTCAGTGAAACTATGAAATCTTTATTTAATGATGTAATTTCTACCTTACCATAAACTGATGATGTTAGTTCTCTAAAGAAACTCATTGATTAAGATGTTTGTTTAGTACTTTATAATGAAATACCATTCTGCTAATATTATAATAGTTCCTAAATTGAATTTATTAATAAATATGGTTAATATTATGAATATGACAATGATTTGGATTATTTAAAAAGTGGAATTCTAGGAATTATGGGTATATAAGCTAGCTATTATTAATTAAATTATGGATATGAAATGGATTATATTTAATTTAATCCAAATCAAAATGAAATCAATAGTGTTTACTAAACTATTGAATTTAATCATATAATTTTATCTCATTTTAAAGATTCGTATCTATGTTTTGTAAGATTTTTAGAACTTCTTACTAAAAATATCTCAGATATCAGATACTCTGATTTCATTATTTTGTTACTCTATATTTACATTGCAGGATTACTATATTTCATTTTATATATAATATTCCATTACTTTTGGATAAAGAAGTCCAATAAATACATAAGATCACTAAAACTAAGCCTTGTTGTTATTCCGAATGAATAATTATTCAATAGTAGCATTATCAATATATTAAGAAAATTTGAATGAATTAATTAAATTTATATTAATTATTACATTATATGTTTTTTTTAGCAGTTGGATTCTTCATGGGATTACCCCTAGGATTTTATTTTAGAGAGCACAATTTATAACCACCTGTTGCTATAAATATGGAATCAATTAAAAAGGCTTTTGAAATATTTGCAGAAAAGGAAGACAAAGATGATGATTGATTATATTATATATACCTTATTTATTTAAGGAGAGATTATATACATTTAATTAAAATATCATTTATCTATGATTTATATTAAATTCTAAAGTGAAGTTTAAATTACCAAAGTTTTAATATGATTTAAAACGATTGAAAATAATCCATATATATAATTAATTTTTATAAAGAAAAAAATGATTTATATGTATGTATAAGTAAAAAAGAATTGATAGAAAAATAAAATAGAATTTTTTCATCTCTCCTTCTAAAACTAAAGTTCTAAAATTGTAAAAAACTTTGTGATACCTCTTATTTTTCTATAAAGACTATAATAATATTTTGAACATATTTATCTTAAGCTAGATTAAATATTATTCAATTACTTTAAAAAAAAAGTGACATTAAATCTTAATTATATTTTGAGAATACTATTTAATTTAAAGTACTTAAATGAAGATATTAATTAAAAGATTTTATTAGTATGCTGTTTTGCATTTTTTCATTCTAATTGATTAAAGATAAAGAAATAAAAGTAGTTTAATGATTTTAATATTTTAGTTAATTAGAATAACAGTTCCAAAAATTGAATAATAAATTATAAGATAAAATTTTATTGCTACTATTAAGTATTATTATTCTCATCCTTTTTCCTAAATAAGATTATATATATATATATATAGATTATAAATGTTTTTTATCGATTAACAGTTTTTAAAATCAAAGATAAAATTAATTCATCTCATTCTAAAAGAAATCAAAAATTCATTTTACATTTACTATATTTTTTAAATATAAAGCAAGACTTTAATTTCTGATTTACTTATATCATTATATTTGATATTGAATTTCATGAATCAATTTAAATTTACTCATTGCCATAGTAGTAACTGTATATTGATAAATCATTAATCTTGTTTAAATATTTATTTCTCTTAAAATTTTGAATAGCTTAAAAGAATCTATTGAATTTTGAAAAACTTTAATAATTTTTTGGTTCTGTTTTGATATACAAATTCTAATTTATTTGCTCTTTTTATATTATAATAACAATAAGTAAATTAAAATGGCAGATGATGGAGGTGCAGATGTAATAATAGTCCTCTATATTTTAAGAAGGGAGAATATATTGGAGAAGAAGTAGCTAAGGCTATTGATGATGGAATTAATGCTGTGTTTTAATTGAAAGAAGGTGAGAATCCTCCAGCCACTTTAATTTATTCAAAAGAAAAAGTTATTAGTTGGAGTAATCAACTGTTAGACTATACAAATAGAAATTTGAGCAAATTAGACAAACCATTCAAGTATTGTGTAAGTTGCATCATATAACAAAATAATGATTCAAAATTTACAGTTGCACGTATTGATTGATTTATAATATTTAGTTGGTGCTAGTTTTGATACAAACACTGATGGTATATGTAGTGCATAAAGAGAAATCAATGACATTGTAATTATTATATCTGTATTTGCAATGTTAATATGAATTATTATTATTCATTTTATGTCAATTTAAAATAAATTATTTATAAGTAATTCTATATAAAATTACAATCATCAGACAAAATGAAAAAAAGACATTCAAGTTAACTAATTTTGTAATTTCTAAATAATAATTTCTTTAAATTCAATTCTATTGCCATAATTTCAATTTTATCAATTTTAATTAATTTCAATATTTAAATCTGAATCACCAAATAACTATTGGATGTCAACACATACTTCTTAATAATTCAAACAACTCTATAAAAATATTATTATTTTGATTAGAAATTCACTAAATTAATTTATTTGTGCCAATATAATATGAAGTTTAAACTTTCTTATACAAAGCAAATCTTTCATCTTAATTTTGTGATATTTAAATGAAATGAAATCTTGAATAATCCTTAAAAAAATAAATTATATGACAAATCTAGATCCAATTATCTATCCACATTTAAAAGTGAGTGTGCCTTCATTTTTAATAAAAACTTATGAAATATTGGAAGTATATTTACTTTATATCATCTTTAAGAATGAATCATTATCAAATCTCATATCATGGAATAAGGAAGGGACAGCATTTATAGTGTACAATCCTCATGAATTATCATCCAAAGTTTTGGCAAACTATTTTAAGCACAAAAATTATCCTAGCTTTTTAAGGTAACAAAGCAAATTTATGTAGATAACTAAACATGTACAATTTTAAAAAGACTAGAAATCAATATGGCTCTAGTGAATTTAGACATAAATGGTTCAAGAAAGGATAAAAGTATGATAAATTTATTTAATACCTTTAGAAACATGATCTAATATATCAGACGTAGAAATCAAGAGGAATCAGATTCAAAAATAGAAACAAAAGAACAAAAAAATCATGAACTTGATTATTATAAATAGGAACATGAAAATATGAAAATAATGCTTTCAGATATCCAAGAATGTCATAGAAATATGCAATAGAATCTGTCTAAAACAATTGACTAATCAACTTCATTAAATAGATAAAATTTTATCACTTTACAAGTATGAAAATACCATAATTATAGACTATTCATTAAACATAATTAGAGTTTAATAAAAAGTATGATTATGTGACCATCATGTTAACAAATGTCTTGACTAATCTCCCAAATATATGTATGATATATAAACTTTAAAATACAGTAACAAATTTCAAAGAGATTATCAAAGTATGTCAAGAAGAGACCAATTTCTAACAGACATTACCTTCTTTAGAAAATGGATCATCATCTTAATATCCATAAGTTTTACCTTATAATCAATACTAATTTTATACCTAAAAATAATAGCCATGTATATTTTGTTGTTATAAAATTTCAAGTTTATTTCTACGACTAGAAATAATATTATTACAAAAATGTTCCCTAGCTAGCCATAACCGATGTATAGAGCAATTATTATTGTAAGATTCATATCTAATTTAAGCCCCAACAAGTTATTCAGTTTCAAACAGTCAATAAAATTCTCCCTATAGAAACTATAATATTTCATAACAAAAGTATCTTTCAGATTAAGCCAATATAGATTAGGTATAAATTATTCTATTTTTTAGTATAGTTTATATCAATAAGTATGATTTTATAATACATCATTTTGTTACTCAAAAATCATTAATATTAAAATTCTAGATTGATTAATCCAGTGTTTTTAGAGAGCTCTGTTAAAAATTATATTGTTATTGATTCTCGAATGGTTGGTGGTTCCTCATTCTATGTTCTCTGTGTGGATCCAACATATTATGAGTTACTCATATCCTTTGGCTAATAAGATCTTCTATATTATGGAGATCTGGCTCTATTGTGTTAATAAGAATTTGGTGATTGTTAAGGTTGATAACTTTTAACAGTTCTTTAAATTTAATAGGGTTCAATTTTATATTTTTAGGGATTCATTTTTAATTTCTATTCCTATTCTTTTTAATTAAATGCTTTTAATGGAAATAGAAGTATATCTTTAATAGGACTACGAGCTCTCCTACTCACTTAATTATTTTTCTGAATTTATTTAATGTTTACAAATTCTACATCTTATACATCAGTATATTAGATTTCTCTAATTAATATCATATCATCTGATTTACATATATGATTTTATCTAAATATCATTTAATCATTATTATCTAAAATAGATTTTCTATACTTTGTTTATTCATAATCTTAAATGATTTTTATATTTTGTTCTTAAATAATAATAAAATCAAGATGTTTTTTATTTCTATTCCAAGTTTCAAGAATATATTAACACACAGGTGATTCTAAATTACATTTCTTTTATTTAAGATCCAATAAATAAGTATCTAATTGTTTAGCAATTTGATTGCTTCTTTATTGAATCATTGTAACAACTTTTCTTGAATAATCTTATCTTACAAATTGCAGTATTTTATTATTGATATATATTCTGTTGTATTCCTTTATAAATTATTCTCTATCTTAATAATTCTAAAGAAAATTTTCTATTGAAATAATAAATGTGCCTATATCTTCACATTGTAATAGAATTGGTTCCAAAAAGGTTAGATATGTTAGAACACATTTTATTAATGCTTTGGATCCATCAAGTAATAATAAATCTATTATTGTCTCACTCAATTTATTGTGAAATGTAAAACAGCAAACCAACCATTAAATTGTAAATAAACTTGTTTCAACTTACAACTTTTCCATATGATTTATCAACTATGGTTTTAAGAATACTAAAATTTCTTTAATAATAAAATCATCACATTGAACTCCATACAAATGATTATAATAATTAGGTGGTAATATAGTCTCAAATAAATTGCATAAAAACCAAAAAGTTTCCTAAAATATAATGAAATTCATACTTCTTCATTGAAATACTAAAGGAAATAGTAAGCTATATAATTAAATCCTTAACAATACCCAACTTATGCATTACGAATACTATATGCATTAAGAACATTACTCAATTTTACTCTACATTCTTCATCCTAAGTTGTTCTTACTATATCCTTTTTAATAATTTCTTAAAATTAAGAAGGAAAATTCTAAATATTCTATATATTCTAATAATAGCATGTATTGGAATTTAGATTATAATTTATATTTGATAAGACTCTCCAATATTGTTTCAAAGATTAACTTTAAACTTTCTCTCTTAAAACAAATCTCAAGGCTTAATTCACACAACTATATGAATTATTACAAATTTTCACTAACTAAAATTTGATTCTTAAATTACCTCTTACTCCTCATCAAATAATTGAAAGTATTTGATTTATACATTAAGCAATGATCTTTTTTTTTCATTCTTTTACATATCTCCTTTCATATTCTAAATGTAGAGTTTGCTCTATAAAAAATTTGTCATAATTTTAATTTCTTCATCTTTTTCTTTTATCATTATTAATAAAAAAATAAATTCATATTTATTTCCTAAACATAATATTGTCATTTATTTATTATTTATTATTATATATTCATCCTTCTCTTTTGTTTAATCAATTTCCTTATTTCATGAATATTTAGCCTAATAAAATATATATATTCTATTTTAATTTTATTCTTTTTAAAGAAATTTGTCATTATATATAATTTTAGAACAAGTCAATCAATTTAACCTTAAATACTATCAAATATAATTTATAAAATCTAAATTCTTATGATAACTTAGTTAATATTAATTATTTATTAATCATCATTAAAGTACACATCTAGCTAAGTTTATTCAATTGATTTTTATAGACATATATAAAAATTTATATTTTCTATTTTGTTATAAGCATAATTATCAATTAATATTCAAATTTATTTGATTTATTAATCTATACTTTTTGCATTTATCCAAATTAATTAATTTTAAAGAATAAAGTTATCATTATTTAAAGAAAGAAAAATTTACTTTGTTTTACTATTATTTATTTAGTCTAGTTAAAGAATGACTTTAAATTTTGTATTAATTATTTATTATATACCAGATAATTGAATGAATTAAATTTAATTTTATATTTCTAACAATGTCTTAAAATAAAAGTACGTTCGATCACTTAAATAGTTATCTTACTAGGCGACTGTGGAGTAGGCAAGACAACAATTCTGCACAAGTAACTTTACTGAATGAGATTAAGGTTCTTAGATATCAATTCACAACCTGAAACCACAATTGGAGTTTAGCATCATTCATTTTCTAGAAATAATATAAAATTTTCAATTTGGGACACTGCTGGATAAGAAAAATATAGATCAATTGTTTCAAGGTTTATCCTTTATTATATTAAATATAGTCATTATAAGAGAGCCAAAGCAGCTTTATTAATTTATGATTGTTCAAGTGAGGAAACTTTATTACATATTGACAAATGGATTGAAGAATTAATATTTTAAGTTGGAACAAAAATAATAATGATTTTAATAGGAGTATTATTATATCTATTTTACTTTATTAGAATAAAACAGATTTACAAAAAGTTGATTTTAATGAATCTGTTTAGAATTTGTAAGATAAATATGAAATAAATTATCATATATTAACAAATCATAAAGATGCTGAATTCAAAGATAAAATGAATTAAGTGTTCGATTAAATTAGTATAAGTAATATTTTACAATATATTTATGTTTGGGATTGCTTGTTTCAAATTAATAATATTCATCAACTAAATAAATATTTGCATTAAAATAAGATGTAATTCCATTTAAATCTTCAACACTCTTTAATAATTATGCATCAGGTGATCCAGAAATTATTTAAAATGGAAAGGAGAAACCTTAGGATGTTTCTAGAAGTAATGAAAATGATAGATAATCTTGTGAGTGTTGATTATATGTTATTAAATAAACTGATTTTTATACATCATTATGATATTATTCATCAAATTAAAAGATATCAAGAGAATAGTATTATTTAAATTAATTTATAGAATCAAGAAGTATAGTTTTTCTTTTTTATATAGAGATTATAAATTTACAGTTTTTATCCTAATGATTTTGAAGCATTTTGCCGTTCCCAATTAATACTATCAATTTGAGTTGATTAATTTTATAAAAAACCTGTTCTAATCTAACTATAGAATTATTCTAAGACTTCTTATTAAGCTTTAATATCTATTTCCATTAGATCTGGTGATTTTTATTGATTACAAAGTTGTTTAGCACATTATTTTAATAATGCAATAAATTCATAAAATGGTTAAATTAGATCAATCTTTTCTACTATAGGTTATTTAATTTTAAACATTGATTAAATGTAACTACTACGCCAATTAAAATAACAATCTTTCCACCATTATTCCTATTTTCTAATTAATGTATTAACAGCTAATAATACTTCAATTGAGATCTAATTAATTTGTAATAAAATATTACTTGAACCAGTTGAGCTTGATAATAATGAAAAAGTTCAACAGCATTTTCATTAAAACTAATTTATAGTTCTTAAGCTCCAAAAGAAACTTCTATTAATTGTTTCAGCAAATAAATTAATTAGATGGCTGCATCAGTTTCAGGATTAAAGTTCCTTATTAAAATAACAGTTTTATTATTTAAAATTGTTTTAACTTCATTTATGGCTACCCAAGTTTTACCTTCATTTACAATTCTATTTTTGTCTATATGTTTTGATAAAAAAGCTGATAAATCTGGAAAATTTAATTTTTCTAAACTAATCTAATCAAAAAAGTGAATCAATTCTCTTATTGTAGTAAATTAAGAAGTAAATGATGTTTAATCTTTTTTTTTTACAGGATTACCCATATGTTTTTAAGATTAACAAGTTCCCATATTAATAAAAATAAATAAATTTTGAAAAATTAAGTATATCTATAATTCAACTATAATAAAATAGAAAAATCATGATTATTGATTATGTACCCATTTTCTTGCAAATAAAAATGGATCATTTTAATGTTTAATATTGTCTTAAAGAATATCAATCAAAGTATCGAAATCTGAATTTTATTCTTTTAAAATTATTTAATTCAATAAACTTATCAAATACATACTCAATAATTTACCTTAATCTTCTAATAAAGTGTTAAAGAAGATTTAAAAAGTGTTATCCATTGTAAAATTTAGAATATATTAAACTTTATCATAATAATTATTTAATTAATTAATCCATTGATTTAATTATTCTTTTATTGTTTAAGGTGCAAAAGAATAAAAAGCTTTTGCTTTAATAGCCAATAATTTTCTAAATAGAAAATTACATTTTTATTTTTATTCAGTAGAACAATCCATAGATTTAATGATATTTTCTAAAAATATACAAAAATTATAAGTTGGTAAAACTATTGCTGGTAATTATTATTATTATATTTTAAATCTTAATTTTTTTTATTTTTCATTATTTTTAATAATATTATTATTATTATTATTATTATTATTATTATTGGTAGAAAATGAACATTAAGTAGAACATTAAACCATTTATTCATGATTATCATTATTATGTTTCTTAGACGAAGTATGAGATATTAATTTTGGATGATCTTCATTTAAATTAAAATCAGATACAAGATTACATTTAATTTGTTCTTCTAACAACTTATTTGGGCTTAGAAACTTTATTTATTCAAATGTTTAGGCTTTATTATGAGATTAAACCTTTTTCTAATACATTTATCTTTAACTTTACATAGTTGGCTATTATTTTGGTGTTGATAATGGAGAATTTGGATTGGATTGAACAAAATTATATGATAATTTAATGAATGGTTATTGTATTCTTGGTGATACATTTTCTATTTCTTTTTATGATAGATATGATATAATCTAATTAATATTCTCTCTTGCATTTGGTTCTATTTGTAACATTCCAAACAGTAATTATTTAACTACACCTTAATATTAGTGATCTAATTTTTGACATTTTTTTAGTATGTTATCATGAAAAATTCTTATATCAGCTTTGTATGGTGGTATACTATTAAAAATCAATTCATATGACATAATGCCTAAAGCCCATATATCACTCTTTTCTGAATATAAATTATTAGATAGAATTTCTGGAGCCATGTAAAGAGGAGTGCCTACATTAAATTTCTTGATAATGCTTTCAAATTGATCCTCAATTAAAGCAAATCCAAAATCAGCTAATTTATATATATTGTCATGGATTAGTATATTGGCTGGTTTCAAGTCTCTATGTATGATTTCTAAAGTAAAATTATTTTTGTTACTTTTTTAATGTAGAGCCTGTATTCCCAAAGAGATCTATCTTAAAATTGATAAGACACTAGGGACTGAGAATTCAGTTTTTTTCATCTGCTGTTCCAAATTGCCTCCGTTACAAAATTCAGTTACTATGTATGTATTATTGGCACTTTGACTAACTTCATATACCTTCATTAAATGTGGATGATCAATTCTAAGGAGTATGGATATTTCATTTTTTAACAAGGATTTTTAAATTGGAGTTGTATATGTCTGAGAACTAATAATTTTAATAGCCACTTTTTATTTGGTATTTATATGTTCTCCCAAATATACTTTTGAGGAATATCCAGATCCAATTTCTTTATTAAAATCAAAAATGTAATCCCCTATTTATTTTATTTTAGGTTCATTTTGAGTGTTCATGTTATAAATAAAAAGTTTATAGTATAAGATTTATAAATTATATTTTTTTTTAATTAATAAACATTAAGCTTAGAATAGAGAATATACAATATTAGTTACATTTTTGCCTATAAATTGAAAATCAATTGAAATGATTAGATTTCTCATATACAGTTAATATTAGAGGGATAATTAAAGTAAATTATTAATTATTAAGTTATACATCCATAAACACTTGAATACTGTTTGACTAATTAAAAAACCTTTTGATTGCTATATTATAATAATTAAGCTTTGTCTTAATTAAATATATAGATCATATATTTGGAATTTAAATAGGATATATGATTTATTATTATTTTACTCAAATATAAAATTATGGGTTCATGTAATGGCTAACCTAAAAGAATGGTTAATTCTAAAAGAGAAAGTCTTACTACTTTTCATAAGACTTAAGAAGCTTCTACAATAAAATCGAACAAAAGTTTAGTGAAATAAAGAACAGATTTTAAGGTTGCTCCAAGCATATTTGTGTCCTTAAAGAGTGGAGATATTTGTTAATACTATGAAATAGAATCTACTTTAGGTGAAGGTAATAAGATAATTGATATAAATCAAGGAACTTTTGGAAGAGTTAGTTTGGTTAAGTAAAAATCGACGAATATTTTTCGTGCAATGAAACAAATAGCTAAAGACAAAATCTTAGCATGCCAAAGAGAAAAGATGATTCAAGAAGTCAACATTCTTAAAGATCTTGATCATCCAAATATTGTGAATATATATGAGCTTTACTAAGATGAACGTTATTATTACTTGATAACTGAGTAAATAGAGATAATTAATTAAGATATTTAAGTGGAGGAGAGTTGTTTGATAAAATCTAATAACGGAACAATCTAAATGAGAGTATGGCTGCTAATTATATGAAATAAATATTAAATGCTGTGAATTATTGTCATTAAAGAAATTTAGTTCATAGGTATATAATAAAATAAAGATTTAGGGATTTGAAACCAGAAAACATTCTATTTGATTAAAGAGGATCTGAATAAATAATTAAAATAATTGATTTTGGAACTGCTAAGTAAATTCTTTCTAATACTTAATTGAAATAAAAAACTGGAACACCTTATTTTATAGCTCCTGAAGTTATTGATTAAAATTATAATAACAAATGTGATCTTTGGTCATGTGGTGTAATATTGTATATAATGATGTGTGGAAAGCCTCCATTTAAAGGAAATAATGTGGATGAATTATATAGAAATATAAAAAATGGGTATGTAGATTTTACTGGTAATTTATAATATATTATGATAAATAGGTTCTGAATGGTATGATGTTTCATAAGATGCTAAGTCTTTTATATCAAAACTCTTAGTTGTAGATCCTGTTAAGAGAATGTCAGCAGAATAGGCTTTAAAGGATACTTGGATTGTGAGTAATAAAAGAATAGAAAAAATTAATACAAGAAATCTAGAAAATCTTTCTTAATTTCATGTTTTTTGATTTATTTTATCTTTTGTAGAATAGTAGTAAATTAGGTTCAGCAATTTTATAATTGATAACAACTTAAATAATGACTTAGAAGGAGAAAAAAGAATTAATAAAAGGATTTAGTGCTATAGACAAAAATGGTGATGGTTTATTAAGTAAGGATGAATTAATATAATGTAAAAAATTAATTTAATTTTAGGTTATATGGAAATGTATTAAGATGAAATAAAATGTCATTAAATAGTTAATAAGATTTTTAAGTATTCTGATGTTGATTGTTCAGGAACAATTGAATATACAGGTAAAGATAGTTAAATAATTATAAGAGTTTATTGTAGCATATTCAGAGTTGTAAAATTTAATGGCTTAAGAGAAACTTGAAAAAGCTTTTAAATTATTTGATAAAGATGGAAATGGAACTATAAGTAAAGGAGAACTTTAAGAGATATTTGGAGGATTAGCTTTAAATGAAAATTAGTGGGATAATGTTTTTTCTGAATTAGACACTAATGGAGATGGAGTTGTGACATTCTAAGAGTTCACTTAATTATTGATGAAAGATAACAATAAATGAAAATTCGAAGATTAATATTTTTTCTTTAATTATATTTAATATATTTATGTAAGATTTAAGGTGTTCAATTGCAGATCATAACAAAAAAAAGTTTGTATCAATTACTCTTCAAAAAGAAGCTGAAAAAAGATTATTCTGTTTTCAATGTTAAAGTGATGCTAGTGGTGGAGATATCACAAAATCACAATTAGTAAGTAAACTTAAACTTTGTGATTTGGATGAAGTTATGGAAGGCAATGCTTATTCTGTATATAATTGGCCAGCTGATGATGAAGGTATCAAAGTCAAAGACTTCTTACTTGGATATAAGGTAATAATAGAATGTAAGTTTCGTTTAGAGTGTGGATTAATAAAGGAAGGATGTTGAAGATTTCTTTGTTTAGATGAAATAAAAATTGAATGAATAAATTGAGAATGTCAAACAACTTTTAGTGGAAGCACTTAATGCAACATAATTCATAAAAGATGAAAAACTTAAATAAGAGGAGCCAGAAAAGAAGGATGTTAAAAAAGATGATAAGAAGGAGACAAAGAAGGATGATAAGAAGGAAACAAAAAAAGATGATAAGAAAGATACAAAAAAGGATGATAAAAAAGATGAGAAGAAAGATCTAAAGAAAGAAGGTATTTTAGATTCTTATATAAAATAGAAGAGAAATTAGATTTATCACCAACTATTGAAAATCTAAAGAAACATTATGATATTATTTATGATCTTACAAAAATCAAGACACTCATAAAAGAAAATGCCAAAAGTGATCCAAATCTATTGAGTGCTAAAATAAATGAATATTTAAATGATCAAAAAAGATCTGAATAAATAATTAACATGAAAAAAGTATTTCAAGGAGTCATGTCAGGAAAAGTTGGATTTAATTAAATAGCATCTAATAGATAAGCATTGGAAAGTTATTGGGAATAAATTTAAACTAGCATTTAATAATGGCCTGTATTAAATTAATTTATTTAAATTTAGTATAAATTTGGAAGACTCTAATGGAAGTTAAATCCTTCTAAAGCAGATGAGTCTAAATAAATTAAATAATTGGCAGATGATTATATGGAATGTGCTGGAGCTGGATTATAATCCTAAATTATTTATTCTGAAAAAAGTTTTAGTGAAGGTCAACATGGTTGCATAATATTATTTAAAGAATTTGATTAAAAAAGAGGTGGAGCAAATGGAAATTTCTATGTAGGAGTTGTACCAGAAGAATAAAAAGATAAATCTCCATATGGATAAGGTTTTAGAAAAGATTTATTTAGTCAAAATGGAGAAGGATTGAATGTAAGAATTGGTACTGATTTCAATAATGTATTTAAAGTAATTCTAATTAAATATAAATTTAGATGCCTCCAAAATTATTGGCTGTTAAATTGGATGTTGATAGTAATTACTTTGAAATATGTGATGGTAAACGTACAGTAGTTTATGGATTGGATTAAGATAGCAAATTGAAGGGTCAAAAATGGAGAATCTATTTCTGGTGGAATATAGCAGCTGATAGAATCTAATTAATTCACAGTTATTGAGCCAAGTTTATTTTTATTAACGAAATAATATAGTTTTAAATTTATTCAAACCGTCAAAAAAAATACATTACATATGTCTAAGTAATCTAAATAAGTAAGTACACAATTTCATTCTTAGATTCCATAAAATACATTCAATAAACAATTAAATATTCAAACATCTTCAACTCCAAAACCAAAAATTGATGATATCTCAACAACATAAAAACCCCTCCAAAATTTATCAAATGTTCCAACTCGTACATAAGAAGACTAAGTAAAGAGAACCTAACCTAGATCTCCTATTAGATAAACTTTTGAAAAGAAAACATTGGAAAATAAATCATCTATATCCAATTTTGATGAAAAACCTATTCCTAAGATTCTTTAAAGAGGCAAATCTCCATAATCTAATTAAACTACAAGAAATATAAATACTAAAACTCAAGATCAATAGTAATCTGAAAAACAATTTACTTAATAAAAATAACCAATTTAATTCAAATCTAATGAACCTGATTAACTACCTATAAATTAGTCTAATTTTGAGAAATCATAACCCAATATAAGTAAATAATAAGTTTCTGTTTAATCAAAATAACAAACAAAACTTTAACTTTAATCTAATTAACTGAAATCTTAAAATAATTAATAATAACAATAATCACTTAGACCAAAGACAGCCTCAACATCATCTTAATTATAATTAAAATAAACAACCCAATAAGATTAATAACTTAAATCTATTAAATAGGATTCACTATCAAAAACTAATACCTAATAAACAAAGTCATAATTGGCTCTTAATAAAAAATAGGAATTACCAAATAAACAAAGATAGCAACCATTGTTGAAAGGGGAATAAGTTGTTGAGGAGAAACTCTATTAATGTACAGAGGGATGTGGAAGATCATTCAATGCCAAAGCCTTAGAAAAGCATTCAAAGGTAAATATGAGAATTTAATAATAATATAGATTTGTAAGAAAGTATTCCAATAGAAGAGAAAAGTTTTCAATTCATAAAAGTAAAGATTAATAGAAGTTGAAGAGAATGGACAAAATAGAGGAGGGGCAATGAAAAAATAAATACAAAAATAACCAATTAAATAAGGTTAAAAGTAATAGTAGGTAAAAAATGAGAAACCAAAATGGAAAGCTTAAAGTGAAGCCTTTAGAGCAATAATAAGGTAGGCTAAAGGAAAGAAATTAACAAAAGAAGAATAGGTATCATTGAATGGGGCTATGGAGAGTGCTTAAGATTTAGTGTAATGCAAGTTTTGCAACAGAAAGTTTAATGCTGAGGCAGCTAAGAAACATATAGTATTTTGTGAGACAAAAGCAAAATAGTGTGGAAAGAGTGGGATGTAAAAGAAAAAGAAATGATTATTTTAATTTTTAACAACTTATGAGAGGGAAGATTACTTAATAAAATAACATTTCATTTGAAATAAAAATGCGTTATCCTATGACAAATAAACACTCGTCTCCATCAGGTTCACCACGGAAGAGGTTATTTTCAGCAAAAAGAGTGGGAAGTAAGGAATAACAATAACAATAACAGAAATGCAAAGCTATTGCTTCTATAAAAACTGGATCATCAATAGAAACATTAAAAGAAGTTTTAATGAAACAAACACAAATGAGTAATAAGCATACAAACAACTTGAATTATTTTGTACATAATAACAAAAGAGAAAGTTAAAATAAATTAGATACAAAAACAAGTGATTCAACAGAAAGAGTAAATATACGATAAGGTACATTGTCTAAAGAAAAAACTACAATTTCAGAATTAACAACAAAAAAAACTAGTATAACTAAAAGTGAATTTGAATGGAATAAATGTTAATTGCCACTGACACCCTAATTTTGTTTAGCAAAGTATGGATATGCATTAACAGAGTTTGAAAAGACTGAAATTCTGACTTTTAAGAGAGTATGATTTGTTATGTATGATTAGATTTATTGTATAGGAATTAATGCCAAAAAAATATAATAATCATAAAGTAATTACAATGATGGATTTGACAATGCCTAAGGAGAATATTTATATGCATTGCATGATCACATTGGTTATAGATATGAATTGTTAGAACATGTAGGTTCTGGTAGTTTTGGACAAGCATTTAAAGTCTTTGATCATAAGAGACAATAAGTCCTTTGTTTAAAAGTCATTAGAAATCAAAAGAAATTTTAAAATTAGGCTCTAGTTGAATTAAATATATTATCTTTTATTAGAGATAAGGATGAAGAAAATATTACAAACATAGTCAAAATCAAAGACTTTGTTATCTTTAGAAATCATGTGGTAAGAATTATTATTTTATATTTATAGTGTATTATTTGTGAACTCTTGTCTCTGAATCTATATGAATTGATTAAAAATAATAATTATCAAGGATTATCATTAGAACTTATTCGTAGATTTGCCATTTAAATACTCAATGCTCTCAACTTTTTATACAAACATAAAATTATACATTGTGATCTTAAACCAGAAAATATTCTTTTGAAATAACCCAATAAAAGTGGCATTAAAATTATTGATTTTGGTAGTAGTTGCTTTGAAAATGAAAGAATTTATAGTTACATCTAATCCAGATATTATAGAGCACCTGAAGTTATATTTGGAATTCCATATGACATGGGAATAGATATGTGGAGTTTTGGATGTATTATGGCTGAATTGTATATTGGTTATCCTATTTTTCCTGGTGAGAATGAATAAGAATAAATTGCTTATATAATGGAAATTAAGGGAATCCCTGATCAATCCTTAATTGAAGTATCATATAATATAAATTATTTCATAGAAAGCTACAAGAAAGAAACACTTTTTCACTTCAAGTACTCCTTATTAACCATTACCTTATAAAAATAAAAGAGGTAAAGTAAGAGTTCCTAAATCAAAAGACTTATAATAAATATTGAAATGTTAGGATAAATTATTTATAGACTTTTTAGATAATTGTTTTAATTGGGATCCTTAAAAAAGAATGAAACCAATTGATGCTTTAATGCATTAATGGATTTTGGAGGGATTACCAAAAGAAATTAGAACATAACATATTAAATATTTAGAATCAGAACAAATGACTTAAAAAGTATTCTTCAAAAATACTGAAACTAAAAGATAACATCATATCTCTGAACCAGAAATGGAAAAAAAGAAATCAAGTAGTAGTTATAGTTAAAAAAAATCAAAGGAAAAAGATATTAATCTGACTCTTTATGGTAATATTAATAATGACACTACCCCATAAAATAAACGTATTCTATCATAATCATTTCATACATCTAAAAATGGAAGCAATTAAAAATATCAACAATATTTTCCTGGCACAACCAAAAATTAACCATTAAAATATAAATTTTATTGAATTTATCTATATATCTATTAATTTTTTAACACTTTAAAAGAAAATTAACATCTAAAATAAAGTAATAAATTTGAATTACTATTATTAATTTTTAATTTGATTGTACTATGATTCAAATATGTTTGATAAAGATTTTTATATAGTGTTCAAATCTCATTTCTAAAAATAAATAATGTTGATTCTTCACAAAAAAAATAAAATATCTGGGCTAAAAACAAATTATCTTAACAAATTTTATTAAATAATAATTCTCAAAGTCTATTAATAAAATTATTAGAATAAAAGACATATAAAAATTAGTATATAATTAAAAGATAATCAATATTAATGAATTAAAATATATATTAAATTAAGTATAAAGTCTAATCGATAGGAATGATGCTAAATATTTATATATAAGAATATAACAATAAATAATTGTATAATGTATAAATCGATTTGAAATATGATTACTTATAATCTAATTAAAAATTATTTATAATTTCAAAGTCTCTTTATTTATTTCTTATAAAAGAGTTCAAAAAACACACTTGCACCAAATCCTCCTCCTAATGGACCACCAACAAATACCCATAAAAATTCCATTCTCTATCTGTCTCCTGTTTAAAATGATTAAAAGAGCTACAAAGATACTGCCATCCCGGGGTTCAAACAACCTTTAGTAGATTCAAAATTTGAATTGTACCTCCAGAATGAAATGTAAATCCTCTTGAAAAATACAACGCCAACGCTACTAAAACATAAGTTGTCATTGGTTATCCTCCAGGCGTTAACGTTGTTTCTGAATCTGTTTATATTAGAATAAAAAGAATAAATGTGAATGTTCCAAATGCCTCACCACTAAAATCTGATATTATCCAACTGTATTCTGTACTCTTCACTTAAGGACTATCAACTTCATTCAATATTAAGTAGCAACAGCAGGCTCCACACAAGGCTCCACTAAATTGTGCTAACCAGTATAACACTGCTTATCCAAAATTGATTCTTCTTGAAAGTAACATTGCTAAAGTAACCGCTGGATTAACATGTGCTCCTGAAAATGGTGCTGCCAAACACACAGAAGCAAAGAAAAATAAAGCTAAAAACTCATCAGACCCTTATGAACATATAATACTAATATTAAGAATTGATTTATTTACCCATAAGCAAATAAAGCCATTCCAAAAAACTCAAATAGGAAAATTCGCATCTCTTCTTTTGATTTTCCTTAGGTTGGAATGATATTTTTAATATCTGACTCTTAGGGTGTAAATTATGTTCGTTTAATAATTTTAGTGTCTTGACTCATAATAAAAAATATATGTAATTAAATTTATTTATAACATTATTATATCTATATATATATCTATTATGTTATATTTAAAAATAATCAGATCTCTATAAAAGAATACTCCTTCTATTTATTTTACATAAAAATTTAACAAATTATTTATAAACTAAAGTATCAAAAATTAGAATATTCAGGAAAATACTAAAAATTATTGATTTGTTCATATGTTATCTGTTTGGAATTTGATGTTTTCTTTTGAAATGTTAAATTAAAAAATTTCATAATATTTCAACTCGCTTCCATAAAGTTATTGAATATTCTAAAGATAATTAATTCGATATTAAAATTAAAGGAATTTCTAAGAATTATTTAATTATTTTTTTTATTCATTAAGCTCAAAATTGATGAAAGGCTAAAAGTTAAATGTATTAATTATCTATTACCATATAAGCTTAAAGGATAGCCGATTTAAGAAATTTCAATATTTTTTGAAAAGCCTATTTAAATATCACCACCTTCTACTCCAGAAGAAATATACACAATTCAACCTAAGTCTAGTCGCAGCACTCTCAACAACAAGAATACTAATGTGTTATCAAGTAGCTCAAATTCATAAAGGATTCTTCAATAAAATAACAGTCTCCATTTGCCTAATTTTCCAAAGAGCATTTCTCCAAAAAAGTTATGCGATCAATATATATCTCCTTTGAGATTAAAGGGATATACTTACAATGATATAGAAAGTCCTATTTAATTACGTTTACCAAATAGAAGAGCAACTAAATTATGTTCTAAGGTTTTGTAAAAGTATAAAAAAAAGTATTATATGTGATTCTATTTAAACTTCTTTATTTATATATATATGATATTTAAATTATTTTAACACATACTGGGAATTAGATAGACATGAAATTTCTCTCTATTTTTTCCAACCTTTATAAAGGATTAGTAAAACTGATTAAAAAATATTGAGTATTTATTAAAATTTAGTCATATATTCAATAATTCAATTTTGAATATATATTAATATATTTAATCAAAATTGTAATCAGGAACTATCAAATATTAAGAAGTCTATCTAATTCAATGGGAATATTATAATAACTTTTGATGTTGATTCAACTAATAGAAATATTGAGATTCCAATAGACTCATTTCTTACTTATGCTTAAAACTAATTCTCTTTATTTTAGAATATCTTTTTGTATACATTTTTGTTCCTCAGCAACAAAACAGCTAGTGATTTAGAATGTTGATTATGGGGGTATTTATTATTTTTTAATATAAATTTAATTAAAAACATAATTGTGTTTCAGCATAATTTATATATATAATTACCATATTAGATCGTAATAAATTAGAATATATGAAATAAAAGAAATTTCATAAAAATATATGAATATATTATTTAATCATTTAGGTTGAAGTTAATTAGATCAAAAGAATTTCAGTGTTTAAGAAAATTAATGAATAAATAATTTTTTATATTAATTTATTAATAATTATCAAATATTAAAAATATAATCACTCATTTTTGAGAATTTCTAAATGTTTTTGAGTTTTATCTTATTTAAAAAAGCAATCTACAATTAAGATAACTATTGCCAAAGTGAATAACACAGCAAATGGTAGATATGGATCTATAAAATAAAGTGGTATCAATAAATATGGTGATGGAAGTACTCCTATTTTACCTATTGCTTGTGCTATCCCCTAACCTTAAGATCTAATTTTAACTGGGTAACTTTCACAACAAATGATACAAATGGTTGCAAATAAACCTCTGGTTGCAATTTTTGTTAAGAATAAAGCTAAATATAAAAATGTATCCCTAAACAAAAATAATATAGCATTTGAAAATATTAAAGTTATTGCTGAATATGCAATTATTTTTATTCTTCCTCCATATTTAGTATCATCTATAATGTTATAAAGAATAGATGCAAATATAAATTCTATTATATACAAAGCAAACATAGGAAGAAATCCAGAATTACTATTTTATAATAAAAATGGTAAAAGTAGAAAGATTGTCATTTCTTAAAAATTAGTTAAAATGTATAAAATCCATAAGAGTATTGTAACTTTTCTATATTCTTATGATAGAATGCCATATAAATTGATTTCTTGTTATAAAAGTTCTACTTTTTATTACTTAGACCAACTTATTAAACCATTTTTCTTTATTATTTAACAAATATACTTCAGAATCACATAATAATAAATCTATATTTCCATTTATTGTAATTTATTAATCAATTAACTTAATAGCTATTTCATATTCTCCTTTACTCAAATGAGATCTAATAGTTTCAGTCAAATAAAAAATAGAAAGTATAAATGCAATAGATATTGGAATTCCATTAAATCTAATAAGTCCTCTCCAATTTCCTGATGTATAATCATCCAAAAAAATAAAACATAAAGAAACAAAGTATATTTTTCCTAAAATATAAATTAAAGTTAGAGCATAAGAAAATCTACCTCTATATTTAGCTTCAGTAATTTCTGTTACATAAACATAACCTAGAGGATTAAGTGTACCAAATGTTAATCCATATAAAAATCGTAAAATTAGCATTTCCTTATATGTATCACAAAAACTTGTATAGAAAATCAAAATAACAGATAATCCAGAGAAAATAATAAATGTTATTTATCTTCCTATTATGTCAGCCAAAAAAGCACATAAAAAATTACCTAAAACAATTCCAAATAGAAAAATTGAACTTAATAATGCTACTTAATTTTATGATAAATTCCATTCCTCTTTTAATATAGTCATAAGGATTGACATAAATAGATATTCAAGACCTGCACAAAATTCTTATAATCCTATAATGGAAAGAGTTCTTGCTTAATACCAACCTGTTTTAATATTTTTTTCAAGAATTTCATCAAAAGAAATCATTCTGTAATATAATTTAATTAAGAAAATACATAAATATATATACTCATTCATTCTTCTTTTAATGTTTCTAAATGTTTTTGTGTTTTATCTTTATCAAAAACATATGCAAAAATCAAAATTAAAATTGATAATAATGCCATTAATAAAAATGGTAAATAAGGATCAAAAAATAAAAGAGGAAATAAAAAATATGGAGAAGGAATCACTCCTATTTTACCTATTGCCTATGCTATACCACATCCTTATGATCTTAGATACAAAGGATAACTTTCACAAGCTAAAATACCTATAGTTGAAAACAATCCTCTTGTTGCAATTTTAATGACAAATAAGCCAAGATAAAGAATTTTTTCTTAAAAAATAAATAACAATCCATTTGATAATAATAAAGCAACTCCAGAATAGGCTATAATATTGATCCTACCACCATAATGAGGATTATCTATAAAGTGATAGATTATAATAGAAAAGCAGAATTCGATGATAAACAAAATTAGCATTGGACTAAATCCTGAATTCTTTTGAGCTAATAAGAATGGCATTAAAAGATAAATTGTCATACTTTAAAAATTAGCTAAAACATAGATTAACCAAAGTAAAAGTGTGATAGTTTTATATTCAGATGAAAATATTCCATATTTTTGCAATTGTTATTCTTAAAATTCAACTTATTATTTCTCTTACCAAAGTTATAATCCTTTTTTCTATAATAATATTTGCTTTATAAATTACTTCTTCTTCATTTAATATACGATCTTCCTTTCCATTTTCTTCTAAAATTATTTCAATTTCTTCAAATGCTTATTCAAATTTTCCTAAGTTTAATTAATATCTGATGGTTTCTTTTAAAAAAATAAATGAAAGTACAAATGCAATAGTTAATGGTATTCCATTAAACAGCATCAAACCTCTCCAATTTCCAGATTCCAAACTATCTAAAAATACAAAACAAAGAATTATTAAACATATTTTTCCTAAAACAAAAAGGAGTGAAACAGAAAAGCTAAATCGGCCTCTAAATTTTGCTTCAGTAATTTCTGAGAGGATAATAAATCCTAATTAATAGGTTATCCCAAATATTGCTCCAAATAACAACCTTAAAAGGATCATTTCTATGTATGTATTAGTAAAACTTATTTAAAAACATAAAAACGCACAAATTGCTGTAGAAAATGCAAAAGTTGTTTTCCTACCAATTTTATCTACAAGAAAAGCACATAGTATGTTCCCCAAGACTATCCCTAATAAATATGATGAACCAATGTTAGCTATTTAGGATGAAGTTAAACTCCATTCAGATTTAAGAATTGACATCATGATTGACATAAATGTGAACAATATTCCATTACAAAACTCAACTAGTCCAACAATAGACATAGTTTTGAATTGATAAAATCCAGTCCCAATTTTCTTTTCTAGAATTTAATCAAATGATATCATAATATAAAAAATGTTAATAATCATCATGGTTGTAGGATATTAAGAAATGGCAGAATACAATTCTATAATTAACAGTGTTGAGATTAAATTAAAAAATATTCTTAATGATTGAATTAAGCCTATATTCATAAGAAATTTACTAGTCGCAGAAATCATCAGAATCAAAAGTTCATATTTAATTATACTGTTTTCTAATTAATAATAATTCTTTAATTTCCATACAATGACCTACTTAATCAGATTAGCTGTTACTAATATTTGAAAATTACTAATATTTACTAAACGAGACTAATTTTTAGGATGAAAAAATTACTTATTATTTTTTGCTTACATTCTATTTCATCCAACATAATAACTATAACTATTACTATTATATACCAGGATAAGTTATATATATATACAATAATATGTTCAGGTATTACCAAAACAAATATTATATATAATTATATTTAATATTCCAAAATTAATTATTAATTTTATGTAAATAATGAGTAAGTTTACCACGCTTTCTAAGTAGGCTAAGCATATATTGTTACTATAAAAAATAAACTGGTTTTAACAATATCTGAATTACTTGCATTCAGCTATGAAATAATTTTTTATGATTATTTAAATTTTCTTTTAATAATGTAAAAATAATACTTATAGTCTATAAGAAAGCATCAATATTTTCTTAATGAACTTCATCTCAATTTTTAATAACACTTCCTAATACTTAATTTTTAAGTCAAAAAATAAAACTGAATCTTGTAAATCTATTCTGAATCTCAAAATAAGCTTAACATTCGAAACAGCATTCAATTTAAAATAATTTTTTTTTGTGAAATTTAGATTATATTATCTGAGTTTTTGTAAATTATTCAAAGCTTCATTCATATTTACACCAGATAAATATATAGTATAAATATTTGGCAATCCACTAAAATTAATAAAAAAATTTTAATCAGCAGTTAATGATTTTGTCAACTACATAATTCTTTATAAAAATACTTGATAATCAAAATACGAATTGAATTCAAATAAAGTATTTTATAATGCTTATTTTAGAGCTTATTTATTGTTGAAATAATATAATGTAGGAATCTCATAAGAATTAAATTAGAACATATATTAAAAAATTCTTAATATTTTGTATTATATTTAAAGAATTATACTTGTATTTAAGTCTTAAATAACATATATCATTTAATTATTATGTTTCTATTTTATATTTGACTTATAATTAATATCAAATTATTACAATGTGCCTTAAGTTCACCTTAGTTCATTATTGGACAAAGAAACCCTCGGGAAACTCCTGATCATTTAGGATCAAAAGTTTTTACAAACTTGCTACAGTAGATTAATTCACAATATATAAATGTTATTAAGTAGTATCTATATTCTTATTGCTTTGAGTAAAAGATTTAGTGACAAAAAATGGACTAAATAAACTTTGAATATGCATTCTGAATAAGTTTTAGAAACTAAAAAATCTAAGCTAGCTCAAAGTTATTTAATAGCATAAATTTAAATTTACTTTGAGATAAAAGAATAATCAATAGTTCTGAAGTTTTCTTAGAGGATCAATACCAATTATTGCCAAAATTATGCAGATTACTATATTTGCTTTTTATTTAACTTTAAAGAAATAAGATTTGGATCTGATGAATTGAAAGCCTAATTGGCATTATCCTATAAATCAATTTTTATTATAAATTTCCTATATCTCTATTTTGAGGATTAATATCATTTATTGATAATCAAGACTAAGTATTATGAATATCAAGGAGTCTCGTGGATAGGAGCTTTATAATTTTTTGGATTTACATATATACTCTTAAGTGCTTTTAACATTATACATATATACTCAGACTGAAATCTAATCGACTCAATCAATGATCTGATATTGGAAGTATATTCCCTATTTTTTTTGGTTTTTGGTATTTTTGGTTACAAAAACCCTACAAGAAATTTAAAAAGGAATAGAAAGATACTATTAGTGTAGATATCCAAACAGAAAAGGTAATAATGAAGCTCTTTCTGATGATAAGAAACATAAAAGAGGAGAGACACAGAATACCTGCCTATGATTAATAATAATACAGTTAATAAGCAACAGAAACAACACCAACAATCATATAATAAGAATTTGATACAGTGCCTATCACTCATTGACTTTTTTATATTACAATATTTTCAGAATATATAATTATTAATATTTGAATGGGCATTTGCTAAACTAAACCTAAAGTCAATGAACCTTAGACAAAAATGAAAAAAATGAATACAGAACAAAGGTTGATGCCTAAACCTAGTCGCATTTTAGATGTTAATTACAAACAGATTCCAAATAAATTCAGAAGATAGGCTACATAAAGAAGAGTCTAGCAAATTAATCAATTTGATACAGATACATAAGGATTGTTTGGATTGACTAATCTAGGAAATACATGCTTTTTAAATTCAGTATAATTAATACTTATATAGTCTATCTAAGCCTTATCAAATACATAACCATTAACTGATTACTTTATGTCATAACTACATATCAAAGAGATAAATCCTGAAAATCCTTTATCATCTTAAGGAAATATAGTCAAATCATTTGCTTAACTTATTAGACTACTCTGGTAGAAAGTTGATCAATATTAATATGATGATATGAAAGTATTGAAACCGACATAATTTATTTCAACAATTGGAAATTATAATCCTATATTTGCTGAAGGTACATAGGAGGATGCACATGAATTCATTGCATTTTTATTAGATATGATACATGAAGATTTGAATAGAATAAAGAAGAAACCTTATGTAGAATAAGCAAAGTTTATAAAATTTCCAACTAATGAGGATGCAGAACAAGAATGGAAAAAATATTTGTCACGAAATTAATCAATTATTGTTGATTTATTTTAAGGTCAAGTGCTTGATACTTTATCATGCTTAACTTGTAAATCTTCAAGATATTGTTTTGAACCATTTATGTATCTAAGTGTACCAGTTTTGAATAGAGAATGTGATTTATTAGAATGCATAGAAGAATATTTGAAAAAAGAAACTCTAAAAGGAGAGGAAGGATGGAATTGCACAAATTGTAAATCAAGAAGAGACAGTAATAAAAAGATTGATTTATGGACAATGCCAAATATTCTAATAATTCATCTAAAAAGATTTAAATTTAACTCTTAATTCAGAGCAAAAATCAGATCTTTAGTAAAATATCCAATTTAGAATTTATCTTTTGAAAATCTTGTATGTACAAAACAAATAGAAAAACCAACTTATGATCTTTATGGAATTATTAATCATAGTGGTACATTGACATCTGGACATTACACAGCTTATGCCAAAAATAGAGATGATCTACATTGGTATCATTATAATGACTCTTTAGTTACACCAGTTTAATAACCTGAAAATTTATCAGATGCATATTTATTGTTTTATTTTAAAAATAGTGTTGAAGAATTTAAAAGATAAACTTTAGAAGGAATCAATGTAAGTTAAAAAAGAAAGACTATAAAAAATACAATAGTAATAAAGTAAACAATTCTTAATATGCAATCATAATAATCTAATAGTAATATCTCAGATAATAAAAGAAATAACAACAATAATATTGCTCCATCAATTTCAAGTTAAGCTTAAAAAAAAATGTTATTTAGAAAATAAACAAAGCATTTTTAAATTGTAAAAGCCTAAGAATAACCATCTTTTTAATAGGAATCATATGTAATATAAGAAGAAAACTGATAATTATATTGATATAATAAAATAGTCTTATTTTTTTATTTAAAAATAACACCATTTTAAATATTTATTATATTCTTTTATTATAAATTACATTATATATTCTAAATTAATATATTAATAAGATGTTTTGATCATTAATTTGAATGAAGATTTTTAATAATTCAATAAAATTGATGATAAATTTATTAAATATTCATTATGGTTATTGATAATTGATTTGAATGTCTTTTTAAATATAAGGATTATTGGGTATTTGAGGTTAATTAACAATACCTTATTAAACATATCCTTATTATACACTTATATCTTATTATGGAAGAGGCATAGGTATATTACCTTAAGTATACTATCCATTAGTATAATCACCTTATAAATAAGCTTCTATCTTTGATAAATAATAGATTCTAAGTTAATAGATATATAAATATATTACCCAATGCTTACTCTAAATATACTTATTGCACTTAACCACATTGAGATTGAAATTATTGCAAAGAAGATCCAAAAATAATAAAATAATCTAAAGGATTTAGCACACATCGCATTTTAAACTCTTGTAATAGATAACTAATTAAATAATTATTATATAAATACTTAAACAAATTTACAATTGACTCCTGATAATGAACCTGTGTTTTTATCTGTAATTGATTTTAAATAATTTGATGCTGCTGTTGTATATGATGTAATGGCATCAAATTTAACAAGCAATGCATCTTAATTTTATTTATGTTTATCTAAAATAGTTTTTTCTTAATCTTGTGCTGGTTTCCAGGATGAAGATTGAGTAGTATAAAATTAACTTATGGTAGAGATTTCAGGACAACCAGAAATTTATTGATTTAACAATGTTTAATCTTTTGAAAATATAGCTGATTATAAACAAACAGGTTGATTATTGGGATTTGAAAATGGAGAACCAGATAAAGGTTAATATTAAATAGCAGATGTATCACAATATGACATTTTATCTGGTACTGAACTCTTTTTATTATTATTACATGCTTTAACTTATTCTCTCATTAAATATTTAATATTTGTAGAATCAGATGGAGGTGTATATTCTTTTTCATCAACTCTTTCAAATGTAACAAAAGAAGTGATATAATCTTAATTAATTTTTAAAGTTTTATCTCCTTCTGCTGATTATTTATTAAATTCTGCTTTTTGTTATTCAAACTAACTTATTGAATTATCTAAGTTAATTACTTATTGTAGACTGTCATAAACATTATAATAATTGAGAATGTCACCATCTTTAAATAAACATTCAGCCATTATATCATTAATTTCTTTGTCACTAACTAGATAATTTAAACTTTCAAATTTAGTTTAATTTGATAATATTACATCAATATAATCACATCCTTCAGCAAGCACACCACTTGTTAATCCTAAAACTGCACTTAAAATAAATCCAATCAAAACAAATAAAAAATTAAAGGTACAAGCACAAACCAATAAACATCTAAAACATTTTAATCCTTTTCCAAAACAGAGGAGAGTTGAACTAAAAATAATTACTAAAGAGAATAATCCAAAAACTCCAAATACAATATAAAAAACTAATGAGGCAAGATCACTTGCATCATCTAGTATTTATGTATTATCAATAAAATCATTGGCTGCATACAATAAATTTTATTATGTATTTTATATTGATTTTTTAGTATCTTCTAAACTATTAGATATATCATCCTATTAATCACTTAATTATTATCCATAACTTTTGATATTAGCAATCTCTTTAATAATATTCTCATAAATTTATTAAAATATTGATGATTGTGGTAATACATTAATTTATGTTACCTCCGTCACTATTGAGTCTGCATTTACTGTTTTACCTGTTGAAATATAACCAAGAATATTATTGGTTCCATAATAAGTCGTTAATGGAATTGCTTCAAGTCTATAATATATATCGAATATAATACTTTTTATTTTCATCAGATAACTCTCCATATTAATCTTGTAATTACTTAGCATTTATTTAATCTAATTATTTTTAAGTATCTGATATAAAACCACCTAATCCATTTTAAATAGTGGTTATGTTATTTATCACAGAATCTAATCCTTTCCATTTTTTCATCTCTTCATCATCACTATCTGTAACTCCATCATTTATATCACTAAAAATCATCAATCCAGCACATTTCATTGATTTTATAGAGTTGCCAACTTCACCACTCAAAATTAATCCTGCTATACAGAAAGCCAAGATGATAACACCAAAGATTATTGAAAATGTTAAGGGTATTCTGATATCATCAATTTTTTAGGCTTAAGAACACCTACAACATCCACAAGGACAACTGATAAATTAAATTTTTATTATACCAATCACTACAACATATCATAAGTGTAATGTAAGTGAATAATGATATTACTAATAGTATTGCCCATGGAAGTAACATAAACATCACTGCTTAAACTGCATCCGATTATAGTTCAGATGATGATTTCCCATTGTTTTCAGCCAAATTATCTAAACCTATTCTATGATTAGTGGATAATAACTCCTCCCTTAATCGTTTTGCTTCTGATATTTCATTTGAAGTGGGTTAATAATCTAATAGATATATTTTTCATATACCAATATCAACACAAATATCAACTGTGACTTACGATAAACTTTCCAAAAATGTTTCTTAGCCCTAAAAATAAATCAACTCATGACTTACATCTAGATAATTTTGTATCACAAGTAAACATCCCAGACAAAGCAAGAAAACACAAGTTATTGAAGTTTTATTTTTCATTATTTAAATTATCAAATTGTTAATTTAGAACTTAATAATTCAATAAATTATTTATCTTCTATATATATAAAACTCTATTAAATTTAAATTCCCTTCCATCTATGAATAAAATTCCAGATAGAATTTTCATATCAATAAATAAATGTATTAAGTATAACTTTTATAAAAAAATATCATTCCTTCTAACAAATTTTTGTCTTCATCCCTTCACATTTCTATAATGGCATTCTAATTTTACCGACTCTCTTTTGAAATTTCTAATTTTAATTATCATTTTTTAAAGTAAAATTTATACTGTTTTTACACTATTTTTATAAATTATTTATATACTTTATTGATATAAGATTTTTAAACAATATAATTATATGACATTAATAAATTATCATATTAGACCCTAAATCTCTATTTTTATTTTCAAAATCTCTATTTACATATTTGATAAGCTTATATTCATCAATTTTATTGTACTATAATTATTAATTAAATATTTAAAATTTCAACTGTACTAAAAGAAGATGATCAGTAATTTATATTATAACATCACATTCATTTCTATATAATCTTACAATATATATTATCAATTACTCAAAAGTTCAATAAATTTACAACATCACTTCAATATAGAAATTGATATTCATTTAAAAGTTTATTTGATTTTCTACATAATTAAATTTACAATTGCATCATTATTCTAGAATAAATTTTACATTGTACAGAATCACAATCACAATCATGATCCCAATTATATTATTAAATCAATATTCTAGAAATGTAGAGTTTTAATAACATATATATATATACATATAAATATCTTCAAAAATTCTTTTGTTACATCATTTTTACAGATGAGAATGGGAGTAACGAACCTTTCTTCCAAAAATGATTTCCTCCTTTTGATTATATTAATTTTATTAGTTCAGTCTTATACTCTAAACTTTTGGTCTTCCAAAAATGCTCTCTTTTTGAGCATTCAATTAATTTCCATCAAAATAAAGCTTTGGTGGAGGAGAGGGCTTTTAATCATCTTTAGGTTCCTTCTTTTCTTTACCCTCCAAATCAACATATTAGATTTTTTGTAAATTCAAAGTCAAGTTTTTTGGTTTGATAGGAGTAACACTATTGGAAGTTGTCTATTGATGTGATTTATCTAAGATTATTCTCTTCTATTTTTTTGAACTACATGAACCCATTATTAAATTAATAATTTTTGTTACAGTTTCAACAGCTTTTATCAATCGCTACAATTAGATCAGAGATTAACAGAATTTATTTAATATAATATTTGCTTATTATTCAGTAAGTATTGAAAGAAGGTAGACAAATTTTAATTATAAAATAATAAGAGTACTTAAATATCAATTTAAAAATTACTATGATTACCTAATAATTCAAACTGTTGTGTTAATCAAATCATATTTCATATGAGATTAATTTGTTTTTGAAATATTTTTCATTTCATAAACAAATGTGTCTTTTGATTCAATTTAAATAATGCAATCTATTGTTTTAAATTGTTTTAGAAGATAATAAAAATTTGATAATGAATACTATAATATTTTAATTAATCATTTATAATAATTTAATATTTTATAAGACTGTTTTAGAGTAAAACTGTTTAGAAAGAAGTTTTTTAAATATCTCAATATTTTATGTTATTTAAATTAATGTATTTTTTGATAGAGATATCAAATGATTTATAAATGTGTATGAGAATAAAATTTCAAATTAAATTAGATTAAAATAACATCAATTCTAATATATTGAATATCTTTAAGTAAAACTTCCAAATAAAAAAAGAATATTGTGGAATTATTAAGATTTTGCCTTTATAATTTATTAACATCTTATGATTTAAAGAAATTGAAATACCAAAAAATTTAATCTATATATTTAAAAAATATGATTGTTTTCTGACAAATATTAATCATGATTATTAATTTTCATAATAGAAATTAATCGGAAGTTTTAATAAAGTAATGAAACCAATTCTTATGAATGTTTTGGGTAAAACATATGAAATCAAAAAGGGATTAGCAACAGTTGGAAATACAGAAACTTGTGAAATTTAGGTGCCTCTTGTTGATTGTTTCAGACTTAAACGTGAAGATAACTTTTTATGGGTCCAACCTCTAGTTAATATTCATAGAATAAATGGATTTGGTTTAAAAGAGTCTTTATGTGCAGGGAAAGAATTTGAACTAGATCTTTCAACAGGAAAGAAAGAGATAATTGCTGTAGATGAACGATTTACTTTTGAGTATGGCAAATCAAGAGTAATCAGAATAAATTTAATTGATCATAATAAATCTATAGATGAACCGCCAATTATTAAAAAAGTGTTAAATGAATCAATTTATTCTTAGAATTCCAAAATTGCATAAAAGAAAAGCAAACCTCTACATTATTGTTTTGTTTAGAATTACGTATTTTAATTATAATATATTTAGATCAAATAATTAAATGGGGTTTATAAACTCAAATTTTCTAATTCTTATGTTTGTGTAGAAGATTAAAATAAACTCTATAAATTGGGAATATAAATAGACCCAAATAGTTATAATATTTTGGTTATGGATTCTTATAAAAGAACATTCAATTTACTATTAGCCCTGAATTAAGGGAAAATGATAGTTAATTCTTAATGGATAAAAGATAGTCTATCTTCAATGCAAGTGTAGAATCCATATTTATATGTTCTGAAAACTAATAATTTTAGTATATTAAAATCAATAGGAAGTTCTATCTCAAATAAGATTTTCTTGAATAAGCAATTTTATTTAAGTCCAGATTTAAAATCAAACATGACTAAGGAAGAGATAATAAAATTAATAGAGGCTGGTGGAGGGACAATCAGTAATTAATAAAGTGAAGTCATGATTGTAAATAATGGTGAGGAAGGTGGCCTTTAAATGGAAGAATTTATTCAAATGATTTTGTATTAAAAAGTATGATTAAACTGGTTGAAAATTTTAATATTATTATTGATGAAATAAAAACTTTGGATAGCTATTCCTAATGAATTGAAATGGAAAAATGAAAAACCCATTTTGAAATCTGAATTCTAAAAGTCTAACAAAAAATTGAGATATTTGATTGCTTATGATCATTATATTCTTATTACAAAAGTATCTGAAAATTCAATATTAATAATAGAAACCTGAAGATCCTCCAAAGAAATATCTAAAGCTTGATTTTGAAACCAAATTTGAGATACTTAGAACTCAAATTTAAAAGAAAGATGAAGATGATGATTCATTGGGTACTATAATAGGAATGAATCTAATGAGAGATCATGGATAAGATTAAATGCCAAGCTATACATTATCAGCAAATGAAAAAGTGATAACTTAATGGAGAGAATTTTTTTAATCTAGAATTAATTAATGGTAATTTCATCATCTTTTTAGAGTATTCAAGAAAATTGGAAAGGGTAATTTTGCATCTGTAATTATTACATTAAATTTTAGGTTTATTTGGGAGAACGTATAGAAGATGGTGCATAGATGGCAATTAAAGCATTTTCAAAATAAGCAGCATATGCAGAAGATCATGGAAAAGAAGCTATTGTGAATGAATTAACAATAATGAGAAAATTAAATAATCATCATCTAATGAGAATGTATGAAATATATGAAACATCAAATTCACTTTATGTTGCACTTGAATTATTAGAAGGTGGTTCATTATATGATCTAATCAAAGAAAAAGTCATTTTATCTACAAAATAAATTTAATAAATTTTAGTAGGAATCTTACAAGGATTGTGTCACATGCATGAAAAAGATATTATGCATAGAGATTTAAAATTAGAAAATATTTTATTCAAATAACCAAAGTAATATATTTATTAAATAATATTTAATAGGAAAATGGAAACAGTGGTTGTAGCAGATTTTGGTTTAGCCACTCATGTAAATGAACCAGTTTATTTATATTGTCGATGTGGAACTCCTGGTTATGTTGCACCTGAAGTTATCAATATTAAAGATATGAAAGCCCATTATAGTTCTGTTTGTGATATTTATAGTCTTGGATTAGTCTTTTATTTATTATTAACTGGTAAACCTGCTTTTCCTGGAAAAAGTTATGGCACTGTTGTCAAATAAAATAGAGAAGCTACTATTGATTTCACTTTAAAATAATTGTAAAATGCTCCTAACACTGCTGTTGATTTAATAAAAAGAATGCTTGAAAAAGATCCTACTAAAAGAATAACAGCACATTAATGTTTATAGCATCCATATTTAGCAGAAATGAATTAAATAATGTTAGAAGATAATTAAAATGATTTTATTGATGAAGGAGAAGATAATGATTTAGGAATGAGAATGAATGCATTAAATGAAGAGTAAATTATTAAATAAATTCTTGTAGATCAGTTAAATTTGATGCATTCAGAAGAAATCAAGTGATGAATTCGCCTTAATCATCTCCTGGTGCTTTAGCTACTAAATAATTAAAACATTAAAAAAATATTGATTCTTCAAATTAACTATAATTAAATTCACCTTTATTGACTGGTAAAACTGATAGTGTTGATAGTATTCCTAATATTGGAATGACTTAATAGAAATAATAAAATAATTTTTAAGCCTCTCCATAAATAAAACCTTCCAGATTTAAATAGTATAAATTAATTTTTTATTTTTATAGAACCATTCCCTAATAAAAATAAGAGAATCCATTATTAAAATATACTTAAAAGAAAGAATGATATTGAAGATTGAAGAGTCTATGATAATTATTATTAAAATAATAATTTCTTTTATAAATTATTATTATTATTATTATTAACTAAAATTTGGTAAAATTAACCTCATTTGAGACATATTATCAATAAGTTTTTAATTATGATTATGACATTTATTTATTTCTTTTTACTTCATTTATAATTAATGGAATTAAAAATAATCCTCCAATTATAGATAATGCACTACAATATACAAACAATCGTTTTTCTACATATGGAACAATCAATTAATTAATAGCTGCAAACATAGCTGCATATCCCATTATAACTGAAACGACTGTTGAGGTTGCAGATTTACTATCTAAAATGAAAATATAATTACTTTTTAATTCTGGTTAATTACTGAGTTCTACTGTCATTGCAGTTGAAATATTATTATAACATCCACCAATAAATAATCCTGTAAGAAATATTAAACACATATATCCTGCTATTTCATGTTTAAATGATCCACTAAAACTTACAGATATCATTATTATGGTACCTATCCATAAAGATGGAACTGTAATTACTGCTCTTTTATTATAATAATATCCAATCAAACTAGAATTAGAAATATCAAAATTAAAATTACCAAATTAGAATCCCTCCTGGAATAGAACCTAAATCAATCATAGCTGTTATCCAAGCAACATCTTTAACATTTTTAGAGTCTAAATAATTAGGTAACCAAAATCCAAGAATATAATAAACTGCTTTTACACATCCAAAAGCAAATGCATATAATGCAACATTTGGAACAAACCATGCATTAAAATAATTTAATTGGTTAATCTATTCATTTTCTTATTTAATCACAATTTAAGATGCACCATTTGGATATTATATTCGAGAACTTTTTCTTTAATAATCTAAATATTAATCTAAATTTTCTTCATATTTTTTTTCAATCATAGATATCATAAGTTAAGGTTGCTGTTAATTTGCTTATTTTTTTTTCTCATACTCTTCAACCATCTATCTTTTAATGTCTTCAGAAGGTGCATTTTCTAATAAAAAAGTGTCTAAAACATTCATAATGAATAATGAAAATCCAGCTAAATATATTGGAGCATATAATGATAAATCGTCTTTTCCTATTAATACACCTGAATACACATCACCAAGTATATTTCCTACATTTGGACATGCTGCAAAATAACCCATAAGTATCACCTTCTTATCTGTAACAAACCAATTGTTTAGAATAGCTAAATTATTTAACATTATGTACAAAGCACTCCGCACCATGCAGTTGATTGAGATATACCATTAATTATTTGTAAAATCAAATATACATAATTATGCTTGACTTCAATCTATATCATTACTCCAATTAAAGTGAAAACTAAACATGATGTAAATGTTCCTGCTAAAATAAATACTTTAAGACTCATTCTATCTCCAAATTACCCCAAACTACCAAATACTTATTCAATACATTGATATCGCAAACCCATAACAAAAAAGAAAAGAAAAATTTATGTAGCCTAGGTATTATTTCGTGAAATAGTCTTCCCCTACCATTCTACCCGATACATAACTCCAAGTTGATCTACAGCAATGTATAAATGCATATTGGAAGAAACATAGGACAAACATAAGAATTCTTTTTTTGGTGACTTCAGCTATCGAGGATGCAAACATTCTGCTTTATTAATTATTAACTCTATCTTGAAATTAGTGTCAAATTAGGATTTTTTAAAATATAGTACGTTGAATGATGTCTCCATAATAGAATAAATGAAGTATTCTAATTAACCATGAGAAATGAATTCTAAACTTGAAGAATGATATTTGAAAATAAAATTTAAATATTTCATTTTAATTCAATTTTCTTGAATCTTCTTTTTTAATCTTTTGTATTCATTTAAAATTATTGTAATGAATAATATTCCTACAATAAACACATTCCATCTGGTATATAAAAACATTTTGGATGTTGAACAATAAGTTTATTCAAAACAGCAACAGCAGCAACAATTACACAATATCCAATTAGGATAGATGCAAAAATAAGAAGTTTATAGGCTTAAGAAATGTAAAATACAATCACAAAAATGATTTTCATTTTAAATAGTCAATTAAGAAAAGATCATATAATTTCAATTATTAACCTACTACATAAGGTCCTATTCTATTCTCAAATTTATTTATTTTAGGCCTTGACAAATGAGTAAGTTATATATAGATATGCAATGTTAACTTCAATTAAATAAACTCTCTGATTTTTATCATCTATTTGTTTATCTACATAAAAATGGTAATATTTCTTCAATTTTTTATAATCATGTGGAGAATTTCCACATTAAACAATATAAATTTAACATTTTATATTAGAGATAAAAACTAATATTGGTTTTACTATTAGTCCAAGGCCATATAGAATTGAACATTATTTAAAATTATATGTATAAAAGATCATCATATGATATTCATTTTCTCAATGAATTTTCAACTCTGTTGCATGTTTGATCTATCAAATTGATCAGGCTCTCTTCTGTTGCTTCTCTTTCATTCTTTTCACTTGTTAATTCGCTATTCAAATAATGATTCATTTCATCTAACATTCTGAACATTTAAGATTATGCTTATTCTCTCTATTTCTTTTCTGTTGTTAAGATCTCTTATAATTTTAAGATAGAATCACCCAATCTCTTAATTGTATTCTAATTTTATTATTCTCTATTTTAATTTAATTAATATTAATACCTTTATCTTCTCTCCTCTTCTACTTCTTCCTATAATTACAAAATACGATCTCCTATCTCTTAAGCATTCTTCTCTTCTGTTTCCTCTCTATATTTCTTCTATCTGGCCAAATCCAATTTTAAGCTATAAACCTTATCATCTGTATTCTTTATTATTTTTCCTTCAAAATCTTTTCTATTTATTTTTTCTGATTATAATTCTTTATTCAAAAATCCTTCTAATCCCTTTAAATCTTTTGATCTTAATTTTTCATCTCCAGCCTATTTCTAAAATAAATCAGTACTTCTCTAATGATTTTTTCATTCTATGCACCCTCTTCAACCTTTTAGAGTTATTCCTTCAACAGCTTGAACTTAGAATCATCTCCTTAAGCTTATTTGGTTGCTCTGTCTTCTAGAATTTTAATCTTGCTTTCAAAAGTTTCTTTTTTAAACTAATCATTAACAAAAAACTCTTACAGCTTGATCTTCGTCAATCTAATGCTATAGATTAGAGAGTTTCTCTGATAGCTATGATATTTTAGCTCTGCTTGGAGAAAGAGCTCTGTCACCTCCATATGGTTACACATTTGAAACATTAACATTCGAACGTGATGGTGAATAAAAGATCTTTGATGCAGACATTAATAATTAACAATAAAAATTATTTCTAAATATTTTTATTGCTTGTTCATTTATAAATCAATCCAAAAAATCTCATAATTTTTTATAATCATTATTTATTAATAATTTTTTAGATTCGGCAAAAGTACATCAAAGAATTTACTAATCAAATTAATTAAGCAGAATAAAAAAGATAATTAATTTTTTTTGTTTTAAAGTGAACATTAGAATTGATATCAAGAAATTTATATAAACAAAGTAAAGAACAATAAGAAAATACTTATGTTTAATGAATATTGATAACTATTAGGCTAAAAATAAGTAAAATTAAAATAATTTGAGTATCAAATAAATAAATATATGAAGTACATAAAAATAGATATTAAATCTTTTATAATGATGATAAGATATTATTATTTTGAAAATTGACACTTAATTTGGATCAGACTATTTCAATTTCATTATTTTATGTTTATAAAAAAATGCAATTAATAGATTATATTAAGTGTGTTCTAGAAGTAAATTATAGTTATTGAATATTTTCAAGAATATAGCTGGTAATATAGGCAATATATATATAATTTGATAAATATTGATAATAAAAATTTTAAAGATGAGAGTAAATTGAAAAAGCGAATGATTCATTATCATATTATTGAATGTAATTTAATATAATATATTTATTGGTAAATAAACCTATAAACAAGAATAGTAATTTATTAAAACTTTTTATAATCTTATTTATTAATTTATTTAATATTAAATTAATTACGTGTAATATAAATGATCGATTTGGTAAGTATAATAACTACTGGTGGAGTCATTCTATTTTACAAAGTATTATGCTCTTAATAAACATATAGGCTTTATGCTAAATAAAAGAGGATGTTTTGGGAAAAGTCATTGATGGATGTTTGCAATAAAAAACATAATTATAATTAGGATCAATGAAAGTTTAATGGGTTATATTAAATGAATTAGGATTGATATTTATTGTTTCTTATTAAGAAATCTTTTTCATCCAATATATAGATGTATTGTTGAAAATGTTGTAAACTTAATTCAAATAAATATACAATCCAGCAATTAAATAGAAAGGAATTTATAAGTATTCATATAATCAAAAATATAGATCTATACCAGAGTTTGATTCTGGTTTTGAGGAAGTCATGAAGATGTGGTAATTGTATTGTGACAAAAGGAATGAGAAGGAAAAAGAAGGACCAACAAAAACCTATGATTAATAAGAATAATTTTAAACATTTGAACCAAAAGTTGAAACAGGCAATACGCCTAAAGAAGAATTAAATGATGGATAATAAAAATTAAGCAAATCTGAAATAATTAAAATGAAGATGTAATAAAAATCTGGAACACGATCTCCAAAAGATGGTACAAAGTCTCCTTAAGATGGTGCTAAATCTCCTGTTGATAGTAGATCACCAAAATAATCAGTCATAATGAATACAAATATAACAAAAAAATAAATTGAGTCTTTGGATTTCACAAATAAAGGATAAAATTAAGTTTAAACTAATTAAAATGAAAAATATATGACTTAAGAATAGGAAGATGATTTATTAAAATAATTTGTTGGTGATGATGATCCTTTATTTGGTTCAGATGATGAAAATCCAAAATAACAAAAAAAATAAGGTTTATTTTCAAAATTAACAGGTAAGATTTAAAATCTTACAGGAAATAAATAATTAACTGAAGAAGATTTATTACCAGTTTTAGATGATTTCAAAAATGCATTAATGTAAAAAAATGTAGCAGAAGAAATTGCATAAAAATTAGTTGATTCTATTAAATCAAATTTATTAGCTACAAAAACAAAGGCATTTTAATCAATTAGAACATCAGTTTAAGAAGCAATGAAGTCTACATTAACAAGAATTCTGACACCTAATAGACATATTGATATTATTGCTGAAGCATTAAGATCAAAAGAAAAACAAAAACCATATGTTATAGTTATCATAGGAGTTAATGGAGTAGGAAAATCAACTACACTTGCAAAATTAGGATATTTATTCAAAAGTTAAGGATTCTCATTGATGATTGCAGCATGTGATAATTTTAGAGCTGGTGCTGTAGAATAATTAAAAACTCATGGATAATGTTTGGGAATTCCAGTTTATGATAGAGGATATAAAGATGATCCTCCTGAAATTGCTTATTAAGCTATAAGGGAAGCAACAATTAAAAAAATTGATGTTGTTTTAGTTGATACAGCTGGTAGAATGTAACATAATGAACCATTAATGAGAGCATTATCAAGAATAGTAACTATGAACAATCCTGATCTTGTATTATTTGTAGGGGAAGCCTTAGTTGGAAATGATGGAGTAGATTAATTGGTTAATTTTAATAAAGCTTTAATTGTAAATAGTCCAAAGGATAATGTTAGAGAGATTGATGCTATTATTTTGAGTAAATTTGACACTGTTGATGAAAAAGGTAAATTATTTATATTATATTGTGTAGTTGGTGCAGCTTTATCATTAACTTCAGCCACAGGCAAACCAATTCTTTTTGTTGGAGTAGGACAGAAATATACACATTTAAAAAAATTAAATGTGAATACTGTCGTAAGAGCATTATTACAATGAAAAGAATTGAACATATATGTAATATCCAAATATAAAAAAAAAATTTGAATTCCAAAAAGTAATTAATAATTTTAACGGAATCAAATGGGTTTAGATGAAACTTGGGTGTTGTCTTGTGCTTTCTTCTCTATCCTAGGACTACTAGGATATTCAATGATAGCTGCCGGAGCAGTCAGATACAAATCAGTACAATCTGCTATTATTACAATTTTATTGGGCGGAATCTTAACAATTATTGCTTTCTTTATTGTAAGATAATAAAATATCTAATTAGACTGGCTATGCATTTGCATTTGGATTAGATTCAAATAAATTCATTGGTAAATCATTATTTGCCGCTGCATAATTTGAATCAACACCAAACAGAAATGATTATGACAATTTTGTATTCCACACAATTGCTGCCATTTTTGTTACTTCAATCTTTGCATTTGGAACTTTGGAGAGATCAAGATTCTTTTCATTCAGTTTTGGAGTAGTAATTTTATAAGGACTCTTATATCCAATTGTTGTTCATTGGACTTTTGGTAAGGGATGGTTGAGCATATTTGGATTCTAAGATTTTGGAGGAAGCTCAATAATTCATGTGTTTGGAGGTGTTACTGCATTGGTGGCATCATTATTATTACATGAACGCAGAGATCAAAATGGAAAAATTCATCCTGGAATCTTCCCACATCATGCACCATTCTTCATAGGAATTGGTACTATCTTACTAGTTGTTGTCTAAATCATTTTCCTCTCTGGTTTGAATAGAGGATCAGAAAATTATATTAAGGGGTTAGTTCCTGTTAATACATTTTTGGCTGCATCATTTGGTGGATTGAGTAGTTATGTTTCATACTATTTGAAAAAAGAAAAGACAAGTTTGATAACTATTGCTAGAGGAGCACTTGCAGGAGTTGTAGCAGTAAGTGCAAGTGCAAATGATATCTAATTATGGGCAGCAGCCTTTATTGGAACATTAGCTGGAATCTCATATCTTGTGATATAACTAATAGTTAAAAGATCTCATGTTGATGATCCAGGATAAGCAGTTGGTGCTCATCTTGTTCCAGGAGTTCTTGGAACTCTATTATATGGAATTGTATCAAGATCTCATGGATTATTTTATGGTTAAGGTCTAAAATAATTTGGAATATAAATTGTAGGAGTACTCTCAATTGCTGGCTGGGCTTTACTCATTCTAGCTGTTTTGGTCCCATTAAAAGGGTTTGGAATCTTTAAGATTAAACCTGAATAAGAATCTTTGGGAATAGACCAAAGCTATGGTATTTAAATAATATTTAGTTTTAGCTGGTGGAGAAGCTTATGTTTTCAGCGATTAAACAGTAGAAACAAAGTCCTTATTGAATTCATAAAAGAAATCCATATTCCATTGATATATCAAAATTATTATAAATCATAAGAAATCATTTTAAAACTAAATTCTTGATCCTTCTAAACTAATCAATAGATTCTTTCAATTTATTACTAAATATCTACAAAGCTTTATACTTTACAAAACATAATAGGATGTTTTATTAAATATTTCATTTAATCATTAAGATTTTAATGATTAAATGAATTAACTTATATAATACAATTATGATATAGTCTACCTTCCTAATTTAATGAATAATTTATCAAATTTTTATTTGCATTTTTGAAGAATTAATATATAGAAAGACTGAAAAATTAAGTAGCTCTAATGTTATTTTCTTAGAAATCACTACAACTTATAGTTTAATGCATTCTAACATTTGTTTTCCAAGTATTTAAAGGTTCATAATTTTGATGAATCAATATTAAGATCTTTATTTAGATTCTTTTTGATTAAATTATTTATTATAGATTTTTAATAATTTTTGTCGATTTAGTTATAGAAATGATTCGAAATAGATTTAAATAACTTCTGTCATTCTTTGAATCTAAATATATTTTAATCAAATTTATCAAGAATTAAGATTTGAATAAATTATTGTTAAATAAATGATTAATTCTTTTTCATTAGATTATTATGAAGAAATTTTAATTTAAGTAAATAAAGGATCATACTTAAAATATCTAATTTCTTTAAAAAATGAGTATTTAGCATAAATAAAGCTATAGTATTAGATATTATATAGAAATAGAAATTATATTTTCATCTAAAGATTTTGTGGATATCCGAATATATAAACAATTATATACTTATATAAACTTCCTATTTTGAAATCAATATATGTTTTTTTAATACATTTTATGGAAATCCATTCAAAAATTATTATAAATACCATTGTTTTCCATTTCATTTTGTTATGATTTATTTATATGTTTATGTTAAATTGAATATGATATTATCATTTTCATACTCTCATAAGTTTTTTGCAATATCAGCAGGAGCATTGGCTTTAACGATTTGAACATATTCAGCTTTAGCTTATTCTTTAGACTTTCCTTTGTTGGCATTCCAAGCATCCCATTTTGCTCTGCCTTTTTGGTCAAGAATTCCTGGTTTACCTAAAGGATTATAAGTTTACAACAATACCAATATTAACATCTCCTACGGTAGCTTATTTATATAATCCATAGATCTGCAATTTTGTTTAATCATTCAATTTATCAACAAATGATTTAACTTCTTCTGCTGCTAATTCAAACTATGAAGTAATAAGAAACAATTTTTACATTCTCTGCCATTTGGATTAAATTAATATATAAAAGATTTATTATTTATACACTTACGAATATGAATAATTAAATGAATTTTATCTAATAATCTTGAATAATTTGTTACATAAACATAGATCAATTTTCAATAGCTATATAACCTCTTATTAATAATCCAATAATATGAGTGTTTTAATCATTTATCATCATCTAAAAATCTTCCTCGATAAGATGATCACCATTTAATAATTTATCTCGATAGTATTTTAAATATTGTTGGTCTTCACTTTTTACTTTAATATCAGATGATTTCAGATAATCTAAGAAATCCATAAATTATTTCATTTAATTGTTATGTAATTCTATTTTATACTTTAGTTTTCTAACCCATTTATATCGAAGTTATTATAATTATTTTTTGGTTGGTTAAATACTATCTGGTTTTTCACTATAAACTGATAGTTTCTACTTAAATTAATAATTATCTTACAGCTGCCATACTGCGTTCTCTGGTTTCCTCAGTTTTGTAAATAATTTCATTAACTTTTGCTCTCCTCATATCTATTAGGTATAACATTATTGATTTACTTCTAATCTCATTGTTCTACTCAATTGTTTACATAAGAGATTTTGATCTATCTCTAACCAATGGAGATTCGGATACATTAAATTATTACGATTTTATGGAATGACATGAATTATCTTCATTTCTGCATGTCTTGATTTAAGTATTTTTAGTTTGACTATGAGGCGAAATTTGGGGATATTAGTCTCTTGTTGTATCTATACCACTCAAGAAAGTTTCAACTTTATTCAAGGATGCCCTGATGTTATCATGTTTAATATGTGATCTTTTAATGATATTCTTAACTGTTTTTCTAAAGAGGTATTACTATACACAGATATGAGTAATGTGTGTACTTCAACAAATGGTAATTCTTTTTCCTTGTTTTTTTGAGGTTCATCTTGTAGAATGCGTGAACGATTCAAAAATTTTTGTTACAATTTCACCTAGTTTAACCTAATAATTGATTATTGATCATTACTCTCTATTCTAAACTTTAACATAATCAATTATTTTTCCACCATCAAGTGATTAGTTTTTGGATTATTACAATAACTTGTTGCAATTGAGATTTTAGTCAAATGATTCTCTCCGTTAGTTTTATGAATGTATTAAGGTTTCTAAATCTGCCATTTTCTTCAATTTGAGCTTCCTTAATTTGAGGACGGGTTCATCATTGAAAAAGAGTGCTTATAATAATGATATGAAATAAATACGATCATCTGATATATCAATTCTCTTTCTTTATTTTAATTACATTTAGATGGATTAACCAATAGGAATTGGAGGATTTAAATTGCAACAAGTTATATCAAAAGAAATGAATTAAATGAGACATAGTGTTGATCCTCGAACTTCTTTGTAAATGATATTGAGCCAAAGATCTTAAGCTTAATTTTAATAAGTTGTTGATTAAGAAGTTCCTTAAGAATAACCATTAAAATTGTTGAGCAAGAAAAAAGTAAATGAAAATCCATATTAGTAATATAGGGAAAAAGATTTGAATTTGAAATCTCTTCTGATTCAAGTTCTTTTTCAATTACATCTGAAGAATCTTCGAATTCTCAAAAATCATAACACTCAACTAATTATTTACTTAGATAATAAGCTGCAGCATCATTAAAATTATTGGTCAAAGATAATAAATAATAGATAAGATTACCAAATATTCCTATAAGAAGCATTTCTAATGAGAAATAACAAATTAATTTCTTGAAAGGACTATAACAAAATTCTGAATTGAGTGAGAACAATTAAATAGAAGAATATTATTAATAAGGGAAAATAACTGTCAAATTGAAAAGCAAAGATTTTATGACATTTATGAGATGGCAACATGAAGTCGAAGAATTAAAAAGAAAAAAGAGAGACTTTGATGAATAAAAAGACAGACATTTCTAATTAACCAAAGGAGACACTGTTACAAAGATGGAATAATAGAGAAAAGAAGAAATAATGAAGAAAAAGAAAAATAGATATTCAGAATCATGGATTGTTGGTATTTCATTGGCAAAACGATTTTTAAGAATTGGTAGAAAAAGAGCAAGGGCTACATTATAAAGAAATGCCATAAAAACTTTAACTGGTATTCAAAGTGTTCCTCATTTAAGTGATTCAAATAGATCTGATGATGTTAGATCAATGGCTAGTTTTAGAGAAATTCAGAATCCCTAAATGTGAAATTTTGATTGTAAATAATAATATTTTTTTTTTATAAATGAACTAAAATTCCAATCAATTACTAGGATAACCAAAGAATTAATTTAAAATTGTAGAGAGTGTCTATCAATAGCAATAACAATAACAATAACCAAGATAATAGCTATCAGTTCAATAAAAGCCTATTGAAGAATCCCATTGTATAAGAGTAATGAGTAAAGAAATTAAAGCTGTTCATAGAATGCAATTATGGTTTTATGGTAAAAAATAATAAAAGCTTTACTAAAAAATGAAAAAAAAACATAGATATAGAAAGAATGTAATAGCTGAAATTATAAATACAGAGAGAACATATGTAAATGATCTAACTGTTATCTGTGAGAAAGTGAAAACATCTTCACTATCAATTATTTCACCAAATGATGTTGAAACTATCTTTATGAATTGTGATTAAATATTGGCTTGGAATAGAGAATTTTTATTAGAAATGGAAAAAGGATATTAAAAATATAATCTTGATAAGAAATTTATACCAAAACCATATCAACCAGTTTTTGATGGAAATGCTAAATAATTAAAAACTCCAGATATATATGCATTCAAATGTTATTATGAATATTGTAGTAAATTTACAAAATCAAATAAACATTTTGAACATCTCAAAGCAAATGATCAGAAGTTTAAAGAATTTTTAATATAACTCAATAAAAATAACACTTTAAGAGGAATGGACCTAGGAAGTTTCTTAGTTAAGCCTATTTAAAGATTGCCTAAATATATTTTGTTATTTAAAGTAAGATTAAAATTTATTATAGGATTTAGAAAAAAATACAGATGAAGATTATCCAGATTTACCTAATATCAAAGAAATTCATAAATATTTCAAAGAAGTAAACGAAGAAAATAACAAATTTATGGATATTTTTATGGGTAGATTATAACTTCAATAATTGAGTGAATCTTTGAAGATTAATTAGGAAGAATTATTGAATGAACCTAATCGAGTTTTTAAATTTGAGGAGAAATTAACAATTATTTAACCAAATGCAAAAAGTGATGAAGATTGTTAAGTAACAGTCTATGCTTTAAGTGATATGTTAGTAGTTGTACATGATGAAAAAGTTTAAAAGAAACTCAAATTAGATTCTTTATCTTTTGTTAAGAATTAATCTGACAATAATAAGTACTTTAGCAATTTGTTTCAGATTGTTGGGGTCGGTGATACAATATAATGCATAGCTGAAACCCCAGTTGCAAAAAAGAAATATATTGACTAATTTGAAAAATTAATTTAAGAGAATAGAGAACATGAACATGAAAAAGAGAAAGAACTCTGTAAATAATAAATTAAAATGCGATATCCTGTTTAAGTTGTTGTAGTTGGAACTGAAGAAAGGAATTTTTAGTCTTTCACTAAACATACATAATATATTACTGAAATTAGTATTAATAAAGTGTTTTAAAATGTATATATCAGATCTAATGTAGATATTTATTAGATACAGTGAAATTGAGGCTATGTCTAGTAAATATAAGCAAAGATATCCCAAAATTGATTTACCTTAATTACCTGATAAAAATTGGCTAATGAGTCACAAGACCAAATCCATAGAGGCACGTAAAATAGCAATTGAAAACTTCCTTTAGGCTTTGTTACAAGCAAAAGAATCCTAATAGGATCCTGATATTTTGAATGAATTAAGTATATAAATCATTATTAATCTTATTAGAATTACCTAAGAATTTTTTCGATTTGCCAGATTTATATTAATCTATTTTGAAATCAAATCTAACTCAGAAATAGCAGAATTTTAAAAGAACTACTCTTGAGGGAAAAGAAGAATTAAGAGAAAAAGGAATAAATGTAGAAAAACTGAAAATAAGTGCTGGAGAAATTTTGAAGGCTGTATATATAGAATAAGAGACAAGAAAAAAAAGTGTTGTTTAAATTTGTCCCAATAAGGTTATTTCTTATGAGAATTCAAAAGATCCAAATTTGCAAAAAGTGATTATTACATTTCCTGATGGAACTGAAACAGCACTTGGAGTAACTGAACAAACAAGAGTCAGAGAGGTATTAGAATTTGTTGCCAAATACAATCATCTCATTTATTATAAAGATTTTAGATTATATTTAATTGATTAATTGAAAAAACAAAGAGTTTTGGATGATGATGAAGTACTTTATAAAGTGATTGAAGATGAAAGACAAAATAATCATGGAATATTAAATAAATTGGAATAGATGTTAGCCAAGTCAAATTCAGAGTATTAGTTAATTCTAATTATATAGAGTACTTATCAAGCTGAAAAAATACATTTATTTGCCTGCCAAATTAGAAGAGAGTGATTATAAAGAAGATCCGGTAAGGTTAATCAATCTAGCCTTTTCTGTATTAGATGATGTTCACGATTAAAAACTATAACTTGGATTTAAAGAATATTGTTTATTTGCTGCACTCTATTTTCATATGAAACATTAAAGATTGGATGATAAATTATTCGGTGAAGTTAGAAGAGTAATTCCTCAAGAAATGTTTCAAAGCAGCACAGACAAAGAATGGAAGGATCTAGTTACCTAATGTTTTAAGGCACTTGACAATGAACTCTCATAAATTAGTGTAAAAATTTAACCATTTATACAAGAAAAAAAATGAAAATGACTAAATCTAAAAGAAACCTAACTCCTAATACAAACATACAGACAAAAAATATTTGGCTGCAGGAGTTACTTTGAATGCTGCAAGGACCTTCGTTTAAAGCTCTATGGCCATCTTTTAAGTGCAAGTTTATGAGGGAACTCAAAAGTTTTTTAAAAATTCTGGGCTAGAAGTTCATCCCACCATTTATTTAGGGTTGTCAATTCATAAAATACATTTTTTAAACCCTTAAAGAAAGGAATAATTTAGAGAAATTGATTATGGTCGTGTGAATGGCGTAAAGTCTTATCCTAGTTAAATAATCTTTGACTTACAAATATTTAAGGAACCTATTAGGTTTGATACTTACTAAAGTTATGAAGTACTTATTCACTTTTAAAATATTAGATAAAATCACTTGTTGAATAATATCAAGCTATCCAAAGATTTGATGAAGAATATGAATTGGGTCATTAATTCAATATTAAACATTGAAAAAATTAAAAATTAAATGCAATTTATAAATAAAATTTACATTGATTCAATTCATCATAATTTTAAAGTTGCAATATAACATTTAAAAATCATGATTTCTATTTAATGCTGAGACATTTTACTAAGTATCTTATAGAATGATAATTTGTTATAAATAATATCAAATTCAAACTGGAGAACTAGAAGTTTCACGCTAAAGGCTGAATTTAGACTTTTCAGTAACTTTATTTGGAAAATGAAGTAAAGGAGTGCTTCCTAAATTTTGTGGAGTACGTCTTCCAATAATTGAATTCATTTATAACTACATTTTAGGCTTCTTACTGATTTAAGGTGGCGTCATAGTAGTCGATTTTATTTCTTTTTCTTCCATGAAAGTTGTTTGTGCTCTTTTTAACTGCCGTTTTCTCTTAAAATATCTATCTTGTTTAGCTCTTGGATCTGTTTTCATTTTGATGCCAAGTTCCTTGAGATATGAAACAATCCTTCTTTCAATATTCAAGCTAGCTGGTTATTATGGCTAGTATTCTAATATTTAAAGTTCAACAGAAACATCTGAAACTCCACTGTAGCACTCATCATCTTAATCAGAAACTTATAAATTTTCAAAATCAATATGCAGCTGAACTGGATTATCAACCATTTTATTTATTATGAATATTAAATAATTTCTTGAACTTTAAAAATAGAAGGATGAAAAATTACCATTATTATAATAAACCATTTCACAATTCAAACAAGAAGAATATGTGCTAATGCAATAGATATAAATTCAATAATTGAATCAATTCAATATTTCATTATCATTTTTTTTATCAATAGCTTTAAATAGGAATATGATACTGCCATTTATATCAAATTTATTTTTAGATTGGTTAGCATTATCGATATTATTTTGATGCTCAATTTATTACTGAATTACACTTCATAATATAACTTTATTATCAATTTATCTGCAATATAGGATATACTCTTAGATTGAAATGATTTGTAATTTATTTAGTAATTACGCAAGGAAATATTCATAGATCAATTGCATATTACTGATATCAACTTATATGCATCACTTAATTTAATAAAAAATTTAAATCAATAAATTTTCAATTATAAATGTCATAAACTACTTTGCTAAATCATATTATGAAAAAATTTGAATAAAAATCATAAGATGAATTTTATACTTTTAATCTATATTCTAAATACCATCCTATTAATAATAAGTGGAATAATTAAGAAATGGATTTAGTAATTTAAAATGTGTAAGAACTGATTGTATTTATATTATGGATTTGAGTACCTGATTTAAATTGTACTAATCAAAGAATCAGTTTATTAGTTATTTTTTACCAAAAGTTTTGAATCAAAAGGAGAATTTTATCCTATTTCAATTATAACATCTAGTCTTTCCAAAATATACTAAGTATTTAATCATGAAATAATTATAGTATTAATCAAAATTTAAGAATATTGAAGATTAGAAAATATATGAGTTTTAATTCATTATTGATAATTTAGGAATAATGAATCTTTTTTCGATACTTAAATTCTTTCAATACACTTATAAATAGATAAAAAGTTAATCAGGTACTCAAAAGTAGGCAATTAAATCAGCTTAATTGATTTCTATTACAAATCTAAATAATAGAATATGATTATCTGCATTTTAGATGATTATATTTCAAGATATTAATAGATTAAATTTTATTTGCTTTAAATGAATTTTTATCAAAAAATATTTTAGTTAAATACTGATCATAATTGATATTTCTCAAATATTATTCCAAAGATACTGTTGCTCCATCATAAACTTAACTAAACTTACAAGGATATCTCTATTTATATTAAAAGAACAAATTCAAATTCCTTATTAATAATGATATTATATAGCCAACTATATATATGTTATAAATCAGTTATTTTGAAAAAAATCGATAATTTTTATATTGAAAAGAGTTAATTGATATATCCAAAAGAATAATGTATCAATGGCATAAATTATTCTTGCTTTTTAATATCGTTATTACATATCTCACTCGCAAATTTTTCTGAAAAGGGTTTCATCTACTTAACTTCATCATTCAATTTTTAAAAAAGGTTTTATTTAAATCAAAAAGAGATTTTGGACATTATGATGATATTTATTGACTCCATATACTTTGCACGCAATTAAAAAATCAATTTAATAACTAAATAAAAATTCAATTATTACAAAATGATGGATTTGACATCATCATTTATAAATGTTAAAAAATTTTAGTTAAATTAATTTTTTTCAATAGATTGAAAAAATATTGAGATTTTAGTATATCCCACCTTTCAGCAGGATGAATTATCAAATTAATTTTAGAGAGTCTCAATTTGAGTGAGGAAAATTTGATCATTTTGAAGATAAATTGCTAAAATTAATAAAATTGTTTAAATAATTAAACCATAAAATTGCTAAATAATTCAACAACAGCTTTTATTAGTGCTATCAGTTTGTTTTTAATTTATCTCTGGTTGCGATGAATATTTTTATGACAAAATTATAGAATCTCGAACATTTTATTCAGAATTAGTTCTAATAGAATTGAGTTATTTTGAGACTTTTTCTAGAGTTTAGATAAAAATCTAATCGCCTTATTTGATTTAAATATTACATCATCAATATTTTAGCCAGTTGCAGCAGAAGTTTCAAAATACAATGCATTTATTTCCTCAGCCTTTTGTAGCCCTTCCTCTTTGGTCACAGTTCTTTCTGCTTCCAAATCAATCATATTTCCCACTAAAGAAATTACAACTCCTTGGTCACTGTTCTCTAAGATGTCCTTCGCCCATCCTGTAATACTTTGATAAGAATCACGACTTTTATATTTATAAGAAAATAAACCTCGTCAATTTAAATACAATTATGATTGCAGCAGAATTTCTATAAAATGATCTAGCGATACTTCTAAATGCTTCTTAACCTGCCTAGAGTTTTTTTAAATAAAGCACATTACAGTATCCCAAATTTAGAGAGTCAATGCATTATCATGAATAGTCACCTTTTTACTTGCAAACTCAAGCCCAACTGTAACATTATATTCTCTATTGAATAGATCCTTAGTATATCTGAGTAATATTGATGATTTTCCTACTCCTTAATTGCCTACTAAAATGATTTTGTAAACTTCCTGTTATGATGAATTTTTATTCATTATAGAAGATAATTTAATAAATAAAAGCTAAAAATTGAATTTCTAATTAGACTTGCAAAATTTATGAGATCTATCCTATTTAAGAAAACTATAATTGGATTTAATTATAATGAGAAACATGAGGGTAATAAGAAAAAAAAATAGGAACACACAGAAAAAATAATTAATTGTTATATTATCAAAACCATATTTGGTTTATGTGATTGAATCTATTTAAAGAATAATTAGTATTAATATTTCAATTTGAATTGAATTGTCAAGATTAGTATCAAATTTTTTAAAATCAACTAACAATTGGAAATTTTTTGTTTTGAGAAAAAACTATTTTTTATATTAGGTGAATAAAATGACATTAATTGAGTTGAGCTAGTAATTTACTATAAAAACATAGAATTTTATCAATTAAAAAAGATATTTTGGAGTAGATATGTGATTGCTGAAAGATCTGGATGCGAAAAATAGCTAATTAGAGGCTGGTAATAAGGGGTTTATATTATTTTAGAAGTTTAGAGATGACTAGTATTTTGATGGATGGAATAAGATTAATAGAGAAAATGACTGATTTTATTTTGAATAAGCTAGAGAAAATTAACAGTCCAAATTTGAACCTACATTACTATTATAAGAGAATAGAATATTAGTGGTGGAATTCAAATCTTTATAAGGAAGATAAATTTAATTATAATTAACTCATGAGTTAGAATTGAGAAGATGAAATGCCAGAAACACAAGATTATTTCGACAATTTTTGATGCTAAGATCAGAGTCAAAGAGAAGGCCAGAAACATTATAATTAAAAGAAATGTAATTACTACAAAATAATATAATTAACAAATTTATAATGGTAGAAGAAATATCAAAATTAAGTATTTATTTCATAAAATTAGGATTTGAGTTAAAACGAATTATTTAGATACTTTAAGCTTATGTAAAAGAACTTATGCTAAAGAATTTGTAGTGGAGAAATAGAAAAGTAAAATCAATATGTTAAATACACAGATTGAATAAAAAGGGAAAATGCTAACAATTTATTAAATTAATTGCCAATGAATAAAAAATAAATCGTCAAGCTTGTGTTGTTTTATTTAAAAATAACACCAAAATCAGAAAAAATCACTAAAATAAAAGGATTCGTAGCTTTGAAAAAGCTTTAAGGTATTATACTAGATTCAGACAATAATATTAGAGGTTTGGAGAACAACTTAATGATTTTTTTTTAATGCTTTACATCAGGTATTCAAAGACAATGAGTATTTTTTATTCAAATTATTAATTAATTAAATAATCAGGTATCTCTTAATAATTAAAGTAAACGAATCAAATCAGAAATAGAAATAAATAATTTTTATATATTTATATTTTCATGAGTGAAGGTCAGAACAATAATTCTTAAGAGGAATAAACTCAACGAGGATTTAAACATTGCGAAGCATTTTGCAACAGATTGAGACGAGACTATCCTGAATTATACTAGTATTATGAAATTTTAAATTTAGATAACTGGTTGGGCTCGTTAAAGACTACAAATAGAATAAATAAAGTATATCCCATTATTACAGTGAGATTAAGAAGCTCTTTTCAGATTAGCCAACAGTTATTGAAAATGTCAATAAATTATTTTATCATGATGCTCGAATCAAATCATATGATACCATTCAATAATTAGAGTTTATTTTTAAATAAGACAAGCAAAAAATCAATCTCCTAGAGTAAACTAAGAATTTGATTCTCAAGGGAAACCTTGACCAACAATAATAAATAGATGTAATTATAGCTTTTATATCATATTCTAGTTAATATCAATCTAATTTAAAGATGATCTAGAGGCTCTCAAAGAAATTTAAAATATATTCAAACTCAAAAAATAGAAATAGAAAATTCAAGTGGATTGGGATGATATCAAAATCAAGAGAGTTAAGCCTAATCCTCCTACGATGGAAGAAATATAATCCTAGTAAGCTTATTATATACAACACTTTTATAATAATGCTTATTAGCTATAAGCAAGTAGAGAGATAAAAAATGAAATTATTGTTTTAGATAAACTAAGATTGAAATGCTTTAGTCATTTTACATAAGAATCTGATTTTAATTAAGTTTTTGACGAATTTGTAAATGTCATTCATTTATATACAGAATGTATAATCACCTAATATGAGCTAATTGATATTCTGTCATCAAATTAGTGGATTGATTAGGAGATTATAGATGAACTTAGAATAGCTATATTCACTAGAGCGGCAGCTCGTAGACAACAGACTTAATTATTTAAACCGCTTAAAGATACTGATTTTAAAAATGCTGAGCACATTACTGGATCATATGTGAGAATGCATCCTGGATATGCAAACATTATGAAAGAAGACCCTAAATTGCCAAATGTATTAAACCATCTCTGGGTATCTGTGCCTTTTGGTAGTGAGGATTATTCATTTTCAATTATGAGAAAAAACAGTTTTGAAGAACAACTGTTCAAAATTGAAGATGAAATGTTCGAATATGATGTCAATATTAATTGTTATAGAAGAACTATTAAAGTATACAATGTTTTAATAAAATAGTTACTTGATTAATTGAAAACGGGAAATAATCAATAAGCAATCGAATAGTAAATTAGAAAAATACTCCAAATTAAGTGTTTATAATCAGTATACAAAACTAATAGTAAGGATTAAGAAGAAGTTATCACATTGTGGTAAAAGAATCCAATAAAATGTTCTCACATCTTAAGAGATAGATTGTACTAAAAATGTCAAGAGTTGATTTAATCCAGGGTAATCGCAAATCAAACTTGGAAAATCACATAAAAAAACAATTTTTCTAGATCTTTAGATCATCGATCATTCTACTTTAAAAAAAATGAAAAACAATATACTTGTGTTTAAAGATTTTTAAAAGAACCTGACGAAAAGTACATTTTAATACAGGCAAATAATGTTATCTAAACACAATATTTGAATTCTTTAATCTAATTAACTACCATTAAACCTCTAAGCCATGAAAAAAATATTAATATTAATGATATCGATCAAAGCACTGTCTTTAGCTTGTATATTTCAAATTAGACTCTTTTGGAAGAAACTTTTGAAATCTTCAAATTTTATATAGAACAATCTAACTTAAATGAATCAGAATGGATTCTTGATTTTTTCTAAAAATTATATTAAGGTTATTTTAATCTTGAATTAGTTGATTAGAAATATAATTTTTCTCTTTTAAGAGCAGAATTGTCGGTTATTGAATAATATGTTACAAATTCATCATTATCTTACATTGATTAGTTTAATATTGAATAAGAATAAATCAAAAAATCTTATATGAATAATAATTATTCAAATAGTAACAACAGAAAGGATTCAGATGACTTTGAAGAATCTGATTATGAATTATAAAGAATCAAAATTCTTAAATCACCTCTTATTAATGAATAGGATGTGTTCCCAAGAAATTAATTATAACTTTCATCCAATGTTTAGAATAAGCATAAGCCACATGGTAAAATCATTTATGGCACATCTGGAATATATTTATTTATTCGATATTTCTATTCTTTGTATCAAAGAATTGAATTGGCACATTAAATTAGTTAAAATTTTGATTAAAATGAAAAATTTGAAAGTATGATTTTAATAAGACTTTAGAATTGAATGAGAAAGAAAAGAAAAGGATTGTAGATATTAGATATATGTTATTTAAGCATGCTCTTTTCTACCAAATTAAAAATAAAGATTTCAAATATCAAGACTACTTAAGTTTGCTATTTGGAAAGCAAGTGAGTGTTTATAATTTCTTTTTTTTAGGCTTTTCTATTCTACACAATTGATAAAATACTTTCAGATTGCTGTAAACACTTAGCCAGTTTACTGAATGATAAATTGACAGATTCTTTTTTTGATTTCTTGTTCACTTTAAAAAATAATAAATACGAATTAGATCCAACAAAAACTGAAGAAGTGCAATTAAGCAATTTGTCTTTTGCTCTCTTAGATTTACAATGGGAAAATTCACAAAGAGTGTTATTTAGAGTAAGATGAATATTATATATAGTTTTGTTTATAAGCTGATAGCTTGCATATTAATTATTTACCTAATTGGTCAGTAATATAAGATAAATAAAAATTAAATCGTATTTCATAATTTGTTAAATCTTACACAACAACCTTTTCAAATAAAATTAAAGGTGTATTTTTACAAAGGAACTTAAGAGAAACAAGGGCAAACACTCAAAATTAAATGGAATGGACAGTGTTTGATTCGATGAGAATAAACAATAATTTTTCAGATATTTTAATTAAATGATTAATTCAGGGTTTTATAATTGTGTAACTTATAATTTATTTTTGGCAATTATTTAGAAATCTTTCAATTTATAAATATTTATTAACAAATTTCTTCATTATTTTTCAACTTTTCTTAAGTTTAACATATTTTAAGCTAGTTCAGCAACCTATATTAATCTAATAATTTAATTATGAGCATTTTTATTAAAAGGATAAAACTCACTCTAATTATTAAATAACACTATTATTTGATCTAATATTTTTATAAACTCTAAGAAACTTTCACAACTCTGCATCGATTGTTATATGAACATTTGAATACCATAAACGAAGAATAATTGAATAACTACTAATTTCATTTTTGCCATTCATTAAGAAAACTTTGGATTAGATTGATTAATGAATTTTCATTCTACACCTTATATATTATAAACTAGTATCAGATTCCAGTTTAATTTAAATCAGACTCATAATACTTTGAATTTCAACTTACTGAGAATAATTTACACCCTTTTGCTAGTAGTCTTTTTTGCAAACATTTACTAAGGCATGACTAATAATTACAGATTATCGAAATTAATCAATTGCAACTAAAGTAAAAATAGCTATAGATTATCTCATGAGAATTTGCTTTATGCATAATCAAATATCTTGCATTCTAAGAGAAAAGCTAAGTGAAATTGAAGCCATTAGACAATAGTTTATATATATTTAGTATATTAAAATGATATTTTGAAAATTACTGACAAAAAATCGCTTAGGTTTTTCTATGATTGTTGCTGTCAAAAAATTCAAACATATCAAATGCCTTTTTAAAGTAATATATGAAAAAAACTTATGGAACTGTTTGTTGCTGAAAATATTTTAATTAAACAAAATTCAATATATCTGAATTTTGTTTAATTAAATTCAATTCAGAATTCTTTTTGTATTTTTTATTGATGCTTTTTTATAAAGAAATATAACTAAGCTTATTAACTGTTCATATTGATCCAAAATTAAGGAATTCTCAAATCCTAAGATAGTTTAGTGTATTTTGAAAATCCATTCGAATCTATTTTATGTTAAATTAAGAATTAATTAGCTCAAATTCTTCAGTATAAATTCTAATTTTTATTGCTTATAATTTCCTTATATTAGAATATTTCTTCTGAAGAATTCAATCCGTATAAATTGGAACTTAAGTAGCAATTTTTTTTGCATATTTATTAGTATCTAATAAGATTCTCCCTTTATTAGCTATAATTTACATTCTTATATTTTGTTAAAAGTAAAAATTTTGATAATGATTATCATGAAAAATAATAATTAATGTTTATATTCTTTATTTTTTAGCAATCTAAATTATAATTGATTGAATTAATCATAACACTATCACAACTTTAAAATAATAATACATTGGTTAAAGCAGCCTTTTACTTTTTTACAAAAATTCTTATCCTCTTAATTTCAAGATTAATTAAAAGTGATTCTTTTCTTTTATCGTACTAATTTCCATCGAAATTATCAAATTTTTGGAAATAATCATAACTTCGCTCCATTTTAACCCAAAATGAAGGACAGCAAAAGAAATTTTTCTTAAAAAACCTTTCGCTATATTTTGAACGCTTCATGAATAGTTTTAATTTGCTTACCCACAATTAATAAAATATTTGTTAATATCCTTATAATATTTTATATCATTTCGGTCTCAGTTCAAGAACTTACTAAGCAATCCCAATTTATTAACTTAGCATTGCTTACCATTTTTCAGAATTATTTTATCTTTAAAATTTAAAAAAACAAAAATTGTAAAACTATAATGGATTTCTTTTTATACACTTCCTTCACTCTAAAATTCTTTAAATCAACTTCTCACGTAAGTTTTCATTTTATTAAATATTTCAATTTCCTCAATTTTCTATTTAACAAAGAAGCCAAATTATCATGATTAATAATTCAATTTTGAAGTTTAAGAGACGTTATAGTATTTAGAAATATATTTAGAGATTAAAGTTAAGGTAGAATGTCAATAATGATTTACCCTTTGTAAATAATAATCATAATAAATCCAAATAATACTATTGACTTTATTTGAATATATTAGAAAAGCATTAGTTTCACACAATCCAAAAAAAAAGTATTATTTTTCTACTTTAAAAATTTTATTCCTCCACAAGATATTATTTTTCTAAACAGTCTTAATTCTAAATCATTATATAATTTTATTTGATTAATATTTTTAAAGAAACTATTGCTTTTGTTTTTCTTATTTGAGTAATTTGATTTTGCTCCATTACCAGCTGCTGATGCTAATGCAAAATTTTCTTAAAATGATCTTTATATTTTAAGAGAAGCATCTATTATTCGGGGAAATTACAAAGATGTAGCTTCGTAATTTAATGGAGCACTTCAATCTTCAGCAAGAAAAACTATTTTTTGAACACCAGGTATTGAAAATAGCCCTTTAAGTAATTTATTGTATTACTACCCTCCAGATGCAAATCTTCGTTAAGGACATGTTGTTGCCAGACTCAGCGAATCAATAATCGTGGAATTTTTATAAGCATACGAAATTAATACTGTAAGGTTTTGGATGTGGGATGAAGATGGTAGATAAACAGACATACAAGTATTAACAGTAGCAGCTGATAGGATGACTGAAAAAGTCATTTATGATGGTAATGCCCAAGCTACATATTGTAAAATTATCTGATTAATTGGTTTCCGGATTGAAATTTTATAACAGAGGAGGGAATAGTTTAGACCATTTATAAATGTCAATCATCAAAATATAAGCCTTATACACTTTTTGATTATCTATATTCATTTATATAACAATAATTTTCTGTCTAAGGAGAACTAATATTAGTAAAAAATTTTCTTTTTAGCACGTATGAATATTTAATTATTTTCAATAAATAATATTTTATTAAAATCAACTTTGAGAATCAAATATTAA